GTAGCCAAGAAAATTTTGGAAGAAATCTTTCCTAGATTCGGACTTCCCAAGGTAATTGGGTCAGATAACGGGCCGGCCTTCGTTTCTCAGGTAAGTCAGGGGCTCGCCAGGATATTGGGGATTAATTGGAAATTACATTGTGCCTATAGACCCCAGAGCTCAGGACAGGTAGAAAGAATGAATAGAACAATAAAAGAGACCCTTACTAAATTGACCTTAGAGACTGGTTTAAAAGATTGGAGATGCCTCCTATCCTTAGCTCTGTTAAGGGCCCGAAATACGCCTAACCGTTTTGGGCTCACTCCATATGAAATCCTCTACGAGGACCTCCCCCTTTGTCAACCTTGCTTAATTCCTTCTCCCCCTCCGATCCTAAGACTGACCTATAGGCCCGGCTAAAAGGACTCCAAGCAGTACAGGCCCAAATCTGGGCCCCCTTGGCAGAACTGTACCAACCAGGACATCCACAGACCAGTCACCACTTCCAGGTGGGAGACTCTGTCTACGTTAGACGGCATCGCACTCAAGGACTAGAGCCTCGGTGGAAAGGACCCTACATTGTTCTCCTGACCACGACCACAGCCATAAAGGTTGACGGAATCTCCACTTGGATCCACGCATCCCACGCCCAAGGCTGCTCCAGAGACGCCCGGACCAACTCCACCTAAGACATGGAGACTCCGACGCTCCGAGGACCCGCTCAAGATAAGACTCTCTCGTATCTAGCCCCTTGCTTATTACTAGCCCTCCTTCCCTGCGTCGCTGACAGTAATAACCCCCACCGGCCATATAACCTGACCTGGCAGGTAATTGATTTTAGTACTCATGAGGTCTTAGATAAAACCTCAAAAATTGCTCCTATGGGGACTTGGTTCCCTGACCTCTATTTCAACCTAGACAAAATAGCAAAGATAGATGACATGGAAGGAGGAGAATGGAGAAAACAGGCTAGAAAGGTGTCCGTAAGCCGGAACGGGTTCTATGCCTGTCCCGGATTCAGGACAGGAGAAATGAGAAAAACTTGTGGAGAAATAGATGCCCTGTTTTGCGCTAGTTGGTCCTGTATAACTACTAATGATGGAGAATGGAAATGGGCCACGAAACCCTGGTACAAAACCATGTCCTTTGTCCAACACTGCACCAGAACCCGATATTCAAAAACTTGCAATCTGGTCCGCATCAAGTTTGAAGATGCAGCAAAATCTGATAACCATTGGATATCCGGGTTAATATGGGGCCTATATTTATACCAAAAGCCACTGTATGGAATCCCTATCCAAATCAAATTAATAGTCAACCCTATCACAGCCCCTGTCGCAGTAGGACCAAACCAAGTTTTATCAGAAACAAGGAAGCCCCTGTTTCCTGCACCAAGAGAGCCCCGACCAAGAGCTCCTAAAAGCACTTCCCCGCCTTTAATCTCCACCTCCTCTAAATACACACCCTCAGCCCAAAACGTCACCCGTGGGCCCCTTGACCTGGGAATAGGTGACAGGCTCCTAAATCTCATAAAGGGCTCCTATTTCGCTTTAAACCAGACAAAGCCAGAATTTACCTCCTCTTGCTGGCTATGTCTGGCAACAGGCCCCCCTTACTATGAAGGCATTGCCTCCACTAATAATTTCACTAACTCCGCCAATCCTACTGGATGCGCATGGGAACAACAAAGAAAACTAACCCTGGCTGAAGTTTCTGGGTCGGGAACCTGCATAGGCCAAGTGCCCCCTAGTCATCAGCATCTTTGTAATGTAACCTTGACAGTACCCAGCTCCAATCACTATTTGGTCCCCTCCGAGACGGACTGGTGGGCTTGCAACACTGGGCTCACCCCCTGTGTATCCACAGCCGTTTTTAGCAGTGGCACCCACTATTGCGTGTTGGTACAAGTTGTTCCCCGAGTATACTATCACTCTGGAGACTCCTTTGATCTCCGGTATGAGCAAAAAACTCATACTAGACCAAAGAGAGAACCTATCTCCCTCACCCTCGCCGTAATGTTAGGAATTGGGGTAGCGGCTGGAGTTGGGACCGGGACAGCAGCCCTAGTGCATGGTAACCATCATCTGCAACAACTTAGAGTAGCCATAGATGAAGACCTTAGAGCCATAGAACAATCTATCACAAAACTTGAAGAGTCCTTGACTTCTCTGTCTGAAGTTGTATTACAAAACCGACGAGGACTAGAAATTGTCTTTCTGAAAGAGGGCGGGCTCTGTGCAGCCCTGAAAGAGCAATGTTGTTTTTATGCAGATCATTCAGGAGTAGTTAAAGATTCTATGGCAAAACTAAGAGAAAGATTAGACAAGAGGAAAAAAGAGAGAGAATCTCAGCAAAATTGGTTTGAAAATTGGTACAACCAATCCCCTTGGCTTAGCACCCTAATCTCCACCATCTTAGGACCCCTCATCCTGCTCACGCTCATTCTGACTTTCGGGCCATGCATACTCAACCACTTACTCACCCTTATTAAAAATAGATTAAACATAGTACATGCTATGGTTCTGACCCAACAATACCAGACCCTCAGGACTGAAGAAGAGGCTCAAGATTGAGCCTCTGACACAAAAAGAGGAGGGAATGAAACTAGGCCTCATAAAACTTAGAAACTAGGCCTCATATAGAAAAAAAAATTAACACCAGGTGGCTCTGGATAGGGTCCCACCCTGCCTCGATAAGGACCTACCCTGATAGGGTCCCACCCTGCCAATTCTGGGAAACAACCTCATGGGGTCCCACCCTGCCAATTCCGGGGGTCCCAACCTGCCTCGAAGTTCCCGGAATCAACAACTCCAGGAAAAAAACCTCATAAGGTCCTGCTCTAACCAATTAGTATAAGACACCTTGCTCAGGCCATAGCTAGACCCAATCATTTTGCGCCTTAAGCTTTGTTTGAATTTCGCACCATAAGCTGTGTTTGAACTTGTGTTTGCCTATATAAACAGCCTGTAACAAGCAGTCGGGGTCCCAGGGCCAACTTAGAGCTTGGGACCCTAGCGCGCTAGTAATAAATAACTCTCTGCTGTGAATCTCGTGTCAGTGATCCTTCGCGGCGACCCCTGCCCAGGAAGGAATCGACAGTTCGGTTCCAACACATGAACAAGTTGTGTTCATCTGCATAGTGTAGTTGGGAACAGGAAATAGTTTAATTTAAGCCATGGTTAGGGTTGTGCCAAGCAAGTGTAATGAAATGTTCCCTGATTCTTCTAAGCTAAAAGTAATCTCACCTTCCTCAGATCTTCCATACCATTTCCATTCAATCTTGCTTATTGAAATGTTCTATCTTGCATATATTCTTAGTTGCTTAACAGCCCCTGATAACTTTGTATCATTCTAGTCTCTTACATGTCTAAGCCTACTGTGAAGCATATAGCAGAATAATTATGTCATAATGATAATCTAAAAAAAATGGCTTTCCTGGGATTAAATCTTCTTCACAATGAAGTCATGTATGATAAAGAAAAGAACATCATCAATGGCAGTGTTACTGTGAGTCACATGTCTCAGTGTATAATATAGTTCCCTCTGAACTATATTTTTTTCTATATTGGATAAAAGTCCTTTATGTACCATCTTAATAAATTTGTGAATCATTGAAAGAAACAAGGCTGGGTTTTGGAAAAATGACAAAGTCAGTGAGTCAGTTGTTAGTCTCTTTAACCTCCATTTGTTACCTCTTTCTCTGTTCTTGGAGTGAGTCCTCTTCTCCAGCACTAAAATATCTATTGTTTACCATCTCCAAAACCTGACTCAGAAAAAGCTCTGATACTTATACTGGTGTCAGATTTAATATTGCACGGCCTTCAGTAAATGTGCCACCTTGATCAGGCAAATGCAATTAAAATGTTTAAATCTGTTAAATTCTGTCCCCTTTGGAAATAATTTAAGACTCAACAAATAGACTAAACAGATTTGGCCAGCCAAGGAGCATGTGTAAAAGCATTCAATATGCATTGGTGAGGCCCTCTGAAAAGGTAAGAATTATTTATTTGTTCTAAGTTAGTTGAGTCATGAGTGAATAAAGGGGAAGAAAAAGGATGTTGGGCCATACCTTTTCCCCCTTTCCTGGATTCTTCTGCTTTTCTGGGGAGAAAAAACTAAGGACTGCTTTCACTTTAGCTGCCGAAGTCTTTCCTTGGGAGCAGCTGGGAGCAGATGAGGAGCAAATGGCATCATTGAAGCTGTGGAGTTGGCCTTCCATTTTCCAGGTCCACCTGACTGGCCCAAGAGATTCCTCCCTTGTCAATCCTCTCTACCCTGTTCATCATAGACCAGATCAGAACTTCTCTGAGATTCTAACTTGAACTTATCTCTTTACCCAGGATATCTAGATATGTATTGATGAATGACATTTTCTATTTAAATTTGTGTTTGTCCTAAAACATTCTTTTTATGTTGTTTTCATTTTAATATATTTTCTACTTATTTATATATCTTATTGTAAAATAAAAACATATCATTAGAGTTTTACATATCCTTTTGAATTATAAAGCTATTACTGTATATTTATACATCTTAGTGCATCTATACCTATACTTACGCAATGCATTTATCTAACATATTGGTAAGTAAAGAGTTCTTTGTTTCAAAGTAGGTTAATGTTTAAAACACATTTTGTTGTTAAGGGAAAGACAATTACAATATTTAATCACAATATTTGAGTTTCTTGAGGTATTAAGACTTCTGCAGTGATTAATGGAGGACAGATAAATGTGTGTATCCTCAGCTTATTTAGTTTTTAATCCTGGGGCTTTTAGTTCCTGGCTTTGCTGTTTGCACAGGGCGGCAAGAAGGCATGTTCTGGGTTTGGTATGAGCTGGATTTGGTCCAAGATAGAAGATGTCATAGGAGTAAGGCACTAAACTGGCTGAAAATGGATTTCATCTTTGGCAGGCTATGACATTTACCTTTGCTCTCTCGTCACCAAGTTTACCACACCTAGCCCCTGATGGCAGACAGTGGGATGAGTGGGTATAAAAACCAAAGTTACAGGGGCCCTTGTGGACTTGTCTCTCCAGAATGACTATGCTCCATTTCTAGGTCTCAAATCACAACCATGAAGTTGATATTATGGTACTTGGTTGTGGCTCTTTGGTGCTTCTGCAAAGGTAAGAAACTAATTTAAAGAATTCTTTCAAATGTGATGACCCCAAGTATATATTTGTTTAAATGTTTAGTGTTCTGTACATCAAACATTTTTCTTCCTAGCAATTTTTCTTAGACTACGCTTTAGAGTAGGATAAGAAAACTGGATTTCTCATCTTACTGTGTATTACCTCAGCTTTAACAATCCTGTCTTAAGGGTGTGGATACAAGCACACCTTGGAGATATCTCGAGTTTGCTTCTAGATTACTGTAATAAAGTGAATATTGTGATAAAGCAGGTCACACACAGTTTTTTTGCTTCCCAACATGTATAAAAGTTATGTTTACCCTCTACTGTAGACTATGTGTACAATAGCATTATGTAGAAAAAACAATGTATATATACCTCAGTTAAAAATCCTTTATTGCTAAGCAATGCTATGATCATTTGAGTTTTCACTGAGTTGTAGTCTTTTGGCTGGTGAAGGGTCTTGCCTTGATGTTGACTGCTGCTGAGTACCCAATGTGGTGGCTACTGAAGGTGGAGAGGGGGGAGCTGTGGCAATTTCTCAAAATAAGAAAGCTATGACATTTGCCACATTGATAGACTCTTCAATTCATGAAAGATTTCTCTGTAGCATGCAATGCTGCTTGACAACATTTTACCCACAGTAGAACTTCTTTCAAAGTTGCAGTCAGATTTCTTAAATCCTGCTACTGCTTTAGCATCTAACTTTGTCTAATATTCTAAATCCTTTGTTGTCATTTCAACTATGTTCACAGCATCTTCACCAGAAGTAGCTCTCAATTAAAGAAATCACTTTCCTTGCTCATTCACAAGGGGCAACTCATCATCTGTTCAAGTTTTCTCATGAGATTGCAGCAATTCGGTCACATCTTCAGGCTCCACTTTTAATTCTAGTTCTCTTGTTCTTTCTGCCACATCCACAGTTGCTTCTTCTACTGAAGTCTTGAACCCCTAAAAGTCAGCTTCTTCCAAATTATTTTAATGTTGATATTTTGGCTTCCTCTCATGAATCATGAATGTGCATCTAGAAAGGTGAATCCTTTCCAGAAGATTTTCAATTTACTTGGATTATATTCATCAGAGGGATCATTATTTAGGGCAAGCTATAACCTTAAGAAATGTATTTATTTCTTCAGTAAGAAGATGTGAAAGTCAAAATTACTCCTTTACCTGTCGGCTGCAGAATGGATGTTGTGTTAGCAGCCTGAAAACAACATTAATCTCTATGTACATCTCCATCAGAGCTCTTCAACTCTTTTTTTTTTTTTTTTTTTTTTTTGAGACGGAGTCTCGCTTTGTCGCCCAGGCTGGAGTGCAGTGGCCGGATCTCAGCTCACTGCAAGCTCCGCCTCCCGGGTTTACGCCATTCTCCGGCCTCAGCCTCCCGAGTAGCTGGGACTACAGGCGCCCACCACCTCGCCCGGCTAGTTTTTTGTATTTTTTAGTAGAGACGGGGTTTCACCATATTAGCCAGGATGGTCTCGATCTCCTGACCTTGTGATCCGCCCGTCTCGGCCCCCCAAAGTGCTGGGATTACAGGCTTGAGCCACCGCGCCCGGCCGGAGCTCTTCAACTCTTATCAATGAACAGTAATATTTTGAAAGGCATCTTTTGTACTGAGCACTAGATCTCAGCAATGGGCTTAAAATATTCAATAAGTCCTGTTGTAAACAGACGTACTATCATCCAGGCTGAGTTATTTCATATATAGAGCATGGGCAGAATAGATTTAGTGTAATTCTTAAGGGACCTAGGACTTTCAGAATGGTCAATGACCAGTGGTTTTAACCTCAAGTCAGAAGCTGCACTAGACCCTAACAAAGAGAATCAGTCTGTCCTTTGGAGCTTGGAAACCAGGCATTGAGTTCTCCTCTCTAGCTACCAAAGTCCTAGATGGCATCTTCTGCCAATCGAAAACTGTTTTGTTTACAGTGAAAATCTATTGTTTGGTGCAGCCACCTTCATGAATTATCTTAGCTACATCTTCTGTTCTGAACTTGCTGCAGCTTCTCCATCAGCCCTTGCTACTTCACTTTGCACTTTCATCTTATGGAGACTGCTTGTTTCCTTAAATTTCATGAGCTAAACTCTGCTAACTTAAAACTTCTCTTCTGTAGCTCCCTCACCTCTCTCAGGCTTCAGAGAACTGAAAAGAGTTAAAGCCTTTTTTCTGGATTACGGTTTGGCTTAAGGGAATACTGTGGCTGGCTTGATATTTCCAGGCTACTCAAACTTTCTCCATATCAGAAATAAGGCTGTTTTGCTTTCTTATCATTCATGTGTTCGCTGGAGTAGCACTTTTAATTTCCTTCAAGAATTTTTCTTTTGCATTCACAAATTGGCTGAGTGTTCAGCACAAGAGACTCAGCTTTCAGCCTGTCTTGGCTTTCCATGTGCCTTCCTCACTAAGCTTAATCATTTTGAACTTTTGATATTAAATGCAAGATCTGCCACTCTTCTTTTCATGTGAACACTTAGAGGCCATTGTAGGGTTATTAATTGGCCTAATTTCAATATTGTTGTGTCTCAGGGAAAAGGGAGGCCCAAAGAGAGGGAGAGAGATGGGGGCAATGACCTATTGGTAGAGATGTCAGAACATAAGTCTATATTAAGTTTGCCATGTTATTGAGCATGGCTTGTGATGCCCGAAAACAATTACAGGAGCAACATCAAAAAATCACTGATCATAGATCACCATAACAGGTATAACAATAATAATAAATTGGAAATATTGGGAGAATTATGAAAATATGTTACAAAGACCTGAAGTGAGCACGTGCTGTTGGAGAAATGGTGTCAGCAGAGTTGCTAGTCACAGGGTTGCCACAAATCTTCAATTTGTAAAGCACACAATATATGTAAACATCAGTAAAGTAAAGCACAATAAAATGAAGGATGCTTTTAAATATATGTATACACATTTAGATATATTTGTTTAGCAACTGCCTAGAACTATTACTAAGAAGATCACGCAACATACATTCAGTGTTGTTTGTTACTGATTTTCATCACAGTTTATGCTTTGATGTTTCTATCTTGAATGCATATCCCTACTAAGACTAAAGACACAAACAGGTAATCATGTTTTTCACAAATCGAGAAATTATCACCAATTAAAAACAGGGTCATCATCAAAAACAACACTTTTAAACTAACGACTTTCCTGGATATTTTAGAAAGTTCATTAATTACTTTCACAAATTAAAGGTAAGATGTCATTCATTTTGAGAAAATTAAACATTAAGCAAAATGAAAAAGTGCCTAGAAACAAACGTTGTTCTGTTCCTGAAAAGGGCAGAAAAGATAACATTATCCAAACGTAAGGGGAAAAGTCTGCAAAGAGCAGGAGATTTTTTTCCATATCGAAACTTAAAAATCTATTCTCTAAATCTGAAAGTAGAACACAAAACATACATCTTACTTTTCTCTGAGATGCCAGAATATAGAGAACTGCAATTATTTGTTATAATTAAGATAAAATGTTTCTACGTTTAATCCAACTCTCTGGGAAATTGATGAACCATTAGAAAATGATTACTTTGTGTAACAGTGATTTTCAAAATCTTACATAGTGCTTTGTTATATTCTTTTTTTCCTGTTGCATAAATGTGTTTCTTGTTTCCTAAGTAATGGAGCACAGAGCACATTCTTTTCTTTCTTTCTTTCTTTTTTTTTTTTTTTGAGACAGAGTCTCGCTCTGTTGCCCAGGTTGGAGTGCAGTGGCGTGATCTCAGCTCACTGCAAGCTCCGCCTCCCGGGCTCACGCCATTCTGCTGCCTCAGCCTCCCGAGTAGCTGGGACTACAGGCGCCGCCACCTCGCCCAGTTAAGTTTTTTGTATTTTTAGTAGAGACGGGGTTTCACCGTGTTTGTTCGCCAGGATGGTCTCGATTTCTTGACCTCGTGATTGCCTGCCTCGGCCTCCCAAAGTGCTGGGATTACAGGCGTGAGCCACCGTGCCCGGCCCGAGTACATTATTTTCAAAGCATTTATTATACGTCGTATCACCATAAACATAATTTTAAAAGTACTTGTTGTAAGTATATTAAATTTCCTGAAGAATTGGCTCATGTTTCTAAGGTAAATTCCTATATATCCATCCATTGTAGATCTGGAAAATGATTATGAGTATTTCAACGGGCTTTCCATAGACAGGCGACTTATCAACAAAATTCAAAGATTTTATGTATTTATTCAAGATGTCATTGTGGGAAATGAGAAACATACTTGGAAAACTGCTCTTTGCAGAAATCCTAGGTGCCTTATTTGAAATGAATTTTTGTTGCTGTTAGTCTGATTTATGTTTCATATACAGATTCTCATAGTTTTCAGCAGGTTATAGGATGATAAATCTTGGGGCCTGGAAGTTGCTGAAGGCAAATATTTAGTCAGTATCCATATAATCAATTGGAAGAAACATTTGCATTGTTTAATCAAGCATAACTATATAGAAAGAAAAAAATTTGAAAAACAATTTTTCTGGTTAAGTAGATAAAAACAGTTATAAGAGACATAGTTCAGGCGTGAATATGCATAATCTACTTTTATTTTTTTTCCCTCAGGCTATCCTATATTCTCATTAAAGTCCATATAATTGATTCTGTTCTTTTATTCTTGTTTCTTTTTTGTATAATTCACTGCTTATGAACACATTACCCAGAAAATGTTTAGGGGAAATAAAAGCATGTGAAATTTAGATCAGAAAACATACTTTAGATAAACAGCTGTAGTTGTGTGAAAAAGATATAAAGTACTGGCTAATATTAATTTGTGAACTTAATCTATTTGGTCATGCATATTTTCAAGTCTGAGTTGGCATTGAAAATTTTGATATCAAGTATGCTGGTAGGTCTGTGTTACATAGATCATTTCCTATTAAATAGAAAAGCTGCAAAATAGTAAATTACCATTAAAATATTACACTTACCAGATAAAAACAGTGGATTGCTTATATTGAATTTTAAGGAAGAATGAAAACAAAAAGAACATCTTTTTCATTGTCTTAAAATATGTTATAGAGAATTATAAAATGACTTGTTTTGTTTTTTTTTTTCATTTAAAAATAGATGTGGAAGCCCTACTTTACCGACAAAAATCAGGTCAGTATCTTTCAGGAATTAATCTTTGCTTTGAAACATTATGCTGCATTGTGAGGTTGCTTTTGGAATCAGAAAATTAATGTGTGTCCTACACACTTGGTTTTGTGAATGAGCTCCCATGCCACCCTGTTTACTCCACGTGACTCTGAACTCCTTAAGGACAGATTTTGGTCTATGCTGCTCACCCTGTATTCATAATGCCAAGAGCATTGGCTGCAATGGAGTAGGTCCTCAGTACATTTTTGTTTTAAATGAATAAAATAAATTGGGATTATCAATATAAGATTTATTTTGCCTACAAGAATTTTCTACTTGAAAGTAACCAAATGCTTTGCAAGGTAAACTTTCTGAAATAAACCAAGGATGCCCTAACTTCTTACCAAAGAAGACGAGGAACTTCTGAAAATAGCTTAATCTTTTTTAAGGGCATGAAAATGCATGTCCATTATCATATTATATTCTATACAATGATGCCCTTGGAATCTACTGACTTGTGTAAACAGTTTGTCCCTGTTCCGGAGATTGTTTCTGAGTTTCTGTGTTTGCTTTTGATTTGCCTTTCTGTCCTCTCTTTTCTGTTCAACAACTAACTCTATATTCATAGGATCATCATGTCTACTTTTAGCAGTCAGTTCCAATTCTTACTCATTGTTTTCAGTCCACTGGGCTGAGAACACCATCGATCCAAGCTCATTAGCCTTGTACCTGTGGTAAGGATGTGCACTCTGAGTGAGGCCTCAAAAGATTTCTCCTGATGGGTACATTGAATAAGCAAGAATTTATACGTGGGCTCGATGATATCTCTATTTGCCACAAGAGGATTTTGGGACAACTTCTTAACTGCAATCTACATTTCAGATAGTTAGAATTTTCCAGGTGTTTAACTTACACAGAGAATATTACTGTTCAGTTTTCTTTTGAAGCATTTATATTAAGTGTCTCCAAGCCACATCTATAAACCATTTCTTCTTAGCCTTTGGCTAGACATGTGTGTGTGCATTTGTTTGTGCAATACATAAGATTTGGTTTTGACAACAAATTTATGAGAACATATGGGAAATACTTTATCTTTTAAATGTGCTATTTACTGTTTGTCTTAATTTACCCCTTCATCTCTGGGATAGGTTTACTAACCATAAGTCCTGGATTATCCTGAATTGGATTTTAGTTCAAATTTCTAAAAGTTTATCTTAGTATCAGACCATGTGCCTTGACTCTTTATTTGAATAATGCAGTCAGTTTGGGTTTAGAAAATTTAAAGGTTATAGAGCATAGAGAAGCATTTAAAACAAACCACAATCCTGTAAATCTCCAAATAAAAATGTTACCGAAAACATCTTTGAAGTTTCTTTAATATGCAATCAACATGCAACTTTATGCAAAATTCGATTACCATTGTTAAGTGTTTTATTTCACAGAATTATTGAGAAAATTATTTTGGAAACCAATGACTTGATGTATTTAATACAAATATTTTTATATTTGTAAATCTTAATAAGTGCGTGTATATGTAAATTATACTTTTTGTTGTAAAGTACCCATTCTTATTGTGTTTTTGACTCAGCTGTACTTACAATAGCTTGACAAGGTTGTACATTTACATGCCATTTATTTAAGTATGGAGAAAGTTTACCTTGATTTACAATAATGACACTTAAATAATTTTTAAGTTGTGTATACGTGAATTTTAGTATTCAGCTGTAAACTAGAAATTGTAGACATTTGATTCAGATTAAGTAATTGTAGTTTATTCAGTACCTTTGTCACATGAAAATATCTTTTAACTAAAACTTCTGCATTTTACCAAAAGAATAATTAGTCTTTTGAAGCACCTGTTCAGGCGTCTAAAAATTATTGAGTTTTGCTGCATTCTAATTTATGCATTTAGACTGGGCATGAGAGTGACTGGAAGATTAGCCCAGACTTTCTCCTTTATGGCAGTGTTCTGAAGATGCAGAAATGTACCATGGGCAATGGCTAATTACCGTATTTATGCCTGAGTATTAAATTCAATGAATATATCTCTTTGGGAGCACCTCCCAAAGACAAGAAATGACTGTAATCAATATTCACTTTCTACTGGCAAATCTATCATTTAGAGACACCACTAATGACAGCAATTCTTCCTTTCTTTGTTCAGATGGTAAAATAGCAGCAAGCAGATCAGGTAAATTACTTTATTCTCTTTTCTTATACTGTTTATACTCAAAAGCAATAGAATGGTAGTGCTTTGCTTTGGACCTAGGGCGTATCTCCCCTGGAAAAATCCTTCAAATGCTTAAAATATAATCTCTCTTATTATTACAGACATGCTTTAATGTGTTTTTGTATAATCTGGGCCAGACATTTTAATCTTTGATCAATACTTTTAAAGGTGGTGAAATTTAAAATGGAAAATTGCTCTGGTTATTTGCTTAACCTAGAATATCTTAAACCTGTGATAGAAATGTGTATGCAAATTTAAGACTTTACTTTCCTATATTTTCATTGGCAGGACATGCTGTTGCTTTTCTCTTCCAAGATTGATTCCTTAGTGATCTGCTTTAAAATCAATCTAGTTTCAGCAGTTTTACTAGATCCCATCAGGTGACTGAATATCACCATTATCCTTTACTGTTTTTTGTTTCTCTACCCACTGAAATGGAAAAATGAGCCATAGCAAATCAACAAGACTGCTTAATGAAGTTTTTCTGAAATCCAGCATTAAGATTATTGCTAATATCAATTTAGATTCAATTTTATTCTGATCTATTGTACACAGCAATCAAAATAGCCCAATATACTTTCCTGTGCTTTTCTTATAGGCATTTTACATCCCTACTTCATTCTACAACATAAATAAAATGTAATTTCAAAAAGTCTTCTTTGAGGGAAAATATAAACTGAGATTAAGCAGCAGCTCAGTTGAGTCAGGAAGACAGCAAGATTATTTTTCACAACTATGGATGAGACTCATTAAATTCCATCATAGTGATATAGTAAGAGTTTCTCTACAAAATCTGGTTGTTACTTTTGTAAATGGGGGTATACGAGTCTTCAGCATTCCTTTAGAAGCCCCCATTCACAAATGAGAGGGAGGTAAGGGTATGCTTGGGATTTTATAGTTCTATGAAAGTTCCTTAAAATTCTGAGGAATTGAATTTATTCCCATGTGTCTCAGAGAACTTCCAGGTCTGGGTATTATTTAGGAGGGACATGAGGTTCTCCAAGGCTAGAGCTGTCTTAAGTGAATAAAAATGGCAAGCAAGAAAGTCCCCATCAACCACTCAACCAGTCAACATAAAACTGGACAAACTGACCAGGCATGGTGGTTCAGGCCTGTAATCCCAGAACTTTGGGAGGCTGAGGCAGGCAGATCACGAGGTCAAGAGACTGAGACCATCCTGGCCAACATGGTGAAAGCCCGTCTCTTCCAAAGAAGAGAAAAATTAGCCGGGCATGGTGGTGGGGGCCTGTAGTCCCAGATACTCAGGAGGCTGAGGCAGGAGAATTGCTTGAACCCGGGTGGTAGAGCTTGCAGTGAGCCGAGATTGCGCCACTGCACTCCAGCCTGGCAACAAAGCAAGACCCCATCTCAAAAAGCAAACAAACAAACAAAAAAACTGGACAAACTTCAGGGCATTGTTATCCCTCAGACTCTTCATTTAATGAGATCAAGACTCCTACATTTGAGAAAAAGGATTATAGGTCAATACAGGGCTTCATGTTTTTTGATATCCACTGATTTTTACTGATGTCAGAAACATAATTCATTTGTTCCCATTACTTTAAAAATCTTCCTATCCACACAGCGGAATCATGTTCACCTCTCTTATCCAGCCCTTTCTCTCCATGAGGTAGGGATGAAGAAGCAGAATTATGTCTATTTTTATTTTCTACTCCATTCTATGGTTTAAAGTATAAGCTAAACCTTCCAAAATTTTGTGCAAAATGTATTCAAAATCTAATATGACTTTATTATGAAAATATAAACATTTTCATTTATCCTTAAGCTATAAAGTAAACATTTTATTTATCTTTGAGCGTTGTATAAGCAATCTGTCTTTAAGCAAGATGAAGGCAGTGTACATTGCAGTTAAGAGCAAAGGATTTCTTGGCAGATTTTTCTAACCATGTGATCTTGGACAAATTATTCAGTCTCTTCTAAATATCTATTTTCTCATCTACAAATGAAGTAGTTTAATGGCACCTATCCCATAGAATTGAGGCTACTAAAGTGATAAGGTATATAAAGTACTGTTATACAGATGTTGTACATTTGAAAAACATACTGACCATAACTTCAGCAGCAAGTATTTCTGAGCAAGTTTTATATAATAAAAACAAAAGGGATAAAATAAAGTTAATAAAGTTAGTGAAGACAAATGTGGCACATTGAATATCTAGGATGCCAGGTCTACTCATGTCAACATTAGAATGAAGAAATACTGGTCTAATAAAATGAAGAATCTAATATGTCTCCGGGGTTGAGCTCAGGAGAGGTATGATGAGTATGGTGAACAAACACATCATGAATTAAATAAGTGAAATAAAATGCATCTAAACGAGTTTGATGCAGTAAGTTTGCTGAGACAAGTCAAATGTATTAAAGGACAGGGTTTATTCCAGTTGAATGCTGTGTGTAAGACACTGGACTAGGTACACTCACCTCACTTAACACTGTCATTTAATTAATACTTCTATTATGAAGTAGACATGATCTTATCCTTGTTTATGATGTACTCCCCATTTAGTAGATAAGAAAACTTTGTTTTAGAAATGTTAAATTGTCTATCCAAGGACAAGTCAAGAACACAAAACACAGCCAGGGGCAAAAGTACAAATGCAAGTGTGTAAATAATAAAAAAGTTACAAATAACAGGAACAAAGTAGCAAATAAAATGTGTAAGCTGGAATGATATTTCCTATGCAGAATTTTTAGATTCATTGGAAATCAATGCAAGAACAGGGTTGCCTGTGCCCTATCCAAGAAGTAGCCCTGCTCTTTCTCTCTCTGGCTTGGTCACACTGGGAGAGACAGGCCAGCTTTCCTATCTCAGTCCACCTCTTTCTGCAAACTGACCACCCTCTGTTCATTCCTCACACCTTGGGCTTCAATTTTTTTTTTTTTTTTTTTTTTTTTTTTTTTTTTTTTTTTTGAGACGGAGTCTCGCTCTGTCGCCCAGGCTGGAGTGCAGTGGCGCGATCTCGGCTCACTGCAAGCTCCGCCTCCCGGGTTCACGCCATTCTCCTGCCTCAGCCTCCCGAGTAGCTGGGACTACAGGCGCCCACAACCGCGCCCGGCTAATTTTTTGTATTTTTAGTAGAGACGGGGTTTCACCGTGGTCTCGATCTCCTGACCTTGTGATCCACCCGCCTCGGCCTCCCAAAGTGCTGGGATTACAGGCGTGAGCCACCGCGCCCGGCCTGGGCTTCAATTTTTGCAATGTGGTCTCACCTGGGGCAGAAGGTCTCAGGAAAGATGCCCATGAAGGTCCAAGTAGCAGGCTTGGAGCTGCAGCCCAGGGGACTTAGAATATTGTCCAGTAATGGGGAGGGGCAAGCACACCCTCTGAGTAGACAAAGGCTCTTCACCCTCGCCCTGTATTCTGTGTTCTCTGAGGAAGGCCATGACCCAGGAAGGCCACATGAAACTGACATAGATCAGAGCAGCAACCTCTGTTGCTAGGTCTAAGAGAGGTAGTGGCCAAGACCACACTGATTGCAAGAGGGTGAGCCCAGATGGGTTTGCTGAAAAGTGCATACTTTACACACAACTGAATACTTCTTTTCTTCCTTCTGCTTTGTCATCAAACTAAGATATTTATATATTAAAGTGCGGTTCTGAAACTACATGGCATCGAAGAAAGACAATGAGAGAGAGAGGGTAAAAGAGTAAAGGAAGAAGAGTATGTGGAAAACATGGGTTGATAGAGGGAAAGAGGAGACAATGAGAGGCAATGCTGTCTGTGGAGAAAGGTAGTGTAGTCATTGGAAGGTTACCTAATATAGGTAATAATATAAATAGACTATACATGATTTAAGCACTTGTATTCCTACAATAAAAAGTTTTATTATGGAATAAACATTAAAGCAGAATGTGATGCACATACAGGTTAAGGAGACTATCAAAACAGAAAGACATAGCCAAGCAGATGTAATCTATGACATACATGTTCTCAAGATTAACAAGTAGTTCTCAAGTAAATTTCATAGCAGCGTTAGCCATACAGTTCAATCTAAATTTACGGGGTAGTTGGGGTGGCCACCTGTGTCTGCTGATTGTCTTTAAAAGAAAAAAAATAAATTTCTTGTATCTTATGACGGGAGGTAGGTTTGCAATTTGTAACCAGGCACCAGCTGAAGTTAGGCTCCTACCTCCCAGGAACCTAGGGGATGGGAAGTTATCTTCCTCTGTGATGACATGTCAAAGTGATGGTGCCAGGCCCTTGGGGAAACATTCTTGGGGTGCTTATCCAGTCTTTACAAATATTTATATACATTTCAGAGAGGTAGAGAAATAAGTCACAAGTTTTCTTTTCTTTCTTTTCTTTTTTTTTTTTTTTTGAGAGGGAGTCTCACTCTGTCGCCAGGTTGGGGTAGGGTGGTGCAATCTTGGTTCACTGCAAACTCCACCTCCTGGGTTCAAGCGATTCTCATGCCTCAGCCTCCCTGGTAGCTGGGACTACAGGCATGCACCACCACACCCAGCTAATTTTTGTATTTTTGGTAGAGACGGGGTTTCACCATGTTGGCCAGGCTGGTCTTGAATTCCTGACCTTGTGATCTGCCCGCCTCAGCCTCCCAAAGTGCTGGGATTACAGGCATAAGCCACCGTGCCTGGCTGAAAACACAAGTTTTCTAAAGTAAATAATCTAAGCAAAAGTGTGTAGGGAGAGAAATCTCATCTCCTATTTTGAATATGGAGAATTAAACTACTTACTTTTACTTGCATTTGCTCTTACTTATTCTTCAAATTTTACTTACAAGTAATGTGCTTCATTCTCTTCTCTATTCATTGATCAAAATGTATGTCTTCCACAACTTTACAGGAATATCATCATTATTATGACATTAATTCTAAAGCATTTCAATTTTATTGTAAAGATTAAAAAAATAAAGGGAATGACGGAAAGCACATATGCATCATGTAAGACAGTATTTCTTCTCTTAAAAGTAATCTTGTTGGTGAATGTATTTACTAAATAAATATGAATTGGGTGTCCTCTGTAGTTCAGGCACTGCTCTCATCACCTGGGATACTTGAGTGAATTAAACAGGCAAAGAAACATTGAGTTTTTGCAGCTTAAAACCTGGAAGGATACAGTCAATAAACAAAAAACATTATAAGCAGTAAACATGTTATATTACAAGGTGATAAAATCTGTGGGATAAAATAGAGTAATATTAAATATAGTGGTAATTGGGAGTATAATGGTGGGGGTGGAGTTGCAGTTTTAACTGGTCAGAGTGTGCCTCATTGAGATGAAATTTAAGCTGAGACTTGAAAGAGGCTAACTCTACAATTAATTTATGAGTAAATGGTTACATCTTTGCAGGAATACAGAAAAGAGAGTCAGATATGTTATCTTAATTTTGTCAGTTATAAGGAACAGTAGCCAAGGACAGAGTGGATTCAACATAGCAGATTATTTTGCTGGGCATCTAAGTTTATTTGCCTTGCTATCCATAAGGAAATATCTGAGGCTGGGTAATTTATGAAGAATGGGGGTTATTCATCTCCTGTATTTGAAGGCTGTATAAGAAGCATGGCACCAGCCTTTACTTCTGGTGAGGGTCTCTGGGTGCTTCCGCTCATGGCAACAGCCAAGGGCAGCTAGCCGGTGCACCATGAGAGAGCAAGAAAGAGAGAGAGAGATGAGGAATGACAGTTCTGTGGGAACTAACAGAGCAATAGCTCATTCATTACCAGGAGGACAACACCAAGCTATTCCTGAGGTGTTTGCCCACGTGACCCAAACACTTCCCAACAGGCCCTACCTCCATCACAGGGATCAAATTTCAACATGGGTTGTGGGGAGACAAACTCCTAAACAATAGCAGTGGGAAGAGGTGGGATGCTGGAACTTGGGACTTATGAATGGGGAAGAAAGCAGATTGGGGAGTTTCTGCTCTGTCCAGGAGAAGAAGAGTCTCTCTAGCACACATCAATGATTGAATTTCCACAGCTCAATTCTCCTCTCTTTCTTAAGGTCTTAGAACCATGACAAAAAGACATGGATAGGTGGTATATGTTGTTCAAGTGCCACCAGAATAATAAGACTTGTATAAAATAAAAAAGTGGCTTTTCTTAGTGTCATAATCAGACCGCTTTTATAGTCTGTGCTAACAATGCTGTTTTCAAATAAAATCTTCTGTTATTTGCTGTAGGTGGCTTCTCTTATGGTAGTTCATCCTCTGGTGACTTGGACAGAAAAAAGCCACTCTTTAGCTTGGAATTTGGTTCTCCAGGAGAAGCTGAAGACAAGTCCAGACAACGTCAGGATGCTGGGAGTTCAAGGTCAGAAGACACCCCAGCAGGTACTGTTACAGAGAATACACTTACCTAGCAAGCATTTTTTTTTTTGGATAATATGATAACCTTTGTTTTATTGAAGACGTAGCCTTAATAGAAATGTGAAGACCCTATAGGCACTAAGGCTAGCTCCAAAGAGAATGCTAAATTCTGTCTTTAGAGAATTCTGGCAAAGAGGTTTACAATAATTATTGTCCTGGTAATATTTATTTTGTATGCTATCTTTATATGTAGTATCTTAATTGTTATTATAATATATTTCAGCATATACATTAATAATTTAAAGTGCTTCCTGGACCCAAATGTAGTATAAGATCTCTCTATTCACATTTCTGTAATCTAACCACCATTCATTTCCTACATTAGGATTCTCTTTTTAAATTACACCCTTAATTTGCTAAACAATATTATAAAGCAGTTTCTAAAAAGTTCATGGCCTGCAATTTTTTGGGGAGGAAAAATTTTTAGTGTCCTTATGTGAGGTGTTTCATCTCTTGTTGTATAAAATTTTAAATGTCTTTAGGTGAGGTATTTCATCTCTTGTTGTATAAAATTTTAAATGTCTTTAGGTGAGGTATTTCATCTCTTTTTGTGTTAGTTTATTCTCATGCTGCTATGAAGAAATATCCAAGACTGGGTAATTTATAAATAAAAGAGGTTTAATTGACTCACAATTCTGCACGGCTGAGGAGGCCTCAGGAAAGTTACAAGCATGGCAGAAGGGCAAACAAACACATCCTTCTTCACGTGGCAACAGGAGAGAGAAGAATGAGAGCTGAGTGAAGGGGCAAGCCCCTTATAAAACCATCAGATCTTGAGAACTTACTCGTTATCACAAGAATAGCATGGGGGAAACTGCACCCATGATTCAGTTACCTCCCACTTGGTCCCTCCCACCACATATGGGGATTATGGGAACTACAACTCAAGATGAGATCTAAGTGGCAACAGAGCCAAACCATATCACTTGTTTAACACATTTCTTCCCCCTGGCCAGTCCAAACTTTTTCTTTATTTTCCTGGTCCTGAAATCTGTATGGTTTGTACCTCTACAAAAAAGAGAAAGAAGGAAGTCCAGTGAAATAAATACTTTCAATGTTTTATATGAAAATTTAATATTTGAGTTCATGTAATGAAAAGGCAGTAACCGCTTTGGGTGTGGGGGTGTGGTTATGATATCTTTAGGCAGGACATAAAATTGTATATCTTTCCATGAGGTTGATACTATTTTATGCACATTCATTATGTAGTCTTCATTTAATAGTAAAATAAATTTTGTTTAAGGGAACTTTGTTTTAGAAGTGTTACTTTGTTTAACAGGCCAAGGGCACAGTCAGGGGTCAAGAGTATAAATGCAGGTATACACAAAATTAAAAGTTATAAATAAAAGAACAAAATAGTACATAAAATACTTTTTTTCCCTTCCTTGACAACAATATATTTATGACAACCTGGAAGGCAGGTTCCAATGTAGAATTTTCATGTTTATTGGAATTCAATAAGAGAATAAGTTTGGCTGTGCCCTAGGCAAGGTCGCTACAGCCTCTCTGTTTCTATCTCCTGCTTACTCCCATACTGAGAGGGATGCCCTAGTTTTACTATTTCAGTCCATCTTCTTCCACACACTGGCCATCCTCTGTCCATCCTTCAGACCTAGGGTTTCAATCAGTGTAATGTGGTCTCACCTGGAAAAGAAGGTCTTGGGAAAGATGCTCATGTAGGCCCAGATCGTGGGTTTGTCTGTAGCCCTAGGGACTTAGGACATGGTCCAGAAATGGGGTAGGGGATGACACAGACTCTAGGTAGGCATGTCTTCTTCACCCTCAGCCTGTAGCCTCTGCTCTCTGGGGAGCATCATGACCCAAGGAAGGCCAGAGTGAGACTTGCATAGATCAGATTAGGAACTTCCAAAATGTTTGGATTAGATGATTAAGTCCCAGTGGTATATGTTGTTTCAAGTGCTGCTAGGATGATGGGATTTATACAAAATAAAATGTGGCTTTTCATAATGTCATAATCAAATGACTTTTATATTCTGTGCTGATAATGCTGTTTTCAAATAACATCTTCTGTCATTTGCTGTAGGTGGCTTTTTTTACAGTAGTTCATCCTCTGATGACTCAGACAGGAAAAAGCCACTCTTTAGCTTAGGACTTGGTGCTCCAGGAAAGGCTGAAGACAAGTTCAGAGACCGCCAGGATGCTGGAAGTTCAAAGTCAGAAGACACCCCACCAGGTACTGTTCCAGAAAAACATATGTACTTAGCAAGCAAGTACTCTTGATTTTCATTTTGGATAATCTGATACCCTATGTTTGATTGAAGACAAAGCCTGCATAGAAATAGTGGAAACCCTAAAGACACTATTTCCAGGGCCAATGAGAGTGATAAATTCTGTCTTTAGAGAATTGTGGTAAAAAAGTTTACATTAAATTAATTATGGTCCTGATAAAATTTATTTTTAATTCTATCTTTATATTTAGTATCTTTATTGTTATTATGACCAATTTCAGTATATAAATTAATTATTTAAAATGCTTCCTGGACCCAAATGTACTGTAGAATCTCTCCATTCACATTTCTATTATCTCATCACCATTCATTTTCTACACTAGGATTCTCTCTTACACACTTAGTTTACTAAATAGTAACATAAAGCTGAGTTTCTAAACAGTGTGTAGACTGCAATTTATTTTTATTTATTTATTTTTTTAAAAGAAAAATTTTAAGTATCTTTAGGTGAGACATTTAATCTCGTTTGACATATCTTTCCCTGCTGGCCTATTTAAACTTTCAATGTACTTGCCTCGTCTCTGAAATCTTTAGAGTTTATATCTCTACATGGGAAAGAAAGAGGTTCAGTGAAATAAACAACTTCAATATTTTATATGAAAAGTTGATATCTGAGTCCATGTAATAAAAAGGCAGAAAAAGCTTTGGGTGTAGGGGTGTGGTTGTAATATCTTTAGGCAGGACATAAAAAACTCTTTTCATGAGTTTGGCAATATTTTATCCTCATACATTATGTAGTGTCCATTTAATGGTGAAATAAACTTTGTTTAAGGAAACTTTGTTTTAGAAATGTTAATTTGGTTAGCCAAGGACAGGCCAAGGGCACAGTCATGGTCAAGAGTATAAATGCAGGTATATACATAATTAAAAGTTACCAATAAAGAAACATAATAGGACATAAAATGTGTTGCTTTTTCTACCTTGACAAAAGTACACTTGTGACAACCTGGAAGGCAGGATCCAATGCAGGATTTTCGGGTTTATTGGAATTCAATGCAAGATCAATGTTGACTGTGCCCTAGCTGAGGTCCCCACAGTCATGCTCCTTCCATCTCTGGCTTATTCGCATACTGGGAGGGACATCCCAGCTTTTCTATCTCAGTCCATCTCCTTCTGCACACTAACCAATCCTTCCCCATCCCTCAGATCTAGGGGATCGTATTTGCAATGTGGTCTCACCTGGAGAAGAAGGTCTTAGGAAACATGCCCATGCATGCCCATGTAGCAAACTAGGGACTGCAGCCCTGCGGCCCTAAAATGTGATCCAGAAAGGGAGACTGGGATAGCACAGGCCCTGGGTAGGCATAATCCCTTCACTCTTGGCCTGTATTCTGTGCTCTCTGATGAGTGCCATGACCCCAGGAAGGCCAGAGGAAGATGTGGGTAGAACAGAACAAGAATCCCTGTTGCCTGAGAGCAAGAGAGCTACTATCCAAGGCTACCAATTGCAAATGGAGGAACCAGATGGGTTTGCATTAAGAGTTTATACTTTTGCTGTGACTGAATACTGCTTTGCTTCCTTCTGCTTTGCCAGCAAACTAAAATATTTATATATTAAGGTGCAGCTCTGAAACTACATGACATTGAAAAAGACAATGAGGAAGATGGTAAAAGAGAAAAAGAAGAAGAGTGTATAGTGAAGAAGGGTAGATAGAGGGAAAGAGGAGAGAAAGAGGTGAAATACTGTATATAGGAAGAGTAGTACAGGTAGCAGTGGTTGAAGGGTTAGGTAATTAAACAATAGTATATAATGGCTATTCATAATTTAAACATTGTTTTAGTCCTAAAACAAACGCCTACATGCACATTTTATAATTTCAAAATCTCTTAAATGTTGAATGCCTTTCCCTAATACTACATAATAGATTATTATTTTGACTATTCTCATAATCACAGACTTATTTTATTTTTACTATTTGCTTTAGAAAAGTAGAGATACACTTGCTAGAAACTTGGAAAATGGCTAAGAATTCCAAGAGAGGTTGTTGGGGAAATGTCTTTAAAAATGGTCTCCTGCCCCCTTTGAAAACCTGTCCTGACAGGCATCTCACTAAAAAGATTGCAGACACACAGAAATATTTCTCTTTTATAAAACACGCAGATAAAACCCATTACATGTAAGTTATGAATATAAGAAATAACTAGTTCTCAAGTGGATTTGACAGCATCATTAGCCATAGGGTTCATCCTACATTTGCATGGTGGTTTGGGTAACCACCTGTGTTTGCTGATTGCTTTTAAAAGAAAAAAGAAGTTTCTTGTGTATTATGACCGGAGGTAGGTTTGTGATTTGTAGCCAAACACCAGTGGAAGTTAGGCTCCTACCTCCCAGGAATTTAGGATATAGGGAAGCATCTTCCTTCATGAGTATATTTCAAAGTGTTGGCCCCCGCCCCTTGAAGAAACATTCTCAGGGTGTTTATTTAGTCTTTAAAAATGTCTATGTACATTTCAGAGAGCTAGAGAAAGTACTCACAAGTTTTCTTTAGGAAATGATCAAAGAAAAGGTATTTGTGGAGGGAGAAGTCTCTTTCCTTATTTTAATGCAGAATTAAGCCACTTATTTTATTTGTATTTGTGATTACATAGTCTTCAAGTGTTACTTACAAATCATTCACTTCATGTTTTTGTCTATTTGGTGACCAAAATTTATGTCTTCCACAACTCTACAGGAATATTACAGTTAAGATGTTAATAATTCTGAAATATTTAAATTTTATATAGAGATTTCAAAAAATATACAAATGGCATGATAGAAAGCATATATACTTCATGTAACAAGGTGTTTATTACCTTAAGAAGTGGTCTTTGTTGGTGACTACATTTATTAAATAAATACTGAGTGCCCTCTATTGTTGACGTACTGGTCTGGACACCTGAAATCCCTCTCTCAATAGAACAGGCAAAGAAAACTTGAGTTTATGGAGCTTAAAATGTGGAAGAAGGATACAGTCAATACTCCATAAGTATTAAAGACAGTGATAAAAGGTGTATCACAAGGGGATATATTTTACCTTGTATATTACAAGATGACAAATCTGTGGGATAAAATAGAATAATATAATGGTAACTGGGAGTGTAACAATGGAGTGAGGTTGCAATTTTAAGTTGTCAGAGTGTGCCTCATTGAGATGAAACTTAAGGAGGTGGATAGTACAATTAATTCATGAGTAAGTGTTTACATGCTTTCTTCCTTGCAGAAATACAGAAAAGCAGCTATAATGAACAGTAGCCAAGGACAGTGTGGATTCAACAAGGCAGAAAATTTTGATTGGGGGAAGTGGGATGCTGGAACTTGGAGCTTAGGAATGGGGAAGGAAGCAGACTGGGGAGTTTCTGCTCTGCCCAGGAGAAGAGTATCTAGTACACATCAATTATTGAATCTTCATAGCTCGATTCTCCTCGATTGAAGTTTCAGAAACATGACCAAAAGGTACAGATAAGGTGATTAAGTCAACCAGTGGTGTATGTTGTTCCAAGTGTTGTCAGGATAATGAGACCTACTGAAAATAAAATGTGGCTCTTCATGGTGTCATAATTAGACTACTTTTTAGTCTGTGCTAGCAATGTAAATGTTTTTTTCTTCACTGTAGGTGGCTTTTTTTATGGTAGTCCATCCTCTGGTGACTCAGACAGAAAAAAGTCACTCTTTAGCTTTGAATTTGGTGCTACAGGAGAGGCTGAAGACAAGTCCAGAGAACGTCGGGATGCTGGGAATTCAAGGTCAGAAGACAGCCCAGCAGGTACTGTTCCAGAAAAAATATGTACCTAGCAAACAAGTGCTTTTGGTTGTCATTTTGGATAATCTGAGAATCTTTCTTTTGTTTGCAGCACATGGCTTTAATAGTCATAGCTACTCTAAAAGCACTGATTTCAGGGCCAATGAGAGTGATAAATTCTGTCTTTAGAGGATTTTGGTAAAGATGTATACATTAAATTAATTGTTCTCCTGATAATTATTTTCATATGTGCTCTTCATACTTGGTACTATTATTCTAATGATGAATTATTTTTCTGACATTTTTTACTGTATAAGTAATAAAAAATGATTCCTGGGCCCAAATGTAGAGTAGGTTCTCTCCACTCATGTTTCTGTATCTAACCACAAGTGATTTTCTATATCAAGATTCTCTACTGAACTTACATACCCGGTTTGCTGAGTGATATGATAAGGAAGAGTTCCTAAGCAGTTTGTGGCCTGCGATTTTGTTTTTTGGGGGAAAAAATTTAAATTTCTTTAGGTGAGTTGAGGTCTTGCTGGTTCAATACAATTTTTCCTACTGTTCTACTCACATTTTTACTATATTTGCCTGACCCCTGAAATCTCTATAGTTTGTACCTCTACAAAATGGGAAGGAAGCAGTCCCAGTGAGGAAAATAAGTTCTATATTTTACATTAAAAATTAGTAGTTTTGTCTCTGAGGTGAAAAGGCAGAAACAGCTTTGGATGTAGTATCTTTATGAAGGATACCAAGTTTTTATTTTCCACTCACCTGTTTTGGGACTGACAAACTCAGTAGGACTACGGAGATAAGACAGATCCATCTACTCTTGTTTACATTAGGTGTTAGTCATTTTCTCATGTTCCATAGAGCACAATAAAAGCTTATCATCAACGGCCCCAAAGCTTCATCATTCTTATGGAATCTTTCAAATCTCATGATAAATTGGTTGCCATTCTTACTCCTGATTCTACTACATAGAAATATATATGGAAAGATATGGAATAAGGGAGATCAAGGAATATATCAGAAACTAAAATGCAGCTCTGATTCAAGCAGTGTGCAGGGATTACTTTCTTGTATTGTATGAATGAATACAACTTTTCTGTGGTAATGATTGTATTTTGGTGGATGAAATCAGTTCAGCAGGTGGTACTGTTTGGTGATACTGCTTCAAATCAAAATAAAATTGGTAGGGGTCCCCGATCAAAATGGATTAGATGTAGGTGCAGTAAATGGATTAGCTGACTCTGATTCTGCTGCCAGGGAAACAGGCATTCTATGTTGTTTCTTAGTTTATGCTTTTGTCAGAATAATCAATTAATTGACTGATTTAATTAGCAAAGCAGGAATTGGTGGTTTTCTTTGACAAATACAGATTTAATATTAGAGGAATTCATGAAAAAAATTTGTAAACTCTTTGTCTGGTTCATCAAAAATCTATATTAACTTCAACAGAAATCAGCAATTTAAACAATTTAGTGAAGAGGCAAGTAGGTTTGAGGCTTCCCAGGAGCTTAGACCTGGGACAAGGAGTTTCGATCCCCAGTCTTTCACACTAACCTTTGGGGAAACCATTTAACCTCTCTTGTTCACAAGTTTTGTCATCTGGAACAGATAAATCTTGTGCTCTTGGGTTTGAATGACATCTACCATATTAACTTTTAAAATTCCATTACTCATATTTGAACTAGTTTTCTTGAAAAAGAAGGCTGGAGAAAATAAATTTACAAAAGTATGGATGAATAGCATTTCATATTCGGAAACTAGAGCCAATGAAGGAAGTGAGTGTCAAGAAAGTATAGTAACTCTAGGTATTTTTGATTTAGAACAATTTACCATAAAAGACGTGGACATTGGTAGAAACAGGAAGAACAAGGAGTTCACTGGTGGTAAATCTACAGACCTTGGTGCTCATGTCAGTGACTAAGGAATTCTGATTGAGAGACTATTAATACAAAATACAAATAATTCTTATTCTTTGTATATTACTCTCAATAACAGTTTAATTTTTCATTAGGCAGAAACATTTTGGCTTTTGATTTTGGAGTTGGTGGTGAAAGGAAGAATGAATTGGGATTTGGTTTTGGAAATTCTGGCTCAGTTGTTGTCAGTGGTCTTCAACAAAAGGCTATGGTGAAAATGAAATACAGAACACTGGAAATCAAGTTCCAGTGATGTGGATATTACTATTCAGATTTTTGCATCAAAATAAAGAATCGTAAGATGTGTTAAAATACTCCCTTGGCCACAATGATTTTTTTTCTATTTTTCTTTCTTTTTTTGTTTTCAGCAGATAGCACCAACACAAGATCTGGTGCTGGCGTTAGTAGCAGTGGTGCTTCTCTGAATGTGGGATTTGGTTGGGGGACGTCTGATGAAAAGGGATTGGAAGTCGGTAGAGCTGATGGGAGTGAAACTAGAGGCAGCGGATCTGCTGGGGGTGAAACCATAGTCTTTGGATCTGATACAGGTAGCTCAGGTATTCCAACAAGACTCACTCCTCAAAATTTTAGATTGATTCAATTAATTAACTGGTTAAAATACTTTTATTTTAATGTCACTTAATAGCAAAGAGATTAATTAATTAATATTAACTTTAATCATATTTTGATTTTTTCCATTAGTTGGAACTGGTTATTCTGGTTTGAAACTTGGAGCAGGGAAAGGTGACGCTGCATTTGGTTTTGAAGTTTCTGATTCGAATTCATTTGGTGACAGTGGCATTAGTAGCAAAACAGTTGAAGGAAATCAAATGAGTAGTTCTGGAGGATCTGTTTCCATTGATTTAGGTATTAATATCCGACTTTTGTGCATAAAAATGTCTGAATCATAAAATAGTTTCAATATACCGTGACAATTATTTTATATTCTGCAGGTGATACCAGTTTAAGAAGTGAGAATCAATTTGTTGGTGGTGGCTCTCGAAATTCGATATCCAATTTATGGGATTCTGGTCAAGAGGGATTTGGAATCAATGAAATTGGAGGGAATGGATTGAGTGACAGTGTATCTGCTGAGGCTGGATTCAAAGGTTTTGGATCTGATGCCAGTAGCTCAGGTATTCTAGCCAGTTTCTGTTCCTGAGATATACAACTGAATTCCAAATATTCATTTATTTAAAACTATTTTGATTTTCTGTTAGTGGGAATGCTTGAGTCTCTTGAATTTGGACTTGGAAGAAAAAAACTTGGAGCTGGATTTGATTTTAGGTATTCTGATTCAAGGAAATTTGGTGATAATGAGCTTAGTGAAAATGGAATAAAAGTTACTAGAGAATCTAGTTCCGGTGGTTAGGTATCAATATTTAATTTCTTGGCATAAAAGTTTGAATCATAAACTTATTGAAATGCATTCCGATGATAATCATTTTATATAATGTAATTGGTACCAGAACAATAAAAAAGGGATTTTTTGTGTGTGATATATGAGAAAATTTGGGTTTTGGTTTGGAGAAATTTGGTCAAAAGGGATTTGGAAGAAGTGGCTCTGGTTGAAATGAGCAGAGCAGCAGTAAATCTCATGTCAGTGGCACAGGTGGTTTAGTCCTGGACTATGCTCTGGTGAAATCTAAATTGATTTCAACCTTTCATCCATTATTTTACTAACATTTTACTTCTTCACCAGTGGGAAAGTCATGGTTATTTGAATTTGGGCTTGGATAAATGAAGGGTGGAGCTGAATTTGACTTTAGAGATTCTGGTTTAAATCAATTTGGTGACAATGGCAATAGTAGTAAAGATTTTGATGGAAATGGAGTAGGTAGTTCTAGAGGCTATAGTGCTAGGTACTGATTGTTAATTTCTGTGCACGGACAATTCTGAATCATGGTATGCATTGAAAGTAATTCTAGTGATCATAATTTTGTATTCAACAGGTGACTCAAGTGCAAGAAATGGGTTTGAAAATTCTAGTGATATCTCTGAAGATTCAGGAGTCATATTGGGGTCATCTGATCAACATGGATTTGAAGTCAGTAGAACTGGTGGGAATAGAAAGAGAAGCAGTGAACCTGCTGAGGCTGGAAACTTGAGTCCTGGATCTGATGTCCGTGACTCAGGTATCCTAACCTGGACTCTATTTCCAAGAAATTCCAATAAATTTCTTTCTTCTTTATTTCTTTTAATCATATTTTGATTTTCGATTAGGAGGAAACACTTGGTCTTCTGGTTCTGGAAGTGGTGGAGGAAGTAAGGGTGCAGATGGCCTTGGTGTTGGTGCTTCTGGACTAAGTGCATTTGGTGAAACTGGCCTTAGTGGTTCAGGTACCTGTGATAATGGAAGCAATGTTACTGGATCTTATTCCTATGGCATAGGCATTGAGATTTCTGATTATCAGAAAATCAGAATTCTAAGAAACATCTTACAATGACAATGAAAATTGTAGACATTATTAATAGTAATTTAAAAGGAATTCTGCATTCTCAAATGTTGAAATATTCTTAGATATAATCAGGCAAATGATGTTTAACATTTGTTGGCATAAGATATGGAACTGGTTTTATGGCTGTGAACATATCAATGTAGAATTCTTTTTGTTGCCATTATGTAAAATTGATTTGGAGTCAGTTGAAGAGATAAAGTAGCAGCTGAACTGTTGGTCTCAAACTTTGTATCCCGAATCTGGACTTGGCGGCTTTAGTTTTCTTTGCAAGCCCATTGCTGAGAAGACTAAGACTTGCATCCACTTTTGAAATCCTTATACATTTTAATATTTCCACTTAATGAAAACATTCGATTGCATGGTCTTGGAATTTGTATTAAAAAATTTTAAAATAATATGTACTCTTGATGCAGAAACTGTTTTGATGCTGTTACCAGGGCTGGAACGACCTGGGAAACATTAGAGTAGATGACAATAGAACTGGGGACAGTGGATCACTTACAGTAAAATGGAGGTTCTGGAAAATATTCAGGATTCATCTTTAGAATTCAGCTTCAGGATTAATATCTTTTTCTTAAAAAGTGAAATGTAATTAGCAAGAGATACAGTGTAGTGTAGTAACAGTTGACCTGACACGGGATTGACTATCAATGAACCTATTCCAAGAAAGGCCTGGTCATACAGAAATAATAATTTTAATTTTGGTTGTTCTTAAACTTTGGTCGTCAATTTTGAAGTCAACACTTCCAAAGAACTAAGAAATTTGTTTATTATTTATTGACATGGATTTTTAAAAAATCACAGTTGTTACAAACGGTTTCAAAGACATCTAATTTAGGAACTCCAGCTAGGCTGCCATTAGCTCAGGTATTCAAATTTAGGTTTTCTTCCTGAGAAATGTATTCAGAATAATTACATTTTATGTTTCTTAGTGTGGAGTGGTTACCGATTTGATTTTTTTTTTTTTTTGATATTTGGATGTTAGACTTTAACTGCTTTGATTTTTCCATGTGAGATAGACTTTATTAAGAAGTGTTATTTTTGGTAGTGTTTCTAATGGCAGTAAATCCAGTGGCTTTGCAATGGGAAGTCTGAATCTCTTGACATTAATGAAGGTGTCAGTTCATTTAGATTAGTGTTTTTCATATTTCTAGTTTCTGTGAGTGCAGAATCTTTTGCTTAATTGACCTCTTGAAATAGTACCCAGGTTTCCTAAAAGTAAAACAATTCAGAAAGGGAAATAGTTTGGTTGACAGTGGGATAGGAGACCTAGAACTTTGTCTAATGAACCTTTTTCTCTTACCCTTGACAAGTTTTAAGACAAATGATCTAGAAAAAAATTGATTTGGTGTCAGTTAATTTAGAAGCAAGGCATTTAATTTTCTTACTCCAGCAAAGTTTTGAGTTGACATTTTTTTTTTCTTGTACAGCTTTACACGGTCTTAGTCTGCTAGCATTAGCATTGCTGGACTAGGATCTATGGTCTATCCATCAGATTTTCTTTAAAAATCACTTTACCAAGTAAAATTATACACACAAAATAGCTTAATCATTTTGTATTGAAATAGGTGTCACAAACTCGTCTGAATACAGTACATCTGGACCACTCAATACTCCAGGTAATCTGATTTATGACTTTGAGTGTTTAAAAAGATATACATACACACACACACACATACACTTACAATGTTGTAATGTTCTGCTGATTATTGATTTACTAGGACTTGTTACTATTTTTTCTCATATTGAGCTCTTAAGTGCTTCTTCTCTTTGGATACTAAAGTTTAGATGGCCAACTAAGTATTTGAAACAATTTCATGAATAAGAGAGATTAAACCACATTTTAAGGGAATTTGAATAAAACATATTACAACTCCTTTACTATTTTAGACATAGTATTTTTAAAATGCCTTCATAAACAAATTAGGAGTTCAATCTGTTTCCACTCAGTCTGAGTAAATACAACCTGTAGTAAAGAGAATAAACTTCAAGATAGATGATAAAGAGCATTTCGGAAAAGAGTTTACAATTCTATCAGAACATCCACTTTTGTTATTGTTGTTGCTTGTTTTTAGGCTTTACCCTACAATTGAATATAAATTTACTTGGTTACATACCAGGGTCATTAGATATAAACAATCATGGGAAATGTAAAGTTTTAAAGTATACAGATTTTTCCCTGTGAGTGGGAGAACTGACTTTTCCTCATATATAGATAAATTATTAGTATTAGATAATAGACTGATTGACTAAAATGTACCTCTGTCCTATTTGTGCCACAGCTCCTGATAGAAATGAATATGCAATGTTTTATTTCTAAAGTTGAAAAATATTTCTGTAAGGGGTGCAGCATATGTTAGTAATTGTACAGGACCCCCAATACATAAGCTCTTAATGATTCATGAACATACTGAAAAAGTGTGGACTGCAGAGTTAATCATGTATGTGACTTTGGCAAGTCCCAGCTCTCACAGAGTTATCCATTATATATGTTATATAATATACAGTATAAAAAATTCATTGATGGCCTTCAATGCCAACTTTTAAGTTCCCATGTAGAAGTTCCAATATCTTGTATATTTAAAATGAATATATGTCTTAACATTGAAATAATCTATGCATTGTGTTGAATAGAAAAAGGATCCCACATTCCAGAAGCAACTCCAAAATACTCAGAAACAAATGCAATTATTGGTAAGTAAAAATGGTTATGATATTCATTCATATATTTACACCCACGCCAGTACCTAATGAGATCACAGAAACAAATTTACAAAATTTGAAACTAGTTTTGTTTATTTATTTTTTTACAAGGTCTCACTCTGTCCCAGGCTGGAGGGCAGTGGTAAAATCATAGCTCTCTGTCACCTCTGACTCCTAGGCTCAAGCAATCCTCCTGCCTTAGCCTCTTGGGTAACTGAGACTATAGGAAGGCACCACCATGCCTGGATATTCCTTTTTCTTGGTAGAGGCAGAGTCTTGCTATGTTGCCCAGTCAGGTCTTGAACTTCTGGCCTCGAATGATCCTCCCACCTCAGCTTTTCAAAATGCTGAAATGACGGGCATGAGCCCAACCTGAAACTAGTTTTGAAAATGTCCCCATCATCTGTCTGTTTAATCATTGTATGTTTGAATGATACCACATTTGTACTATTTTTTTCTCCAGAAAACATGTATACACACACACACACACATACGCATATACCTATACACAGTCATATATACACACATTTATATGTATAGAGATAAATGATATAATTCTTTATCGTCATTCAATATAAATGGGACTTCATTCAGACTTAGAAAAACTATCTCTACTAAAAAAGCAAAGCAAGAAAGCATACAAACCACTGCTTCCTTCCATATATTCCATCCCATATTAGAGAGAATTTTTGTTTTCCTATGGGAAGCAAGATGTTTTCAATCTTGCTTTATTTTAGCTGGAATAGCCAACTTAGGGTACACTAAAGAAGTACTCATGTACTAGTTTTAGTGAGTCTTTGCAGTAGTGAAAGCAAGCAAGCACTGATTTAAGGTGGTGGCTGTGAGAATTGAACCTTTCAGTGATTTTATTTCCCTTAGGACAAAAATGCTTTAAAACAGACCTAGAAGGTATGCTAATTGTTCTAAATAATTATGTATATGTTCCTCTGAATATTTTGTAGGTGAAGCATCTACCTGGAGCAAAGGAGCATATAAATCTTTCAACGGCCGCATCTTTTTGTTCGAATCTTCATGCCCGTACACTTTCTGCCGTCACTGCGTTGAATCTGGAGGGGATTTCAATATTGAAATCAAACGAAACAATGATAGTGAGACTGAAAAAATAACAGTTCTAATTGACAATAACGACATCTCTATTTTTGGTGACACCATTTTAGTTAATGGAGAAAGGTAAATACTGTAGTGTTTTGGGTAAATGATATAAAATTATTTAAAGTGACCTGAGCAAAAAAAGAAAGAAAAAAAAAAAAAGACAAAAAGGGAGATGATACTTTCTTCCCATTTTGATGCTCATATTGATATTTTAATTGATTATTGGCCAAGAGTTTGATAAATGTGTAAGACTTTGACATATTTGGGATTGTAAGACATTGTATTTATTCCCATAACAAGATGGAAAAAAATTCTGTTGTTTGAGTATACTGACTATCTAGATTATGGGAATTGTGTGTATTCAACAAATCCGATTATTTTTGTTGAATGTTTCAGGATATTTCAGTTTTCATTTGCAAGTTTAACACCAAGTATAAATTTAAGATTTTATAAGTTAGAAATTGAGGAGATTAAAACTGTTAGTCCATGATTTTTAGAGGGAGCAATTCAGATTTGGAAGGGATGGCATATTTGAATACTTTCCAGAATAAGAAAATGAGGCATGATATTCTACTTGGGAACATTTCAATTTATTTTTTTCTGACACCAAACCAATGTTTCATCCTGTTAATTTCTCCAAAGCGCCAAGGATCTATTATTTGTTTTTTAGAAGTTCTTCCAGTGTTCAAAAAAGCCACTGTTTCTCTTTTTCTGAATTGATAAAAAAAACTTTAGTATTTACCAGCAAGTATTCTATCTATAGGATACTAAATTGTTAGGTGACATGAATTATCAGAAAACATATTATAATAGTATGATTCTTACCTTTTTACATATACTTATATTTTGTATTTTTCAGCATACAGATACCATATAACAATAAGTTGATTCACATTAAAAAATATGGAGAATATAATGTTCTGAATAGCCGTAGAGGAATCCTGACTTTAATGTGGGACAAAAATAACAAACTCTCAGTAAGTCTATCTATGATTTTCATGTAATCCTGTGCTTTTTGTCCTTTAGTTAAGTTACAAAAACAATACACTATTAGGGAAGTAAGAGCTAAGGCTTACTGAGAAATCTCTATGTATTAGTCATTATACTAAATATTATCTCATTTAGTATTCAAAACATCTTAAAATACATGCTATTAATAATCATATTTTGCAGATGATGAAACTCAGGAAATGCAAAGTAAAAAAAGTTATTAGGTTGGTGCAAAAATAATTACAGTTTTGACCGTTACTTTGAAATGGCAAATACCGCAATTACTTTTGCACCAAATAATATTTTCAGACACATAGTGAATGGTGGAGTTAGGACCTATTCAAATTCCAGAACCAGGTCCTTAAGAAAAAGCCCTCTACCACCTCTAAGTAAGCAGCTTAGATAGATAGAATTGAATTTGAGGAGGCATGGCCCTTTGGTTTGGGTACATTTTATTTTGAGATGTGTTTAACATTTCATGAACATATAATACATGTAATTTATTTTTAAAGCTCACTCTTCACAAGCAGTATCCAACTTGTGGTCTTTGTGGTAACTTCAACAGCACTCCAGGTAACATTCCAATGTATAATTCCTAAGAACCTGCTTTCCAAAATGAAACTAAAAACTCAAATCATTTTCAATTTTGCCTTTGTCTAAAGAATGAGAACTTGTTAAAATGAAAACATTTTACATTGCCAAGTCCATATGTAGCTTGAAAATAATGCACACATAAAAAGAATAACTGAAACTAAACAATGCTTTCTTTTTAAGGGCAAGATATTAATGAGCACATTGCCAATAGTAAAATTCCTGGTGATTGTCCCAATGCTGTTGGTAAAAGCTATGAAGTTTGTGAAGATGGAATACAGGTAAGAAATTTATATTTCATTGTGTAGCAAATTCTAGCAATAGTTCTCTTGGTTTCTTTTTTAAAATAAATGTTATTGTGTATATTTAGGGTACACAACATGTGTACGTGTTTGTCTGGTATGTGATACATATGGATAGTAAAATATTTACTACAGGGAAGCAAATTAACATATCCATCATCTCATCTGAAAGATACTTCAACTTTTTTTTGTTGGTTTGTTTGTTTCTGTGGTAAGAGCAGCTGAAATCTGCTCATTTAGCATGAATCACAGATACAGTACAATCTTATTACTTATAGTCTTCAGATTGTACATTAGATCTCAAGATTCTTCCAGCCCCTGTAACCATTGTTTTGTTCTCTATTTCTACAGACTTAATTTTTTAAAAAAGATTACACATATAGGTGAGGTCATGCAACATCTTTCTTCCTGTTTCTGGCTTATTTCACTAGTATAATGTCATCCATGCTTATCCATGTTATGATAAATGGCAAGATCTTGTTGTTTTTTAGGGCTGAATAATATTCCATTGTGCATATATGAGCCACAGTTTCTTTTTCCATTTGTTTATTTGTGAACACTTAGGTTGTTTCCATATCTTAGTTATTATGATTAATGCTGCAATGAACACAGGAGTGCAAATATCTTTACAAGGTGGTATTTCATTTCCTTTGGATATATGCCCAAAAGAGTGATTGCTGGGTCATATAGTAGTTCCTTTTTTTTTTTTTTTTTGAGACAGTGTCTCACTGTGTCGCCCAGGCTGGAGTGCAGTGGCGTGATCTCTGCTCACTGCAACCTTCGCCTTCCTGGTTCAAGGAATTCTCCTGCTTCAGCCTCCCAAGTAGCTAAGGTTAGAGTTGCATATCACCAGGCCTGGCTAATTTTTGTATTTTTTGTAGAGATGGGGTTTCACCATGTTGGCCAGGCTGGTCTCAAACTCCTGACCTCCAGTGATCTGCCCGCCTTGGCATCCCAAAGTGCTGGGATTACAGGCGTGAGCCACTGTGCCTGGCAGGTAGTTCTATTTGTAATCTCTTTAGAAACCTCCATGATGTTTTTCATGATGGCTGTACCAATCTACATTTCCACCAACAGTGTGTAAGCCTTGCCTTTTCTCCACACTCTTGCCAGTTCTGTTATCTTTTAACTTTTTGATAATAGCCATCCTGACAGGTGTGAGGTGATAGCTCTTGGTGGTTTTGAGCTGCATTTCCCTGACGATTAATGATGTTGAGCACCTTTCATATACCTGTCGGCCATTTGTATGTCTTCTTTTGAGAAATGTCTATTTAAGTCTTTCGCTGATTTTTAAGTTGGGTTATTTCTTTTTCCACTTTTGAGTTTTATATGTTCTATATAAATTTTGGATATTAATCCTCAATCAGATATATGGTCTACAATTTCACCCCTAATTTTTAGGCTACGCTTTAATTTTGTTAATTGTTTCATTGCTATGCAGAAGCACTGTTTTGATGCAGTCCCACTTGTTTATTTTTGCTTTTGTGGCCTGAGCTTTTGGTGTGATATCCAAAACATCACTGCCAAGGCCAATGTGCAGGATCTTTTCTCCTATGTTCCTTTTGAGATTTTATATTTTCTGGTCTTCAATTTAGGTCTTTGATTAATTTTGAATTGATTTTTGTGTATGGTATAATATATGGGTTTAATTTTATTCTTTTGTTTATGGAAAACCAGTTTTTTCAGCACCATTTAGTGAAGAACCCATCCTTTCCACCATTGTGTCTTCTTTGTGTCTTTGTGAAAGATAGTTGGCAGTGTATGTTTGGATTTATTTCTGGGTTCTCTATTCTGTTCCACTGGTCTGTGTGTCTGTATTTACGCCATTATTATGCTGTTCTTATTAACATGGCTTTGTAACCCTTGGTTCCAATTTAAGCCCTTGGTTCCATATTCTCCTAAGCACTCATACCTTCTTCTTAGAATTCTGCAACTACTTCCTCTCCAATGTTCCTATTTTCTGTTTTTCAGCTTTGGTCTAGCTGCACATGCCAAAATAATTTCCCCCCAAATACTATGATATTTACCATATATTAGTGTAACAATTATAATTTCCTTTGCATAGTGTTTTAGTTTGTCTGTATGGAAACTGACATGCTTCACCTTTCCACTATCATCTCTTGATGGGTACTGTCTTGATTCCTCTCTTACAGTTTGGAAATCCATGTACTATGTCCCAGTCCCTTACTTTTGCCCCAGATATCCTTTCTGAATTGTCATCCCTCATATCTTTTACTTTCTTTTTGAGAAAGTTACAGATAATATTTTTGACAACAGCATTTGCAGATAGTTATCATTTACTTTGTGCATTTTCTGCACTTATGTAAGCTATTATGTTGAATTTGATTGACTGCATCATCCATTTGGTGACTGAATGAATGTTCACACATTCCTGTTTCAACTAGAATAGAATTCTCAAGATCAAGAAATGTGTGGATAGCATTAATAAAATATGTTTTTGTTTTATTGGAAGAGGGTGTTGCAATTACAGCCATCCTGTCATCTTACAGCAAAGCAAATCACACCATGGCATTATACAAGATCATCTACCATCTTCGTTGTGAAATCTTACTTGATCTTTGCAGTTGGAATTGCTTTCTCTATCTTTTGTTACCTTATGGCTCTCATTGGTACTTCTGATAAGATACCATCTATAAAAATTGCCCAAGTTTTTCTCATATGTTCCCTATAAAATTAGATGTTCCATGATAATAGAGATTATGCATTGTGGTAGTTGCATAATATGTTGAAAACTTATTCCTTGTTGCTCAAAAGTGTTAGTTAAATGATTACATCAATTTACATTCAAACCAATGTATATTTACTGAGGACCAACTTATGTGCAAGATACTGTGTTAAGCCCAGAGCATAAAAAGTTGTATTTCTTACTCTAGAGAAATCTGTAATATAGTGAGAAAAATGTACAAAAAATAATAGATGAAGAGTAATATTTGAAGATTTTATTTCACTTAATTTTATACGTCATTTGGAGAATGTCATCAGCCTGCCTCCAGCCTAGTTGGTACAAATTGTACACTTGGGCCGGGCGCGGTGGCTTACACCTGTAATCCCAGGACTTTGGGAGGCCAAGGTGGGTGATCACAAGGTCGGGAGTTCAAGACCAGCCTGGCCAACATGGTAAAACCCTGTCTATACTAAAAACACAAAAAATTAGCTGGGCGTGGTGGTGGGTGCCTGTAATCCCAGCTGCTTGGGAGGCTGAGGCAGGAGAATTGCTTGAACCAGGAGGTAGAGGTTGCAGTGAGCCGAGATCATGCCACTGCACTCCAGCCCCGGAGACAGTGCGAGACTCCATCTCAAAAATAACAATAATTTAAAAAATTGTACATTTGTTCTATAGTAGCTTTTTTGCTTCTCTAAAAATAAACAAATTGTTAAAATAGAAAACAGCTATATGGTGGTTGAACTGTGTTGAAATTTGAGCTTTTTTTCATTCAATAATACATGTCATTACTTCTTTTACTAAAACAGAGTATGTTGTTCCCAGAGCAAATACACATGACTCTGACTAAGAAAGGACAGAGTCACTTTATTTTATGGTCATCTGTTTGATTATAAATTATGGGCAGATTAACAGTTAAAGGGACAATATCCCTTCTGTCTATTATGGTATTCTATCAGGTACCATCCCAGTCTTTGGCATTAATCAACTCTCTTCTCGCCCCTTCCATTTTCTCTGTTCTAAAATTCACGTCACCTTTAAAGACAGTCTGGATAAGTTTAAGTACAATAAATTTTGAAGTCATTACATAGCAATTCAAGATGCCAAGTATCCAGAAGTATTCTCTTGGGAGTCACTTTACTAGCTGTAATACTTCAAAAACCTCAATTTCAACCAACGTCATTATACAACAATCCAAAATGCCGAGAATCCAACAGTATTCATTTTAGGAGTCATTTTACCAACTATAATACTTCAAAAAGCTCTATTTCAAACAGCATCCAAGAACTTTCCTTGTCAAAGCTACAGGATATGATGCAAAACAAAAACAAAACCAAAAACTTCTGTATTTATGCTTTAAAAATTCATCTTACTGCCCATTTTTCTTACTTTTGTTGCCCATTTTAATAAAATATCATGCTTTATTTTGTAGCACTGTAACAAAATTATTGGAACCTACTTTGAGAAATGTGGAAAGGTTGCCGCTCTAGCCAATGACTACAAAATGATCTGCATTGATGAATACTGCCAAACTAGAGACAAAACATCTACATGTGACACTTACTCAGAACTGTCCCGCCTCTGTGCCTCAGATGGTCCTGGCACCTTTGAATCCTGGCGAAGCGATTCTGATGTGGTTTGTGGTAGGTTTTTACCTTCATTGTAGGTTACAACTCTGTAAGTTTCTACAGCACTTTATTTTTTATTTTTTTTCTTATTTATCTTTTTTTTTTATCATACTTTAAGTTCTAGGGTACATGTGCACAACGTGCAGGTTTGATACATAGGTATACAGTACTTTAAAGTTAAGCTGTATTGCAATGTAATCTCAAATGATTCTAAGCCCTGGAAGGGGATCGTAGAGATGATGAAGTCTTGTTTGTCACGTATACTTACAAGGAAATAGATTTGTTTAGGTGATGTGACTCGCCTCAAGTTGCAGTGCTTTGTGTTAAGATCTTAATTTAAAATGTTGTACTTGTTACAATCAGTTAAAGTCACAGAAAACGATGAGTCAGTTCTATAGAAAATAACTGGAAAGTTTATCAAATGTATACTGATTAGTACTATCATTTTTCAAAAAGATTAATAAAGAATGTAAATATGAGGTTCATATGCAAACATACTTTCCACATATGCTTAAGTCAATCCTCATAATACAAGTAGAATATAAATATCAACTTAAGATGAAATGAAATTACAGAAAAAATATATTTCCTCTAAATTAAATATTGTGTCATAAATAATGCACAGGAAATTGGCATAATTTAGTCGTATTGAGTATCTTTAAAGACTGACTTGTACCTTGTAACTCAGACTCAAAGAGTTCCATTTGAGAAGCTCCTCCTTAGAAGAGTATGTATTTCTTATATTTAGTTTCCTCTAATATCCGTGTATACATATTTTTATATTTCTTCAGAAACACATAGATGTCCAGAAGAACAACATATCTACAAAGAATGTGGACCCTCCAACCCTGCAACTTGTTCTAATGTGGCTCCTTTTCAAGACAGTGACTGTGTGAGCGGCTGCACGTGCCCAGAAGGTAGTACACCAATGAGAGTATTTACACTAAAACAAAACAAAAGCTAAAAAGAAAGTGGGACTCAAGTCATGTCAGAGTGATATCTTATTTATAGCATGACATTCCAACAATTTAACTATTTCTAATATATTCTCTTAGCAAACTGCAGAGGAGGGTTAGAGAGAATTTTAAAGCTCATGTGTATTTCCATCTCTACAATACCTGAGGGCTTCTGTATTACACAGAATATGCTTTAGTCCCAAATTGAGTGCAATGGGACTGTGCACTGTGTAGCAGTAACTCAGACTCAGAAAATTGTTTTCTATCCTCTTGCCAGTTCTCAAATTAGGAGTAATTGCTTTAACAAGAAATTATCATTTTCGGTGCATGTTACGCTTGAAAGAACTATCTCAAGAGTGATTTCACAATACGCTGCTGAACAATTTACTGATGTTTGTAGAGTTTTGAGGTCAACTTTATACAATGTGTTCTAGGTTATCTGTTGGATGATATTGGAGAGAAAGGAAAATGTGTATTAAAAGCTGAATGTCCCTGTGAATCCAGTGGAAACGTGTATCAGCCAGGAGAAGTCCGAGAAGGTCCTTGTGGTTCTCAGTGGTACGTGTGTGCTTTTTGTTCACATATTATTGATGGTAAAATAATACCAATATTTTTACATAATTTGGAAAGATTCCTAAATGCACCCTTAAAATAAACCTTTAAGAAATCAAAAGCAATATCACTGCATTTTCTGTGTTGTTGGTGTTTTGTTTTTAGACTCAGTGTGTTTTTTATTATAAAATATATGATCTTTCTGTGTATCTTTAGAAGATAATGCTCACTAACAGAAACAGTGTTTTCAATAGTAAACCACTTGGTAGTTGCAAATATAGAGCAAAGTATAGTATAAGATTTTGGTTATAATAATGAAACAATAGTGATGCTAATTCTGCCAAGAATATTTAATAAAACATACAGTTAGAAAGAGCCAAATACTGTTCAAATAGTTTTTATATGTGGCGAGATTGGTGAAGATGAATAATATATCTATTCAGCAGTAAATTCTAATGTACCGAAAGTTATTGTAGATTATTTCACTATTAATTGAATACTCAGCTTGAGTCTTCCTTCTAAGTTCTACAACAATGTAATGACCATTGAGATTTCCCCATTCTTCATTATGGCTTTTCTCTGAAGCTCTAAATTTCTGCAATACTACAAAATACTTTTCTTTCTTTTTTTTTTTATTATACTTTAAGTTCTAGGGTACATGTGCACAACGTGCAGGTTTGTTACATATGTATACATGGGCCATGTTGGTGTGCTGCACCCATTAACTCGTCATTTACATTAGGTATATATCCTAATGCCATCCCTCCCTGCCACTCCCTCCCCACAATAGGACCCGGTGTGTGATGTTCCCCTTCCTGTGTCCAAGTGATCTCATTGTTCAATTCTCACCTAGGAGTGAGAACATGCGGTATTTGGTTTTCTGTTCTTGCGATAGTTTGCTGAGAATGATGGTTTCCAGCTGCATCCATGTCCCTACAGAGGACACGAACTCATCCTTTTTTATGACTGCATAGTATTCCATGGTGAATATGTGCCACATTTTCTTAATCCAGTCTGTCACTGATGGACATTTGGGTTGATTCCAAGGCTTTGCTATTGTGAACAGTGCCACGATAAGCATATGTGTGCATGTGTCTTTATAGCAACATGACTTATAATCCTTTTGGTATATCCCCAGTAATGGGATGGCAGGGTCAAATGGTATTTCTAGTTCTAGATCCTTGAGGAATTGCCACTCTGTTTTCCACAATGGTTGAACTAGTTTACAGTCCCACCAACAGTGTAAAAGTGTTCCTATTTCTCCACATCCTCTCCAGCACCTGTTGTTTCCTGATTTTTTTAATGATTGCCATTCTAACTGGTGTGAGATGGTATCTCATTGTGGTTTTGATTTTCATTTCTCTGATGGCCAGTGATGATGAGCATTTTTTCATGTGTCTGTTGGCTGTATGAATGTCTTCTTTTGAGAAGTGTCTGTTCACATCCTTTGCCCACTTTTTGATGGGGTTGTTTGTTTTTTTCTTGTAAATTTGATTGAGTTCTTTATAGGTTCTGGATATTAGCCCTTTGTCAGATGAGTAGATTGCAAAAATTTTCTCCCATTCTGTAGGTTGCCTGTTCACTCTGATGGTAGTTGCTTTTGCTGTGCAGAAGCTCTTTAGTTTAATGAGATCCCATTTGTCAATTTTGGCTTTTGTTGCCATTGCTTTTGGTGTTTTAGACATGAAGTCCTTGCCCATGCCTATGTCCTGAATGGTATTACCTAGGTTTTCTTCCAGGGTTTTTATGGTTTTAGATTTAACATTTAAGTCTCTAATCCATCTTGAATTCCTTTTGTATAAGGCATAAGGAAAGAATGCAGTTTCAGCTTTCTACTTATGGCCAGCCGATTTTTCCAGCACAATTTATTCAATAGGGAATCCTTTGCCCATTTCTTGTTTTTGTCAGGTTTGTGTCAAAGATCAGATGTCTGTAGATGTGTGGTATTATTTCTGAGGGCTCTGTTCTGTTCCATTGGTCTATATCTCTGTTTTGGTACCAGTATCATGCTGTTTTGGTTACTGTAGCCTTGTAATATAGTTTGAAGTCAGGTAGCATGATGCCTCCAGGTTTGTTCTTTTGGCTTAGGATTTTCTTGGCAATGCGGGCTCTTTTTTGGTTCCATATGAACTTTAAAGCAGTTTTTTCCAATTCTATGAAGACAGTCATTGGTAGCTTAATGGGGATGACATTGAATCTATGAATTACCTTGGGCAGTATGGCCATTTTCACAATATTGGTTTTCTTCCTTTTCCTGAAATGTATTGTGTCTCTGTGGGGACATAATTTGGTTCAATACAAAATGCATTTTCTCTACAAATGGAAAATGTTTTATTTTGGTAGTAATAATCAATATTAATTTATATTATGTTTATATTAATAATTAATTTTAATTTGTATGAAGAATTATAAATAATAGTACCTGTAATTTATTGAATGTCTATAACAGTACTGTTCAAGAGAAATATAATTTAGGTTACAAAAATGATCCACATATATCATTTAACAGTTTTTAGTTGACAAATTTTTAAAAGACATGAAGAAACAGGTGAAATTAGTTTTAGTCATGTATTTTATATAACCCAATATATCTAGAATACTATTATTTAAACATAACATTAATATAAAATCAAGTTAGTGAGGGATTTTACAATATTTTTTTCCTATAAGTCTTCAAAATCTGTATGTGTTTTACATTTATAGTGGGTCTCAATTGAGATGAGACACATTCCAAAAGCTCGCTCGATGTATTGTGCGGTGCAATTCTACAATGTGGTTTGTAGCAGGTATTTTAACACTGATAATGAACTGTGTTCCATTTAAAAAAATCTCTGAAATCCAGATTATAAGTTTTATATACTTAATTCATGAGAAGTTATCATTATAGTCAAGGCTTCTAAAATATTAGGATACCACCATCAATGAGATGTTTTATTAGAGCTGAGATATTGGGTGGAAAATAAAAATGGTCGAATAAAGCTTAACCAAATGTCTTAACTTGTGATGAATTTTTAGTGTGAAATTTTATCTGAACCATAGAGAAAATACAATTGATAACCCTTAATATAACCATTACATTTTAACAGCACATGCCAAGATGCAAAATGGTCTTGCACTGAAGCATTATGCCCTGGAAGATGTAAGGTGGAAGGAAGTTCCCTTACCACCTTTGATGGTGTTAAGTACAACCTTCCTGGAAACTGCCACTTCCTGGCCATTCACGTATGTAATAGCCTGCAATATTTGAGCAAACTGATATACAAACAAAGCTATTCTTCAACCAATTTAAAACACAGTCTTCACCTTGAATTAGTATTTAAAGAAATAAAAAATGAACAATCCTTCAATTACTGGTTATGTATGTCAGTATGTTTTCTATCACATACTGGCACTGATGGTATTACCTGTCAGTATTAAATTAACATTACCTGTCCTCCTTGGAAATTCCTTGCAAAAAAACAACCTAACAAATAGAACCCTTTTCATTCACTCATAATCATATGAATACACTGGGAATTTATTTCATTCTTCTACTTTTCTTTGTGTGTGGTCACTACTGTTTCAAATAAAATAATATTTTACATTCCATGAAGCATCTTCTGCTTTCATTATTATTTCCTTAAATTTATTTTTAGTTTTTATAATACAACAGTATCACTATGATAGAAGCTATTCTTACATTTACATTCTTTTCAGTACTAAAATTTTAAGTCACTTGAATTTCAGTAAAAGAGCGATTCCGTTTTGTAGTTTGTGCTACAAAGAACTAGCAATCTAGTCCACCTGAGAGTTAGTGATTTTATATTATCTTTTTGGTAAGAAATGAAGATGAACAGAATTTGTGAATCCTGAAGTGATAAATGTTGGTTAATGTCCTGTAAGCTACAAAATGTAGTTGCTGCTACTAAAAGTCACTCTTCCAAAATAAAGCTTCTTGATTGCCTACCAACATAATCTGCCTTTCCTTCTTCTTCTTTTTTTTTTTTTAATTTATTTGAGATGGAGTTTTACTCTTGCCGCCCAGGCTGGAGTGCAATAGCTTGATCTCAGCTCACTGTAACCTCTGCCTCCTGGGTTCAAGTGATTCTCCTGCCTCAGCCTCCTGAGTAGCTGGGATTACAGGCGCTTACCACCACGCCTGGCTAATTTTTGTATTTTTAGTAGAGACGGGGTTTCACCGTGTTGGCCAGGTTGGTCTCGAACTCCTGACCTCAGGTGATCTGCCCACTTTGGCCTCCCAAAGTGTTAGGATTACAGGCGTGAGCCACTGTGCCAGGCCTGCCATTCCTTCTTTTTATGCTCCTCTAAATCCATTAGGATACAGGATGGGGAAAGTAAGAGGGGAAAATGACAAAGCATAGGGAACATTTGCTTCTTATAGATTACAGATTTCCAGACATTGAAATGAGATCTGGAAGTCTATGTTTGATATGACTTATATTGCAGTTTAACAAATTAAATGACTCTCACATTGGATTTAAATAGACATTGTGAACTGTCCAGAGAAGAAGCAAACTGTGTTACTGCTAATTCCTAAGAGTCCTTATATGGCAGTACATTCCCTTTGGGAAGACAAAAAGTAAAAATAAAATTAAAAAATGATGACTATGAAAATTCATCAATGGTAAACTACATGGATATAGTTTATGCAAGATACTAAGCTCTTGGCCAGTCCTGAGGTTGTACTATGGGCTGAACTTGGTTTCTATTCTTAGAGCACTCTGATTGTAGTAGGAATTGTACATATTTAAAATTCAAACACTCATTGTGAATGAATTACATAGTAATAGCATACCATAAATAGCATTAAATGACATTCTAATAAACATTTTAATGAAATGTATTTTTTACAGAATGAAGATTGGTCTATTAGTGTTGAGCTCCGTCCATGCCCAAGTGGTCAGACAGGAACATGCTTAAATAGCGTTACACTTCTTTTGAATTCTGTAAGTAATCAGCTTCCTAAGGCTTATTCAGAGTCAAATCATATCACTTATTTTATAAATTCAGGATTTTTGAGGTTGAAGAAGAGAAGCTTTACTATGTATACTCAAAGCTTAAGTAAAATTGCATAGAAAATTGATAAAGTCTCTGGAAGTGCCAGCTAGTTGCAAAAGTCCTGAAGTATATCAAAATCACCATAGATATACAATTAATATGTTGATTATGGATCAAATTTATGTGTTCATTGAAATGTTAAACTTTGCAGACCATTTATGAAGGAAGGCAATAGCATTTGTTTAGAGCTTTATTTATTTGGAATTGACATTATAAGTGGAAATAGACCTAAATGGGAAGGGAGGATGAGTAGTTTGGACTTTGACCTTCACAGGCTGTTTAACCTTTGGATACCCAAGTTACCGTCTTGGGTTTCCATTTCTGCATTCACATGTTGGGGATGAAGATTTATTTACAATCTGGTACACAGAGTTGGTATGAGAAACAATGAAGCAAAGTGTGCCTTAAAAATGCTTTAAAAATGTATTTTAGATATTTATTAATTAATCCCATAGCATTAAACATCTTATGACATAAAAATTTGGGTTCATATATTACATTAAAATTAATACTGTAAGTTAATATTAACTAACAAAGTGTTTTAAATATTAGTCTGTTCCAGTTGACAAATACATATTCAGCAGTGATGGAACAGTCACAAATGACAAGATTAGAAATCAAGGTTATTACTATTCAGGTAAGTTTAATAACAACATTTTAAAATAAGTGTAAGATGCAGTCATTTTTTCAATTTTTAAAGCTATTACATTTCTGATTTTTAACAGATATCAAAATATTAAAGTATTTTAAGAAAGTAAGAACTGTTGAACATGTAATTAATGTTCTTAATTATTTTAACAGATAAAATACAGATTTTCAATGCATCTTCCTCATACCTTCAAGTAGAAACATACTTTCACGTAAAACTACAAATACAAATTGTTCCTGTGATGCAATTATATGTTTCTATGCCACCCAACCAATTCACAGACACTGTGGGTAAGTCCTCTGGATTAAGTTTTATTCCCAAGGCTGAAATATTACCATCACTTATTCTAATTTCTTAATTAGATAATTAATTAATAACAGTAAGCCAATAAACCATTTTGACTTAATCTTTCCTTCCACATTGTAGTAAAATAATTCCAACTTACTCGTCATAGTAAAGATGGCTTTACTTATTACAAAATCTATTCCCTAAAGATTTTAACAATTTAAATTTTTAAACATTTTAAATTAACACTTTTATTTAAATGAGATTTGATAATATATGTGTTAATGTATCACTTTGCTAGTGTGTGCTACTAAGGCTTTAAACCGTAGTTGAATAAATGAAAATATTATAGATATAAATCTTTTGAACATCACAGTTTATATAAAAGCTACACTGTGACTTGTCTTTCTGGGAGATCATATGGTCATTTCTGTCACTGATGTTTTCTGTCTTATAAATCAGTTATTAACTACAGCCATAAATGTTGAGCAAAACAAACAAAGATTATGGCAAGTGCCACAAAGACTAGTACCTAATAAACAGCAGAAGCTTTTGTAACACACCTGTACTTGAGAAGGTAACTTATTTACACAAAGGAATAGATGTAACTCATAGGTCAGAAGGGTCTGGGTTAAAAAGGCATATAGCACTCAATATGATTTAGCTATCCACACTGAAATTGTGCAAATGTAAGTCATAAGTTCCTACTTAGAAGCACACTTTCTGTTGGCTCCTCCAAAGAGATACAAGTTACAGCGACAAATAGGAAAAAGACAGTATTCATGGCAAATGGTGTTTTAGTGCTCCTGGAATGCGAATGAAAGGGAATTTGGGTGAAATCTGAAATGCCATGACATTTTACTTAATGTATGAAGGCTAAACAAGGCATATTCTCAGGTAGCTTCTACAGGTTTTCTCTTGGGCAAAGAACTGAATGTGCAGTGAGGATGTGAATCCAAAGAATTGAGTAGGTGAGGTGTGAAACTTTGCTGTGTGCTTTTATACAGGACTCTGTGGTTCCTACAACAACAAAGCAGAGGATGATTTCATGTCAAGTCAGAATATATTGGAGAAGACATCTCAAGCATTTGCTAATTCTTGGGAAATGATGTCCTGTCCTAAAGGAAACCCCTCTTCATGTATTAGTATAGAAAAAGGTAATGTTAATTGACTATTGAAATCTGTAATTACATATTTGTTGTAATTACATATTATGTACTTATTTTGGTAATAATATGAACACGTCAGATAATCCTGCCTTTAGTTAGTTTTTGTTGTACTGTCTGAATTTTGGAGGACACAGCAGAGAAGCAGTCTGGTTGGCTGATCTTATTCCTACAAAACAAATAGTTCATGGGAGTTCATCTTGGTTGTTTGCTTTTCTATACCTACTCCTTTCCTTCTTACACAATTTTCACTGTCACTATAGAATAACAAGATTAGAAGAGATTTGGGGCACATTTAGTTCTTCAATTATTCCCTCCTTTAACTTAGTTATAAAAATAGTCATTGGTTGAACTAGCAAGACTCGCCCAAACTGGTGAAGCCACTTGATGATAGAGCTGTGGTTGGGTCCAGGTGTCCTAACTACTGCTGTGCAAGCCCCAGTACAGACATTAATTAAACTTTACACTGGTATGATTCAGCTTACATTTATGCTTACCAAAAGGCTTTTAAAATATTAGTTCAATTTATTTCTACCAAAACTCATGAGCAGCATGGGCGGGACTATTATCCCCACTAATGTAGATAGTGGGGATAATGGAGCACAGAGAGGATTAATAAAGATCCCTAGTGAATAAGGATGACAGATGAGAAATTCAAGTATTTTGAATCCAAGTCATGCTTTGGTCGCTCCTCTGGTATTGCTGATACTAATAAATGCTTCATTTTGTGTTGCTTCTTTCATTAAAAAAAAGAGTGCAATGGAAGCTAAGTTAAAATATATTACATTGACATGTTAATTAGTTGTTTCTAAATTAATATATACTTGAAATAGTCTTATCAGATTATAATAATATTTTAACATTACTAAGGCAATTCCTTTTGAAAGCCTTGTCTACTAATTTTGATTTAAAAGAGTTGGTAGAAGCATTAATGTAAACATCATAATACATATTTCAGGGTTTTGATTATCATATTATTTTGATTTTGGAGTGTTGCAATGAAAACAGTTATAATGAGAATGTATATCTCATAAGATACCAAGTCAATTTATGTTAAGCAGACTATATGCCACCACTTTGGAGAGATATAGAAATTAATTAAATTTAATTTTCAGTGCTTTACATTTAACTTAATGTAAAATACAGAAAATTAAACTGTATTTTAATAAGCTGTTAGTAATATTTAGATAAAAAGTGATGATACTGGGTTGCCAATTTGTTAAAATTTTGGAAATAATTGGTCTCAGTTTGTTTTTAATAGAGACAGCTTCCTCTATTACCAAAAATCTTTAGGCCAAGCACTTATTACTCAGATGCTATTGTTATGATTTTTATTTTTGTTAATTTAATACTATGCTAGTTATTTATAGGCCAATGAAATATCAATGAAAAAACAAAACAAAATTGGTGTGTTGGAATTATTGATACTGGTTGTGCTAATATATGACCTTCAGGAAAACTGATATAATCTTCTATAATCTTCTGAGGTGACTGGGATCATGTGGTGGTTGGGCGGGCGGGGCGTTGTTGTGGTTGCTTTATTTACCAACTCATCACAATTTAGCTATAAATATATATTTTAAAGTTAAAAGGAATCTAAAGATATAATACGATCCCCTAATTCCATTTTTATATAGAAACTGCATTTCAGAGAAAGGTAAATTGATTTAATCCAAAATTCCAAAGCTAACAAAGACTTTGCCTCTTAGTGTAAGATTTTTTAATTATAGCATGCCATCTTTGCATATAGTGACAAGTTAGATATATTACAGCAGAACACTTTAAAAATTGTTTTAATAGAGAGAACGGTTAAAATTGTACATCTTTTCTTTCAATTAAAGAATTATGGCCGGGTGCGGTGGCTCACGTCTGTCATCCTAGCACTTTGGGAGGCCGAGGTGGGCGAATCATGAGGTCAGGAGATCGAGACCACCCTGGCCAACACGGTGAAACCCCATCTCTACTAAAAATACAAAAAATTAGCTGGGCTTGGTGACACACACCTGTAATCCCAGCTATACAGGAGGCTGAGGCAGGAGAATCACTTGAACCCAGTAGGCAGAGGTTGCAGTGAGCCGAGATCATGCCACTGCACTCCAGCCTGGGCTAAAGAGTAAGACTCCATCTCAAAAAAAAAAAAAAAAAAAAAAAAGGAAAGGATTATGACATTATTGAAACTAATTTTGAGTGCACTGGTTTTCTTCCAGAAAAGTTTGCTGAAAGGCACTGTGGAATTCTTCTTGATTCAAGTGGGCCTTTTGCTTCCTGCCACCCAATTGTGAACCCTAAACACTATCATGAGGTATGTGAGGCTCTAACATTAACACCTCTTGTTGACAAATACTTTGCTGATATTGACAAAAGCATGTAGATATTAAATATTTTCGAATAACAGCCATTGTCAGTAGATTAAAGTATATCCTTCGATATGTATTAGATTCTATTAATTCATTCTTGTGTTAGATATGCCAACTTCAGAAGAAAAGTGGTGCGGAAAATAACCCCAAATGAGAAAAATCTTGAATAAGTTTCTCTTTCTGCCTTTTTAAAAATGTTTTGACAAGCAGGCTAATAATTCATTCACTATTTTGAATATTTAAAAATGTTTTCAAACATTTCAAAAAAGCTTTTTTTGGAGTAGAAGAGTGGTTAGGAACTAAATTATACTCACTTTACCTGTTCTTCTGAGTAACTTCATAATGTAATATAAATTTGTTTCTTATTTTCAAGGAATGCAAAAAATATACTTGCTCTTGTGAAAACAGTCAAGACTGCCTATGTACAATTTTAGGTAACTATGTGAAAGCGTGTGCTGAGAAGGAAACATACATAGTAGAATGGAGAACTGGCCTATGTGGTAAGCCGCAGAGAAGCTTGCAATAACTACTTCCTTCCCAGTTTTGCTATAGTGTGTGTGTGTGTGTGTGTGTGTGTGTGTGTGTTGTGTGCGTGTGTAGGCATATGTGTTTACAAATTTTTAACTAGTTCTTTCAAAGATGATTTTGTTGTTTTATTTTTAATATCCTTGTGCAATCCTTACATATTTTACTTCTTGATTTATTGATCTTGATTTAATATATTCACATATAGAGAAAAACCAGAATATATATGTATTTATATATAAATATATGTTTCTGTTCAATTATTGTGTGCTGAAATTTAAATAATGTTCTGACTGCTAATGCATTTGTAAATGACATTTTAATATGAATAATTTATGTTGAGAAAAAACAAAAATGAACCAATAAATTAAGGGCTCAACTATGATATTTTTAAAATCTTGCTTTGTTTTAAAATGTTTATTGCACTGTTTGACTATGACTTCACAAAAACACTTGATTTACCAAGAGAAAAACAAAAACAAACAACAAACGTTGTAGAAACAAACCTCTTGTAGATCATATTTAACACCACATTGCTTGTATCTAGTTAATCAATAAGATCTGTCCATTTCACCTCCAAAATCTCTCTTAAATTTATTCACATCTCTCCATCTATATTGCCACCAACCAGGTTCAAGAAACTACCATTGTTTTTTCTCCTGGGTGATTTCAGCAGCCTCCTTCAATATTTACTCTTGGCTTCCTCTAATCCATTTTCTACAGAAAAACCAGGGTAATCTTTAAAACCAAGCCAAATGGAACTAAGCATATCATGTGACACTCCAGGCTAAAATAAGTTAATGGTGTCTCATTGCTCTAAGGCTAAATACCAAACTCCTTAAGGGGGCCCTGTAAATTTTAACCACTGATTCATTCTGTCTCTGGCCATATAGTTTCTATTCTTCTATGTACTCTTTGAAAGACTCATTCTCCCTCTGATTTAGGCTATTCTCCAGACAGAATCACCTCTCCCTGGACTGTCTTCTTGCTCTTCATCTACTCACGCTCTTCACTAAGTGTAGATCCTCATCTGTACACAATTAGTGCTTCCCCTCTTGTTTCTTCATAGCACGTACCATGATTGTCCTTTCACTGGGAATATAAGCCACGTGAAAGCAATGTATTGCTTCTCCTGTTTATGGGCTTAACCCCCAGCAAAGTTTTTAAACACATTAATAGGAATTCAGTATTGACTGAAAACAAAAAAGAATTTTAAAAACCCAATGAACAAGGACTTAAAAAATTCATAATCTCTCTTATGAAAATTCACGATATCTATAAACATCGAGCTGAAATAAAATTGTTTATTTCCCTGAATATGTACATATTCATTGTTTCTTTTGTCTCTGTACCAACAGAACATTCTTGTCCAAGTGGACTAGTTTTCAAGTACAATGTAAAAGCCTGTAATAGTTCTTGCCGATCATTGTCAGAGAGAGATAGGAGCTGTGATGTAGAAGATGTTCCAGTTGATGGATGCACCTGCCCTGATGAAATGTACCAGAATAATGAAGGAAACTGTGTACTGAAATCTCAGTGTGACTGCTACATAAATGACGAGGTCACGCAACCAGGCAAACTCATCCATATTGATGACAATAAATGGTATGGAAATTACATGTATACTTGCTATGACACTGAAATCAACAGACTGTGTTCTTTTCAGAGAAATGGTCTTTTGTCAGTATGAAGTCTTTTTAGACTGGTCATACTTATGATTCTTATTTCTTAATATAAATCTCTTTTATTCTGGAAGGCTCATTGCATCCTAATGGATATAGATTATCCCACTCTGGTTTTGTTTTAAACACCAGTAGAAAAATATTCTGGTAAATTCTATATACAGACAATGTGAAATGATTTCATATTCAGAAGATGCTCTCTAGCTGTCTCTCTGTAGTCATCATTCAACAAACACTTATTAAGTGTCTGCAGTGTGCCAGGCCTTGTGCTGAGTGCTGGAGTTGCAAAGCTGAAGGAACATTGTCTTGGACTTCAAGTAAGCAGGGCACAAACTATTAGAAGGAGCTTTGTATACTAGAATATGGTAGCAGAAAGAGCCAGGTACTACCTAAGGAGATTAAGGAAAACTTCTCAGAGAAGACAGGCAAATAAATTGTACGAGGGAATGAATCTTTTTCCAGACAAAAATGAAATGTAGAGGATGATTTCCTGTAAACAGAATGCACAGATGTAGGAAATGTTAGAAAAAAACTACACATGTGGGTTGTTTTGTACAAGATTGGGTTAGAAACACTGACATTGGTCAGATCATAACCAAGAATTTGGAATTAGTTTCTGAAGAATTGAAGAATTTTGACTATTTTGGCCAAGGAGGCTATGATTTCTACAGTTTGGAACAAAGTAATTTTTCTCTTTCTTTCTTTCCTTCTTTCCTTTTTCCTCCCTTCCTCCCTTCCTCCCTTCCTCTCCTTCTTTCCTTCCTCTCCTTCTTTCCTTTCTTTCCTTCCTTTTCTTTTCTTTCTTTCTTTCTTTTCTTTCTTTTCTTTCTTTTCCTTTTCTTTTCTTTTCTTTTCCTTTTCTTTTCCTTTTCTTTTCTTTTCTTTTCTTTTCTTTTCTTTTCTTTTCTTTTCTTTTCTTTTCTTTCTTTCTTTCTTTCTTTCTTTCTTTCTTTCTTTCTTTCTTTCTTTCTTTCTTTCTTTCTTTCTTTCTTTCTTTCTTTTCTTTCTTCTTTCTTTCTTTCTTAGATGGGGTCTCACTTCAATTGCCCAGGCTGCAGTTCAGTGGCACAGGTTTGGCTCACTGCAGCTCCAACCTCCCTGGGCTCAAGTGATTCTCCCACCTCAGCCTCCTGAGTAGCTGGGACTACAGGTGCATGCCACCATGTCCAGCTAATGTTTTGTATTTTTAGTAGATACAGTATTTTGCCATGTTGCCCAGGCTGGTCTTAAACTCTTGGACTTAAGCAATTCACCTGCCTTGGCTTCCCAGAGTGCTGAGATTACAGGCATGAGCCACTGTGCTCAGCCTGGAGCAAAGTAATTTAAGCATGTTTCTAATTCCATAGAGAGATGTAGGAATTCTTGACAACATAATTGCCAAAATGAAATAGCCATTCAAAAATACTTTGAATACACCTCCTCTCTTTTCTTTGGTTTCATGAGGCTATCATTTAGCAATAAGTAATTTTTCTTGATCATTCAAAAGGAAAGCCTAGGTAACCCCTTTATATCAAAGCCCATGAGCCTTTGGCTGGGGTTTGATAATGATAATTTCTTTTTCTCTGTAGTTTTGGGGAATCAATAGATTAACTTTTTAATGGTGCTTAATAAAGAATTACTATTTTATCTGTTTTGGACATTAGAAAATTCGCAGTCTGCTCTTATTTTCATGGGAATCAATACGTTAACTTTTCAGTGAATCAGGCCAGTACCTCCAAATTATGTTCCCTTCACCATATTTGAGACTTTCCTCAGCTGGCACCACTGTGATAGCTAACTTGGTTGCTCATTGTTGCTCTGTCTCTCTGTCTCCTGTTTCCTGCACTACTGCAAGAATGTGTAGCTTAAAGCCACGTGCATACCTATGTAACAAACCTGCACGTTCTGCACATGTATCCCAGAACTTAAAGTATAATAATAATAATAACAACAACAATAAAGACTATGTAGCCTAAAGCACTCTTCTGATAGGGCCACCTCCCTGCTCAGAAACTTTAGTGACTGACAGTTACCTGGAGAACAAATACAAACTTGCAAGTCATTTAAGACCATCTAAAGTCTGGCCCCAATCTACATATACTGCTTCCCCCATTTTCCCTTCTTTCCATCCAAACATGAATCATTTGAGTCACTGGAACATATCTTGTTCTCTCCTACACCACAGTTTGGCATCTTATCAGAAGTATTAAATTTCACTTCTCATCAAGATCCAGCCATCCTTTCCACAAGGTTTTCTCTGATGCCCATAAAACCTTGTTTGTACATTCTTGTAATATTTACAAGATGATATCTTATCCTTTGGTATATTTTATGCCTCTTCTGGGGATGGTGTCTCACTCATTTAACTAATTGTCCTTGAAACTTATGTCTAAATTTATAATTTTGTTTTATTTCCAGTGTCTGTCGGGATGGAATTCTTCTTTGCCAGATTCCCATTGATTTAACCCTACGTAAGTGTTAAAATCACGGTGCAAATTTAAAATATCCACTTTTGCTAAAGAAAACAGATCGACAGGCTCTTGATCAGTGACAATTCTTCTTATTCTGCAGAAAATTGTTCTGGAGGGGCTGAGTATGTAGACTGTAGGGATCCCAAAGCACAGAGAAGAACCGACAGAACATGCAGTACTCGGAACATACCTGTTTTTGATGTAAGTAACATAGTATTAGAGTTTAGCCATTTAAAGGTTTTGTTTCGGGGCCTAGGAAAGCTATAATTTTAATGAAAAATAATTAGAAGGTCATACTCTTTTTGCGTGTTATTTTCAGTTGTCAAAGATTGACTCCAAATACATACATGATATATTTAAGCATTTAAATTAATGCTGATAATATGACATGATTAGAATGGTGCCTCATGGTGTATATTTTATATTTATTCTTGTAGGAGAACTTGCCTTGCAAACGTGGGTGCTTTTGTCCAGAAGGAATGGTTCGAAATTCTAAAGGGATATGCATCCTTCCTGATGACTGTCCGTGCTCTTTTGGTGGACGAGAATATGATGAAGGAAGTGTCACTTCTGTTGGCTGCAATGAATGGTGCTTAATAATGGATTTTTATTTTATTTGTTTTAGATATTAGAAAATGCAGTCTGTTCTTATTTTCATAGGAAAGAATTCACACTTTGGGATATTTGGGAAAAAAATGACCAAATACAGTTAGAAAAAGATGCTATTTTATTTATTTATTTATTTATTTATTTATTTATTTATTTAATTTGAGACAGAGTCTTGCACTGTCACCCAGGCAGGAGTGCAGTGGCATGGTCTCGGTTCACTGCAAGCTGGCCTCCCGGGTTCATGCCATTCTCCTGCCTCAGCCTCCAGAGTAGCTGGGATTATAGGCGCTCATCACCACACCTGGCTAATCTTTTGTATTTTTGGTAGAGACAGGGTTTCACCATGTTAGCCAGGATGGTCTTGATCTCCTGATCACGTGATCTGCCCGCCTCGGCCTCCCAAAATGCTGGGATTAGAGGCATGAGCCACCATGCCCGGCCAAGATGCTATTTTTAAAACAGAAGTTTATGTAGCATTGTATATATTGAACATCCTACATTATAACGAAGACTACTACAAAATTTAAATCAATATGAAACATAATTTTGTGCTTCTTTACAAAAGCAATATTAGTGTATGAATCCCGGCATAATATAATCACTACGCTGTGTCATCTTTTCCTTTTAGTACCTGCATTAAAGGGTCTTGGAGTTGTACCCAAAATGAATGTCAAACCATCTGCCACATCTATGGGGAAGGTCATGTTAGAACTTTTGATGGGAAAAGTTACAGTTTTGACGGTCTCTGCCAGTATTCATTTCTTGAGGTAATTATGAATATGTCTTACTAAAATTTTTCTGTAATTCTTAATTGTTCATTTGTAGATTAGTTCCAAATACTTTTATTTTCAAATGGGAAATATTTTTAAAAGGTCCCTTATATGTTTCCAGGAGGCAGTAAAATGTTATATTGTGTACTGCTGGCTCTGGAGACTAGGACTAGATTTCAATGCTGGCTCCATCTTTTATCAGATGCATGTCTTTGGGGACATTCCTTAACCTCTCAGTGTCTCAGTTTTTGTATTTACAAAATGGGCATGAAAATAGCCCCTACTTGAAACCACGCTAGAGCACACACTGGAGGACATACTAGTGCTCAATAAATAAATGCTAGATATGATTCTTCCAACAACAGCACTGGCAGCAAAAATTACAACTAACATTTATGAGTGCTTCTTTGTCAAGCAAATTTATATATTTCATTGCATTTAATAATTATAATACTATAAGACTGATATTATTATTCCTATGATGCAGATGAAGAAATTGAAGTTTAGAGAGGTTAAGCAACTTAAGCTACCAAATAGAAAATGTCATAGTAAACCTAGACCTGTCTGATTACAGAGTTCATGCTTGTTACATACATTCCAGAGTTCATCTTATCAAGCTGCAAGCTTCCTAACTAACATTTAAGGGGTAAAATTTGTTGTATTTATGCATTAGTTTTGTTTGAATATCAAGTTTCATGTAAGTCTTTGAGGAAATAAGGCCAAATTTACCTAGCTAGTCTAGAAATAAATCTGTGATTACAAACGTCTATACTTTAAATACTTACATGTTTATGGAATAATTCTGAACTTGTGCAGAAGTAATGGGAAAATAACTGAGTCAAAACAAATTAGCTAGAGTGGACTTAGTCAAGGCTAACTATCTGTAAATGTGTTAAACTATTGTTTTTTTTGGAAATTCCGTAACACAACATACGGCAATTTATTGAGTTTAAGGCAAATATTTTCTCTAAGAATATTTGTCTGACACAAATACTGTAGTTGAGTTCTGTGTCTCTAATATTTACAAACTATTATAATTTTTATTTTAAAGGATTATTGTGGTCATGAAAATGGCACATTTCGTATTTTAACGGAGAGTGTTCCATGCTGTGAAGATGGACTAACATGCTCAAGAAAAATTATAGTTTCTTTTCAGGTACAGTACTATTTTCTTTATTTTTTCCTCTCACATTGTTACAGCCAAATAAAACTGTTATTATAAATCTGTCTGAATTTACAGGATCAGAATGTTGTCTTGCAAGATGGTAAAGTAACAGCAGTCAAATCTACAGAAAGTAAGAAATGTGAACTCAATACAAATGCATACTCCATACATACTGTTGGCCTGTACTTAATTCTGAAATTTCAAAATGGAATAATCATGATTTGGGACAAAAATACAAGACTGTCTGTTATTCTGGATCCAAACTGGAATGTATGTATATCGCTAACAACTGAATAACGGGGAAGCAAAATCATTTCTGTTACTAAAAATTAAAGACAGGTATTGATAGGCAGAGTATAGGGGAATGGCAGGGTCTCTGTTAGAGTAACAAGCCCTCCACCTTTCTTCAACCTTCTTATGAAATATGAAATGTAATCAAAGATAACAAAATCTGGTTAAAAAGTAAATGCAAGGCCGGGCGTGGTGGCTCAAGCCTGTAATCCCAGCACTTTGGGAGGCCGAGACAGGCGGATCACGAGGTCAGGAGAGCGAGACCACCCGGCTAACACGGTGAAACCCCGTCTCTACTAAAAAATACAAAAAACTAGCCGGGCGTGGTGGCGGGTACCTGTAGTCCCAGCTACTCGGGAGGCTGAGGCAGGAGAATGGCGTGAACCCGGGAGGCGGAGATTGCAGTGAGCTGAGATCCGGCCACTGCAGTCCAGCCTGGGCGACAGAGGGAGACTCTGTCTCAAAAAAAAAAAAAAAAAAAAAAAAGTAAATACAATAACCTGAGGCATTGTAGTTTGCCTATATTTGGTTACTTGAGATTATCACATGATGTGATTTTCAGGTATTTGATATATTTTGAACTAAATGTGTTCCTTGGAGCAAATATTTTAAGAAGCCAAAGTAGTCTCATGTGTAATTTGAAACTAGCAGACATACCTGTTTTGGTTCTTTAGACATTTATTCTGTGTGGTACTAGATCATTTTGTGACATGGGGTACCTTAAATGGGAGAATACTCTTATCCACAAATTCTGGAATCTTATCCATGAAAATTGGAATTTTACATAGATTCATGCTCCAGTATACATAATCATGATATCTATCTGTTCATCTATCATCTGTTTATCTATCTCAATGTCCCTAGTACAACTAATTTTTAAATTTCCCTTTCCGATCAATACAGGGCAAGGTGTGTGGTCTCTGTGGAAATAACAATGGTGATCTCAAGGATGATTTCACAACAAGATACTCTTCAGTAGCTTCTGGAGCACTGGAATTTGGGAATAGTTGGAAAACAAGCCAAGAGTGTTCAGATACAGTGGCTGAGACTTTCCCATGTGATTCAAACCCATACTGTAAAGCCTGGGCTGTGCGAAAATGTGAGATCCTCAGAGACAGCACCTTCAGAGACTGCCACAGCAAGGTAGCATTGTTCTGAAAGCAGAGACTTACACAGGGTTTCCTCCCAGAGACTCATGTGCTGTGCTCTGCCTAGGTTGACCCCAGTGCTTACTATGATGCATGCATTGAAGAAGCCTGCGCATGTGACATGGAGGGGAAGTACCTGGGATTCTGCACTGCCGTGGCTATGTACTCAGAGGCGTGTAGTGCAGTTGGAGTTTGTGTCTCATGGAGAAAACCAAATCTGTGTCGTAAGTGAAGTCCATATGTTGTTGTTCTTTCAAAATGTAATTAGATAGAAGTATTTTGTTAGACCCTCAGTCTTCCTCTCATATTTTCTATAAAACACATGTTTGTGTACCTAGAAACATGTTGATATTTTTGTTTATGGTGTGCAAAAATACCTAACTTAAAAAATAAAGCACCTGGCCCAGTGCTTCAAGTTCAATTTTAGTTTAAAAATTCATGTGTTCACAGGGGGAAAAATGAATACTGATGGAGAATATTTCTCATTCATACTTCGATGATGAACTGTTTACCTATCTTGGTATATTTACATATCCTTCAATATTTACCGAATATATTACTTTTGCTTAAAGTGCTCACACGTTTCCTTGAAAACTTTCATAGAGCCCTATTGAAGATGAACTGTACATTGAGTATAGACTGAATCTCGATACATATAGAATGTAATAACCTTAATAGAAATGAGTCAGCTCTTTTTCTTCTAAGTATTATGAGAGAAAATATGAGAAGTGTTAAAACAGAACCCTCATTTTATTCAGTTTTTTATGCACAGGATTAGATTATATTGACATGTTTAGTTACTTCATTTAGGAACTGTTATTTACATATTAAAGAGCTTAATTGTCTAGGATTTAGTTTTCCAATTTAAAGTTGAAATTGAAACCATGAATCTAGGCTATGACCTAAAATATCTCCAAATGATAAAATGAAAGTTTACCTGTTAAATCTCAAACTAACCAGAGTGTGAGATGGCAAAACAAAGTTCTATTTTGAGTTTATATGTCTACTCCCCTTGTGACTTATTTTGGCTTATATGACAGTTTAGATAAAGCCAAAGGAACTTGATAAGACCTGATATAGTTTAGATATGCTTATTATTAATATCATCCCAAATCCCTTATTAAAATGCTTTGGAAAATGAAAGGTGAAAATTGTCATATAATGAATGAAAGTAATTTGATATAATTCAATTATAGCTGTCTACTGTGATTATTACAATGCACCTGGGGAATGCAGATGGCATTATGAACCTTGTGGCACAGTGACTGCAAAAACATGCAAAGATCAGGTCATTGGCCAGAAATTTTCTTCACTTTTAGAAGGTAACACATACTTTAAGAATATCCATAAAGTAGTGCAAATGCTATTCATCTTAACTGGAAAGGATTGCTTCTCCCAATTTAGTGTCTAACACTTGGTAATTTAATGAATAGTTATCTTTATTATGTCATTAATGTTTCTACATTAGAAACACTTTCTCTAAACATAAGCTTAGTGGGGGATGGGGACAGCACTCTGATTCTATTGTTACTTTTATATCTTTGATTAGACAATGTTGTTCAGTGTGAATGCGGTTTCAGAATGCAACATATAATACAATGTTGCTTGAGTAGTATAATTACTGTAGTAATGAACTATATCTTACACTTAAGCAGCATTTTATTCTTAGCATTATTTATTTCAGAGATAAACAAAAAACAGGCAAGAAAACAGTATAACATGAAACTCTTCCAAAAGTCACAACTGTGTTAAATCCTTTGGTGTATTTTTAGCTTATTTTGCTATGACTTTATCTTTACCTACTGTTGCAAAGACAGATATTTGAAACTGGCATTCACATTTCAGGATATGTATTTACCAGAGCCTATTTTATGTTACAGCATCATGCCCATTATGAAAGTAGCAAATCATTTAAAATTACTTCAAGAATCATTTTAGAAAAAAATAAATCAACCAAAATCTTTAAGTTCTTAGTCTGACATTTCACTGCAAGAAGATCTGAACCTTGTTTTATTTATATATTTTCATTATGAGTGTGATATTGTTTTGCTATTGTCTACTTCACTTCATGGAGTCATTTAAGTAACTTTACAAATATATAATATTCAGTATAATGAGTTTCAGTAGATAGAGATGAACTGTGGGTCATTTTTACACACAGGTTGTTATGCTAAGTGCCCAGATAGTGCTCCTTACCTGGATGAGAACACCATGAAATGTGTCAGTTTATCTGAGTGCAGCTGCTTCTATAATGATATCATACCAGCAGGGGAAGTGATTGAAGATAATTGTGGAAGAACATGGTATATTCTCTACTAACTTTTCAATAAGCAATTTTGACTTTTGCCTTTTCATTTAGGAGGAAAACTAAATATGTGTATGAATATATTATGTTAATAATATATATGTCATGTATACATGTATATATATCTATAATTTTTGATCCTGCCATTTCTGAATGAGAAGGCCAGCTTTAGGTTCATTTTATATCAGTTATGTTAGTTATTTTTATTTTCAGATAATTCGCATGTCAACAAATGGTTTGTGGAATTTTATACTTAATAACGCAGAACACAGGACAGAAAATGTCATTGTGTAGTTGTAGAGGAAAAGAATTTTAATTCTTTAAATGTAAGATTATGTTCACAGGTTTTCAAACAGTTACATGGAAGCAAATTGACGGGTTCATAGTAGGTCACCACGGCCATCAAATAACATCGTGTTTGAAATTGACTATGTAAGAACTACCTTTAAGGGTTACCTGCACACCATTTCTTCAGGTGCCCGGAGCTCCTCAGTGAAATGATTGGGTATAGCAGCACATGGAAAAACAAGCAATTTGAATAGTATTCTCTTGGGGAAACAAATATTTACTTCTATTTGGTTCTGCTTGTTTTCAATCAGACAATTTGTTGTTTTAAATTTGTGAGCTGTATGCAATTAAGAGTCAAATTTTCCAATTCATTCTTTTTTTCTTTTTACATTTAACTTTCAGCTACTGTATTGCAGGGCAGTTGGAGTGCAGTGGTAAGTCATTAAATTTTACACTAATTGATTTAGGAAAAATCAGAGGAGGGGTTGGGAATCATTTTTAGGCTGATCACCAAAGGGGCAGGGACTTAAATGCATTAGGCTGTCCCTCAGAGGACTGGCACAATTCCATCCCAGAGCGATTGTCCATGATGAGTTGCTGTTGGAAACCAGTGCTGCCAAGATATGCTGAACGACTGTCAGATGGGGCCATGGCTGATACTCAGGGGGTGCACCTACTGCATACGTGCCCCTGCCTAACTGTAGGTTCTCGGAATTGAGGGAGTGAGGCATCAGTGAAAGGATGATTCCTCCCCACTGATAATGAAAGGGAGGAATAGAAGATGAGAATCAATATAAAAAGAATTAAATAACTGAAGGATTGTTCGTGAGCAACACATATCTCTCACTGCAACCTCCACCTCCCTGGTTCAAGTGATTCTCCTGCCTCAGCCTCCCGGGCAGCTGAGATTACAGGCGTGAGCCACCACACCTGGCTAATTTTTATATTTTTAGTGGAAATGGGGTTTCACCGTGTTGGCCGGGCTGGTCTCGAACTCCTGACCTCAGGTGATCCACCTGCTTTGGCCTCCCAAAGTGTTGGGATTACAGGCATGAGCCACCGTGCCCAGCCACAACACACATCTTAAAAAAATAAATCCCAAAAACCTTCAAAAGAATATGTTAGCTACTCCTTTTTATATTAGAAATTGCAAGAAGTAAAATAAAAAGAGATGTGATTATAGACAAATTGAGATGTAGAATTTTTTCAAGATATAAAAGTTCCTGTCAATAACAGTGATGTGTGATTATTTCAGAAACTGCTCCTACCAATTCAACATTTGCAGGTAAAATCATCATTATATTTTAAATGTTGTATCTCTGATTTCTTCGTGTAGCTCATCCTTTATGGTTTCACTTGAATCTGTGCCAGTAAAAGGTATGATGGTAAATCTGCTGATACAAAAATTGTGAATTAAAATGAACAGTTACTAGAAATATGTCAGAATACCATTTCATTATATTCATATGAATTAAGTTAGGAATATGATTAAACATACAATAGATATTATTAGTTAATATTAATGTTATTAATTCATTAATATTTTAACTCTGCACATTAGTTAAATATCATCGTCCAAAGCTTGATATTTTTAGATAATAATTGAATAAGTGAATGAAGTAGAAGTAAATGTTGCCTTCTGTGAAGTAAATATTTTAAAACCATCATCATGCTAGAGGATGATTTGAAAACAGAAATAAAAAATTATTTTCTTCCTTCCTTCCTTCCTTCCTTCCTTCCTTCCTTCCTTCCTTCCTTCCTTCCTTCCTTTCTTCCTTCTTTCCTTCCTCCCTCCCTCCCTCCCTCCTTCTCCTTCTTTACCTCCCTCCCTCCTTCTTTCCTTGCCTGCTTTCTTGCTTTCTGTTTTGCTTGCTTTCTTGTTTTGAGGCAGGGTCTCACTTTGTTGCCCAGGCTGGAGTGCAATGGTGCAATCACAGTGCACTGCAGCCTCTATTGCCTTGGCTCATGTGATCCTCCCATCTCAGCCTCCTGAGTAGCTTGAACCAAAGGCATGCGCTGCCATGCCTGGCTAATTTTTTATTTTAGAGAGATGGTCTTGTTCTGCTGCCCAGGCTAGAGTGCAGTGGCACAATCAGGGCTCACTGCTTCCAACAGTGAGCTTCCAACAGCGAGGCTTTGACAATTTATTTAAAATTATGCAATCTGCTGTAAAATGCTAGTTAAATTTTAGTTATTTTTGGTCACTTACCTGAAGTGAAGTTTTCATTTCAAGGTTCTGAACCACATTCCTTTAAAGTCGTTATTGGCCCATAAAGAGACCTTATAAAGTTCCTATGAGATTTTGGTTAAGTGATAATAACAGGAAATAGTTATTTTTGGTGGACATATATAAATATATGGTGTTATTTGTGTAGATGTAAATAAAAAATTATTTTGTCACTTAACCTCTGCACATGTTTCAGAAATTTTACTTTTAGTTGATGACAACTGGTTTCTTGAGCTATATTTCCCAGCAAAAATTATTCAGTTAATTTATTTTCATAAATATTGTGTTTCCTAAACAGTTTCCACTACAACAGCTACCGCCATATTAAGCACCGGAGCAGGTATATAAATTAAAAAGTGCTAACTATTTTTATAGCTCCTAAATGAGCAGCAAAGATAATTGATAGTTTGGGAATCATGGTACTTTTTTCAAAGTTTTCATTCTCCATTTATGTATTTGCTAAAGGCCCATGCCAAATAGCAGGTCTGTACGTAATTGTAACATTATTAAAGAACATCTTCCCTTTTCAAAGGTTGTCTGTCCTAAGAAGAACATTCTACATTCTACTGATTTGGAGAAAGTGGCTATGTCAGAAAATTCTATGTTAAATTCCTTGAAAGTAATTTACAATTTCTTTTATTAACACCAAGAAATCTTTAACTTTAATTGGATGCTTTGTCATTAAAACAGTAGCTAGCGGAGTACAAAAGTATATTGAAATGTGTAAACATCTGATAAGTGAACTTAACTGTTACATTTAATCATTTATTTGCATTCTGGAGATCTTGAAACATGTTTAAATAGGTATGGTTAACCTCATCTTTCAATACCAGTTTAATGTATATTTCCAAATATTTGTCTTCTTCTTTGCATAGCAATTACACTGGTTACCAGTAGCCCAGGCATAGGTAAGCTGTAACCTCTAAGCCACAACTTAATCAATGGCGGATTTTTAAAAACACCCAAAACATCCTTTGCAGTATTATATCTTTGTAATGACATTTTTAGAAGAAATAGACGAAGTTTCTTTTTTAAAAAAGAATTTTTTAGAGAAAGCTTTTGGGGAAAAAAAGCATTATACCAAATGATAAGGTTTTTTGACCTTTTACTTGGGGCCTATACATTCTAAAACTAATATTTGGGCTTCTTTTCACCTATATGATGATTTTTTGTCTGATACAGTCATTTCAAGTTGATCCATTTTGCATGTGACTATAGATGTTCTTGGAAGTATAATTTCCCCTGCATATAAAACTTATTTTTTCCATTGTTTTCTCAAATTCAGCAGCATCCATTCCAGCGATTACAACATCAAGCAGTGAAACAACAGGTAGGTAAATCAGAAAATCCATAAGTGACGAATAAAGTTTTGAATAAAGGTTTGTATCTGAAACCTTGAACAACTTAAATATTAGAATCAACATCAGTTTGATTACACATTAAAATATTTGGGTTTGAATTTTCCCTCTGACCATCCAGTTTCCCTAATTTAGTTTGCTATTTTATCTTTCCACCTAAATTTAAAAATGTATTCAGTATGTTTCAGTGTCTTTAATGTATATGAAAATATGATTAAAAAATTCACAAAAAATGGCTAGCAGACAGTTTAGCATTGTGACTCTACATGTTGTTGTTGTTTGTAATACATAATAGTCACCTTCTTTTCTTTAAACTAATTAATTATACAATTAAAAAGATGTCATTTTTACTTAATTGAAGATTCACATGCATAGTGTATGTCATTTCTTTCTAGAATCTATGTGTCTGAGAAAATCATCCATAGATTTCAACCTTCCAACTCTGCACTATCTTTCATATACTCACTTTTCTATACTTACAGTCTTTACCCCCAACTTAGCACTAATTCTCTTTCTTTATTATTTATTAACTTATCAAGTCTTAAATGAATACATTACTTCAAGTCACAGGCCATGCTTCGCCATCCTTGAATTCCCAATTGTACCTAATGTTAAGGTACAGATTAGTTTGTATTCAGTAAGTAGTTACAGAGTGAATGAATGACTTTTCTTTTTCCCTGTCAAAAATTTAGAACTCAGGTTTAGAACTTTAGCTCAGAATTTCTGGTGAAGGTTAAACTATTTGTTAAATATTAGTTATACTGATCAATCCAACAGTTCATACATTTCACTCATTGGAGCTAATCTTCAATACAAAGATACAGTGTAAAACCAAGGCTATTATTGGATTATAAATTGATATCATAATATAGAATTGCGACTATAATTTTGAACATTTTGTAAATCTTAGTGTTGTCTATTTTTAAATTAATATATTTTTATATTAAAGGAGTAAATACATATGTATATCTTAAAGCATCAGCTATCATAGTGCACAATATTATTAAAAATACCAAAAACAACATGCTACTTCCTGTCAAACTTTCTCTTATGTTGGATACCATTCGTGACACAAAGCATTACTGGCTCTTTCAATGTAAATCTCAGAAAGCCTGACACATTTCAAAAATGTTCTTCTGCAGTCTGTAATCATAAATTCATTTCCCAGGACTAATAACAATTTCATCCCAATAGTTTTTTGAATTATTTCTCATGCACCGCAGAGTAACTTTCTAGCTACGTGTTACCTCAGTTGCAAGCAGTGGACTGAATCCCTAATTTTCAGCCTGGCTCTGTTTCTAAGATGATTAATTTGGTTCAGTTACTAAGCTTTCCTTTAGTCAAAGTTGTTCATCAGCTATTAAAACTTTCGTATCTTGTGATCATTTAAAGAAATAATTTTTTCCTTGATTTGATGAACTGCATAGATACACATGAATCATAAGCAGCTTAGATAACTATTTCTATTTCTTCAGTATCATGATGATGATATCTATATCCTATATCACAATACTTACCTAGAACTATTAAAAGTGGTTTAATTTTTCTAGCTTATATACATATATATAAAATACATAAATTATATGTATATAAATATATAAAATATATAATTTCCTTTTTAAACACCTGGTTTTGAATGTAATATTCAATTTTATTTTGTCAACACTTTGTACTATAGTAAGTTAACTGTCCATGGAAAACAGAACATCATGAGTAGATTACCCTGATAAGGTTTTTGTGAGCAACTGATTAAGTTTTAGATGTAATATTTTGTCCCATTTACCGTAAAACACTAAAAAAACTTATCAATTATCTTCATGGTAGCATTTTAAAAATTATAAATCAAATGCAGAGTTGAATTATAGGAAAGATTACCTGGGTGATTTTTTCCTTGAATTCATTTGGTATTATTTATGACTTTTGTGCTTTGCCTTACTGAATCCTAATGTTTTATTTAATTTCCCTGAAATTCTGGTAGATATTTCATGCTCTGTAAGTATAATATTAATAATTAACCAAATGCTATGTTACTATTTTATTGAAAAATATGATAAAAATGACTTTTATTGAGGATTTACCTTATTCTAGCCATTATATTAAATATTTTTCATTCAGTATCTCATTAAATCTTAATCCTCTGATTGTTATTCTCCACAGTCTTCCTCACCTCATCATTTTAAAGGTGAGGAAATGCAAAGAGCTTAACTAACATTTTCAGGGTTATAAGGATCAGAAAGAAAAGGACTTTCTGGCATGATCTAGAGAGAAGTCAGGATTGGTTTTCTTTTTCTTGTTATCCATGCCAGAAACTGTAGTCAACATCATTATAAAATCAGGAGACAAAGAAGTATAAAAATGTTTATTTTTTCCCTCATATTAAAATTTTCCAATTGTGCCACAAAATGTGTGTGTTTCAAATAAAGTTAGTCAAGTAATCCCAATGTGTAGAAAACATTGATTATCAAATTAATAATATATTCCCAGCATTTATTAATAGTGTATGTATAGCTTATCTTGTTGCTGGAACAGATTAGGAAGTGCTAATTTTCCAGATAAACTGAAGCATACAAAACTTTAATTAAATTTTAGTTAAATGTATCAAATTTCAATTAAAAAATAACAATTAGTGGTAAGAATTAGAGGTAATTCTTAGTTCCTTATCTTTTCTGAGGCTATGACCATATCACACTATACAGATGGGAATTTAGAAATCATTCAAACAATGGTTAACTTAGTTTTCCTTAAAACCTGTGACTTGAGGGCTTGGCGCATGCCAGTTGGTCATCTTTGTTCATTCGATTAAGTGGAAATCATAAATAGTATACTTCAACTTGTGCTAGGGACTTGGACTGAGTACAAACTATTCAAAATAAAATGTGATATTTCTGAATTTTAACAACTAAGAGATGATATGCCAATTTTCTTCTGGCTGAGGAATCATAATAATTTATATAAAGTGAGGATGGTAATCAGAAGAAACCCAGAAAGTGCTAGATAAGGGTTTACTGGTATTTTTATTTTGGAGCTCCAAAGGAAAAAAAGTCACATCTATTAGTTTTCATTTTTCATGTAAGAATAAAACATTTTCCTTTAAGAGACACCAACTTATTTTTTCTTTTCACACTCTTTTTCTTTCTAAATTCATCCAATAAACATTATGTCATTGTGAAAACGAAACAGTTTAAGTTGTTTGCTTTTAGAATTAAAAAAAAAAGGTATTTTGTAGAGCAATTGTCTTGCACAAATTGTAGGCTTGAAAGATGCATCCTATTTCTTTCACTGACATTGGTGGTTTAAAAGTGGCATTTTCAAATTGTGATGAATCCCTAACTACAAAATGATTTTTGTTTTTAAGTTTTCTGGTGGTAAGCCTCACTTGATCAGTTATGAGAACAATGAATCCCATATTTGTTTTATTTTAAAATAAGTGTTTTGACACCATCACTAGCAAAGGGTGTTTTTTTCTGTTTCTTTCAAAATATAGTATGCATCAACCGAAGATACTTAGAGATTGAAAAGTAAAAGATTATATTTCAGATATAATATAGCTAAGAAGACACTTTATTTCAAATATGTATTTCCTCTCCATGAACTATCTATAATAAATGAAAGGATTTGTTTCTTGGACATGGAAACCCATTTCATTGTGGATAATGTATTAGGGCTTTTGAGGAGAACCAATATGATAAGTGGGATAAATTAACTTGGTTAAAACTTTCCTACTTTTACTTTTTGCTTTGTCTTAAAAATAAATCATTTTAACATAAAAACCTATAATTATTGAACACAAAGATAACGTTTATTTTAAAAAGAGTCTCGGCGGGGCAGTGGGGTAGGGGCTGCAGGCTTTTGCCACTGACTTGTTCTCTGGATAAAGTACTTTTGACCAAGTACTGCATAGAAGACAAGGTATGACTTCATTGTTGAATAGACCTTAACTTTTTTGTTGAGGTAAATAGCATAGAAGTAAAGGGTACTTTTGAGCAGTTTAGAAAAACATTGCGGAAAACTCTAAAGTGAAAGGGAAGCAGTGTGCAGACTTTAATTTCTCCACGTGCTTTCTGTATCTATCATCTTTTCCATACAGTGAATGCTTTCAGAGGGCTAAAATACCCTGAGAGATGCCTAGCTAACCATTCTAATAAGCATGCTATTTTTTAGAAGAAACATTATGCAGTTATGGGGCTTTTCCTTTTTAGATTGACTGATCTTGATACAGAGCTAATATTTACTGAGCACTACTCTACCTATATGACATATATTATGTGATTTGATACAGAAAATTCCCTGAAGTGGTGCCATCATTTCCCCCTATTTACAAATGAGTAAATGGAAACACAAAGAGGTTAAGTTATACATTCAAGGTTACTTGCTAATAAGTTGCAGAGATAATTAAAATTCAGAACATATTTTCTAGACTCCAGTCCTAATGCCCCTGTGTTTCCATGTTTAAAGAAGAGGATGAAGTTGAATTTAATTTACATCAGTTATTGAAGAAGCAACATGTAATTACAGATTCTGATTTCAAATTGGAACTTATGATAAAATCATAGGTTGTTTAGTAGGTTTATATTAAAACAACAACAAAAAAATCCCCCCTGTGAATGAATACGTGGGATACTGACATATAATTTAAAAGTGAGTTTCTGTTACACAACCATATAATCTGTTAAAATGCATATTTACTCAAAAATTTAAAAACTTAAAATGTTACAACTGTAAGTTATGTATAAATTTTGTTTATACAATGTGCTTATTATAAAATAGCATCAATCATAAAAAAAATCGCATCAGGCAAAGGGAGGTAGATGAGTATAGTGGAATGTGGAATTAGAAAAATAAGAATTTGAATCCCTCCCCTTAAGGTTTGACCCTGTTTTAAGTCCCTCAAGCAGCCTGAGGTTTAGTGTTCTCATCTGTGAAGTGGGAACTAAAAATAATCTCTACATGGAAAGATTTGAGAAAACAGTAAATGTGATAGTGCAGCTTAGTGTAATACATAGGAAGGATTCAGTAAAGGCAACTTTATTATTAGTGAATTTTATAAGGAATGATTAACTAGGTGAATGAGTTTATATTTTAGTTGGGGAGTTTAATACTTTATAGGTTACTAATCAGAAACATACTGCTTCTTGAATTAAAGCCAATTTTATGAATTTTTAAACTTTTTCAGAATAAGATATTTTGCAAAAGCTGTAGACTCTGCAGTACTGAATTTGTTGTTTATGAGGGGAAATGTTATGGATACTCCTGAAGTTTATCTTTCAGACATATATTTTAAGTAAAATAAACTTCATTAAAAAAATGCCAAAATATTTTTTCCTTGTAAAAATTAAAATGATTCTTAGAATTAATTTAAAAACTTAGTGGTAGCTAGAAAATTAATTAAAAGACTTTATATTAAGTTTGTAGCGAGGTGAAACCCAAGTGGACAAAGCCACTTGAAAAAATGTTTTAGGGTAGAGTTAGTGTTTTGGTGAAGGCAGCTCCTCCTATTACTATTTATGTCTCGTACACAAAGAAGCTGATGCATAATAATTGACAGTATCAAGTACTTCCAGCATGTGTGTTCATTTGCAAGTAACAGAAAAATCAGTTGAAACTGTAATGGTTATGGATGTCAGAATTAATGAGAATGAGAATGCAGTCTCTATCAGTTTTGGTAATTAAACCCAGAAGAAAAGTGAGTTCTCACGTATTCCTGTTAGTAAAGGCTTATCCCTACTTTTATTGCTGTATCAATAATTTCAGACTTACATCTTCTGAAGTTCATTCATGGGGAAAGGGAGCTATATCATAGTAGCCTGACTGGTCTGTACTCCAATCTGTGCCTAGTTTAAATAACTCTATGACCCTGATTAAAGATCGGTCCTTGAGATGCACATGAGCATGTTGCCATCTCAGCAACATCAATTATAAGGAAAGGCCTATAAATATGTTCTCTTGTGCATATGGCAAAAATAGTGATGATCAGAGCACTACCACCTATGATGTGCAACTATGTTCTTGAATCCATGTTGATTAGAGCATATTTATTTAGATGTGTAAATTTTGGAGATTTGATTTTATTCCATATGATAATGCTGCTTTTAATTAAATGCAATTGTCTTCAGTTTGAAAGTGCTCAAATTGGATCACTGGAATTCCATAAAGGTTAAATCAATACTAGGAAATGGAATCTGCACCAAAATCTTTGGGAATATCAGGGTCTATCTATTCTTCCACATCATTCTAATCTTGATCGTCTCTGGGGTTCATGGCATAACAGTCTTTCCATGCTATTCTTACAATTAGATCAGCAAGATATTTTGATTCAAATGTCCAACTATTGTGCTCATTAGTGAGAAAAGATCAAGATCTGAGCTGGTCAGTTGGTGGAGTCTGTGTAATACCGATTTTGAAAATTCTTCTCAACTAAACCTTGTCAGCTCTTGATAACTGTCACAAAAATTTTCTCTGAAACTAGTTACCATACTTATTTAAATATACATTCTGTAAAGTAATTCAGGGAGACAGGATATTTTATTCTTTACTTGATATTGTGTTCTATAATTTCTAGTCTAATTTTTAATATTTCCATTAACATGGTGAATGGGTAATTAAGAAAACTTGAAAACTGCAGGAGGTGATGTGTTATACATACAGGCAGAATAACATAAAAAGCAGTATGGGTCACAGTCCTAGATACTGGGGGACTTACATTTGAGTCCTAGTTTTGTCGCTAACCAGCAGTATGATCTTGAACAAATCACTCAACTTTTCTGAGCCCCATTCTTTATCGGAAAATGGGTAAAATATTTTTACTCCATTCATTCATTCATTCATTCTATGGACAAATATTTCTCAAGCTCTTATTATGTGCTAGGCACTCTTATAGGCCTTGGAGATACTAAAGTGAATTAAAATTTACATGGTTTCTGCCTTTATAAAGCCTACAGCCTAGTCAGGAATGTGGATATCAATTAAGTAATTACAAAAACAAATGGAAACTTACATCAACACAAGAGCTATGGGGTATCTAAAAGGGCCTGGGATGAGAGGCAGGGGATTTAATCCAGTCAAGGAGCTCAGGAAGGACTGAAGAAAAGATGATTGAGTTGAGAACTGACCAATGAAAGCTCAAGTAGGAGAAGAGGAGGAAAGAACCATGTTCCAAGTACAGAGAACTGCAAACAGCAGGTAGAAAAGATAGAAAGGCAAGTGTGGCTGGACGAGGAGTGAGGATCAAATAGATTGTGTGAGAAGTTTGTTTCTCTCCTTCTTTTTTTGAAGTTCCAAAACACTATAAAATTGCAAAGTAGTATTGTTTACATAAAGTAAGCAGTGGATTTCCATGGATTTTCAATGAAAATTAACATTGAAATAGAGAAAATGCCTGACTATTTTTTTATTTATGAAAACCCCAAATTAATAAAGGCTTACTTTTAAGTGCACAGGTCCTCAGTAAACATGTGATGAGCTTTTATCACATCCCTAGCAATGGGCAGACATTGAGAATACAAAGGTAAAACATGGCCTTTTCCTTCAGGAGTTCACTGATAATCCACAACAGCTGTTTAGGGTAAATTCAGATTTATTTTTATAAACCTGCTATGTCAAATCATAAACATAAATCTTAAAAAATATTTATCCTTTTCCCTCCAAGTCCTTATAGACTAAGTGTTACTCAATATAAAAATATCCAAGCTGCAGACAACCAGAAGCTGAGAAAAGTTGAAGAAACCATAAACTGCAGAATCAGCCTCTGCTTATCAGAGGATGTATTGCCGTTGTTGATATACATTCCATTTACTTTGTATTTAGTAGAATTCAGCATATGTGTATGTGTGTGTATGTATACATTGGAAAGTACCATGTATGTCACTATTTTAAAAATGAAATACAAATTTTTTATTAACTCTAAACACTAAATATATTACAAATTACTCTATATTGAAAACTACACAACAGCTGAACAATCTCTCTAGTATTTTTTCCTTGAGGTTGGAAAAATTCACATCATTTCTGTTTTCCTTTTCAGGAACAACTCTAGGTCCTCTCACCGAGCCTTTTACTACAGGCCAGTATATTAATTCCTGGTTTTATATGTTAAATAAAAATATTCAATAGTTTAAATTATTAGTCACTTTGGGTTTTAAAGAAAGAATGTATAGGACAGTTTGGCTTTAGAAAAAATATTTCAAACAAGTAGTTTACTAGGTTTTTACCGCTGACTTTAAATTTTTCTTTAAAAACCTTGAATTTTACTTGTTTTTGATCAGTCTATATTGACTGGCTATAGAAACATGGTTTCTAGTTTGATTTTCTTCTTTATCATTAACTATTAACATAATATCTGCAACAGTAGTAAATATCTTTAAATTTTTTTAAAGACTATGGGTTGCACATCTAATAACATACGTTACTGTCTTAGATGTTTAAAGTTTAAACATGTGCACATCTAATAACAGCTCTCTTAGCTGTTCTAAGCCTAAATGTAGCAATTAACTATTTCATGATAGTGTTTCTTTATTGTTATTATCAGCCCCAGGCCACAGTGATTAAGGCATAAGGATCTGCTTATTTTATTTTATTTTTAAATTTTAAAAATTATTTTTTAAAATGTGGATACATAGTAGATATATACATATATGGCATACATGAGATGTTTTGATACAGGCATGCAATGTGAAATAAGCACATCATGGAGAATGGGGAATCCATCCCCTTAAGCATTTACCCTTTGTGTTCTAAATAATCCAATTATATTCTTTAAGTTATTTAAAAATGTATAATTATTATTGGCTATAGTCACCCCATTGTGCTATCAAATAGTAGGTATTATTCATTCTTTTAAATGTTTTTATACCCATTAACCATCCCCACCTCTCCCTAACCCCTGACTACCCTTCTTAGCTCTGCTAACCATCCATTTACATTCTATGTTCATGAGTTCAATGGATCTGATTTTTTTAGATCCCATAAAATAAGAACATGTGATGTTTGTCTTTCTGTACCTGGCTTATTTCACTTAACATAATGATCTCCCATTCCATCCATGTTTTTGCAAATGACTGGATCCCATTCTTTTTTATGGCTGAATAGTACTCCATTTCATGTATCGTTTATCCATTCATCTGTTGCTGGACACTTAGCTTGCTTCCAGATCTTAACTATTGTAAACAGTGCTGTCACAAATGTAGGAGTGCAGATATCTCTTTGATACACTGATTTTCTTTCTTTTGGGTATATGCTCAGCAGTGGGATTGCTGGATCATACGGTAGCTCAATTTTTAGTTTCCTGAGGAACCTCCAAACTTTTCTCCACAGTGGCTGTAGGTTCTGCTTATTTTAAAACACTTATTTAGAAAAATATATGAAGACCTAGTGTGGCTCAGTTCAAGATGCAGAAAGCTGTATTTGTAAAAAAGAAAAAAAGGCAATGATACTAAAACAAATTCTTAGGGAACTCTAGGCAGAAAGTCACTGGCTTTATTGATTCTATTTTCTATGGTAAAATTGATTAAACAGTTAACTCACTCCATGGTGATAAAGTCCTAATAGACTTTAGATGAGACGTTTATTTTATGTTTTTCTCAGGCATTACTGAAACTTCAGTTCCCATCATCTCAACATCTGGAAATGCAGGCACGACAGGAGTAGTGAGCCCCACTGTCACTGGTGCTGCAGGCGTGGCAGGTAAATTAAATTCAGAACAAAGTATACCAGTCTCAGCTAAGAAACTCATTTTAGGTGATGTTACTCAGAACAATATTTTGCAAAATAAAAGTATTAGAGCTAGGTGATTATTCCTTATATGTAATTGAAATATCGTATCTTTAGTCTTTTCACAAGTTGCTTCCTTAAAGTATAATGTTAAAATTATATGTGCTGATGACCTTGATAGTTGGTGGTGCCTATGCATTTTTTTAGCCAGATATTTGTTTTTTCTTTACCTTTGTCAGGGACAACTGGAGTGTTACCTGGTATAACCACAGGAGCTGAACATGGAAATTTAAGTGACTTCAGAACAGGTGAGACAAAGAAATGAGTCAAATGCTGTCTCTTCCACAGCCTATTTCTACTAGGAATCCTCTGTTTCAACTTGGCAACAACTTTACCCTGAGTACAATAGCTGACTTCAGAGATATTGAAGTCAGCTAAATGACCTTGGGGAAAAATTCAATGATTAATATTTAATAAAATACTAATGATATGTTTCTATGGCACAGGAATATTTCTGAATTGTCTACAAATAGATAGTATGTAATTTAATCAACAATTACACCATGGTAGTTATCTGTTGTTATTCCCATTAGGTGAGAAAATAATAAAAGGTCTCCAAGCTGGAAGAGGCAGGATTAGAACACATAATCCTAAGTCTGGTGTGGAATAGCTAGCTCCACAGCTCTGTGTGTGTATAAAAACGTAGATCCAACAAAAGCCAATGAGAATATGCTTGCCCTACATATCATTGACTGAATTTTAACTACTGTTGGTTTCATGAATAAAATATTATTGGTTTCCTTAACGAGACATCATTTTGATAGAAAACAAAAAAGCGTAAGTTCACCCCTGTCCACCATGCTATCAGCTACTAATTTCAAGTATCTCTTAAGTTTCTTTCTGCATCAATTTGCCTCTGCTTTTGTTCAGGTGTTAAACATTTTCCACCTAGCCTCCACCTTGCTCATCTTCCTCCAACACAATGGTGTTTAAAGTGTGGTTTCTGGAACAGCAGCATCAGCATCTTCTGGGAACTTGTTAGAAATGTAAATGTCTGGGCCCACCTGCCTAAAATCAGAAGCTATTGGAGTGGAGCCCAGCATTTTACTAGCAAGCCTATGCATCTGATGCTCATCAAAGTGGAAAACTACTGCTCTAACATTTCCACTCCTTCCTCACTTCCCTCCCAATCTACGCTGCAGTCAATACCATGGCAGAATGGACTTCCAAAATCTCAACTATCATCATGTCACTCCACTACTTACAATTCTTCAATTGTTCTGATTGCTTTTAAGATAAATCAAAACTTCTTTACATATATACTGGGTTAAAAGCCATTTCTTTAGTGTATACATGGAACTATTTCTCTTTATGCACTTGCTAACTAATCCATGGCCTAATTTTATTTTTTCTACAGTTACTATCCCCTAGCAATTTTCCTGATTTAAACATTATAACTTAAACACTTTATGGAATAAGATATAGTTTACATAGAAATTAATGGTTTAAAGGATATAATCAATGTACAATAGCACAAATTAAGAAAGTGGTTGGTTCCAATCAGGTCAGTAAACTTAAATTTTAGAGTGATGACTATTTGCTTACATTTCTTAAAACCTGCATGGAAATTACTTGGATAATAATGATAAGCCAATCAGCTATCTCTTTTGGTTATGAGGCAGTATGTATAAGGATTTTGAGCAGGGCTACTCAAAGTTTGGTCGACAGATGGATACTCGCCAGACTGTTACCAGTTTTTGATGTATTAAGAACTGAAACAGAGAGTAAGTATTTAAAAACACAGCAATTTCACAGGATGATTTTTATGTCTATTAAATAAAGACTTGTGTTTTGTAAGGTTTTACTTTTAAAAATTTCATTTCTCTATTTTATGGCCTTTTTCAAAGTATTAATCTAGCATAGTTTGGAAATTTTACAAAATTGATCTTTTGCTACATATTGTTTGAGAAACACAGGTTAGAGTATTAACTGTAGTTAGACTGCTTGAATTTGGCTCCTGGATCTGCTGACGACCAACTTGGTGACCTGGAGCAAGTCATTTAATCACATCTAATAAATAAGAATAATAATATGACTTGTTTCAGAGGAATTTAATAAGAGTAAATGAGTTGGTTTATGTGTAGGGCATTTTTTTTTTTTTTTTTTTTTTGAGATGGAGTTTCATTCTTGTTGCCCAGACTGGAGTGTAGTGGTGCGATCTCAGTTCACTGCTACCTCTGCCTCCTGGGTTCAAGCGATTTTCCTGCTTCAGACTCCCGAGTAGCTGGGATTACAGGCACCTGCCACCAGGCCTGGTTAATTTTTGTATTTTTAATAGAGACAGGGTTTTGCCATGTTTGCCAGGCTGGTCTCGAACTCCTGACCTCAGGTGATCTACCCGCCTCTGCCTCCAAAAGTGCTGGGATTACAGGCATGAGCCACCATGCCCGGCGAGGGCATTTTTTTAAATACTTTTTTTTTTTTTAAAATCAAAAGTAACCGGAAGCCCTCCTGCCCACACCCAGGGAACCAAGCAAAGGAGCTGCAAGCCCTGGACAATCAGGCAAGTTAGGACATGTGCTTTAGCTCCTGTTAAATGGGCGTAGTCAAAACATGCTTTAGCGCCTGATAAATGGGCATAATCAAAACATGTAAGCTGCTCAAGAAGCTTGAAATGTGACTAGAATCTCCCAGTCTTTTCCTTTAGAAGCATCATATGTTGAAATTACTGCTACTGTGTTTGTTAGGTACGACTGGAGGATTCCTGGGCGCAACCACAGGAGCAGGCAGGGGAAGCACACCGGGAGCATCAGGCAGTGGGGCCACCAGCCCTGGGAACCCAGCAGGCAAGACAAGGACTCTTTTGGGGGCTGTAATTGGGGTCCAACACAAGCTTTGCCAAGACCCCAGAATACGATAATGAGATTAAGTAAATATAACCAAGGGCAATATTTTAGGAAAACAACATGAAACTGAATATCCTGAAATAATTTTTTTGGTAACTATCCATATACATTAAGCACCATTATTCTTCCGAGTAGGAAGAACTGGAGGAGTGGATGCAGCCACCACTGGAGCTGCTGGTGAAAATACATCTGAGAGAGCAGGTACTGGAAGAGCAAAAACATCATGATGCTGTCCTGTGGACACGTGAGCTTTCTGCTCAAAATTTAGTCAGAAACAAGGTTTGTTGGGGAATCCAAACATTACGTAAGGCTGTGTGTGCAGAAGATCAGAACTATACCAACAAGCATATGCTGTATACCTAATACTGTGATAGATGCTCTGTGGGATACAGGAAAAGAATAGGGCCCTATATTTGTTCTCACTCTACTTCACTTTGGAGAGGAAGGAATAAATATTCCTACAGACATAGATGATAAAGACTAAGAAAGGCAGGAGTTAATCAAGCAAATAAAAGGTGCATGCTGGAGCATAAGGCAATTCTAGTAAGAAGAGACAAGATAATTCAATGTTGAACTATTCAGTGTTGAACAGTGAATTATCTGCACGATTACTCTATTTTACGAAGAAAAACTCCTTTATTGTAATCAGTACAATATCAGAGTTTCCTGATTTATTTGATTTACCTTGAACAAGAACTTGTCATGACATTTATGAGATAGATTCATTTTTTTAAAGAAAAAAGTGTGTATTTATATGAGATAGATTCATTTTTTAAAGAAAAAAATGTATATTTTAGGTCACTTTTATAAGGATTTAACTTTCTTAGCAGACATTGTTTTTTTCCATGATAAAAAATTAGGCACACTGCGGGTATCTGGAGCAACCCCTGTAGTCGGAGGTGGCAGTACCCTGGGGGAAGCAGGCCCTGGAGCCACAGTTTCTGGTAAGATTGACCAAGCTGGACATGATGTCTCAGAAGTTCCCAACCATACCTCCTACACTAAGTGATGCTCTGTAAATTCAGGCTAGAACTAGTATTAGGATGCAGGGCTGAGGAAAGTTGGAGGGATAGTTTCTTTCACTTCCTTTGTCTGGAACCTTCCAAGTAGTCATAGTAACAGAAGTAATAACATATATACCTGCTCCTCTCTTGGTTTCAGGAAGCACAGGAGTTTCTGCAGGCTCCACCACTGCCAGCCCTGAAGCCTCAGTCACAACCTCTGAAAGCAGCAAATCAGGTAAGTAAAAGGGAAAAGTCAGTGAGTATGCAGGAGTAAAATGGAGCGTGTGGATCTCCACATTTTCTTTATTTAGCAGTGCTGTAAAGAACGAAAAGAACTGGAGTTAGGAAGCCCAGTTACTGACCACCGGTATTGCAGGTAGTAATCGGCCATACAGATTCAGACAGAGGTTCCTGTTCTGGAACTTCTGAGTCTGTGAGTCTGGAGTGGGGCTAGGGTCATAGTTTGCAATCCTAACTACAAATTAGAATCAACTAGATAAATGTTTGAAAATACATATTGAAGAATCCGTCACAGACTAATTGAATCTGTCCCTGGAAGAAGGGACCAGGCATTAAGTATTTTTAAAAAGCCTCACGGGTCCCACATGCAACCTGGGTTGAGAACCACTAGGTTCAAATATCTGAATATTAAACAAGTAAATAATAAACAAGCTTATTTACAAGGAAGAGGTAAATAAGCACTCTCAGGGATGCCAACAATTGTATATGATTCTCATAATGAATTTTTGGAAAGAGTGAACCATTCCTGGAAATGAAGAAGTGTAAACAAAAGATATTTTGAAAGCAGAGAGTAGCACCCTCTGTTCTGCTAAATCAAAGATCACGATACATATTTATTGTCTATTTTGAAAGGAACTACTGGACCCTCAGTAGGTGGAAAAACTAGAGCCACAAGCAGTGAAGCGACATCATCTGAAGGCGTGTCAGGTGAGTAGAGGATGTCATTCCGAGGCCATGGCTTTTGGTGAAAAGGACAATCTTTCATCAGACCTCTGCAAATTTCACTAAGTATAAATGCCATCCAACAGAAGATAGAAAGGTATCTAAGTTATTAACATTTTCAAGAAAAGTTTTAATTTAGGTTTTCTCCAAGTATTTCCTTCAAAACTGCTATGGCACTGGGTTGTCACAATAATGTATGTGCTCTCCCAACACTGTGTTTGCCAGGTGGAACAGGACAGCCTCTTGGATCTACCGCTGGATCTGACAGTGAAATCACAGCCAGAACATCTTTCACTGGTTCCAGCTTACCTGGGAAACTCACCAGGCCAAGCCCAGGCTCACCTGGTCACTTTAGTGGTGGTGAGTCACAAACCTAGTTGGAACCTCAAATTCTTATAAATTTAAGCGAATTTAGAAGGGATCTAATTTTACAACAAATGATCATGGATAGTTTAAGTAGACCCCCTACCTCTTTAAAGAAACCCTGAAATTTGTTCGAAGAGTACTTCATTATAACCATTTATGTAGACTAGGCTTGCCAGAGAAAATATAGGATACCAGTTAATTTGAATTTCACACAAATCAGGAACAATTTTTTTTTTTTTGGATGAGTATGTCCCATGCAATGATCAAAACACAGTGTTGATTGTTTGTCTGGGATTCATATTTAACTGGGTGTCCTGTATTTTTATTTCGTGATTTTGAAAACTCTGATGCAGACTGAGCACTGTTACTCTTTTCAATTAGGAACAACTGAAGGGGGAAATGTAGCCACCACTGGAGCTGCTGGTGAAAACACTTCTGGAGCATCGGGTATGGAAAGAGCATAATTAGAATAAATCCAGACAGTAGAAGTATAATTTTTTTTACTTAAAATGTTGTCAGAGACAAGGTTGCCTGGGGAATTTAATTATTATTTGTGTAATGTCAAAACTGCAGAAGATCAGAAATAAATCAAGAAATATTTGTTGTGTGTTCAATATCATCCTGGGGGATACAGACAACATAAAAGAGGAGTAGAGTAAGGCATTTGTTCTCATAGAACTTCATTTCTGAGCAAAAGAAATTAATATTTATAATACACACAAAGGCAAAAGATAATCAAAGTGGAGGAATTGTTCAATAACACGCATTGGAGTAAGACTTGAGAGTCAACTCTAGTAAAGTGACTGATTAATTTGTTTAAAACAATGGAATTATTCTATTTTGAAAATAATATAATCAGTGCACTACGAGCTATGTCTATATGCCCCAACTTGAACAAAAACTCAAAATACAAGGAAGCTGAGTGAAATTTTAAGAATCTATTCAACTGCAAGGGAATAAAAAGCAGTTATTCAGGTTTTGGGGAAGGAGGATTAAAAACAAAATATTCTTCAAATCCAGAACCCCCTGCACAAAAGTAGTACAGAATAAAATATAGGTTAACTATTGAATAAGCATTAAAACAGAATGTGATGCACATCAGAGGCAGTCTGTTAAGAGATTGCAAAATCAAAGCAATATATCACTCTTTTATAATATATAGCCAAGCAGATATGACCTACTACACACATGTTCTCAATATAAATGATTATAGTCTTCAAGTAGCAGGACTTGAGAGCAACATTTATTACACATAGTTCATCCTAAATTCGTCTCTGGAAATGAAGCAAGTAAGTTGTTCACAGCTGAATCAGTGAATAGCCTTCCTTAACCGAATTTCTTACATATTGTATCTCTGTTGTAAATAATCTGATGACCTGGTTAAATATTCAAACACACCAAAAATCCTTTTATCACAAGCAGAATGTAATTTAGTCATAGTATCAACCTGATCCTTAATTTGCACTGACACTAGTAGATTCGAATAGGATTTAAGCTCAAGAAACCAATGGAAAAACACAAAAACAAAAACAGGAAAATGGTGGCTGCATAAATTGGAGTCCATAGGTACCTCATTCTTCAAATCATAAAGATCAAAACAGAGCCCACACTTACGGTGTTTAGTGGAGACAGAGAAGAGCCAGACTCCAAAAACTGGGAATGATGGCTCTGAGGCTCACCGTGGGACTGAGATATAGGTAAGGGCGTCATAGAAAATAGAGAAGTATAGAGAGGTCCTAAGAGTGGTAGAATACTATGATTCTAATGGTTCAATCAAGTAGAGTTGAGCCTCAAAAGGAAAGATCCCCAACTTGAGTGGAAAATGCTGAGAGAAAATCTGGGACCTGGCAGGTCAGAGAGCCCTCATGAATGGAGTTGAAAGAGTATTGGAGAGTGCATGGAAGTTTTTGGAAGGGGGAGCAACCCTTGGAACCTGGGTGTCAAAGGAAAAAAATAAGTATGTGAAAATAAAGGTCTCAGTAAAACAGGATAATAATGAAAGCATCAGAAGACAGACAAGGAAAAAGTGCCACTTATAAACAAAGCTTCCTCACTGTAAGAACATAAGAGGGGAGCCCTTTATCTGAGGAATCTGGGAAGCATATGGAAGCCTCTCTGCTGCCCCCTGCATAGAATCTCCTACTATTACTGGCCCACAAAACATTGAAAAAAATAATAATAATAAAGAAAAAAAAAGAAATTCCAATATCGATACACAGTTATTCCTTTGTATACATTTTCAAAAACTTTGCAGCAGTAGCAAGCAAATTGTAAAAATCTAGTCATGAAGCTAAAGAATACAAAAACATAACATTAACATAAAACAACTGGCCGGGCGCGGTTGCTCACGCCTGTAATCCCAGCACTTTGGGAGGCCGAGGCGGGCGGATCACGAGGTCAGGAGATCGAGACCATCCTGGCGAACACGGTGAAACCCCGTCTCTACTGAAAATACAAAAAAATTAGCCGGGAATGGTGGCGGGCGCCTGTAGTCCCAGCTTCTAGGGAGGCTGAGGCAGGCGAATGGCGTTAACCCGGGAGGCGGCGGGGCTTGCAGTGAGCGGAGATCGCGCCACTGCACTCCAGCCTGGGCGACAGAGTGAGACTTCGTCTCAAAAAAAACAAAAAACAAACAAACAAACAAAAAACAACTAAGGAAACAACTGCAGCTACAAAGAGACATCAAAATTATAGATTAAAAATTAAGAGTGGAAATAGATAAACAGCAGGAATGTTACATTGGAATTGGTGAAAACCCAGGAGAAAATGGAAGAAAAAGAAAAATTATCTCAAAAGACCAAATAGCAAATTGCTCCACTGAGAATAAATAACACTGAAAATACAGCAAGGCTATTAGAGGATAGAACGGAGAAGAGGTACCCTACCCCTGAAATATTGCAGATACTTTCAAAAAAGGTATAATGGGCTAGAGAAGGATATAGTTTTAGGAAACAAACAAAAATATCGAAGACATATTATTGCCATATCTGGAGAAGAAAAAGCAATGAAGCAGAGCTAATATTTAAAATTATAAATAAGGAAAAATAGTCTTAATTTAGAAAAAAACCCTAAATCTATGTAGTGAAAGAACCTACCATATACCTGGAAGAATTAATCCTGAAGAGTCAATTCTGTAAAGTATTCGGAAAAACAATTGGACTCGCTTTACTCATAGATAACAGGTAGTAAGTAGTCAAGTGAATTGTTTAAATCTCATGAGCTAAGTACAAGAAGCATCAGTTTACAAAAAAGGAAGAATGAGCTATCAGGAAGAAACTAATGCTCGATTATTTTTATTAATACTGATTTTTAGTGACTTTTTCAAAATTAAGGCATCTTTTAATGTAATTCATAATATTAATAGTAGATCTAAGGGGAAAAAAAAAACAACCCACAGAAGCTAAAATGGTATTTGATAAACATTGCCTAATCATTTCTGATGGGAAAAAAGACCACTTAAAATAATAGGAATGAATGGATATTTCCTTAAAACAGGGCCAGACTTGGTGGCTCATGCCTATAAGCACTTTGGGAGGCCGAGGCAGGCAGATCACCCGAGGTCAGGAGTTTGAAACCAGCCTGGCCAACATGGCAAAACCCCGTCTCTACTAAAAATATGAAAATTAGTTAGGTGTGGTGGCAGGCGCCTGTAATCCCAGCTACTCGGGAGGCTCAGGCAGGAGAATTGCTTGAACCTGGGAGACGGAGGTTGCAGTGAGCCGAGATCTCACCACTGCACTCCAGCCTGGGCAACAGAGCGAGACTCCGTCTCACAAAAATAAATAAATAAATAAATAAATAAATAAATAAATAAATAAATGTAAAGTACATATACCTCAGCCACACATGTAGCATCTTAATAAGGAATTTCTAAACTTATTCCACTATCTTCAGGAACAAGATAAAGAGACATACAATCATACTACTATTTAATATTTTCTGGTTATTAATAAATTGGATTATGTAGGAATTGAAAGCATAGAATTTGAAACAGAAAATATTAAACTATTTCTATTTACAGATGGCATAATAGTGTACCTGCAGAACCCTAGAGAATCAATGGAAAAGCTTTAAGCAGTAAGATAATTTAATAAGGTACCAAGACACAAGATTAATCTATAAAAATTAAGTCTACATAAATACAAATAACAAGTTAAAATATATATTTGAAGGGCAAAGTCCAATTTATATAAACTACAAATAAGATAAATTACCCTGGAATAATCCAAACAAGATAAAACTTACATGAGGAAAACATTAAAACTCTACTTAAAGACACAAAAGCAGTTTTGACCAAATGGAAAGGCAATATGTATCAGTGTGCACAAGACCCCTTCAAGTTTTGGGACTCGCTAGAAGGACTCACAAGACTCAACATAGAATCATACTCATGGCTGTGATTTATTGTCAAGCAAAATCAGCAAAGGGAAAAAGTGCATAAAGCAAATCAAAAACTAGAATAATAGAAGATGCGAATTCAATTACAGAGAACAAGAACTATAAGTGATTCTTAACCCTCTGAGAAAATGATCAACTTCACACAAGAAAAATGTAAACCAAAACTACACTGAGATACCATTTCTCACTTTTTAGATTGGCAGAAATCCAAAAGTGTGACAACAGCCCTGTTGACAGTTCTGGAAAGAAACAGGTGGTGCTCTGCGCATTGCTGGTGGGAGCACAAAATGTTACAGCTCCAACGAGAGTAACTTGGCAAAATCTAACAGAATTACAGACTTGTTTATCCTTTGACCCAGAAATCCCACTTTTAGTACTCCTGAAGCTAGGCAACCAAAATATAAAATAACATACATAAACTTTTCATACTGGCATTTTTTTAATAGAAAGAGCCTGGAAACAACTCATCAAATACACATTGAATAAAAGATGACAAAAAGCAGCACTAGGCCATCGTAATAGAAGAGTGAGAAAGATCTCTATGTACTGATCTAGTTATTTCCAGAATTTATTGTAAAGGAAAAAAAGAAATCAGAATTGTATATACCATTTATACCTTTATGAAAAAAGAGGGGTGTGTGTATGTATGTGTACATATATGTATATATGTTTTGTAAGGATATGAATTATATATACATATGCAAATATGCATACAAAAAACACAGAAGATAAACTAAAAACTAGTGAAAGTCATTACTTATAGGGAATAAACCAAAACAGCAGAATTTTGAGTTCTCAGAGTATTCTTTTAGATAGAATTTTGGCTTTTGAAAAGGAAAATGTCATATGTATTTTTAAAAACACAATTAAATCAAAATAAAAAAAGCAAACCCTAAAACTGAAAACCAACCAAAACAAGTGAACCTAATTGAATATCAAATTATAATCACATGGAGAAAATAATTATTTCACATGACTTTAAAACACAGTAATCAGACAGTATATGCTAGTGTCATGTATTTTAATGGCAAAAAGACTGCTAGGAAATTTTAAACTTCATTCAGTAATTTTCTTCTCAGTAGTTATATGAGTGTTCTCACTTTGAAATGGTTTTTTATATATTACAGAATAAAACAATTAGTAGTTATATAAGTGTTATTAGAAATCAAGATTTTAAATGTAAGAGAAAAGAAATACAATAATTAAATCAGGGCTGGACAAAGTGCTCACGCCTGTGATCCCAGTACTTTGGGAGGCTGAGGCCAGCAGACTGCTTGAGCCCTGGAGCTTAAGAGCAGCCTGGGCAACATAGTGAGACCCCATCTCTACAAAATAAAAAATACAAAAGATTAACTACACATGGTGGCACATGCCTGTATCCTAGCTACTTGGGAGGTTGAAGTGGAAAATCACCTGAGCCCAGAAGTCGAGGCTGTAATGAGCAGTGATTGCACCACTGCACTCCACCTTGGGAGAAGGAGTGAGATCCTGTCTCAAAAAAAAAAAAAAAAAGAAAAAAAGAGATCAAATAATAAGTAAATTTCTGTAATGTTCCATTTGAGTGGGAAATATAAACTTACGATCTATATATCATTTATATAAATCTAAATATATGATATATATAGAAAATGTATATTTTTGTATACTAGAAATATATACAAACATCACAAATATGTGTGATATACCTAAATATAGGTATAAATATATATACTTCTAACATATGGAAATATATGTCTTCCAATATAATACATTTATTATCTATATATTTATTAATCTTTGTATCTTCCACCTCTGGCCACTGAAATGGCCTAAAAGCAGTGGTACCCTAACAGTAGTGTGCACCCCTTGTCAGCTAGTTTGCAGTCATAAATTTCTGTGTTCACTCTTGCTTGGAAAAATGGTTAATTCCAGGTCTTGGACAAGAAAAGTACAAGGTAGGCTTGGGACTTCTTGAGCCAGAAAATGAGGAAGCATTCAAGGGCTAAGGGAGCTCTGCCTAAATGACAAGGGCACTAAACTGCATGAGTTTTTGTTGACCAAATTTGGAGAATTTTGAGCACTGAAAAAACAATTATTTGTAATAGATTGAGACCTGTTGATAATATTGAAACATACATACCCCCAATGATAATTAATAAAAAGAAACCACCACAGCAACATTTGATAATGTTGGTGGTGACTATCATGTCGAGTCCTTATTCTGGAGATTGGTAATTAAAGAGAAAAATTAATCAATTATCACCTATTTTTATTAGAAACTATGGATCAAGATATTCAAATAGTTCCAGTTGATCTGAGAAATCTATTTAAAGAAAAATTCCAACTAATAAATGTTTAAAAAAGACACAATTGGAAAAATTGCTGTTTTGAAACCATGAATAAAATAGACAAGGAGCATAAATAAATGCTGAAAACATTGGGTGAAAGATTGACTAGGACTTGGATGTTTGCCTGATGTCAAAGTATCACCCAACAGATTACTTGCTAATTGCAGAATCGAAAAATGCTTTATACTGGAGAGTTCTGGCTGTCACCACCTAAACCTACTGATCAAACATAGCATCACTGATAGTGGGGGCTTGATGTTATGTGTCTCCTTTTGTGATCCTAGAAATTATTCCTGCCCAAAATGATGAACCTGAAACGAATCAAGTTCTTATATCCCTTTCTAGATATTCTAAATTTAGCTCTTATCCATGATGTCAATTAACTTATTCTTTTATCCTCTGGATGCTCTGCAAACTGAAAATGAATATAAGAGTTTAATTGCAATACAAGACCAACCTTTTCAATGTTATAAAATAGAATTAGAATTTCTGCTGGGAGAGATAGGGAATTTACATTTTTAATAGGCTCACCAGATGATTCTTACACACATTAATGTTGAAGAATTACTACATTCCATATTCTTAAGCAGAGAAGGTATTTGTGATGAAGAATATTGACCTGTTAATTGGGTAAAGAGGAAACAATTGCAATATTTTAGGTAGGAGGAAGGAAGACATGAATTTGGGTGGTGGAAGCAGCCATAGAAACATCATTCATAAATAATGAAGTTGAGTTTAAAAATTTTTTCATATTACTTTTATCCTCCTCTTTCTCCTCCTTCTCTTCCTCCTCATCCTCCCTCTTCTTCAAAACAAAACAAAGCAAAACAAAACAAAACAAAACAGGAACAACCAGAATATCGGGTGAATTGACTACACTGGCAGGAAGAATGACTGGGATGCCAGGCAGTGAGTTGGGATTTCGTATTGAGTAAATAGCTAAATAATCACAGAAGCTTATTCATTCAAATCAATTGCATTGATCAGAAACAAAGCTATTGAAATACTCAGACAAAAGGATGAATAATGGGGATGTCTAAGAATATTTAACAATTGCCTTAATTTCCTAGAAACTTTGGAAATTAATGTAATCCTAGCTGCCTTTGTATGTTGACCAGGTTCAACAGAAGGGTCCGTGGAAGCCACCACCAGAGCAGGCAGTGGAAACACAGCTGGAACATCAGGTACTAGGGCCACTGGTCCTGGAAACACAGCAGGTAAGACAAAGCACATCTTGTTGTCAGAGCAATGGTCAAACACAAAGGTCTTATATATAATTAGTGCAAGTCCAAGTGAGTTTTTAAAAAACAAGTTAATTATAAGAGAATGAGGAAAATTCTAGCAATAATAAGTTTAATAATGAACTTTTGTCAAAAAGCATTTGCAGCAATCTATAGGCAGAACCTCGTTATTTTTCAAATTGGACACAATTGGAAGATCAGATACCACAACCTCTTTAGCCTCCCGTGAAGTCGCATTTGAAATATTATTTATATCTAAAGTTATGTTTAATTAGCAGAAGTGTGAGCTCTGATATCAAAATTTAATTTATCAAGAGATTATGAAGAATTTAGTACTTGTAAACAGATACATGCAAATGTTACCGGAAAGTGCGGGAATCCTGATGCAGTACATTCTTAGAGAGGAGTGGGAAACAGTTCTGAGCTTGTGGGGTTGAAAAAATAGTAGTAGCAGGGTTTATTTAAATATGTAGTGCACTCTGAAACACAAGACAGAGTGGACTGCTTGAAAGAATGAGCCAGCAGCAGCTAGTGCTGGGGGACTGCTTTTATGAGAATCTTACCTGATTATTCATGAAGGGGCGTGAGGGGGGTGTTACTTGCATGCATGTTTCAAGATGTCCTTTTCGGTGCCCATGCTCTGTTGTTGTACATGCCAGTACACACACTGCATGTCTCATTAGCATTTAAAATTTCCACCCAGGGATGTGCTTTTTACTATTATAATGAGCAAAAGTCTACTCCAGGACAATTTTTTGGAGGAGTGTGTGTGCTCGTCAGGAGGGAAAATCCCTAACCTGATTATCTCCAGCTAGGGCCTGGTAAGTCCCCTTCAAGGCAAGAGGAGCTCAACCACAAGGCCAGAAGTAGCCAGTGTAGCTGTTGTCTTTTTGCTGCCTGTCAGTGGGTGGCACTGACTATGAGGTGACAACATCTCCAGGACTTGTTTTCCCAGGGGGTTCCCTTGCCTGCTCATTTCTGGCTATCTGCCTACCTTAACACAAGCCATTGTATTTTGACGAGACAATATTTATTAAGAGCTTAGTAATGTGTTAGGTACCAGAAGATGCTCTTATACTTACAAAGCTTAGAATTTTTTAGAAGAAAGTAATATTTAAACACATGCAAAAAGCAAAAAGTTAAGGAATATAGCAATGGGTAAATGGTGCAGTTTGGAGAAGAATTTACTCTGGAATTATAACTTGTAGGTAATTCTGGAAAGAGGCACATTCAGTGTCAAAGGCAAACAAGGATTGTGATGGTGTAATAGTGCCTTATCAGATTAACATGTATACCCTTCCTGAGCAAGAAGTCCTAATATCACTAAACTGTGTAAATATTATGAGTATAAATATGCTGGAAGAGATTTCCAAGTTGTTTCAGGTCACAGTGATTGAATAAAAGTGAGTTTCTTAAACTGTTTGTTTTCTCTGAAAGTCTCAGGCACACCTGTGGTATCACCTGGAGCAACTCCTGGAGCTCCAGGTAGCAGCACCCCTGGGGAAGCAGGCACTGGGGCCACCAGTTTTGGAAAATCAGGCAAGTCTGGACGTGACTCCTTAACAGTTCTCAATCCTACCTTCCTCAGCAGTGTGTGATGTGGACTATTGGTCAGGCTATAACCGACATTAAATGTCAGAACAAAGGGAAAGCGTAGAGAAGATGCCGTTAATCCACTATACTTTAGAAATCTCAGTTCTGTGCTATCAGCATGGAGTAGGGATCAGTATATTTGCAGCAGTGAGCCTGAACCATTGTTGTTGATAACCAGGGACCCCGACAGTATCTGCTGCTTCAACTACCAGTAGCCCTGTGAATAAACACACGAATGCAGCCTCAGCCACAGCAGTGACAATCTCTGGAAGCAAACCAGGTAGGTAAAATGGGGGACTCAGCACTTGCCAAGGGGCAATATGGGATGTTCGTGTAATACTGTTCCTCAGAATCAATGTCATGCTGTTAAGCAAGTAAATCACTTAAGCTCTGTAACCTCTGTTTTCTTATCTGTAAAATGTGGGTCAAAGTGATCTACTTTGTGAGCTTGGGAGGAGGAGCCAAGGAAATAATGAATAGTGTACGTCAAAGTATGTTTTTTTAAATGTGGAAAGGATCATTATTTTTATCGATACAGAAAACTGAAGATTTCTGTAATTTTTAGGTGGAAGTTAATTTAAGTGAGAATTGGTTATCTCATAGCTTAAGAAATTCTGTGAATGTGTCCTTTCCATTTCTGCCATTGCCACAGGTACACCTGGAACACCGGGTGGTACGACTAGTGGAGGTGAAATTACATCTGGGCGGTCCAGCAGTGGTACCACCACAGGCTCTTCAAATACACCAGGTGAGATTCGCAAAGCGCTAAAAGGTCACAAAAATGGCAGTCAATGTAGAAACTTGTTTATAAAAAGCTTATTCAGTAGGGCATTAATTCTGTTGAAAATCTTTCCTGCTTGAAACTTAGAGCACTGTTATTTAAATATTCTGTGAATCCATTAAAGATGTTGCCATTGCATGCTTTGTTATTCAGTATTTATGCACTATGGAGGTATCAATTAGTGCATTATCTCAAATCACAGATAATAAAAATGATCTGATAGTTTAGATATTTTCCATTATTAAACTAAACTAGTGCAGCATTTTAAATCTGATGTTGTCACATGGCCAATTTAGAAATCATTGGAATGTTACTTGATAAAACCATAATGGAGTTAAATTAGAAAAAAAAAAGCAATAGTGACCCTCTAACACTATCTCACGGTTGGTCCATAATTGTTGTTTTTGAGTTAAGGGCTTCTTAGGGTGTATTTGTTCATTTAGTTACAATTTCATTGTCTAAGTTCTGCATTTTTCCACACAAAATAACTTATGCAACAAGCTAACATAATTCAATATAGGCTAAAAGTAATAAATAATTACAAAATAATATGCTAGTTATTTTTGCAAATCATTGATTATATGATTTTCCCATAATACAAATATTTAAGAGTTCAATAAATTCTCTGCCACGAATAATATAATATGCTGTTGGGCATTAAAAGATTGTCTTAGATCAGCAGATTATTCAAATTTCAAACTAGAATTCTTTTTTTGCAATCTTTTGCAAAACCCCACTGTCTTTAGTATTAGAAATTATTGTGGTTTAAAGTATTAGCATATTTTCCCATATGTTCTTTATTGAACAGAGATCTAGAACCTTAATGAACAGCTTTCCCCATTTCTAAGAACAATTTAGAAAGTAACACTGCCTTCTGAATTGTTTAAAAATTCAGAAATCAGTTTTCTTCCTAAAACCTCTACACGTGCGTTTTTAAAAAGTCTTCTTTTCTAGAATTTGCAAGTAGGGCATGTCTATAACTCATTTTTTCAAAGCTGACTTGCTGAGGAAATATGTAAGCTATACAGTGGGTGTTGCAGATCTCTTGCTAAACAATGTTTGTGTCTCATAAGACTTAACTTGTTTGAAATGACTAAAGAGATACATTACCAATCAATTTATTTATTTATATTTAAATACTTCTCAGAAAATAAGCCAAAAAATGCCTGAAAAATATAATTAGTAGGATAAAATATTAGTAGATAAAGCCACTTATATCTTAGTTTCTGCTGGATATATTTAATACAATATTATTTGTAATCTAAACATATGAAGCAGTCATTAACCATTATATAATATCATGTATAAGTTATCTTAATCTGTTTTAACAAAGGTAAAAATGATCATCAGGAAACAACTGTATAAAGTATAAAATACACAAATGTTTTCACATGTATTAACTTACTTAAATCTTACAGACACCCTATGCAGTCAATAATATATTAGTAATTATTTACATTTTATCTAGGAAAACTCCATGTGTTTACCCCAAAGTCACAGGATGAGTATGTTGTTAGGCCAAGTCAGGGCCTGGATTGTTGATTCTTCATCCAGTCATTATCTTTTACTAGACAGACCACCAACATGGTAGATTTCGGTTAAAACTGGAGGAAGATCTTGTCACATTGCCTATCTTTGTTTACAGTTGTGTTCCTAGTGCCTAGCTCAGTTTCTGTTTGGCTACTTGATAAGTATCTGGTGGATATCTGGTAAATAATTCAATAAGTGAATAGTAATTCCCAGTCTGGTAAAGGATAGAGAGGTTTTATTCTCATCAATGAGGTAAAATAACAGGTCGTATGGAAGGGAACCTTCTGGAAGGATTGGAGCCATCAAGGGTTAGTGAACTCTTTTCTGCTCTACCCAAGTAGTTGAGTTTTGCTGGAAACATGTACCCATACACACACAGACACACCGCTGTGCAGATCCATGTCTCCACAGATCCAAGGTTTCCATCTTTATCTGGTTCTTTAGTGGTATTCTTGATATATTAGGATCTTCAGAACCAGAGCCTTCTGGGTGATACTGGATTTCCCTTTATGCGCACACCTGTTCTCTGAGTCTTCCCCATATTAGAAAATGTTACCATCACTGACTCAATTCACTCAGGTAAAAATATTATAGTCATCCTTAATGGTTCTCTCTTTTTTTTTTTGTACCTCCCATATCTAAACAAGGCCTGTTAATGCTACTTCCAATACATATCCTGACCCTATCCACTATTCTCAGTCTCTTTTATCACAATTTTAACCCAAGCCACTCATAAATTATCTGAACTTCTGAAATTACCTCATAATTGTTCTTCTTAATTCTATAATGCACCCCTGCCATGTATTTTCTACAAAGTGTAAAGAGGGATTTTAAATGTATATCAATTCTATGCTATTTCTCCCCTGTTTAAAATTATAGCCCCTTGCATTTAGAAAAATCTTCAATCTCCCTCCCTGATTCATAAACATTTCACTTGCTCCTATATATCTGACCTTAACTTATAATATTCCCCACCTCAGCTCCCATTATCCAGCTATACTCAACTTCTAGCTCTGCTTTTCTAGCAAGCATAGCTCCATTAGACTTATGACCTTTTTACTGGCTGTTACCTCTGCCTGGAACGCCATTCGCCTAGAGCTTCACTAGTAAGTTGCTTCTTGTTATCAGACTTCAAAATAAAGAGCATCTTCTCAGAGAAGCCTTTACTATCCAGACAGTCTGAAATAGAATATTCCATTTGCTTAGTATCAATTCACTTTATATTAATGCTCTGAAGCTTTTCTTGTTTGTGAATTTGGTTATTGGTTGGCTAGTTATTTTATTTATGTCTACCTCTCTCTTCCCACTAGAATGTCCCATGGAGCAGAGAACCATTTATCTGCATCCCCTTAGAACAGCAACTTAATCTTGCTTTAGTTTCTATTTTATAAAAAAGTAATATTATGTATCTCATAGAATTATTCAAATGGTAAACTGAGGTGATACTTATAAGTTGCTGACAACTTCTTTGACACACAATAGGGATATTGGATAAATTATTTTTATGAAAATAAACAAACAGAAAGAAGTTATGCTAGAGCTGGCACAGTGAAGATCACTGTGGTCCCAGGTACTCAGGAAGATTACTTGAACCCAGGAGTTTGTGATCAGCCTGGGCAACAAAGTGAGACTCTTTTTGTTAAAAGAAGTTACAATGTAGCAAAAAGAAAAGTATGAAATAATATGGTGGTTATGGAGATGAAGAGGTATAAAAGCTGTACTAGAGAAACAAAGCCACACGAGTCTTAAAGGTTAACCAAGGACCAAGATAGCTATTAACATCATTCTATTTTGACTATGTGTTTGTGACAGGGGCAACTGGATCATCAACTGGGGAGACAGAGACAACTAGACCATCAGCTAAATTAACAGGGAATTATGGACAATCATCTGAAATACCAGGGACAACTAAATCATCATCTGATGTTTCAGGGACATTGGGGCCATCAGATATAACATCTGGACCATCAGTTGCAGTGACAAGGACTTCTGAACAATCGTCAGGAGTCACAGAGACATCTGAACTCTCACTTGGAGTATCAGGGACAACTGGGCCATTAGCTGAAATATCAGGGACAACCAGACCATTAGTTTCAGGATTAAGGACAACTGTATCATTAGCTGGAGGATCAGGGACAACTGGACCTTCATCAAGAGAACCAGTGACAACTAGACCATTAGCTGAAGGTTTAGGGACAAGTGGACGATCGTTTACAGGATCAAGAACACCTGGATTATCAGCTACAGAACTAGGTACAACTGTGTCTTTTACTGGAGGATTAGGTACAAGTAGATCATCTGCTAGAGAAATAGGGACAACTGGACCATCAGCTGATGGGTCAGGACCATTTGTTGTGAGATCAGGGACAACTAGATTATCAGCTGGAGTGACAAGAGCAACTGAAACATCACCTGGAGTGACAGGAACAACTACACGATCAGTTGAAGACTCCAGAACAACTGGACCATCTGTTCTAGTGACAGGAACAACTGGACAATCAGGCCAAGGATCAGGGACAACCAGAAAATCTATTATAGAATCAGGATCAGGGACAAATGGACCAACATCTGCAGGATTAGGAACAACTGCACCATCAGCCAGAAGATCAGGTACCACAAGACCATCAGTTGGAGGAACTGGGACAACTGGACAATCAGGTGCAGAATCAGGAACAACTGAACCATCAGCTAGAGTGACAGATGTAACTGGAACATCAGCAACATCAGCTGAAGTATCAGGAAGAATTGAACCATCAGCTACAGGATCAGGTACAAGTAGACCACTAGGTGAAACAGCAGGTACAACTGTACCATCAGTGGAAGGATCAGAGGCAACTGGACCATCTGTCATTGGATCAGAAACAACTAGACTATCAGTTAGAGGATCAGGGACAACTGGAACTTCATCTGGAGGTTCAGGTGCAACAAGATCATCGGGTGGAGGAATGGGGACAACTGGACAATCAACTGCAAGATCAGAAACAACTGGACCACTTTTTGGATTGACAGAAACATTTGGACAATCCTCTACAGTGACTGGGACATCTTCAAATTCAGCTGGAGTAACAACATCTGAAGAATCACCTGGAGTGGCAATGACAACAGGACTATTGGTTGAAGGGTCAGCTACAACTCGACCACCTCTTTTAGAATCAGAGACCACTGAATCATCAGCTGGAGTGACAATGACATCTGGACAATCAGCCAGAGTGACTGGGGCAACTGGACCATCAGCTGGAGAGACGGGAACAACTGGACCATCAACTGAAGGATCAATTGCAACTGTACCATTTATTATTGGATCAGAAACAACTAGACCATTATATATAGGATCAGGGACAACTGGAACTTTATCTGGAGGTTCAAGTACAACAAGAACATCAGATGGAGCAACAGGGACAACCAGAAAATCAACTGCAAGATCAGAAACAACTGGACCCCTTTCTGGATTGACAGGAACATCTGGGCAATTGGCTGGAGTGACTGGGACATCTTCAAAATCAGCTGGAGTAACAGTGACATCTGAAAAATCAGCTGGAGTTGCAGCGACAACAGGATCATTTGTTGAAGGATCAGTCACAACTGGACCACTTCTTTTAGAATCAGAGACAACTAGATCATCAGGTGGAGTGACAGTGACATCTGGACAATCAGCCAGAGTGACTGACACAGTTGGAGCATCAGCTGGAGTGATAGGAACAACTGGACCATCAACTGAAGGATCAGGGGCAACTGGACCATCCGTTGTGGGATCAGGAACAACTAGACCATTAGCTGGTGAATCAGGTACAACTGAATCATCAGTTGGAGTGACAGGGACAAGGCCATCATCAGGAGGATCAGGGACAACTGAGTCATCATCAAGAGAATCAGCAACAACTGGACCATCAGATGAAGGATCAGGAACAACTGGACTATCACCTGGAGTGACAGTGACATCTGGACAATCAGCTAGAAAGACTGGGACAACTGGAGCACCAGCTGGAGTTACAGAAACAACGAGATCATCTGTTGTCAAATCAGGGACAACTGGACCATCTGTTACAGGAACAAGGACAACTGTAACTTCATCTGGAGAATCAGGTACAACAAGATCATCAGGTGGAGAAACAGAGACAACTGGCCAATCAGCTGTAAAATCAGGGACAGCAGAATCATTTACTGGGTTGACAAGAACATCTAGGCAATCAGCTGGAATGACTGGGACATCTGCACAATCAGCTGGAGTGGCACTAACAGGTCATTTTGTTGAAGGATTAGTGACAACTGGTTCATCTACTGTAGGATTAGAGACAACTAGACCTTCAGCTGTAGGATCAGGAACAACTGGACCTCCTGTTGTAAAAGCACAGACAATTGGACCATCAGCTGGAGTAACAGTGACATCTGGACAATCAGCTAGAATGACTGGGGCAACTCGACCATCAGTAGGAGTGACAGGAACAACTGGACCAGCAAGTAAAGGATTAGGGACAATTAGACCATCTGTTGTAGGATTAGAGACTACTGAACCATTAGCTGAAGGATCAGGGACAACTGGATCACCTATTGTAGGAGAGACAACTGTACCATCAGCTAGAGTGAGAGTTACATCTGGATATTCAGATAGAGTGACTGGGGCAACTGAACCATTGGCTGGAGTAACAGGAACCACTAAACAATCTGTTGTAGGATCAGTGACAACTGGACCATCAGTTACAGGAGTAGAGACAACTGTAAAAACTTCATCTGGAGGATTAAGTACAACCACATCATCAGTTGGAGGAACAAGGACCACTGGACAATCACCTGAAATATCAGGGGCAACAGGACCATTTACTGGATTGACAGGGACATCTGCACAATCAGCTGGGGTGACAATGACATCTGTCCAATCAGCTGGAGTGGTAGTAACAACAGAACTAAATGTTGATGGCTCAGGGACAACTGGAAAATCTCTTGTAGGATCAGGAACAACTGGATTATCAGCTGAAGCTATAGGGACAACTGGACCATCAACTGAAGGATTAGAGAAAACTGGACCATCTATTACTGGATCAGGAACAACCATACCATTAGTTACAGAATCATGGACAACTGGAACTTCATCTGGAGGACAGGGTACAACGAGTCTATTAGTTAGAGGAACAGAGACAACTGGACAATCAGTTTCAGGATCAGCGACAACAGGGCCAGTTACGGGATTAACGGAAAACTCTGGTCCATCAGCTGGAGTGACAGTGACACCTAGACAATCACCTACAGTGACTCAGACAACTGGGTCATCAGCTGCAATATCAGGAACCACTGTACAATCTCTTACAGTATCAGGGACAGTTAGATCATCATCTGGACAAACAGAAAAAACCGGATCATCAGTTGAAGAATCAGGGACAGCTGAACCATCAGCTGTAAGGTCAGGGACTACTGGACCAACAGCTGGAGTGAAACATACAAATGGGCCATCATCAGGTGGAGTGACAGGGATAACTGGGTCATCACCTGGAGTGACGGGGATAACTGGATCATCTGCAAGATCAGGGACAAGTATCCCATCTGCTGGAAAAACAGGAACAACTAGAACATCAGTTGAAGAATCAAGGACAACTGGACCATCAGCTGGAATAACAGGTACAAATGGACTATCAGCTGGAGTGACAGGGATAACTGGATCATCACCTGGAGTGACAGGGATAACTGGATCATCTGCAAGATCAGGGACAAGTATCCCATCTGCTGGAAAAACAGGAACAACTAGAACATCAGTTGAAGAATCAAGGACAACTGGACCATCAGCTGGAATAACAGGTACAAATGGACTATCAGCTGGAGTGACAGGGACAACTGGATCATCACCTGGAGTGACAGGGATAACTGGACCATCAGCTGGCATGACAGGGACAACTGGACCATCAGCAGAAGTGACAGGAAAAACTGGACTATCAGCTGGAGTGATGGGGACAACTGGTCCATCAGCTGAAGTGACAGGGCTACCTGTAGTATCAACTGGGGTGACAGGGACAATTGGATCACCAGCTGGAGTGACAGGGACAACTGCAGTATCAGCTGGAGTAACAGGGACAACTGGACTATCAGCTGAAGCAACAGGGATAACTGGACTATCAGCTGGGGTGACAGGGACAACTGGACTATCTGCTGGTGTGACAGAGACAATTGGACTATCAACTGGGATGATAGGGACAATTGGATCATCAGCTGGAGTGGCAGGGACAAGAAGACTATCAGCTGAAGTGACAGGGACAACTGGACAGACAAATGGTGTGACAGGGTCAACTGGACTGTCACCTGGGGTGACAGGGACAACTGCACAGTCAGTTGAAGTGACAGGGACAATAGGACAATCTGTTGGGGTGACAGGGACAGCTAGATCATCAGCTGGAGTGACAGGGATAATTGGACTATCAGCTGGACTGACAGGGACAAGTGGACTATCAGCTGGGGTCACAGGGACAACTAGACAGTCAGCTGAAGTGACAGGGACAACTGAACAATCTGTTGGAGTGACAGGGACAACTAGATCATCAGCTGGAGTGACAGGGATAACTGGACTATCAGCTGGAGTGACAGGGACAAGTGGACTATCAGCTGGGGTGACAGGGATAACTGGGCTATCAGCTGGGGTGAGGGGGACAACTGGACAGTCAGCTGAAGTGACAGGGACAACTGGACAATCTGTTGGAGTGACAGGGACAGCCAGATCATCAGCTGGAGTGACAGGGACAATTGGATCACCAGCTGGAGTGACAGGGACAACTGTACTATCAGCTGAAGCGACGGAGACAACTGAACAATCTGTTGGAGTGACAGGGACAACTAGATCGTCAACTGGAGTGACAGGGACAACTGGACTATCAGCTGAAGCGACAGGAACAACTGGACCATCAGCTGAGGTGACAGGGACAACCAGACTATCAGCTAGAGTGACAGGGACAACTGGACAATCTGTTGGAGTGACAGGGACAACTAGATCATCAATTGGAGTGACAGGGATAACTGGACTATCAACTGGAGTGACAGGGACAAGTGGACTATCAGCTGGGGTGACAGGGATAACTGGACTATCAGCTGGGGTAAGGGGGACAACTGCAGTGACAGGGACAATTGGATCCCCAGTTGGAGTGACAGGGACAACTGGACTATCAGCTGAAGCAACAGGGACAACCAGACCATCAGCTGAAGTGACAGGGACAACTGGACAGACAAATGGTGTGACAGGGTCAACTGGACTGTCACCTGGGGTGACAGGGACAACTGCACAGTCAGTTGAAGTGACAGGGACAATAGGACAATCTGTTGGGGTGACAGGGACAGCTAGATCATCAGCTGGAGTGACAGGGATAATTGGACTATCAGCTGGACTGACAGGGACAAGTGGACTATCAGCTGGGGTCACAGGGACAACTAGACAGTCAGCTGGTGTGACAGGGTCAACTGGACTATCAGCTGGGGTGACAGGGACAACTGGACAGTCAGCTGAAGTGACAGGGACAACTGAACAATCTGTTGGAGTGACAGGGACAACTAGATCATCAGCTGGAGTGACAGGGATAACTGGACTATCAGCTGGAGTGACAGGGACAAGTGGACTATCAGCTGGGGTGACAGGGATAACTGGGCTATCAGCTGGGGTGAGGGGGACAACTGGACAGTCAGGTGAAGTGACAGGGACAACTGGACAATCTGTTGGAGTGACAGGGACAGCCAGATCATCAGCTGGAGTGACAGGGACAATTGGATCACCAGCTGGAGTGACAGGGACAACTGAACTATCAGCTGAAGCGACGGAGACAACTGAACAATCTGTTGGAGTGACAGGGACAACTAGATCGTCAACTGGAGTGCCAGGGACAACGGGACTATCAGCTGAAGCGACAGGAACAACTGGACCATCAGCTGAGGTGACAGGGACAACCAGACTATCAGCTGGGGTGACAGGGATAACTGGACTATCAGCTGGGGTAACGGGGACAACTGCAGTGACAGGGACAATTGGATCCCCAGTTGGAGTGACAGGGACAACTGGACTATCAGCTGAAGCAACAGGGACAACCAGACCATCAGCTGAGGTGACAGGGACAACCAGACTATCAGCTGGGGTGACAGGGATAACTGGACTATCAGCTGGGGTGAAAGGGACAACTGGATCATTAGCTGGGGTGACAGAGATAACTGGATCATCAACTGGGGTGACAGGGAAAACTGGATTATCAGCTGGAGTGACAGGAAAAACTACAGTATCAGCTGGAGGAACAGGGACAACTAGACTATCAGCTAAAGCAACAGGGATAACTGGACTATCAGCTGGGGTGACAGGGACAACTGGACTATCTGCTGGGGTGACAGAGACAATTGGACTATCAACTGGGGTGACAGAGACAATTGGATCGTCAACTGGAGTGACAGGGACAACTGGACAGTCAGCTGGTGTGACAGGATCAACTGGACAGGCAGCTGAAGTGACAGGGACAACTGGACAATCTACTGGAGTCACAGGGACAGCTAGATCATCAACTGGAGTGACAGGGATAACTGGACTATCAGCTGGACTGACAGGGACAAGTGGACTATCAGCTGTGGTGACAGGGATAACTGGGCTATCAGCTGAAGTGACAGGGACGACTAGACTGTCAACTGGGGTGACAGGGAAAACTGGACAGTCAGCTGAAGTGACAGGGACAATAGGACAATCTGTTGGAGTAACAGGGACAGCTAGATCATCAGCTGGAGTGACAGGGATAACTGAACTATCAGCTGGAGTGACAGGGATAACTGGACTATCAGCTGGAGTGACAGGGACAAGTGGACTATCAGTGGGGGTGACAGGGATAACTGAATTATCAGCAGAAGGGACAGGGACAACTGGACTATCATCTGAAGAGACAGGGAAAACTGGATCATCAGCCGGAGTTACAGGAACAACTGGACCATCAGCAGAAGTGACAGGAGAAACTGGACTATCAGTTGGAGTGACGGGAACAACTGGCCCATCAGCTGAAGCGACAGGGCTACCTGTAGTATCAGCTGGTGTGACAGGGATAATTGGATCACCAGCTGGAGTGACAGGGACAACTCGGCTATCAGCTGTGGTGACAGGTATAAATGGACTATCAACTGAGGTGACAGGGACAACTGGACTATCAGCTGGGCTGACAGGGACAACTGGACTATCTGCTGGGGTGACAGAGAAAATTGGACTATCAACTGGGGTGACAGGCACAATTGTATCATCAGCTGGAGTGACAGGGACAACAAGACTGTCAGCTGGAATGACAGGGACAACTGGACAGTCAGCTGGTGTGACAGGGTCAACTGGACTATCAGCTGGGGTGACAGGGACAACTGGACACTCAGTTGAAGTGACAGGGACAACTGGACAATCTGTTGGGGTGACAGGGACAGCTAGATCATCAGCTGGAGTGACAGGGAAAACTGGACTATCAGCTGGACTGACAGGGACAAGTGGACTATCAGCTGTGGTGACAGGGAAAACTGGACTATCAGCTGAGGTGACAGGGACAACTGGATTATCAGCTAGGGTGACAGGGACAACTAGACAGTCAGTTGGTGTGACAAGGTCAACTGGACTATCAGCTGAGGTGACAGGGACAACTGGACAGTCAGCTGAAGTGACAGGGACAACTGGACAATCTGTTGGAGTGACAGGGACAACTAGATCATCAACTGGAGTGACAGGGATAACTGGACTATCAGCTGTGGTGACAGGGAAAACTGGACTATCAGCTGAGGTGACAGGGACAACTGGATTATCAGCTGGGGTGACAGGGACAACTAGACAGTCAGTTGGTGTGACAAGGTCAACTGGACTATCAGCTGAGGTGACAGGGACAACTGGACAGTCAGCTGAAGTGACAGGGACAACTGGACAATCTGTTGGAGTGACAGGGACAACTAGATCATCAACTGGAGTGACAGGGATAACTGGACTATCAACTGGAGTGACAGGGACAAGTAGACTATCAGCTGGAGTGACAGGGACAACTGGACCATCAGCTGGGGTGGTGGGGACAACCGGACAGTCAGCTGAGGTGACAAGGACAACTGAACAATCAACTGCAGTGACAGGGACAATTGAATCACCAGTTGGAGTGACAGGGACAACTGGACTGTCAGCTGAAGCAACAGGGACAACCAGACCATCAGCTGAGGTGACAGGGACAACTGAACTATCAGCTGGGGTGACAAGGATAACTGGACCATCAGCAGAAGTGACAGGGACAACTGGACCATTGGCTGGAGTGACAGAGACAACTGAATTATCAGCAGAAGTGACACGGACAACTGGACTGTCAGCTGAGGTGACAGGGAAAACTGGATCATCAGCAAGAGTGACAGGAATAACTAGACCATCAGCAGAAGTGACAGGGAAAACTGGGCTATCAGCTGGAGTGATGGGGACAACTGGACCATCAGTTGAAGTGACAGGGACAACTGGATCATCAGCTGGAGTGACAGGGACAACTGGGCCATCAGCTGGAGTGACAGGGACAAGTGGACTATCAGCTTCAGTGGCAGGGACAACTGGCCCATCAGCTGAAGCAACAGGGCTACCTGTAGTATCAGCTGGGGTGACAGGGACAATTGGATCACCAGCTGGAGTGACAGGGACAACTCAGCTATCAGCTGTGGTGACAGGGATAACTGGACTATCAACTGAGGTGACAGGGACAACTGGACTATCAGCTGGGGTGACAGGGATAGCTGGACTCTCAGCTGGGGTGACAGGGATAACTGGACCATCAGCTGGAGTGACAGGGATAACTATAGTATCAGCTGGAGTAACAGGGACAACTGAACTATCAGCTGAAGTTTCAGGGATAACTGGACCATCAGCTGGGGTGACAAGGACAACTGGACTATCTGCTGGGGTGACAGGGATAACTGGACTATCAGCTGGGGTGACAGGGACAACTGAACAGTCAGCTGAAGTGACAGGGACAACTGGACAATCTGTTGGAGTGACAGGGACAACTAGATCATCAACTGGAGTGACAGGGACAAGTGGACTATCAGCTGGGGTGACAGGGATGATCTGGAGTGACAGGGACAATGGACAACTGGAGTGACAGGGAAAACTAGATCATCTACTGGAGTGACAGGTACAAATGGACTATCAGCTGAAGCGACAGGGACAAATGAAATACCAGCTGGGGTGAGAGGAACAACTGGACAGTCAGCTGAAGTGACAGGGACAACTGGACAATCTGTTGGAGTGACAGGGGCAACTAGATCATCAGTTGGAGTGACAGGGACAATTGGATCATCAGCTGGAGTGACAGGGACAATTGGATCACCAGCTGGAGTGACAGGGACAACTCGGCTATCAGCTGTGGTGACAGGGATAACTGGACTATCAGCTGAGGTAACAGAGATAACTGGATCATCAACTGGGGTGACAGGGATAACTGGACCATCAGCTGGAGTGACAGGGACAACTACAGTATCAGCCGGAGTAACAGGGACAACTGGACTATCTGCTGGGGTGAGAGAGACAATTGGTCTATCAACTGGGGTGACAGGGACAATTGGATCATCAACTGGAGTGGCAGGGACAACAAGACTATCAGCTGGAGGGACAGGGACAACTGGACTGTCAGCTGAAGTGACAGGGACAACTGGCCAATCTGTTGAAGTGACAGGGACAGCTAGATCATCAGCTGGAGTGACAGGGATAACTGGATTATCAGCTGGACTGACAGGGACAAGTGGACTATCAGCTGTGGTGACAGGGATAACTGGACTATCGGCTGGGGTGACAGGGATAACTGGACCATCAGCTGGAGTGACAGGGGCAACTACAGTATCAGCTGGAGTAACAGGGACAACTGGACTATCAGATGAAGTGACAGGGATAACTGGACTATCAGCTGGAATGACAGGGACAACTGGACTATCTGCCGGGGTGACAGAGACAATTGGACTATCATCTGGGGTGACAAGGACAATTGGATCATCAGCTGTAGTGGCAGGGACAACAAGACTATCAGCTGGAGTGACAGGGACAACTGGACCATCAGCTGGTGTAACGGGGTCAGCTGGACTATCAGCTGGGGTGACAGGGACAACTGGACAGTCGGCTGAAGTGACAGGGACAACTGGACAATCTGTTGGAGTGACGGGGACAACTGGACTATCAGTTGGGGTGATGGGGACTACCAGATCATTAGCTGGGGTGACAGGGACAACTGGTTCATCTGCAAAATCTGAGACAAGTATACCATCAGCTGGAAAAACAGGAACAACCAGAACATCAGTTGAAGAATCAAGGACAACTAGACCATCCGCTGGAATAACAGGTACAAATGGACTATCAGCTGGAGTGACAGGGTCAACTGGACCATCAGCTGGAGTGACAGGGACAACTGGACTATCAGCTGGAGTGACAGGGACAACTGGACTATCAGCTGGAGTGACGGGGACAACTGGACTATCAGCTGGAGTGATGGGGACCACTGGACTATCAGTTGGAGTGACAGGGAAAACTGGACTATCAGCTGGAGTGACAGGGACAACTGGACCATCAGTTGGAGTGACAGGAATAACTACACTATCAGCTGGAGTGACAGGGACAAGTGGACTATCAGCTGGAGTGACAGGGAAAACAGGGCTATCAGCTGGAGTAACAGGGAGAACTGGGCCTTCAGCTGAAGCAACAGGGAAAACTGGACTATCGGCTGGAGTGACAGGGATCACTGGACTATCAGGTGGGGTGACAGGGACAACTGGTTCATCAGCCAGGGTGACAGGGACAACTGGATTATCTGCAAAATCTGGGACAAGTATACCATCAGCTGGAAAAACAGGAACAACCAGAACATCAGTTGAAGAATCAAGGACAACTAGACCATCAGCTGGAATAACAGGTACAAATGGACTATCAGCTGAAGTGACAGGGTCAACTGGACCATCAGCTGGAGTGACGGGGACAACTGGACCATCAGCTGGAGTGACAGTGACAACTGGACTATCAGCTGGAGTGACGGGGACCACTGGACCATCAGCTGGAGTGATGGGGACAACTGGACTATCAGCTGGGGTGACAGGGACTACCAGATCATTAGCTGAGGTGACAGGGACAACTGGATCATCTGCAAAATCTGGGACAAGTATACCATCAGCTGGAAAAACAGGAACAACCAGAACATCAGTTGAAGAATCAAGGACAACTAGACCATCAGCTGGAATAACAGGTACAAATGGACTATCAGCTGAAGTGACAGGGTCAACTGGACCATCAGCTGGAGTGACGGGGACAACTGGACCATCAGCTGGAGTGACGGTGACAACTGGACTATCAGCTGGAGTGACGGGGACCACTGGACCATCAGCTGGAGTGACGGGGACAACTGGACTATCAGCTGGGGTGACAGGGACTACCAGATCATTAGCTGGGGTGACAGGGACAACTGGATCATCTGCAAAATCTGGGACAAGTATACCATCAGCTGGAAAAACAGGAACAACCAGAACATCAGTTGAAGAATCAAGGACAACTAGACCATCAGCTGGAATAACAGGTACAAATGGACTATCAGCTGAAGTGACAGGGTCAACTGGACCATCAGCTGGAGTGACGGGGACAACTGGACCATCAGCTGGAGTGATGGTGACAACTGGACTATCAGCTGGAGTGATGGGGACCACTGGACCATCAGCTGGAGTGATGGGGACAACTGGACTATCAGCTGGGGTGACAGGGACTACCAGATCATTAGCTGAGGTGACAGGGACTACCAGATCATTAGCTGGGGTGACAGGGACAACTGGATCATCTGCAAAATCTGGGACAAGTATACCATCAGCTGGAAAAACAGGAACAACCAGAACATCAGTTGAAGAATCAAGGACAACTAGACCATCAGCTGGAATAACAGGTACAAATGGACTCTCAGGTCAAGTGACAGGGACAACTGGACCATCAGTTGGCACAACCACTGTAACAGGAAGAACAGGAGAGCCAGGAAGTGAGGTTACAGTCCCTGAAGGCAAGTCTAGTTAGCTAAAGATAGGTCATTTAATATGAACAACGTAATTTTTGGTCTTCCAGACTTGAATCTGTGTAAATTTATCACAATTAAATATGTTATTAAGAACTCAAATTGGTGAACAATGAGGGGGCTTTCCAGAATATTAGACTTTTTGGGTTTATGTTTTCATGGGGGCTACTGTAGGTGTTGGCAAGGGATGCACAGCTGGAGCACCAGACTCTGGGGCCACTACAGTTGGGAACCCAGCAGGCATGGCTCACCTGGGTACTCTGGTGTGGTTCAACATAAGCCTGGCTAAGACCTCCAATTATGATTGTAAGATGAATCAATTATGATTTAACCAATGACCTAAATTGGGGAGAAATGATTAAGAGATGACCTAGATTTATTGATATCTAAATTCGAATTTTACATAAGGGGCAGTAAGTTCATTATATTTACCAAGATGAACCATGTAAAGCTGATAATCAAGTAGTGCTTTAACCAGGCAAAACTGAAGAACCATATGTAACCAGCCCTGGAGCAGATGAAAGCGGGACCAGATTAACCACACCTGGAAAATCAGGCAAGTGGGGTTGGAAGAATTTGGTCGCAACTGTAGCTCAACGTAAGGTTTTCTTTTTTTTTTCTTTTTCTCTTAAGACAGAGTCTCACTCTCACCCAGGCTGGAGTGCAGTGACAAGATCTCAGCTCACTACAATCTCCACCTCCCAGGTTCAAGCAATTCTCATGCGTCAGTCTCCCAAATAGCTGGGATTACAGGCACGCACCACTGTGCCCGGCTATTTTTTTATTTTTATTTTATTTTAGTTTTAGTAGAGACAGAGTTTCACTGTGTTGGCCAAACTGGTCTCGAACTCCTGACCTCAAATGATCTGCCCGCCTTGGCCTCCCAAACCGAACATAAGGTTTTCTGGTCAATGTAATTATGGTAATGAGTATATTGTAAATAAGGAAATTAGAAAGTCAGATCCAAATCATCTATTAGGTTTGTGCAAAAGTAATGGCAAAAACCATAATTACTTTTGCACCAACCTAATAGTATTTAGGACCTTAAATTTTGTTAGGTGTTTTAGGACTAGGATGGAAGGAAAACAAATTATCTGTCTTTACAGTGCTGATTTTATCAGGAAACAAACCTTACATGAAGAAGCTTAAAGCAAGAAAATATTTCAGCACTTTTTGGGCAGCCAGGAACTGTTATGAGATGTGTAAACATGTCACTAATTTTCACAGCAACTACTGAGATAAGTGCTATTTTTGTTCACATTTTCAAATGAGGAAGTCAAGGAGAAGTTTAGTTAGCTGCTGTAAGTGATAATGTACACCAGGAAGGTCTGTCCTCAGAGCCTATTCCTTACCTTCTACACCATCCTCCCTCGTGTGGCAGTGGGTATAAACTAGAGCAGAAAGGAAATATATTCCCTGGAGGGGATATCTCGATGGAGTCTCAGATATGCCAAATGCCAACCTCCCAAAGAAAATCAGATTAATGAAAAGTCTACTATACCAGAAGTATTTGGACATTTTCTATTATAACAGCAGTGTCTCACATTTACTGTTTAATTAAATGTTGTTTAATTATTTTTATTGTCATCTGTGTGTCAGGCACTGTGATAAGTGTGTGGGCACAGAAGTGAATGAGTCTGACGGGGTCACTGCTCTCAGGACATCCTGTCTAGTGGGGGATTTAGCCAGTAAGAGAAAAGTATCTCAATAGTATTAAAATTAATGTTAAGTGCTAAGAATAAGGTGAGGGTGCCAGGAAAGTGACTTTCCACCTGGTGTCCCAAAGAATGAAGAAGCAGTAGTCAAAGAGGATAAGACAGGGAGGGAAATGCTAAGAAGAGCTCCATGGGGGAAATCACAGGCTCTTAGAAAGTTTAAGGTGGAAAGAGGCCAGGGTTCCCAGCGCCCTGTTAGGAAGCCAGAGGGTGTACAAAATAAGCCCAGAGAAGTCAGAAGGACCCTGATCACATAGAACAGAGCCTTGCCACACACGTTAAGGATTGTAGACTTGTTGCTAAGAGCTGAGGGAAGTTAACTGAAGGTGTGAGACAGAAGAGTGACATGATCAGGATTCCCATTTTTAAAAGATCAGTAAGACTGCAAATGTGAAGAATTGTGTAAGGCGAGAACGGAAGCAGAGAAATTTGTTAGGAAGTTATTGCTCAATCAAGGTAAGAGGCAATGGTTTAAAATAAATTATGGTGGTGGATGGAAAAAAAGGGAAAAGTTCAAAACCTATTTTTGGAGAACCATCAAGGGGATTTGGCAGTGGTTTGATGGGGATTTTGTTAAGGGTATTTTTCAGGTTAATATTTAGTTGCTGGGATGGTGTTTCTATCAATTATTAAAATAGGGACTGTGAAGGAGCAGCAGTTTGTGGTGGGAAGATCATAGGTTCATGTTTGAAAGTTGAATTTGAGATGTTAGGGAGAAGTCCATATGAAAATTTCGAATTATTCTACTAAGATTCTTTTTCATTTGTTTTAAATTCAGCTACAACTGGAGTGCCTGCTGCAACTTCCCTAGGAGCTGAAGGTGAAAGCATAGCTTCCACATCAGGTACTGGAACCACAACTGGGCTCAAAGTAGTTATGTTGATAAATATCTGGATAGTGCTTCAATAAAATAAGAACACTGCTCCTGACTTTACGCTTTTTAATCTCAGTTGCCACGGGAGCCATCCCTGGGTCAACAATTGCACCAGGAAGTACCACTACTGGTAAGTAAGCAGGGGGATGTCAGATGTGTTTTTGATTTTTTTTCATGCTCATTGCTTATTTTAAAACAGCAATATCATTAATAATAATAATGCCAGTTAATTACAATGTCTTTAAATATATTATCTCATAAATTACTTGAATGAACATGATTATCTCATTTTGCTCATGAGGAACTTAGGCAAAGATATTACCTAAGTTGATAGGTTTCTACAGCACGCCAAATGGTGAAATCAATATTTTTCTTGATTGTTTATTGATTCCAAAACTGTGCTCTTCAATGTGATGCCTTCCTTTGCTAAAGCAAAATATACAGTGATATTTAATTACCCTTCAATAGGCTGGGTGCAGTGGCTCATGCCTGTAATCCCAGCACCTTGGGAGGCCGAGACGGGTGGATCACGAGGTCAAGAGATGGAGACCATCCTGGTCAACATGGTGAAACACCATCTCTACTAAAAATATAAAAATTAGCAGGGCATGGTGGCGCATGCCTGTAGTCCCAGCTACTCAGGAGGCTGAGGCAGGAGAATCGCTTGAACCCAGAAGGCGGAGGTTGCAGTGACCCGAGATCAGGTCACTGCACTCCAGCCTGGGCAACAGAGCGAGACTCCATCTCAAAACAAACAAACAAACAAACAAACAAAATCATCAATAAAGCTCGCTTTTAAAATCACAAAGCTTAAATGTTTCCCATTTCTAACTAAAAGAATTGGAGCAGCAGGTAAGAAAAATAAGTTTTTTAATGTAATAAACTACGGCACTTCCTATTCTGAAATAAGATTCGGAGAATTTTATTTGACAAAACTATAACATTATTGTTTTATAAGTCCAAATTTTATAACTTTCCTTTTTAAAAAAAGATTCACAAATACTTACAGGGCAATTTCTTTTTCCTAACACTGAGTAAATTAACAGAATTATTATTTCAAGGCTACAGTATATTATTGTTTAAGGTTCTCAACTAGTAATATACTTAGTATGACAGTACTTGAGAAATACGTCATTTCTCAATGTGCAAGTCCCTAACAGAACCCAGACTCTAATGACTACATTGCTCATTAATAGTTTAAGGAATAGAATGCTTACCTTTTTTTTTTTTTTTCTGATGAAGATTTATGCCACATTATTGTAACTACTGTTATAAAGTCTCCTGTGTAAATTAATTTTACCAACTGATCACTAGAAAATAATTCAATAATTTAATTCAAACTAAATTTGTATTAATTATTTATTCAATCTATGGTTATGCAAATGTAAACAAATTGGCATGATTCATATTATATATTGAGCAACATAATTATAAGTTAACACATGGCCACAAACAGGTAGCCATTGGGACACGGTGTGTAACTATTGAGGCACAGTATGTATTTTATCATTTTTGGCATTTTATAATTTCAAGACAGCTTTAATTAAATGTAACCAAATAACAATTACCTGTGTATAAATATTTTGCTTGGAAAAAAGGCAGTGTTTTTTTTTTCAGTTTGATAATCTGTAATCATAGAAATCATACATGATTCTTTAAAAGAGCACTTTACAATATGTCTCACAAGAGAACACTTAATCTGACTTAAATTTCTAAGATAAGCCTCTGTGGGAAATAACATCTGTTTTTTAAACAAAATTTAATTATCAAGGCATTTGACCCACTGAAGCAAATTTTTTAAATGAAATTCAAATAAATTCTTTAATTTAAATATGGATTTAATTTATCCTTTAGTAAGCTCAGTTAGAATTCCACCACAACTCATTGTAGGTAAGCTGAAATTCAATGACATGAAAATTTATTTCTGTACAATGTGCTTGAAATATAATTTCTATTTTTTTCCATTTGAGCACTGAAAAACATTTAAAGGATTGTGTGTGACATGCTTCTCAAATTATAACCTAACATACAAATTAATCTTTGTAAATGGAAATTAATCAAATATGTACATTTATAAATATATTTGTTTTTAAATTTCAGTGCCATCAAAACAGCCTGAAGTAGCAGGTGAGAAAATATGAGATTATAAATGTGCATTTGAAAAAATAATGTTACATTAATGGAATAGAACACATGGTACCAGAAGTCTTTATTATCTGATTAATAAAACATGAACTTCAAATTTGATTTTTGTAGCATAGGGCTTTTGATTTTTCTATTCTCATGTCTTCTTAAATCATAATAAAGGTGTATTGAATCCTTTATATAATACTTAAATTCTACACTGATTGTATACAAGTATACAAACTCAGACAAACCAAAAAAACTCCCAAAACATCTCCCCTATTAAAAAGAGGTAGCACCATATTTCTCAGCATATTAATAGTCACCTACTATTTACAAGAAAACTATTTAGCTTTTAATGTATCCTGGTATCTCTTTTTTAAACTTAAAAACAGTTTTAAAAGATAAGCAAAAGTAGCCGACTTTTTGTTGTTGTTTTGGGTTTTTTGTTGTTGTTGTTTCGTTTTTGGAGACAGGGACTTGCTCTGTCGCCCAGGTTGGAGTGCAGTGGCACGATCTTGGCTCACTGCAACCTCCAACTCCTCGGTTCAAGCGATTCTCTTGCCTCAGCATCCTGAGTAGCTGGGATTACAGGTGTGCGCTACCACGCCCGGCTAATATTTTGCATTTTTTTTAGTAGAGATGAGGTTTCACTATGTTGGCCAGGCTGGCCTCAAACTCCTGACTTCAGGTGATCTGCCCAACTCGGCCTCCCAGAGTGCAGGGATGACAGGCATAAGCCACCACAGATGGCCTAGAAGCTGATTCTTTAGAATATCTCACTTTGAAAAAAAAAAATTTCTCCTTCTGATCCTTTTAGCGCTTACATTGGAATATAAGTTCCATAAAAACAGGCATTTTTGTCTTATTTTTCACTGATTTAAAACCTCTTTATGGCCCTTATCTGATGAGGTGATTGATTTCAATACTTGTCTCCCTGATCCACTAGATTCTACCTTTGTTGAAAGGGGACCAAGTCTTATGTATCATTAATGTCTTACCTGGGGAGCTTTGCATATAACGAACACTCAATACAGCTGAAATATGTTTAGCTTTCATTCACTATCTCATTTGGATAATGTAGGCATTATTTTCCCTAATTTGCTGGTAAGGAAACTGAGGTTCAGAGATTTTTAACCTGTTTAAAACCACACAACTCTTTTGATTCCAACACCTGAGCTCTTTCTACTCCTCTACATTTCCTTTAGTCTAGACTATTGTAGGCAAGTTTCCTCTCTTCTAGTTTTCTCTATTCTCAGATGTGTTCTATCTGAAACAGCAGTCAGTGGTCCTCTATTGACTGTTATCTCTGTTCATATCATTTCTGTCATCAATCCATGGTAGCAGCTACCCATTTCCCTTCAAGTAAATTCTAAGTGCTTTAGTGTAATATTAGAGCTTTTGGAGACTCCATCTACTTTCCAAAGTTCTCATTAGCCCCCTTTACATAACAACATTTAGCCTCACTTGAATTAGTTTGTGGCACTGTTAGAAGTTCCTTTATAAAATGTTACAAACTGATCACTAGGAAGTTGTTTTCTCACTGAATTTGAGCTAAATTTCCAGTTATTTTTCACTCATTCTATGTTTATACAACACATATTGCTATGTTTCCCTAAACCTTGGCTCTCACTATGTCTTCTGCCTGATGTTCCCTTCCTGGACTTCACATAGACAAATCCTAAGCAATAGTAAAGATCTAGATGCTGTCTTTTCCAGAAAGCCTTCTTTGACCCCATTAAGGAGTAATGCTCAGCAGTTTCTCGTTGTCTCAGGTACTCAGTATAAACTGTCTTTTGTAGTAGAGAGCTAAGGCATACTGAGATCAAACTAGGTGAACACAAGAGAAGATCATCTTTCATCTTTGTCAGGGAAGGCCAGGAAAGGACGTCTCAAGTAGAGAACGTTGCCACTCCCTGTGATTTACAAATGGAATAGTTCAAGCAGAAAAACTCATAGAATTATAGATTTTTTAAGTACCCAGAAAAGGCTACTTGTTATAGCAAAGAACACACAGATGGCATCTAGATTCAGATGTTCTCATGGCAGAATGAGTCAGTGACCTCTGGACTTTTTGTGTTTCAGGTACCACTGGGGTAACCACTGGCACAACTCTTGCCCCTAGAAGTTCTAACACAGGTGAGAACAAGCTGAGTGGAATCTTCCCATTGGAACTTCTTTCAAGGAGCTATCTCCTCAGGTTTTATTTCTAGGCAAAATTATCACTATAATAATCCCAAATCCTTAATGTCTTCCCAATTGTGTCTTTGTTCTTTTCCTCATCCTCAGAGGCCACAAGTTCCTAGGAGGAAGTAGAATCTCTGCAGGTGGAATAGCTCCAGCTCAGCCTGCTAAGCCATTACTGCATTTTTGATCATCTTTCATTAAGCAGTGTTGCCTAAAATGTAGCCACACTACTTTATTCCATAAACTAAACCTTTTAAAAATGCAAAACAGTTACTAGGTAATAAATGTCAAGCTTGAGGAGCCTGACTTCCTTCTACCTCAAGGAGCTCATTCCATGCCCTAAGAAGTCAAGTCCCTGGCCACTGGATATACATGTACTGAGAAAACTTCCATTTCCAAGCACTGAATCTCAAAGACACTAAAGCATCTAGAATGTTGTCAGAAAATTTGCTATAAGAAAGAGATGCTACATTGGAAACACAGATAAATTTTTGCCATTGGAAAGCTCAAAGAAAGCGCATCCTAATATATTGTAAGAAATACTCATTTTTGAAAAAGCAATGCCCTAGTCATGGCATGTGGACCACCATTTCTTTATTTCAGGAACTTTTGGTAGTATTTCTGGGAAAACCCTCAAACCTGGAACTTATGTCTCAGTAAGTCACCACATACCAGGACATCCTGGAGGGAGCCACTTAGGTAATACAGTTGACCCAGCATGCTTTTCTTTTTCTTTTCTTTTCTTTTCTTTTCTTTTCTCTTTTCTTTTCTTTTCTTTTCTTTTTTCTTTCTTTGTTTCTTTGTTTCTTTGTTTCTTTCTTTCTTTCTTTTTCTTTCTTTCTTTCTTTTTCTTTCTTTCCTTCCTTCCTTCCTTCCTTCCTTCCTTCCTTCCTTCCTTCCTTCCTTCCTTCCTTCCTTTCTTCCTTCCTTTCTTCCTTCCTTCCTTCCTTTCTTCCTTCCTTCTTCCCTCCCTCCCTCTCTCTTTTCTTTCTTTCTCTCTTTCTCTCTTTCTTTCTTTCTTTCTTTCTTTCTTTCTTTATTTCTCTCTCTCTTTCTTTCTTTCTTTCTTTCTTTCTTTCTTTCTTTCTTTCTTTCTTTCTTTCTTTCTTTCTTTCTTTCTTTCTTTCTTTCTTTCTTTCTTTCTTTTTCTTTCTTTCTTTGAGATAGGGTCTCACTCTGCTCCCTAGGCTGGAGTACAGGGGCATGATCTTGGCTCACTTCAGCCTTGACCTCTTAGGCTCTGGTGATCCTGCCACCTCAGCCTCCCAAGTAGCTGGGACTACAGGCTCTTTTTTGTAGAGACAGGGTTTCACTATGTTGCCCAGTCTGGTCTCCAACTCCTGGACTCAAGTGATCTGCCAGCCTCGGCCTCCCAAAGTGTGGAATTATAGATGTGATCCACGAGACCCAACCGTCCAGCATGTTCTTACTTCATTCCTTTCTTTTCTTTCTCAGAGGCTACAACTGCTACAGGGACTCCTGGAGCAGGACTGTCAGGCGGTGAGTGTTCTCATTCCAAGACTTTGGGTTCTGTTGATTCATTGTTTGGGATTGCAGCTTAAAACAGAAGAATACGAAGGTTGAGGACACATTTTACGCAAGGCTAAGTCAAATTGTGAATCCCTCTGGAAGTGACATTTTCATGACCCTCCGACAAGTGTGCCTGAGTCCTGGCTTTCAGAACTAGTTCTCTGAAGTCAGGAATGAGACCGTCATTGCTTTAAAGTTCACACAATTTTTTTTTTCCACAGGCACCACTATCATTTCTTCTGAAGTCAGTACCAGTTCAGAAGTTTCCAACACAGGTAAAATTCCATAAAGAAAATGTAGGCTGGCTCTTACTCGTTTATGAGTTTTGTGCATGTGTATGTGTATGCATGGGTATGCTTTAGGGATGACATGAAATCAACCACAAAAGTATCACAGAGATATTTATAAAGAACTTTATCTTTCATTTTCCTTCCTCTGTAGTCATCCCTGGTACACCAGGAAGACATAACAGGAAGTGAAACAGGCAGGCATGAAATGAGCCCCCATCCCTCTGTCAGCAGACTAGAATGTAAGGGTGTTCACTGGCAAGTTGCCTGTGAATAAATGGGCCAAGGAGATGAAATGAGAGAAGGACACTCTTAATTTAGCATTTGCACCGTTTATAACATTAAGTCCTGAGAAATGCCCTTTTAGTTGCTTCCATGATGAATTTGCTAAATTTGCTTTTCTTGTTTTAGGTATCACTGGAGTAGGCTCTGAGACATCTGTTGAAACAGGAATTTCCAACACAGGTAAAGTTGAAAGAAAACCATCTCTATGGATGCGCAGATGAAATGATGTTTTTTGTAGGTTGTTCTGATGAATAACACAAAATCTCTCTTCCCTCTATCGCAACTCCCCAGAATTTACAATTCTAAATCATGTCTCAGAGGCCACAATTTCCGCAGAACACGTTGGCACCACTGAAGCTTCATTCACAATAGGCGAGAAGGAGCAACTCATGTCTTTCTTGTTATCACTGATTTTGACACTCATAGCGAGACTAGAGAGAGGAGGATTCTGGAAAGCAGTTTGTATTTACTTTACTAATATACTACATTTTTGGCCAACAAATTCTTTATAAGTTTAGACATTTTTCCAGAAAAGCTACTAATTACAGAGTGCAGAATCATACTTCTAATCCTGGAAGATAGGACAATTATACTGATTGTTCTGAGTAACTTCTGCTGTGAGATTACAAACATTAGAAGCTTTTAGAAGAGGAGGGGGTGATAAAACTTGCTGAGAAACACAGAGGAGCTACAAGAACCCAGGAAACACACCTGCCCTGTGTTAGTGCTTCCTTTTCACAAATGAAGAGCTAAATATTTTCACAACGTCTGGAGTTCTCAGCACACTCATGGCATTCTCAGCAACCACCCCACAGCAGGCACCACTCTTGCATCTGACAGCCAAGACACAGGGAGGAGAACAGGGGAGCTTGGGAGAAACCCACATTGTCCTCCTGACCGAGAATACTAGGAAGATTATCACAGGTTGAGAACATTGTCACTTTGGTTGCTTTGGTAATAAAATGGTTAGTAAGAAAATACACAGGGCTCATCACCAGGGAAGAGCTAGGGAAAGTGCTAGTTAGATATAAGTTAGGTTTAGATTCTTTCTAGAGGCAGGTCTGTAGGAAAGAAAGATTAATCACCATGGTGATCCCAGTCCTCTTGGTGTTTCATCTACGACTGGGGTGGCTCCTGGCACAACCCTTGCCCCTGGCAGTTCCAGGACAGGTGAGTCTGCAGGTTGGCAGGGAACTCTTCAGAGCTCCTCCCGTAATTTGATGTCTTCTCTGGTGCTTGTCTTTTTAAGAGTAATATCTTATTCATTTCATAGTGATTGAATATTTTTCAAATATGTCTTTTCTGTTTTTCTGTCTCTCAGAAGTCACAACTTCCATAGGAGGAAGTACATCAACAAGAGGTGGAATAGCCACAGGTGAGCATTGCTGGGTCATTGCATTCATTTGCCAGTAATATTCAATAAAGACTGTGGTGCGAAATGAATCCATGTGACTGGATTCTCCCATATTGAGTACTGATCAAGAAATTACCGTTGTTCGTTGATGAAAGGTCGGAAACTCAAATTTCATTCTTATTTCCTGTGCTGTAAGCAGGTTCTCTTTCCACACCCAAGGCAGTCATCAGTCATTTGATTGACAGTTACATAGATGATCTAGAGATAGCCCCCATCTCCCTGTTTCAGAACTCTAGAAAAAAAAGAGACTCGATAAGTAAAAATGTCTTTGGTAGATATACTGTGGGAAGGATATTATATGAGAAATACACAGATGTCCTTTTAGCATTCAAAACCCAGTTTACTGACATATTGAATAAGAATATAGATTTTATCAATCTATTTGCTTGTTGCCCATTACCCACTTTCTTAATACCATGGTGGCTTCTCTAGAGAGACTCTGGAACTTGGGAATGACAACACAGGATAGTCCAAAAGCATACTGGGCTGCTACACCTTGGCTGCTCAGACGACAGGCTCCTAGGGCTACATAACCCTGTATGTCTTCATACTGCAGTCTTTATTGTTGCTTTATTTTCTCTCAGAAGCCACAGGTTCCTCAAGAGGGGTCAGGACCACTGGATCAGAAGCTGCAGGAGGTAAGCTTCATCAGTCCCAGGCTTCAGAATTCTCATCCTTGCCCTGTTGTGGGGTGCTGAGGTGAACACATAAATGAGAATGAGGGCCAAGGAAAGACAATTACTTCTTAACTGGAAGCACAACATGTATTCTGATCTTCTGAGTTGTTCTGCTAAAGAATTTCAGAAACTGGTTGTATTAGTTTATTCTCACAGTGCTTTAAGGAACTACCTGAGACAGGCTGTATGGAGGCGTGGCTGGGGAGGCATCAGGAAACTTACAATCATGGTGGAAGGCGAAGGGGTAGCAAGTACATCTTCACTTGGTGACAGGAGAGAGAGAGTGAAAGAGAAAGTGCTACACACTTTTAAAGAAGCAGTTCTCGTGAGAACTCACTATCACAAGAACAGCAAGGGGGAAATCCAGCCTCTTTGATCCAATCAGCTCCAACCAGGTTCCTTCCCCCAACACTGGGGATTATAATTCAACCTGAGATTTGAGTGGGGACTGAGAGTCAAACCTTATCACTGAGTTATCTAAGTCAGGCATTGCTCCATTTGCTGTGTGACAACTTTAGTACTCTGGACACCTGGCTGAGGCCCACTGACCTGCAGCAGCCTCCTCAGAACCCCCAATTCTTTCATTCTGCCCCTCATGATTCCAAAGTACTATCACCTGCTGACATCTATTGAACATATTTATTACACTTGTTTATTTTCTGTGTTCCCTCTCCCACAAATGGAAATCTCACAAGGCAGAGACCGTTGTTTGTTCTTTTCACTGAGAAGAGAATGTCAGGTACAAAGGATTGCTTACAGCATATAAGATGAGTGACAAGTATATGCTTATTTTGAGTGTCACTCTGTTTACTTCAACAGCTACGACCACGGTTTCACCTGTTACCAGCAGCAGTTCACAGGGTCCCAAGCCAGGTAAGATGAACTACTTAAAATCACCAGCGGGAGGTATAAATATCTCATAGAAGTATATTATTATACATCCGATTATCACAATATTGTCAATTACACAAACAAGAACATTTAGAATGTTCAAGACATTTTTCCTCCTCCAGGAACACCAGGAAACTACATCACTGAAAGTGAAGTTAGTAAAGTGAATTTAAGTATCCTTCTTTTTTAAATTGAATTTAAGCTATTACTGTTTTTGAATAAGCTGCAGGGGAAAGGATAATCCGTAGCAAATCATCTGTCAATAGTTGGGGAAAAATTATTCATTGTTAATTTCCTTCGGAAACCAGAGCTCTTAGGAAAGGTCTTCTAGTGGTTCAGGAACCCACTGATGATTCCAGTATTATTTGTCCTATTAGCTCCTTTATTTTTCTCTTTTTAGGTACTTCTGGAGAATTCTCTGGGACAACCATTTCATCTGGAGGCTTCCACACAGGTAGTTGAATGGGAATGAGTTCCTCATCTGGAATGCATGATAACTTTGCAGAGCTGCAATAAAAAACTAGCACTGTGATAGTTTTCCACAGTATCTCAGATTCCCCAGACCTCTTTATTTTCTTCTTTTCTCAGAAGCCACAACTCTCACAGGAGGTAGGGGCAGTACTGGAACTGAATCCAGAGCAGGTGAGGCGGAGCAGCTCATGATTTGGGATTTACTGTGAATCGTGACTCTCATAAGCATGACTTGTTTGGAAGTGGGCTTTCCTACAGAATATTTTGCATTTATTTCTGGACAATGCATCTTAGCACAAATAGTTCTGCCTTTAAATTAAATATTTTCCCAAAAATTTACCAATATCCTATTAGAAGTGAAATGTCTCTTGTAATTGTTCTGAGAAATTTCTCCTGTAATGTTTGTTATATGTAAGTATGGCCAGGATATTAGTAGGAGTAAAAAACATTTGTGATCCAGGGAAGGAGAGATAATGTAAATGAATCCTAGAAATACTTGTAAATAGAGGTTTCCATGCCCTAAAAACAATATAATTATTAGTGCTTTCTTGACATCTCAAATTGCCAGCAAACTTAATTTTTTGTCTTTCATTCCTGGCAGTAAATTGGTGAATATGGAAAATTGTGTCTCTCCCTCTCATGGAATTTATATTGCTTCCAGCTGAAGAACTGGCCCCTCTGATTGCATTGAGAATTAAATGGTTCTGCAGGTTGACAGGGAACTCTTCAGAGCTCCTCTCATAATTAGATATCTCTTCTGGTGTTATTGTTTATGAGAGTAATTCCCTATCTGTTTCATGACCTTTGAATATTTTCCAAATATGTCTTTTCTGTTTTTCTGTCTCTCAGAGTCCACAACTTCCCTACAAGAAAGTGCAAAGACAAGAGGTGGAATAGCGACAGGTGAGCATTACTGGTTCATTGCACTCACTTGCTAATAAGATCCAATAAAGCCTGTGGCTTGAAAAGTATCCATACTCTCATTTCTCCCATATTAACATTGTTAGGAAAGTTCCTACCATTTTTTCACTGACTAAATACAGAATCTCAAATTTCATTCTTATTTCTTGTGCTTGAACAGACTCTTCTATTGCCCCCCAAGGTAATCATGCAGCCATTTGACTGACAGTTACATAGAAAATCTAGAGTTAGCTTCTATCTCCCTATTCATGAAATCTTGAGAAAAGGAAGCCTAATAAGTTAAAAAAAAATTGGGTAAATAGACCATGGGAAGAATATTATCTGAGAAGTGTAGAGATTAGTTTTTGGCATTTAAAGGCCAGTTTATTGAAATAATGAATAAGTATACAGCCTGTGTCCATTTATTTGCTTAATACTCTTTTCTCACGTCATAGTAATGAGGTAATGACCCCCCCATTGCCCCATCCCTTTCTTAATAGCTACCAATGGGGCATTCTCTGGAAAGACTCTGGAACCTGGGAATGGTAACACAGGCAAGTCAAAAAGCACACAAGGAATGCTACACCGTGGCTGCACAGGTGTAACATAACCTCCTAGGGTACTAGGGTAATGTAACCCTGTATTCCCCATACTGCAGACTTCATGCTTGCTTTCTTTTCTCTCAGAGGCCACAAGTTCCACAGGAGGGGTCAGAGCCACTGGAACAGAAGCTCCAGGAGGTAAGGTTCGCCAGTCCCAAACCTCAGGGTTCTCCTCATTGCCCTGTTGTGCTGAGGTGAACACATAAATGAGAATGGGGGCTAAGGAAAGGGGGTTACTTCTTGTCTAGAAGCACAACATATATTCTGACTATCCTGAGTAGTCCTGCTAAGGAATTCCTGCCACTTGGTCATCTAAGTTAGGCATTGCTCCACGGCCTGTGTGACAGTGTTAGTTCTCTGGACACCTAGCTGAGACCCACTGACCTGCAGCAGCCTCCACAGAACCCTGATTCTCCCCACTCAGGCCATCATGATTCCACAAAGCACTATCACCTGTTGCCATCTCTCTAACATGTTTATTACACTTCTTGCATATTTTCTATTTCCTCTCTCACAGACACAAATCTCACAAGGCAGATACTTTGTCTGTTCTCTTCACTGAGAGGATGATGTCAGGCACAGAGGAAATGCTTACAAAATATGAGATGAGTGACAGGCATATTCTCATGTAGAGAGTCACTGTTTACTTCACAGTTTCACTTGGTGTCAGCAGCAGTTTATTGGGTCTGAAGGAAGTCAAGGAGGCTACTTAAAACACCATGGAAATGTAAAAATATCGACATAAGTGTATTCTTAAATACCTGATTATCACACTATCACCAGTTATACAAATAAGAACATTGGAAATATCAAAATGTTTCCTTCTTTTCCCGCTGGAATGGCAGGGAGCCACATCACTGGAAGTGGAATCAGTAAAGTGAAATTAAGCTTCCTTCTTTTTTTTTTTTTTTGCTAGGGTACAGTGGAAGGAATAGTCAGTGCGAGAACATTAAACAATAAGTTCACAAAAAATTATGGTGTTTATTTTTTCTAAAATAGAAGTTGTCAAGAAAATTTTCCAATGGTTCAAGACCACAGTGCTGATTCCAGTACTGCTTGCTCTGTTAGCTCTTTATATTCTCATTTTAGCTACCTCTGGTAAATTCTCCGGGACAACCATTTCATCTGGAGGTTCCCACACAGGTAGGTCAATGAGAAGGAAATCTTCATTTTGCGTGCATGATAACTTTGTAGAGCTGCAGTCATAAAATAGCGCCTCGATGTTTTTTACTCATATCTCAAATTCCCCAGACCTCATGATTTTCCTCTTTCTTTCCTCAGAGGCCACAACTCTCGCAGGTAGCAGGGGCAACACTGAAAGTGAATTCAGAACAGGTGAGGAAGAGCAGCCCACAATTTGGGATTTACCATGAATCATGACTCTCATGAGGATGACTTGCTTAGAAGTAGGCTTTCCTACAGAATATGAAATATGGATTTACAGACAATGTAACTGAGGCCAAATATATTTTTTAATTTAATATTTCCCTATAAATATCCTAAAATCCTCTTTTTGAATGGGTTGACTCTTCTAGATGAGGTGTAAATGGGATGTAATTGTTTTGAGAAATTTCCACATAATATAATGTATAAATATTTCCAGTGTAATAGTAGAGGTTAGAAAACAGTTTTGATTCCAGGAAGTAGAGATAACACAAATGAACTTTAAAAACATGCCTGTATAGATGTTTCCTTGCCTCCAAAGCAAGAGACATGATTATAGTATTAGGTCAATGGGGAGCAATTAGGAGTAATTAGTTCTGGTGTTTTGTAGCAGTGAGGTGCCTATGGTCAACAATATTATGGTGTACATTCAAATATCCTTGACAAGAAGGTTCTGAATGTTCTGCCCACAAAGCAATGATAAGTGAGATGATGGATAAGCTAAATATCATGACTTGATTATTACATAATATATACATATATCAAAACCTCCCATACAACCCCCAGAAATATGTATACTTATATAAAAATTAGAAAGAAAAGTAAAAATAGATTAAATTATCATGAAATAAAGAATTTTTTGTCTTCTAGCTCTGGCAGTGTAATGGGTAAGTATGAGAGAAAACCACCTGTTTTGCTGTTATGGAATGTCAGGTGTAATCTCCAAATTTTGCCCCTTTGACTGCATTGGTAGTTTATTAATGAATGGGAAAACACATCAGAGTGGCAGCCAGAGAAAGTGACCTTTGACATCTTAAAGATGTAAACAGATTCCTTCTAGAGGCAGGTCTTCAGGAGACAAACAGGAGTCACTGTGGTGATGCCACTTTCCCTTGTGTTTCAGCCACCACTGGGGTAGTTCCTGCCACAACTGTTGCCCCTGGCCGTTCCAAGACAGGTAAGTCAACAGGTTGACATGGAATCTTCCACGTGTCCTCCCATAATTAGACATCTCCTTTGTATTATTTTTTGCAGGAGTAGCACCATATCTTCTCCACAATCCTTAAATATACTCCAGGTAACTCTTATCCCTTTGTCTCCCTTAGAGGCCACCACTTTCCTAGGAGTAAGTGGAACAACAAGTGTTGGAAGAGCCACGGGTGAGTGCTGCTAGACTAAGACCTGTAATTCCTAATGACACCTTCAATAGTCTTCCGAAAATATCTACATGATTTGTATATGCTATATTGAGAAAATTCATAAAAAAGACTAGACAGTCTCCTTATTTCCTGAGCTTACAAAGTCCCTCACGAAACCATCATGATGTCAAACCAATGACAGATAAATAAGTAATATGGGGAGAAAATTCTTATCTTTCCCCCAAAGAGAAGGACATGATAGTTGATAACTGTCTCAGTAAAATTTCTGTGGAAAGAAATGTTGCGTGGGACAAATATGAATTTCTTCTAGCACTGTGAGTTCAGAGTAATAGTTTGCTTCTAAGTGGGGATTTGAGATTCCTATAGAAACCAAGTGGAAATAGAGTTCAGCTAGTGACACCATCTCTTTCTCGTTGTAGGTATTACCGTTGTAGTCTCTGGAAAAACACTGAAACCTGGAAGTTACAAGACAGGCAAGTCTGAAAATACATGCAAAATCTGGACATGGGCACCTTTGTTGACATACTCTGCCCACAGCGCCGTGTGTACTCTCTCAAAAACTAGTCTTCACTCCTTCCTTTCTTTTCTCTCTCTCTCAGGGGCCACAACCAGCCAAGCAGAACGTCCAGGAGGTGAGTTTTTTACTCTGAGGCCTTGGTGCTTTTATCAAATCCCTGTTCTCTGCAGTGAAGACATTGATGTGAAGGTGGGCTGAGGAAAGGGGCCCACATTTCCTCTGGGAACACAGCATGCCAGAATCACAAAGCTGGTTGTGCCTAGGAATTCCCTGCACTCATCTGGCTTATCCCTCTGGATTTCTAGCAGCCCAGGCTTGCAAAGCTAGTTATTATGTAGCAAGGATAAGGCAAGCTGCTGGATACCCCCCACCAATCAGCGCATACAATTTGCCTTTTATACAATTTGCCTTTTTCCCAAAGTGTTTACTAACATCTTTCACACTGACTTATTTATTATATTTCTTGTTCATTGCTGGCCTCCAGCTGCTAGAATGTAAGGTGCATTAGGAGAAAGATCTTTGAACATTTTGCTGACTGATACATCCCAAGGTCCTAAACAATATTGCACAGAAGAGTTGCTTAATAAATATTAGTGGAATGATGAAATAAATTATTTTGAAGTAGTTCATTCTATTTAATTGGTACAACTATAGTTTCACCGGAAGTCAGAATTCCAAGCCAGGTAGAATAGATTGAATAAAGTCATCACATGGCAATATTAGAGTTAGAGAGTTCTTTTTTAAACATGTGAATATCAAAATACCTCAAGTAATTGATGAGAAGTATTTATAAAGATAGAAGGTAGTCTGCTTTTTTCTTCTTAACACATCATTGTCACATCAGGGAGCCCAGCTTCTGGAAGTTCAACAGGTGAGGGGGAGATAAAGTCTCCTTTCACATTCTCTGGGATCTATGGAAAGGGAATCCCAGAAGCAACAATGTTCAGTTGAGGGGCAAAGAAATAAAGGGGTAGTCATTCACGGTTCCTTTCCTTCCAAAACACATGTTCTTAGGAAAGGCCTCTAGTGGTTCAGGATCATATAACTTCTTTTACTATTCTTTGCTCTATTAGCACCTTTACTCTTCTCATTTTAGATACTTCTGGTGAATTCCCAGGAACAACCATTACATCTGGAGATTCCCACACAGGTAGTTCAACAAGAAGGAAATCCTCATGTTGAATGTATGATAACTTTTTAGAGCTGCAATCATAAAATAACTTTTTCCTTGTATCTTCAATTCCTTACACCTCTTGATTCTCTTTTTCCCGCAGAGACCACAGCTGTGACAGGAAGCAGGGGCAGTATTGGAACTGAATCCATAGCAGGTGAGGAGCAGGCCACGATTTGGGAGTTATTTGAATTATGACTTTTATTATTATGACTTGTTTAGAAGTGAACTTTGCTGCAGAACATTGTGCATTTTTATTTTATTTTATTTTATTTTTTTTTTTAGGGAAAATGAATCTAAGCCCGAAGAACTTTTTTTTACATTTTTTTTTTAAATACACACAAATTACCAATAGTGTCTTTTGAATGTGATGCCTCTTGAATTTGTTTTGAGAAATTTCTCCTATAAGGTTATAAACACTTCCAGGGTTTTAGTATGAGCTTAAAAGAGTTTTGTTCTTGGGAAGTAGAGACAAGGTAAACGAACCTTGAAATCATGGCTGGTAAAGGTTTCTATGACCCAAAGCAATACAAATAATAATTATTTTATGAATGTCTAAAATTCTCATTAAGCTTAAATTTTTTAAAGTAAAGCCAATGAATATGGGAGGAAACCACCTATCTTCCTCTCATGGAATTCCAAGACTATTGCCACATGTTGAGAAATTGATCACTCTTACTAGTTTGATAATAAATTTGTTAATGAGAAAATACATCTGGCCTATCATCAGGGAAGAACCAGAAAAAGAGTTTTTTGGATATAATGATGATATGCTTAGATTCTTTCACCATAATGACCACAGTCCTCTTGATGTTTCATCCACCACTGGGATAACTTCTGGCACAATTCTTGCCCCTGGCAGTTCCAATACAAGTGAGTCTACAGGTTGTCAGGAAACTCTTCAAGGATCTTTACATAGTTAGACGCCTCATTTGGTGCAATTCTATCCATGAATAATATATCTGTTTCATGGCCTTTCAATATTTTCCAAATATGTCCTCTCTGCTTTTCTCTCTCTTAGAGACCACAACATACATTAGACGAAGTGGGACCACAAGAAGTGGATTAGCCACAGGTGAGCATTGCATTCACCTGCCATTAATACCCCCAAAGGATTACAGACTGAAATGTATCCATGCTAATCATTTCTCCAATACTGAGGATTATTAAAGATAATCTTACCATTATTCATTGACTGAGGTTTCAGATTCTCAGACTTTGTTCTTATTTCCTCTGCTTTGAACAGCTTTGAACAGAAGCTGTGAGATAGAGTTAGCTTCTACCTCTCTAGTCCTGAACTCTAGAAGAAAGAAAGCCCAATAAGTAAAAAAATTACTTGGTAAATATTTTGTCACATGTATATTTTATGAAGAATATGCAGATTACTATTAGACATAAAAAGCCCAGTTTATAGCCGGGCATGGTGACTCATGCCTATTATCCCAGAACTTTGAGAGACCGAGGTGGGAGGATCACTTAAGCCAAGGAGATTGAGACCAGCCTGGGTGATATGGTGAAACCATGTCTCTACAAATAATAATAATCATAATAATAATACAAAAATTAGCTGGGCATGGTGGCATCTGCTTGTAGTCCCAGCTACTCGGGAGGCTAAGGCTGGAGGATGGCTTGAGCCCAGGAGGTGGAGGTTGCAGTGAGCTGAGATTGTGCCATTATGCTCTAGTCTAGGTAAGAGTGAGACTCTGTCTCAAAAAAAAAAAAAAAATCCCAGTTTACTGAAATAATAAATAAGTATGCAAACTGTGTCTCTTTATTTGCTGATACTGTCTGCCCACTTCATGGTAATGAGGTACTGACCCGTGACTACTCTTCTCTTTCTTAGTAGCTACCACTGGGGAATTCTCTGGAAAGACTCTGGAACCTGGGAATGACAACACAGGCAAGTCAACAAGCACACAGGGAATGCTACACCATGGCTGCTCGGGTGACAGGCTCCTAGGGTTACATAACTCTGTACTCCCCATACTGCAGACTTCATTCTTGCTTTCTTTTCTCTCAGAGGCCACAAGTTCCACAGGAGGGGTCAGGGCCACCGGATCAGAAGCTCCAGGAGGTAAGCTTCGTCAGTCCCAGATCTCAGGGTTCTCCTCATTTCCCTGTTGTGCTAAGGTGAACACATGAATGAGAATGGGGGCCAAGGAAAGGGGGTTACTTCTTGCCTGGAAGCACAACATGTATTCTGACCATCCTGAGTAGTCCTGCTAAAGAATTTGATTCACTGGCTTATGTATGTCAGGCATTGCTCCATGACCTGTGTGACAGTGTTAGTTCTCTGGACACCTGGCTGAGGCCCACTGACCTGCAGCAGTCTTCTTGGAACCCTGATTATCCCTGCTCTGCTCATCATGATTCCACAAAGCACTATCACCTGCTGCCATCTCTCAAACATATTTGTTATACTTCTTGTTTATTTCCTGTGTTCCCCTCTTCCACAAATGTAAATCACATGAGGCAGAGACTTTCTTCTTCTCACTGTCAGACACAGTGAAAATTCTTCTAGAATATGAGGTGAGTGACAGGCATATTCTTATGTAGAATGTCACTCTGGTTACTTCAATTGGTACCAACACAGTTGCCCTTGGTGTCAGCAGCAGCTCACAGGATTGCATGCCAGTTGGCATAGGCTACATAAAGACATTAAAGGAAGCTGTAAACATCTATGTGTTTATTCTTAAAAACATGATAATCACAGGATTACCTGTTCCATAAAGGAAAACACTTAGAATGTTCAAGACTTTTTCTTGCTCCTAGATCACCAGAGAGCCAAGTCACTGGACATGAAATCTGTAAAGTGCGATTAAACTTTCTTCTTTCTAAATAGGCTGTGATGGAAGAAGTAGTCAGTAGCAAAACAATAGTCAATGCATTGGAGGGAAAACCATCATGGTTCATTTCCCTCTGAAACAGAGAATCTGAGGAAAGGTCTTCCAGTGGATCAAGGCAGCATTGCTGTTTCCAGTGTTGTTTGTCCTATTAGCTCCTTTACCTTCTCATTTTAGGTACCTCTGGTGAATTCCCAGGGACAACATTTACATCTGGAGGTTCCCACACAGGTAGTTGAATGGGAAGGAAATCTGCATCTTGAATGCATGATGACTTTGTAGAGCTGCAGTCGTGAAAGAGTGACTCAATGCTTTTTACCAGTGTCTCCCAGACCCCTTGATCCTATTCTTTCTTTTCTCAGAGGCCACAACTTTCACAGGAGGCAGGGGCAGTACAGGAACTGAATCCAGAGCAGATGAGGATGAGCAGCCCATAATTCGCATGTTACTGTGAATCTTGACTCATTAGGATGACTTGTTTGGGAGTGACTTTTCTGCAGAATATTATGCATTTATTTAGGGATAATGAATCTTAGGCCCAGTAGAACTTCCTTTAGATTTTATAGTTTCTAAAACTTTGCCAATAGCCTCTTTTATACTGGGATATCTATTGCATTTGTTCTGAGAACTTCCTCCTGTGAGGTTACATAAAAACGTTGCCAGGGTATTACTAGGAACTATGAACAGTTTTGTTGTAGGGAAGAAGAGAAAACTTAAGTGAACCTTAGAAACGTTCCTAAAGAGTGGTTTGATGACTTAGAAGCAAGAGAAATGTTTAGTATATTCTTGATGTGTAAGAGTCCCAGGAAAATTGTTTTTGTCTTCCATATTCTGGGAAGTAAAATGGTAAACATGGGGACCACCACCTGTCTCCTGATGGAAGACCAGAAATATTGCCTTAGGTTGAGGAACTCGACCTTCTGATTGTTTTGCTAGTAAAATGGATAACGATAATTATACAGGGTACCACCTCAGGAAGAATCGGTGAAAGTACCATTTATAAATAATTCAGATAGGCCTAGATAGTTTTTAGAGGCAGGCCTACAGGAAAGGGAAAAGTTGATCATCACGGTGATCACACTCTTCCTTGTGTTTCAGCCACCAGCAGGGCAGCTCCTGGCACAACTCTTGCCCCTGGCAGTTCCAACACGGGTGAGTCTGCAGGTTGCCAGGGAACCTTCAGAGCTCCTCCCATATTTTGATGTTCGATGTCTCCTCTGCTGCTGTTCTTTCAAGAAGTTGCATCATGTTCTTTTCATGGTCCTTGAATATTTCCTAATATGACTTCCCTGTTTTTCTGTCTCTCAGGGGCCACAGCTTCCCTAGGTGGAAGTGCAACGACAAGAGGTAGAATAACCACCGGTGAGCATTGCTGGGTCATTGGACTCACTCTTTAAAAATATCCATTAAAGGTTATTGCTTGAAATATATGCATGTCACATATTTTTCCACATGGAACATTATTAGGTAAAATCTTACCTTAATTTATTAAGTATATCAGGTTGGCGCAAAAGTAACTGCAGGTTCGCTATTGAAATTAATAGCAAATCAGACACTCAAAAATAGCAATTCAGTGATAGCAAATCACAAACTCAAAATTTAATTTATTTATACACTTTAAGCAGACCGTCCCGCTCGTTCCCAAGGTAATCATGCAGCCATTGGATAGTTATGTAGAGAATCTAGAGTGATAGCTGCTAGGAGCCTCTTCCTGAAATCTAGAGAAATGGAGACCCAATAAGTTAAATTCCTTTGGTACTATGCCGTGGGAAGGATGTTATATGAGGAGTCTATGGATGACCTTTTGGGATTTAAAGCCTGGTTTCCTGAAATATTGAATAAGCATACAGATTTGGCCATTTGTGAGGTTGTTATTCTCTGCCCACTTGATGATGACAAGGTACTGACCCACGACTACCCATCTCTTTCTTAATAGCTACCACTGGGGCATTCTCTGGAAAGACTCTGGAGCCTGGGAACGACAACACAGGCAAGTTCAAAGCCACACAGGGAATGCTACACCATGGCTGTTTGGGTGACAGGCTCCTAGGGTTACATAACCCTGCACTCCCCATACTGCAGACTTCATTCTTGCTTTCTTTTCTCTCAGAGGCCACAAGTTCCACAGGAGGGGTCAGGGCCACCAGGTCAGAAGCTCCAGGAGGTATGTTTCGCCATTCCCAGGCTTTGAGATTCTTCTCACTGCCCTGTTGTGCTGAGGTGAACACATAAATGAGAATGGTGGCCAAGGAAAAGCAGTTACTTCTTGTCTGGAAGCACAACAACTGACCATCCTGAGTAGTTCTGTTAAGGAGTTTCAGAAACTGGGCTATCTGAGTCAGGCATTGTCACATGGCCTGTGTGACAGTGTTAGTTCTCTGGACACTTGTCTGAGGCCCACTGACCTGCAGCAGCCTTCCTGGAACACTGATTCTATCTGCTCTGCTCATCATGATTCCGCAAAGTACAATCACCTGCTACTATCTTACTAACATGTTTTTTACACTCCTTGTTTATTTCATCTGTTCCCTCTCCCACAAATGTAAATCACATGAGGCAGAGACCTTTGTCTCTTCTTCTCGTTGAAAGAAGACTGTCAGGCATAGTGGAAATGGTTCAAGAATATGAGAGGACTGACAGGCATATTCTTACGTAGAAAGTCACTCTGTTTACTTCAATGGCTAACATCCTCATTTCCCTTCGTGTCAGCAGCAGTTCACAGGATCCCATGCCAGTTTGCACAGGCTACAGAAAAACACTAAAGGAGTCTATAAACATATCCTATGTGTTTATTCTTAAAAACATGATAATTACAATATTACCTTTTCCACAAAGGAGAACACTTAGAATGTTCAACACTTCTTCTTGCTCCTGGATCACCGGATAGCCAAGTCACTGTACACGAAATCTATAAAGTCAGATGAAACTTCCCTCTTTTTAAATAGCCTGTGATGGAAAAAATAGCCAGTAGCAAAACAATAGTGTATACATTGCAGGGAAAATCATTCACGATTCATTTTCTTCAGAAACAGAGATTCTGAGGAAAGGTCTTCTAGTGGTTCAAGGCAGCATTGCTGTTTCCAGTGTTGTTTGTCCTATTAGCTGCTTTACCTTCTCATTGTAGGTACTTCTGGTGAATTCCCTGGGACAACAATTACATCTGGAGGATCCCACACAGGTAGTTGAATGGGAAGGAAATCCTCATCTTGAATGCATGATGACGTTGTAGAGCTGCAATCACAAAATAGCAACTTGATGCTTTTTGCCAGTGTAGAGGCAGGCCTACAGGAAAGGGAAAAGTTGATCATCACGGTGATCACACTCTTCCTTGTGTTTCAGCCACCAGCAGGGCAGCTCCTGGCACAACTCTTGCCCCTGGCAGTTCCAACACGGGTGAGTCTGCAGGTTGCCAGGGAACCTTCAGAGCTCCTCCCATATTTCGATGTTCGATGTCTCCTCTGCTGCTGTTCTTTCAAGAAGTTGCATCATGTTCTTTTCATGGTCCTTGAATATTTCCTAATATGACTTCCCTGTTTTTCTGTCTCTCAGGGGCCACAGCTTCCCTAGGTGGAAGTGCAACGACAAGAGGTAGAATAACCACCGGTGAGCATTGCTGGGTCGTTGCACTCACTTTTAAAAAATATCCATTAAAGGTTATTGCTTGAAATATAAGCATGTCACATATTTTTCCACATGGAACATTATTAGGTAAAATCTTACCTTAATTTATTAAGTATATCAGGTTGGTGCAAAAGTAACTGCAGGTTCGCTATTGAAATTAATAGCAAATCAGACACTCAAAAATAGCAATTCAGTGATAGCAAATCACAAACTCAAAATTTAATTTATTTATACACTTTAAGCAGACCGTCCCGCTCGTTCCCAAGGTAATCATGCAGCCATTGGATAGTTATGTAGAGAATCTAGAGTGATAGCTGCTAGGAGCCTCTTCCTGAAATCTAGAGAAATGGAGACCCAATAAGTTAAATTCCTTTGGTACTATGCCGTGGGAAGGATGTTATATGAGGAGTCTATGGATGACCTTTTGGGATTTAAAGCCTGGTTTCCTGAAATATTGAATAAGCATACAGATTTGGCCATTTGTGAGGTTGTTATTCTCTGCCCACTTGATGATGACAAGGTACTGACCCACGACTACCCATCTCTTTCTTAATAGCTACCACTGGGGCATTCTCTGGAAAGACTCTGGAGCCTGGGAACGACAACACAGGCAAGTTCAAAGCCACACAGGGAATGCTACACCATGGCTGCTTGGGTGACAGGCTCCTAGGGTTACATAACCCTGCACTCCCCATACTGCAGACTTCATTCTTGCTTTCTTTTCTCTCAGAGGCCACAAGTTCCACAGGAGGGGTCAGGGCCACCAGGTCAGAAGCTCCAGGAGGTATGTTTCGCCATTCCCAGGCTTTGAGATTCTTCTCACTGCCCTGTTGTGCTGAGGTGAACACATAAATGAGAATGGTGGCCAAGGAAAAGCAGTTACTTCTTGTCTGGAAGCACAATATGTATTCTGACCATCCTGAGTAGTTCTGTTAAGGAGTTTCAGAAACTGGGCCATCTAAGTCAGGCATTGTTCCATGGCCTGTGTGACAGTGTTAGTTCTCTGGACACCTGTCTGAGGCCCACTGACCTGCAGCAGCCTTCCTGGAATACTGATTCTCCCCGCTCTGCTCATCATGATTCCGCAAAGTACTATAACCTCATGCCATCACTCAAACATATTTATTATCCTTCTTGTTAATTTTCTCTTTTCCGTAAATCAAATGTAAATCACATGAGGCAGAGTCCTTTCTTCTCACTGACAGGACTATCAGGCACAGTAGAAATGCATCTAGAATATAAGAGAAGTGACAGGCATATTCTTTTTTTTATTTTTTATTTTTTTTATTACACTTTAAGTTCTAGGGTACATGTGCACAACGTGCAGGTTTGTTACATATGTATACCTGTGCCATGTTGGTGTGCTGCACCCATTAACTCGTCATTTACATTAGGTATATCTCCTAATGCTATCCCTCCCCCCCGCCCTCGCAATGGGACCTGGTGTGTGATGATCCCCTTCCTGTGTCCAAGTGATCTCATTGTTCAATTCTCACCTAGGAGTGAGAACATGCGGTATTTGGTTTTTGGTTCTTGCGATAGTTTGCTGAGAATGATAGTTTCCAGCTGCATCCATGTCCCTACAAAGGACACGAACTCATCCTTTTTTATGGCTGCATAGTATTCCATGGTGTATATGTGCCACATTTTCTTAATCCAGTCGTGATAGGCATATTCTTATGTAGAATGTCAGTCTGTTCACTTAAGTAGCTACCACCACAGTTTCCCTTCCTGTCAGCAGCAGTTCACAGGATCCCATGCCAGTTGGCATAGGCTACAGAAAAACACTAAAGGAAGCTATAAATATCTCCTATGTGTTTATTCTTAAAAACATGGTAATCACAGGATTACCTGTTCCACAAAGGAGAACAGTTAGAATATTCAAGAGTTTCTCTTGCTCCTGGAACACCAGGGAGCCAAGTCACTGGACATGAAATCTGTAAAGTGAATTTAAACTTCCTTCTTTTTGAATAGGCTGTGATGGAAGAAATAGTCAGTACCAAACCAAACCAAACCAAACAAAACAAAAAAACAAAACAAAACAAAAAAACAGTAGTGCATACATTGCAGGGAAACCTATTCATGGTTCATTATCTTCAGAAACAGAGATTCTGAGGAAAGGTTTTCCAGTGGATCAAGGCAGCATTGCTGTTTCCAGTGTTGTTTGTCCTATTAGCTCCTTTACCTTCTCATTTTAGGTACTCCTGGTGAATTCCCTGGGACAACAATTACATCTGGAGGTTCCCACACAGGTAGTTGAATGGGAAGGAAATCCTCATCTTGAATGCATGATGACTTTGAGGAGCTGCAATCACAAAATAGCAACTCATGCTTTTTACCAGTGTCTCCCAGACCTCTTGATCCTATTCTTCCTTTTCTCAGAGGTCACAACTTTCACAGGAGGCAGGGGCAGTACAGAAACTGAATCCAGAGCAGGGGAGGAAGAGCAGCCCATAATTCACAGATTACCAGGAATCTTGACTCTCATTAGAATGTCTTATTTGGGCGTGGACTTTTCTGCAGAATATTATGCATCTATTTAAGTATAATGGATCTTAGGTCCCACAGAATTTTCTTTAGATTTTACTGTTTATAAAACTTTACCAGTAGCCTCTTTTAAAGTGAGATTTCTGTTGCATTTGTTCTGAGATGTTTCTACTGTGAGGATACTTGGAAATGTTGCAAGGGTATTACTAGGAACTATAAACAGTTTTTATCTAGGGCAGAAGAATTAACTGAAATGAGCCTTAGAAACATACTGAAATAGTGGTTTTCAAACCTCAGAAGCAACAGAAATGTAAAATATATTCTTGATGCGTAAAAGTCCCAGGAAAATTGTTTTTGTCTTCCACATTCTGGGGAGTAAAGTGGTAAACATGGGCTCCACCACCTGTCTCCTGATGGAAGACCAGAAATATTGCCTTAGGTTGAGGAACCGGACCTTCTGATTGTTTTGCTAGTAAAATGGATATGGAGAAAATATACAGGACATGACATCAGGGAGGATCATGGAAAGCGCCATTTATAAATAATTAAGGTAGATCTGGGTAGTTTTAGAGGCAGGCCTACAGGAAAGGGAAAAGTTGATCACCATGGTGATCCCACTTTTCCTTGTTTCAGCCACCGCTAGGGCAGCTCCTGGCACAACTCTTGCCCCTGGCAGTTCCAACACGGGTGAGTCTGCAGGTTGCCAGGGAACCTTCTGAGCTCTGCCCATATTTCGATGTTCGATGTCTCCTCTGGAGCTGTTCTTTCAAGAAGTTGTATCATGTTCTTTTCAGTTTTATTGAATATTTCTTAATATGCCTTTCCATTTTTCTGTCTCTCAGGGGCCACAGCTTCTCTAGGTGGAAGTACAAAAACAAGAGGTAGAATAACCACCGGTGAGCATTGCTGGGTCATTGGACTCACTTTTTAATAATATCCATTAAAGGTTATTGCTTGAAATGTACGCATGCTACCCATTTCTGCAACATTGAGCATTGTTAGGTAAAATCTTACCTTCATTCATTAATTAGGTTGTTGCAAAAGTAACTGTGGTTTTGCTATTGAAAGTAAGAGCAAATCAGAAACTCAAAATTAGCAAATCAGTAATAGCAAATCAGAAACTCAAAATTTAATTTCTTTCTATACTTTAAGCGACCCTCCCACTAGTTCCCAAGATAATCATGCAGCCATTTGATAGTTATATAAAGAATCTAGGGTGGTAGCTGCTAGGACCCTGTTCCTGAAACCTGGAGAAATGGAGACTCAATAAGTAAAAGTTCCTTTGGTACTATACCATGGGAAGGATATTAAATGAGGAGTCTATGGATGACCTTTTGGGATTTAAAGCCCAGTTTCCTGAAATATTGAATAAGCATACAGATTTATCCACTTTGAGGTTGTTATTCTCTGCCCACTTGATGATGACAAGGTACTGACCCACGATTACCCATCTCTTTCTTAGTAGCTACCACTGGGGCATTCTCTGGAAAGACTCTGGAGCCTGGGAACGACAACACAGGCAAGTTCAAAGCCACACAGGGAATGCTACACCATGGCTGCTTGGGTGACAGGCTCGTAGGGTTACATAACCCTGTACTTCCCATACTGTAGATGTCATCCCTGCTTTCTTTTCTCTCAGAGGCCACAAGTTCCACCAGAGGGGTCAGGACCACCAGATCAGAAGCTCCAGGAAGTAAGCTTCATCAGTCCCTGCCTTCAGAGTTCTCATCATTGCCGTTTTGTGCTCAGGATAACACATACATGAGAAACAGGGCCAAGGAAGGGGCTTAATTCTTGTCTGGAAGGTCAACATGTATTCTGGCCAACCTGAGTAGTTCTGCTAAGGAGTTTCAGACACTGGGTTATCTAAGTCAGGCATTGTCCCATGGCCTGTGTGACAGTGTTAGTTCTCTGAACACCTGTCTGAGGCCCACTGACCTGCAGCAGCCTCCCCAGAACCCTGATTCTCCCTGCTCTGCTCATCACCACTCTGCATAGCACTATCACCTGCTGCCATCTCTCGAACATATTTATTACACTTCTTGTTTATTTCATGTTTTCCCTCTCCCATAAACGTAAATCACATGAGGCAGAGACGTTTGTCTATTCTTTTCTCTGAGAAGAGGATGTCAGGCACAGAGAAAATGCTTCCATAATGTGAGATGGGTGACTGGTATATTCTTATGCAGAGTGTCACTATGTTTAATTTAGCAGCTACCACCACAGTTTCACTTGGTGTCAGCAGCAGTTCACAGGGTCTGAAGCAAGGTAGGATGAACTACTTAAAATCAGCAGGGGAGGGTATAAATATCTCATAGTAGGGCATTGCTCAGCATCTGATAAGCACAATATCGCCAGTTACCAATATGAGAACATTTAGAATGTTCAAGTCTTTTTCTCTTTCCTGGGAGCACAAGGAAAGCACAATATTTGAAGTAAAATCAAGAAAGTGAAGTTAAGCTTCCTTTTTCAGTAGAGTACAGGGGAAGGGATAGTCAGTATAAAAACGTTAGTAAGTTGGCAAAAAATTATTCGTGGTTCATATTTTCTGAAACAAGTTTTCAAGAAAGGTCTTTCAGTGTTTCAGGACCACATTGCTGATTCCAGTACTGCTTGCTCTATTAGCTCCTTTACTTTCTCATTTTAGGGACTTCTGGTAAATTCTCTGGGACAACCATTTCATCAAGAGGTTCCAACACAGGTAGTTCAATAAGAAAGATATCATCATCTTGCATGGGTGATAACTTTGTAGAAATTCAGTAATAAAATAGCAACTCAGTACTTTTTACCAGCATCTCAAATTTCCTAGACCTCTTGATTCTTCTCTTTCTTTCTTCAGAGGCCACAACTCTCACAGGAGACAGGAGCAGTACCAGAAGTGAATCCAAAACAGGTGAGGATGGCAGCTCATGATTTGGGCGTTACCAAGAATCATGATTTTCAGGATGACTTGTTTGGAAGTAGGCTTTCCTACAGAATATGAAGTAATTTATTTAGGGACAATCTGTCTAAGGACAAATATATTTTTTAATCTAATATTTTCCTTAACCTTTTAATATACACTTTTCAAATGGGTTGACTCTTCTAGTTGGGGTGTAAATGGAATGTAATTGTTTTGAGAAATTTCCCTATAACATTATATTGAAATATTTTCAGCATAGTAGTAGGAACTAAAAGCAGTTTTAACCCTGGGAAGTAGAGGTATATGAATCTTGGAGTCATGCCTACATAGATTTTTTTGCCCTAAAGTGATAGAAATAATTAGTAATAAGTCAATGGGGACAAAATCACAATTAGATAGCAGGCATTAGTTCTGGTGGTCTATAGTGTAGTGGAGTGCCTACAGTAAGCAGTATTATAGTATATATTTGAAAATACCTTGAAGAGAGATGTATCAGTCCATTTTCATGCTGCTGATAAAGACATACCTAAGACTGCATAGTTTATAAAGAAAAAGAGGTTTAATGGACTCACAGTTCCACGTAACTATGGAGGCCTCACAATCATGGTGGAAGGCAAAAGGCATGACTTACATGGCAACACGCAAGAGAGAGCTTGTGCAGGGGACAAAGAAAAGTAAAAATAGATTAAATTATCATGAAATAAAGAATTTTTTGTCTTCTAGCTCTGGCAGTGTTTATATGCAGTGAATAAGTATGATGAGAAAACTATCTGTTTTGCTGTTATCATGCAGGATGTAATATAATTTGCCCCATTGACTGCATTGGTAGTTTATTAATGAATGGGAAAACACATCAGAGTGGCAGCCAGAAAAAGTGACCTTTGACATCTTAAAGATGTAAACAGATTCCTTCTAGAGGCAGGTCTTCAGGAGGCAAACAGGAGTCACTGTGGTGATGCCAGTTCCCATTGTGTTTCAGCCACCACTGGGGTAGTTCCTGCCACAACTGTTGCCCCTGGCCGTTCCAAGACAGGTAAGTCAACAGGTTGACATGGAATCTTCCACGTGCCCTCGCATAATTAGATATCTCCTTTATATTATTTTTTGCAGGAGTAGCACCATATCTTCTCTACAATCCTTAAATATACTCCAGGTAACTCTTATCCCTTTGTCTCCCTTAGAGGCCACCACTTTCCTAGGAGTAAGTGGAATAACAAGCATTGGAAGAGCCACAGGTGAGTGCTGCTAGACTAAGACCTGTAATTCCTAATGACACCTTCAATAGTCTTCCGAAAATATCTACATGATTTGTCTATGCTATATTGTGAAAATTCAGAGACAAAGACTACACAATCATTATATTGCCTCCTTATTTCCTGGGCTTACAAGGGCTTTCATTAAAGCATCGTAACGTAAAACCATGACAGAAAAATAGGTAATATAGGGAGAAAATTCCAATTTCCCCGCCAAAAAGAAGGACATGATAGTTGGGAACTGTCTCAGTGAAACTGTGTGGAAAGAAGTATTGCATGGACAAATACGAATTACTTCTAGCACTGCAAGTGTCAGAATAATAGTTTGCTTCCAAGTGGGGATTTGAGATTCCTATTCAAATCAGTGGACAAACTGTTGAACTAGTGACACCATCTCTTTGTTATTGTAGGTATTACTAGCGTAGTCTCTGGAAAAACACTGAAACCTGGAAGTTACAAGACAGGCGAGTCTGAAAATACATGCAAAATCTGGACATGGGCACCTTGGTTGACATAGTCTGCCTGCAGCACTGTGTATGGTCTCCCAAACCTTAATCTTTGCCCCTTCCTTTCTTTTCTTTCTCAGGCGCCACAACTTCCACAGTAGGGGGTGACACCAGCCAAGCAGAACGTCCAGGAGGTGAGTTTTTTACTCTGAGGCCTTGGTGCTTTTATCAAATCCCTGTTCTCTGCAGTGAAGACATTGATGTGAAAGTGGGCAGAGGAAAGGAGCCTGCATTTCCTCTGGGAATATAACATGCCAGAGTCAAAACCTGGGTGTGCCTAGGAATTCCCTGGCCTCACCTGACTTATCCCTCTGGATTTCCAGGAGCCCAGGTTTGCAGAGCTAGTTATTATGTAGCAGGGATGAGGGTGAGCTGCTGGATAACCCCTGCTTATCAGGGTCCTTGACCCTTTTATACAATTTGCCTTTTTCCTAAAGTGTTTACTAACATCTTTCACACTGACTTCTTTGTTACATTTATTGTTCATTGTTGTCCTCCAGCTACTAGAATGTAAGGTGCATTAGGAGAGAGGTCTTTGAACATTTTGCTCACTCATACATCCCAAGGGCCTAAAACAATATCACATGAAAGAGATACTTAATAAAGCTTAGTTGAAAGGTGAAATGTTTTATTTGAAGATTTTTTCACTCCACTTTCTTTAACAGGTACAACTGTGGTTTCAGCTCGAGTCAGCAGCAGTTCACAGAGCTCCAGACCAGGTAGGAAGGACTAAATACAGTCCTCATATGCTAGGATTAGAGTTAACAAGTTCTATTTTCAAATTCTCAGTATCAAAACGCCTGAGGCAATTGATGAGTAAAATTCAGAAAGATGAATGTCATCTGCTTTTTTTTTTCTCCTGAAGGTATCTCTGTCACACCAGAGAGCTCAGCATCTGAAAGTGAAACAGGTGAGGAGGAGATAGGGTTCCCATCCACATTCAGTGTGCTCTATGGAAAGGGAACCCCAGTAGCAACAGTGATGGATAGGTGGGCCAGAACATGAAGTGGTAGTCGCTTATAGTTTATTTCCTTACAAAATAGAGGCTTTCAGGAACGTTCTTCCAGTGGATTAAAGCCACATAGCTACTTCCACAACTGATTTAGGAAGTAATGCCATGTTGATCCCTTTCTTTTTCCACTGTTAGTTACTACAGAAGAATTATCTGGGACAAATGCTAAATGTCCCACATTGGTAGGTTGATAAGCAGGAAATCTCCATGTTTAACCATATAATATAGTTTTAGAGCTGCTTTGATGAAATACCAACCTCATTCTTTTCCCAATATCCCAAATTCTGATCTCACCATTCATCACTTCCTCCCCCAGAGGCCACAACTTTAATAGAAGGCCGCAGCGTTCCTCCATCTGGATCCAGCCCAGGTGAGAATGAGCAGAGCACAGCTTAGGGTTTAGCATACATTGTGACTCTCCGTAGGCTCATCTTTTGGGAGTGTGTTTTCCTAGGTAGTGGTTTGCATTTACTTTCAGTGTTTTCTCACACTGAACATATTCTGGAAAACTCTTAAAACCAACATCTAGCCCCACAGCTGTAACTTTCTAAAGAGGGGCTGGTGGTGCAATCAGCATAAGAGATTTCTCCTGCAAAGTCATACATACCACTATGGTGTAGGGGAGCTGGAAAACAGTGTATTTCTGGAAAGAAAACAATATAAGTTCTAGAAGCAGGCATACCCTATATAAAAGTTTTCTCACTCAAAAAAGCAATAATGATGTGAAATATTTTCCAGTGTTCTTGGCACATGAAAACATTGTTCTGGTTTTCATCCCATGGCAGGCACCACGGCAGCCTCAGGAGGCCAAGCAACTGGGAGCCTGACCAGTGAAGGGGAGAGAAAACCACCCCGTTTTCTTGTCTGGGAGTGAATGTATGAAATTCAGTGGAGGGACCTCAATTTGGGCACATTACTATTTCCACTGCTTTGTTAATGCTATGGGTCACAGCAAAGGCGTACAATTCTCAGTTCATCAGGAAGCAGTGAAAGGGCTCTTTGATATAACAAAGATATGCCCAGATTCCTTCTGGAGGCAGGTCTTCAGAAGACAAACACAAGTCACTGTGATGATCTCAGACCCTTTGTGTTTCAGCCACCACTGGGGTAGCTCCTGGCACAACTGTTGCACCTGGCAGTTCCAACACAGGTGGGTCCCTGAGATGGCACATTCCTCCACGAGTCCATCTATGACAAATTCTCCTCCAGTGTTACCCTGGGTAGGAGAACTACCATAGGTTTTCCATGGTGTTGAAATATTGTTCATCACTTCTGTCCTGTTTTCCTCTTTCTCAGAGGCCACAACTTCTGTAGGAGAAAGAGAAACAACAAAAGCTGAAATAATCACAGGTGAGCTCTGTTAAGGTATTAACTATTCCTGAAACCTTCCCAAGAATCTGGCCTGAAATATGTAAATACTTTTTGAATTCCCCAGAATTGGCATATTAAGGAAAATCTAACAGATGTCCAACATTTGACATCAATAAATACAGTACAGACCTTTCAAATTTTCCTCCTTATGTCTTGCACCGTGGGTCTAAGGATCCTTCATCACAGCATCATGAGACCCATTCCCTGACAGTTACATAGATGATTTGGGCCCAAGTGTACATTGCTATCATTAAAACCTAAGAAAGGGACTAGTGGTGGAAGACTTTCTCTCAGAACAAATCACAGTAAACTTGCTCAGGGAATGATATGTTCCATGGGCAAAGTGTGGATTCACTCTCAAAACTAAAGTCCAGAAAAATTAATTTCCTGGTATATTAAAGAAACAAACATTTAATTTGTTTTATTATTAAGAGCCCATGTCTGTTAAATTAAAGACCACAAATTAACCAATTACAATCCTTTCTAATTTCAGGTACTACTGAGGGCATCTCTGGGAAATCTCTGGAAGCTGGAAGTGCCCACACAGGTCAGGAATTCTGAATGTGGCCTCTTGGGCAATACAGCTTATGGGAGGCTCAGAATGTCCTGTGCAGCCTTTTTTAAAAAAAAAAATTATTTTTTATTTTATTTTTCCATAAGTTATTGGGGTACAGGTGGTATTTGGTTACGTGAGTAAGTTCTTTAATGGGGATTTGTGAGATTTTGGTGCACCCATCACCTGAGCAGTATACACTGCACCCTATTTGTAGTCTTTTATCCCTTGCCCCCTCCCACTCTTCCCTACCAAGTCCCCAAAGTCCATTGTATCATTCTTATGCCTTTGTGTCCTCATAGCTTAGCTCCCACATATCAGTGAGAACATACGATGTTTGGTTTTCCATTCCTGAGTTACTTCACTTAGAATAATAGTCTCCAGTCTCATCCAGGTCACTGCAAATGCTGTTAATTCTTACATTCTGTTCCTTTCTCTCTCAGAGGCCACAACTTTCCCAGGAGGCAGTGGGACCACTCAAGCAGGACCACCTGGAGGTGAGCTTTTCAGGCAGAGGCCTGAGGCTCTCATCATCTCTCAATTTTGGTGGCTGCAGTAACAAATAATATGAAAGCATTTGAGGAGAAGTCGGCATTCTCTGAGGCCATATTATGTCATAACAGTCTGAAAAGTTATTCTGCTTATAAATTCCATGACCTCAGATGTCTCAGCCAGGCTATCTCCAGTATCCTGGCCTATGGAGACATTTTTGTCTGATATGAGGATTGAGAGTATATTACATGCATTCCAACCCTCCAGGACTTCCAGTCTTCCTTAGCCAGTTTACCTTTCCACCCACAGCTTGACATTTTCTTTTCTTTTTCTTTTTCTTTTACTTTAAGTTCCGGGATATGTGCAGGTTTGTTACATAGGGATACGTGTGCCATGGTGGTTTGTTGCACCTATTGACCCATCCTTTAATTTGCCTTGGCATGTGATGTTCCCCTCCCTGTGTCCATTCGATCTCATTGCTCAACCCCCCACTTAAGAGTGAGAAGAAGCGGTGTTTGGTTTTCCATTCCTGTGATAGTTTGCTGAGGATGATGGCCTCCCGCTCCATCCATGTCCCTGCAAAGGACATGATCTCATTCCTTTTTATTCAGCTTGACATTTTTCTACTTTAATTATACATGATGCTTATTTTCTGTATCCCCTCACTAGAAAGCTTCATAAAGTCAAGTGATTATTAAAATGCCCTCAAGTTGTATGAAAGAGTTCTACTTATAAAGATAAAACCATGCTTTGTTTCTCCTGTAGGCACTTCTGTCACAGCAGGGGGCTATGTCTCTGGAAGGCAAACAGATTTAAAGGACTATTCTCCCCTTGCCTTGTAGTAAAAGGGAAACCCAGTAGCCACACATCTATCCCATGTTGGCCTGGAAAGCCCAGTGCTAAGCAGCTGTTCATTTTTATTCTATAGAAACAGTGTACTCAGGAATGGGCTTCCAGTGCTTTAGGGCCACATTGATGCTTCCAAGCTTAGTTGGGGAGATAATACTCTATAGTTTCATTTTCCTTTTTTGCATTTTAGGTACCACTGGAAAATTATCTGGAACAACCATTATATCTGAAACTTCCACCACAGGTAGTTTAACAAGAAGGAAATGCCTCTTATTTAATGTCACATGTCACAGTATCTCTTTTAGGACGGCTATGATAAAATAACACCCCCAAATCCCCTCCAGTATTCCAAATTCCCAGACTTCACTATTCTACTCTTCCCCTCAGAAGCCACAACTTCCATTGTAGGGAGTGGCACTAGTGGAACTGAACTCAAAACTGGTGACAATAAATAGCCCATACTTTGGCCTCATAAGGATTAGTACTCTCAAGCTTTCCTTGAGAGAGTTGTGTTTCATTTAGAGACATTGCAAGTAATTCAAAATAGGATTGCTGTTATTTATTTGTTAATTTATTTGGAAAAACGACCAGTCCTAGAATTGAGCCTGCCTTCATCAAGTCGGATGACAGGATGGGATTTTTCTATTGAGTTACAACTCTCACCAGCATTTGAGCTGGAAACCAGAAAGTTTTCTGTGTGAATGTGCATGAAGTAGAAAAGAGCCTCACGGAAACAGGGAGCATGCATCCATAATTGTGTAGCTAACAATTGGCTTGTCCAACATTTTCTCCTATATCTGAAGTTTCAACACATTTAAACCTTTCTTCCCTCCTCTTTCTATCTCACAGCAGGCATCACTGCAGCAACAGGGAAGCAAGCAGGTGAACATTGGGAAAATGCATCTAGTTTCTCTTTTGTCAAATTTTCAGTTGTGTTTGTACTTGAAACACTGTCTCTCTATCTCCTTTATTATGAACTGTTGAAAGCAGTAAATACATCAATTTTTCCACCTTCCTTGTGCTCAGAGAAAGAGATTTCTGTTATGGCAAATGCATACAGAAACACAGCATATCCCTTTTAGATTTGGGTCCTCATTTGACTTACTCATTCACTGTGATCACCTCAGTTTCTTTGTGTTTCAGGCATCTCAGTGGTAGCTCCTGCCACAACAGTTGCCCCTGGAAGTTTCAGCACAGGTGAGTCTACCTTGTGGTGGGGAATCCTTTCATGGATGCTTGGCTACAGTAACATGTCTTTACTTTTGGTGCTTCTATGCAGGAGCTCCACCATTGCATTCCATGCCCCCTGAATCTTTTCCATTTGTGTCTTTCTTCTCCAAGCAGTGACAGCTTCTCCTGAAGCAACACGAGTGACTGGCGTTACAACTGCAAGTAAGAACTGACAATCCACTACCTCCTTCCCAGTAGGTCACATTGTCTCAATCACATCTACCATTTGTACTTCCTGTGAAGAGCATTTTTGTTGGGGAAAAAACACAATTCAAAATAGGCAAGATTTTACCAATACGTAAACGTCAGACACTCAAATGCTTTTATCTTCCTTTCCTCTGCTTCAAGGAGACTTCACCATGGAGCTAAGGCACTGAGCATCAGTTGTGTGATTAGAGAGAAAGGTCTTTCTTTCCCTCGGTGATATATAAAGGAAATAATAGCCACTAACATTTTTCTCATTAAATATTCTATAGAAATTGTGCGTGCAAAACATAAAGATTAACTCCTGGTCTAGAAACCTCTGAAAGAGCTTGCTGACACATTAACAAAACAGAGTTCCCTGAGCCCATCAAACGTCGTTTTCTTTTCATTATGTGTAAAGAATAAAAATATTGATTCCTATCACTCTGAGTTCCAATGTGGTAGCCACTGGCAAAACTTTTACACATGAAAAGTCTAATACTTAAAGCAATAAATAATGATGATTATAGTAATAAGCACATTGATCATTTATGAGTTCCTTACTATATCTACTTTTTTAATTAGAGGTTTACATATCTTATTCCAATTAAGAAATACCTAAGGTCCAATTAAGAAGATAAATTTACAAGTGATGTATCTCTTGGTTTTAACAATTAAACTTATATATTTATGTTTTTCATTACTTTTAAAGTCAGAAGGCCTTCTTTTCTGACTTAATAGAAAGTGTCCAGACATTTTGAATTGAGGTTATCTCATATAATGACATCAGCTTAGCTCATCCCTCTTTCTTAATACTCAATTAATTTTGGTTTTCTTCAAGAGACCACAACTTCCCTAGGAGGAAGTGACACCCCTGGAGCAGAAATAAAATCAGGTAAAGACTTTGAGGTATTTATGTTTATTGTTGTATTTTGATAAATTTCATAGAGGAAAATTTTTAATGAGTTTTTAATTTGGAAATAAATTGAAATTGCAGAAAATTATCACAGATAATGTGGAGAATCCCTTTAGTATGGAGTGTGGTTTTAAATTTCCTTTGAGGCTATAATATTTCAAGGAAACAGAGTTTCTTCTTGGATTTGAATTTGTAAACTCTTGAGCCCAAAGTTCCTAAAGTCTTTCCCTTCGGGAGACTAACCTCAGAGTTCTAGGTTGCTGGAGAGGAGGGTTGCAATAATAGCTCTGGCTTTGAAGTGGTTTTCCCTTTGAAAAGAGCATAGTCTGTAAAACATTAATGTCCTGTTCATAGATGAAAATTTAAGATTTTCTTTCTTCTTTCCTCTTCTTTCCTTCTCCTCTTCTTCTCCTAATCTCTTTCCTTCTTCTCCTAATCTCTTTTCATGTGGAGCCACCACTGGAGCACCAGGAAGTAGGACAGGTAAACTTGGGGAAAGCCTTTCATGAGACCTCCAACACTGGCATAATAATAATCATTATGATGAAGGCAGGGATATTGCTTACTGCATTAACCTTGGCCTTGTAAAGAAACACAATAAATCTGAAACATGGTTGTCCTTATGTCAGTTATAAGTCCAGAAAGTATTTTTTCTTTCTTCAAAGTCACAAATAGACCTACCGTTGGCCACATGTTTCTAAGGGTCACAAAAGAGTTCCCATGTAGATCTTTCTCTTTTCTTTCCTACCTAGGCACAGCTGGAGTGCTCTCTGCTACAACAGTCTCCGCTGGGAGCTCCAACTCAGGTAAAGCACCAGACTGGGAGGAACCACTGCTTGGAAAGGGCTCCTCAATGAGGTGTCTGCCTGGGTGATCCTACCATGTTTTTTCAGATGCTTCTAATCTTTGCCCTCACTGCTGTTCTTTGTCCCTGTTTTGCAGAGGCCACAACTTCTATAGGAGAAAGTGGAAAAACAGGAGCTGAAATAATCACAGGTGAGCTCTGCTAAGGAACTAAGTTTACTTTGTTATAATTTCCCATGTCTCAATAGAAATATGGCAAAAGTTTTTAAATTTTCTATAGTTGGCATATTAGGCAAAAATTTAGCAGATATTCAATATTTAATATCAATAAATATAGTTCAGATACTTCAACATTTTCCCCTTATATCTTTTGCCTTGGGTCTCAGAACCCTTCATCCGGGCATCATGGGGCCTATTCCCTGATGGTTATATAGGTGACTTTGGCCCAAATCTATCTTTCTGGACCGAAATTCTAAAAATAAAAACTCAGTGGCAGAGGACTTTCTCTGTAAACTTGCTGAGGGAATTATATGTTCTATAGACAATGCATGGATCAACTCTTAAAAATAGAAACTCCAGAGTAATAAATTTTCTGTTTTATTAAAGAAAATAATTTTTTTTTCATTAAGAGCCTCTGCCCATATCCCGAGGAGCAATAAACTGACCGACTGACCTCAATCCTTTCTTTTTTCAGGTACTACTGAGGGCATCTCTGGCAGAACTCTGGAGGCTAGAAGTGCCCCCACAGGTCAGGAATTCTGAATGTGGCCCTTTGGGAAATACAGGTTATGGGGCTCTAGAATGTCCAGTGCAGTCTTCATACCTCTAATTCCTTTCTCTCTCAGAGGCCACAACTTTCCCAGGAGGAAGTGGAACCACCCAAGCAGGACCAACTGGAGGGGAGCTTGTCAGGCTTAGGCCTGAGGGTCTCATCATGTCTCTAGCTGGTAGCTACAGAGAACAAATAGTGAAGGCATTTGAAGTAGGGGCCTGCATTTTATTCTGGGTCATATGGTGTCCTGTCAACCTGGTCAGTTATTCTGCTTTTGAATTTCATGACCTTGGATAGTCAGCCAGGCTGTGTGCACTATTCTAGCTTATGGAGACATTATTTTTTCTCATAAAAGATATTTTAAAACGTTTCATATATTTTAGCCTTTCAGGACTTCCTATTCCCCTACCAAGGTTGCCTTTCCACTCACATCTTGATACTTTTTTAATCATTTTTCTCATATACGTACACATGATGTTGATTTCCTCTCTCTCCTCACACTAGAAAGCTTCATGAAGACAATTGATTATTAAAATTCCTCAAGTTGTATCACACAGTCCTGCTTATAAATATAAAACAATGATTTTTTCATCCTGTATGCACCTCTGTCACACCAGGGGGATATATTCCTAGAAGGGAAACAGGTCAGGTTGATTTAAGCCCTATTTTTCTCTTGCCTCACAGTGAAAGGGAATCCCAGCAGCAACACATCCATCCCATGTTGGCCTGGAAAATGAAGTGCTAGGAAGTTGTTCGTTTTCCTTTCTCTATAGAAATCGAGTGTTCACAGGAGAGGGTTTTAGTGCTACATTGATGCTTCCAAGCTTAATTGGAGACAAGCTGCTCTATTCCTTTATTTCCTTTCCTTTTTTTTTTTTTCATTTTAGTTACCACTGGAGAATTGTCTGGAATGACCTTTATATCTGGAAGTCCTAACACAGGTAACTTAACAAGAAATGCCTCTTATTTTAATGTCAGATGTCATGATTTTTTAAAGCCTTCTCTGATAAAGTAATATCCCAATATCTTCTTCCAGTATTCTAAATTCCCAGTCTTTTTCATTCTCCTCTTTCTTCCATCAGAGGCCACCACTTCCACAGAAGAGACTGGTACTTCTGGAACTGGATTCAAAACTGGTGAGAAGAAACATCCCGTGATTTGATGTCATAAATATTAGGTCTCCCAAGCTTTTCTTGAGAGAGTTTGTGTTTGTATTATTTAGGGACACTGCAAGTGATTCAAAATAGATTTGCTGGTGGAGGTATGTTTTTTTTTGAAAATCCACCAATTCTAAAATGGATCATTACTGCTTCATTTCTGAGGATATGATGCATTTCTCCATTTATGTTACAACTCCTGCTAGCAGTTTAGGTGGAATTCAGAAAGTTTTCAGTGCATGTGTGTGAAACAGAAAAGACCTCTATGGAACCAGGACACATACATTTAACATGTATATTTGAACAAAAATGCTGACTCAGTATTTTCTCCTGCCTGTGTAGCTTCAATACATTTAAACTATTTTTCCTCCTCTTTCTATCTCACAGCAGGCATCACTGCAGCAACAGGGAAGCAAGCAGCTGAGCATTGGGAAAACGCATCTAGTTTCACTTTTATCACCTTTTCAGTTGTGCTTGTTCTTGGAAACATTGTATCTTCTTTTGTTATGAATTGTTGAAAGCAGGCAGATACACCAAGTTTTCCACCTGCCTCCTGCTCAGAGAAAGAGGATTCTGTTATGGCAATGAAATACAGAAATACAGCTTATCCCTTTTAGATTCAGGTCCTCATTTGACTTACTCATTCACTGTGATCACCTCAGCCTCTTTGTGTTTCAGGTATCTCAGCGGTGGCCCCTGCCACAACAGTTGCCCGTGGAAGTTTCAGCACAGGTGAGTCCACTGTGTGGTGGGGAATCCTTTCACGGGTGCTTGCTACAGTGACTTGTCTATCCTTTTGGTGCTTCTATGCAGGAGCTCCACCGTTCCATTCCATGCCCCCTGAATCTTTTCCATTTGTGTCCTTCTTCTCCCAGCAGCCACAACTTCTCCTGGAGCAAGTGGAATGACTGGGGTTACAACAACTGCAAGTAAGAACTGACAATCCACTACCTCCTTCCCAGTAGGTCACTTTGCCTTGATCACATCTACCGTTTGTACTTCCTGTGTAGCGCATTTAAAAAAATTTTACAAATAGGCAAGATTTTATCTAATATGTAAAAGTTGGACACTCAAATGCCTTTGTCTTCCTTTCCTCTGCTTCAAGGAGACTTCACCATGGAGCTAAGGCACTGAGCATCAGTTGTGTGATTGGAGAGAAAAGTCTTTCTTTCCCTCAGTGATATATAAAGAAAATAGTAGTTATTAAAATTTTTCTCACTAAATAATCTATAGGAATGGTACATGAAAAAATATAGATCAACTTTGGGTTCTAGAAACCTCTGAAAAAATGCTTTTTGACACATTAAGACAACACAGATTCACCTCACCCCATCGAAGGCCATTTTCTTTTCATTATGTGCAAAGAGTAAAAATACTGATTCCTACACCTCTATAATTCCAGGTTCCAATGTGGTAACCACTGGAAAAGTTCTTACACACAAAAATCTAATACTTAAAGCAATAAATAATGATGATAATAGTAATAAGCATGTCAATCATTTATGAGTTCCACACTGTATCTGCTTTTTAAATTACGGGTTTACATATCTTATTCCAATGAAAAAATATCTAAGGTTCAATTCATAAAATAAATGTATAAATGATGTATCTTCACATTTTCACAATTAAACTTGTATATTTATAGTTTTCATTACTTCTAAATTCAGAAGGCCTTCTTTTCTGACTTAATAGAAAGTGTCAAGACATTTTGAATTGAGGTTATCTCATGTAATGACGTCAGCTTAGCTCATCCCTCTTTCCTAATAATTAATTTTGGTTTCTTTTCATCTTCTAGAGACCACAACTTCCCTAGGAGGAAGTAGCACCACTGGAGCAGAAATAAAATCAGGTAAAGACTCTGGGGTATTTATATTTATTGTTGTACTTTGATAGATTTCTTAGAGAAAACTTTTTTAATGAGCTTTTAATTTGAAAATAAATTTAAATTACAGATAATGCAGAGAATCTTTTTAATGTGGAGTGTGGGTTTAAATTTCCTTTGAGGCTGTAATATTTCAAGAGAGCAGAGTTTGCTCTTTGATTTGGATTTGTAAACTCTTGAGACCAAAATTTCTAAAGTCTTTCCCTTCTGAGAGACTAACATCAGGGTTCTAGGTCTCTGGAGAGGAGACTTGCAATAATAGCTCTGGTTTTGAAAAGGTTTTCCCTTTGAAAAGGGCATAGTCTGTATAACATTAGTATACTGATTTCTACAGTGTAGAAATCACTAAGATGTCATATTTTAGTTTAGAGATAAAAAGTCAAAATTATCTTTCTTCCTTCTTGTTCTTTCTTGTTTTCTCCTCCTCTTTTTTCTCCTTCTCTCTTATGCTTTTTATTAAGAACCACCACTACAGCACCAGAAAGTAGGAGAGGTAAACTTGGGGAAAGCCTTTCATGAGACCTCCAACACTGGCATAATAATAATCATTATGATGAAGGCAGGGATATTGCTTACTGCATTAACCTTGGCCTTGTAAAGAAACACAATAAATCTGAAACATGGTTGTCCTTATGTCAGTTATAAGTCCAGGAAGTATTTTTTCTTGCTTCAAAGTCACAAATAGACCTACTGTTGGCCACATGTTTCTAAGGGTCACAAAAGAGTTCCCATGTAGATCTTTCTCTTTTCTTTCCTACCTAGGCACAGCTGGAGTGCTCTCTGCTACAACAGTCTCCGCTGGGAGCTCCAACTCAGGTAAAGCACCAGGCTGGGAGGAACCACTGCTTGGAAAGGGCTCCTCAATGAGGTATCTGCCTGCGTGATCCTACCATACTGTTCTCAGATTCTTCTAATCTTTGCCCTCACTGCTGTTCTTTTTCCCTGTTTTGCAGAGGCCACAACTCCTGTGGGAGAAAGTGGAATAACAAGAGCTGAAATAATCACAGGTGAGTTCTGTTAAGGAACGAAGTGTACTTTGTTATAATTTCCCATGTCTTGCTTGAAATATGACATTTTTTGAATTTTCCATATTTGGCATATTAGGCAAAAATTTAGATGTTCAAAATTTAACATTAATAAATATAGGTCAGACACTTCAACATTTTCTCCTTGTTTCTTGTGCCTTGGCTCTAAAGTCCCTTTATAGGGCCCAGGATATCATAGGGCCCATTCCCTGACAGCTATATGTGTGACTTGGGCTCAAATCTATCTTTCTCTATCTAAACCCTAAAAAAATGGAACTTGGTGGTAGAGGACTTTCTCTGTAAACTTGCTGAGGGAATTATAGTTTATATGAATAATATATGGATTGACCCTTAAAATAGAAACAGCAGAGAAATATATTTTCTGTTGTATTGAAGAAAAAAGTTTTTTTTTTCTTTAAGAGCCTATGCTTATATCATAAGGCGCAACAAATTGACCAACTGCCCATGATCCTTTCCTATCTGGGGTACTACTGAGGGCATTTCTGGCAGAACTCTGAAAGATGGAAGTGTCCACACAGGTCAGGCACCTTCAGAACATGGCCCCTTGGCCAGTACAGCTTATGAGACCCCAGAATGTCCTGTGCAGTCTTCATACCTCCAATTCCTTTCTCTCTCAGAGGCCACAACTTTCTCAGGAGGTAGCGGGGTCACCCGAGCAGGATTACCCAGAGGTGAGCCCGGCAGGCCCAGACCTGGGGCTCTCATCATGTCTCTGTCGGGGTGGGTACAGGGAACAAATAATATGAAGGCATTTGAAGGAAGGGCTTGCATTTTCTCCTCAGCCATATTGTGTCATATCAACCTTGGTTAGTTATTGGACTTGTAAATTTCATGACTTGGATTGTCAGCCAAGCTGTCTGCACTATTCTAGTTTATGGAGACATTATTTTTTTCTAATTAAACATATTAGAAAATATTTCACATATTCCAACCTTCCAGGACTTCCTATTCCCCTTCCCCAGCCTTTCCACTCACAGCTTGATACTTTTTATCATTTTTCTCATATACTTACACATGATGTTGATTTCCTCTCTCCCCTCACTAGAAAGCTTCAGGAAGACAACTGATTATTAAAATGCCCCAAGTTGTATCACACAGTCCTACTTATAAATACAAACAATGAATTATATTTCCTGTAGGTACCTCTGTCACACCAGAGGGATATGTTCCTGGAAAGAAAACAGGCCAGGGTGATTTAAAGCCCTATTCCCCCCTTGCCTTAGTAAAAGTGTATCCCAGCAGCAACCTATCCATCGTGTGGGCCTGGAAAATCAAGTGCTAGGAAGGTGATCATTTTCCATTCTCTATAGAAATGCTGTCTACAGGAGAGGGCTTCCAGTGCTTTAGGGCTACGTTGATGGTTCAAGCTTAACTGGAAACAAAATGCTCTATTCCTTTATTTCCTTCCCCCCTACTTTTTTTTTTTTTTTTTGACATTTTAGGTACCACTGGAGAATTGTCTGGAATGACAATTATATCTGGAAGTTTTAACACAGGTAGCTTAACAAGAAGTAAATTCTTATTTAATGTCAGATGTCATATTTCTTTTATGACTTCTATGATACAGTAATATCCTAATTTCTTCTTCCAGTATTCTAAATTCCCAGCCTTTTTCATTCTCCTCTTTCTTCCGTCAGAGGCCACCACTTCCACAGAAGGGACAGGTACTTCTGGAACTGGATTCAAAACTGGTGAGAAGAAGCAACCCATGATCTGGCATCATAATTATAATTATGGCATCATAATTATGAGGTGTCTCAAGCTTTTCTTGAGAGAGTTTGTGTTTATTTTATTTAGGACATTGCAAGTGATTCAAAATAGATTTGCTGGTGGAGATACATTTTTTAAAAATCTACTCATTCTAAAATGGAGCATTACTGTTCCATTTCTGAGGATGGGATGGAATTTCTCCATTTGTGTTACAACTATTGCTAGCAGTTTAGGAGGAATTCAGAAAGTTTTCCGTGTGTGTATGTGAAACAGTAAAGAGTCCCATGGACCCAGGACGCATACATTTACAAGTGTATATGTGAATAAAAATGCTGACTCAGTATGTTTTTTCTTATGTCTCAAGTTTTAATACATTTAAGCCATTTTTTCCCTCCTCTTTCTCCCTCACAGCAGGCATCACTTCCGCCTCAGGGAAACAAGCAGGTGAGCATTGGGGAAATGCATCTAGTTTTGTTTTATCAAATTTCCAGGTGTGCCTGAAGTTGGGAATATTTTCTATGTGCTTTGGTTTGAATTGTTGAAAGCAGGCAAATACATGTAGTTCACCATTTGCCTCGTGCTCAGAGAGAGATTTCTGTGGTGGCATATAAATAAATAAATATATACATACATAGAGCATATTCCTTTTAGATTCGGTTCTTCATTTGACTTACTCATGCACCATGATCACCTCAGTCTCTTTGTGTTTCAGGCACCTCTGGGGTATCTCTTGCCACAACAGTTGCCCCTGGAAGTTTCAGCACAGGTGAGTCCACAGTGTGGTGGGGAATCCTTTCATGGGTACTTGCTATGATAATATGCCTTTCCTTTTGGTGCTTTTATGCAGAATAACTACCTTTCCATTTTAAGTCCCCTAAATCTTTTCTATTTATGTTCTTCCTCTCTCAGTGGCCACAACTTCTTCTGGAGCAAGTGGAATAACAGGGGCTGGCCCCACCTCAGGTAAGCACTGATGAACCACTACCTGCCTCCCAGTGGACCACGTTGCCTGAATTGCATCTACTGTTTGTACTCTCTGTGAAGAACATTTTCTGAAGAAAGATTATCACATAGGCAGGATTTTACCTAATAACTAAAGGCCAGACACTCAACTTTTTAACCTTCTTTTCCTCTGCTTCAAGGAGACTTCACCATGGAGCCAAGGCACTGAGATTCAGTTAGGAGATTGAAGATAAATATTTTTCTTCCTCTCATTGATATTTAAATGAAGTGATTGAGTTATTGACATTTTATTCATTAAATATTCCATGAGATACAAATGATGTGTAGAAAACATACACAGATTAACTCCTGCTTCTAGAAACCTCTGAACAGAGCTTGTTGACACATTGAGGAAACGCATAGTTTTCTTATCCCATCCTAGGCCATTTTCTTTCTCATTATGGGTAAAGAATTGAGATATTGATTCCTATTTCTAATCCCACACTGGAATTATTATACACTGGTAGTCAGTGGCAGAATTTTTTCTCATGAAAAGTCTAATTCTTAAAGCAATAAATAATGATGTTAATAGTAATGAGCATATTGATCATTTTGATTTCCTTGCTATATACATATCACATATGGCCTTTATATACCTTATTACCATTGCAACTACCTAAGGTCCAAAGAAGATCCATGAGTTCAAAATGGACAATTAAACTTGTGTCTTGAAGATAAACACTTTTACATGGAAAAGGGCTTCTTTTCTGACTTAGTGGTAGATGATAAGACATTTTGAATTATATTTGTCTCACGTAGTCTCATCAGCTTAACTCACCCGTCTTCCTTCATACTCAATTAATTTTGGTTTTCTCTCCATCTTTAAGAGACCACAGCTTCCCTAGGAGGAAGTGGTACCACCGGAGCAGGAATAAAATCAGGTGAAGATCTGGGTATTTTCATTATTTATTGTTATAGTTTGATTCCAAGTTCATGGATTTCTTAGGGAAAACAAGCCTTTTATTTTGAAATATTACATTATGTAAAATGCGCAAAGATAAAGCAAAAATCCTTTCATGTGGAATGCAGTTTTTATATCCTTTGGGGGCTATAGTATTTCAGGGAAACCAGCAATACTTTTTGGATTCGGATTTGAAACCACTTGGCCCCAAAGTTCCTAATGGCTTTCCCTTCTCAGGGACTAACCCTTGGGTTCTAGGCCTCTTGAGAGAGCAGATATAATAGCTCTGGCTCTGAAATGGTTCTTCCTGTGAAAGGAGCTTAGTCTGTGTTACATTCCAGTACTGATTTTTATTCAGCAGAGAAATCATTAAGATGTCACATTTTAGTTCAAAGAAAAAATTCTAAATCTTTCTTCTTCTTCCTTCTCTGCCTCCTCCTCCTTTTTCTTGTCTTCCTGTTCCTCTGTCTTCCTTTTCTCCTGTTCCTTTCTTCTCCTCCTTCTCTACCTAATCCTCTTTCTTCTTCTTTTTCTCTCTCTTCTTCATCCTTTTTCTCCTCTTCCTTCTCGTCTTTCTCCTCCTCTCCTCTGCTTCCTACTCTTGCTTCTTCTCCCCCGGCTTCTTTTTTTCCTCCTCTGCCTCGTCCTTCTCTTCTTTCTCTTCCTTCTCCTCTTCCTACTCCTCTTATCTTCCTCCTCCTTCTCTTCTCCCTTCTTTTTCTTTTCGTTAGGAGCCACTACTGGAGCACCAGGAAGTAAAACAGGTAAATATGGAAAAAGCCTTTGATATGACCTTTAATCTTGGCAAAGATTGGCAGGTATATTGGCCATGGTGTTAAACTTGGCTTCACAAAGGCAAATGGTAGACATGAAACACGTCTATATTTCTGTCAGTTACAGGTTCAGAAAGTATCTTTTGCTGTTTCAAAGTCACAGATAGACTTGTTACCGACATTCTTCCAGGGATCACAAAATTGTTCCTGTGTTGATCTTTTTCTTTTTTCCCACCTAGGCACAGCTGCAGGTTCCTCTGGTACAACAGTTGCCCCTGGGAGCTCCAACTCAGGTAAAGCACCAGGCTAGGAGGAACCACTGCTTTGGAAGGGCTCCTCAGTGAGTTGTCTGCCTGGGTGATCCTACCATACTCTTCTCAGATTCTTCAAATCTTTGTCCTCATTGTTATTCCTCTTCTCTCATTTGCAGAAGCTACAACTTCTATAGGAGAAAATGGAAAAACAAGTGGGGAAATAATCACAGGTGAGCTCCGTTAAGGAACTAAGTGTACTTTGTAATAACTTCCCATGTCTCACTTGAAATACAGCAAAATTCTTTGGCTTTTCAACATTTGGCATATTACAAATATTTAGCAGATGTTCAATATTTAACATCAATAGATAGGGTTCCAACACTTCAATGTTCCCTCCTTGTGTCTTGTTCCCTGTGTCAAAGGCCTCTTCATCAGGCTAGCATGGGGCCCATTCCCTTGCAGTTATAGAGGTGACTTGGCCTGAATCTATCTCCCTGTAACTAAATCCTAAAAAAGGATCTCAGTGGTGGAGGACTTTCAGTGTAAACTCGTTGAGGGAATTATATGTTCCACGAGCAATATATGGATAAACTCTTAAAACTAGAAAGCCCAGAGAAATAAATGTACTGGTATATTGAAGAAACAAAGTTATTATCTTTCCTTTAAGAGCCCATGCCCATTTCATGAGAAGCAACAGATTGATCAGCTGACCACCTTTCTTATTTCAGGTACTACTGAGGGCACCTCTGGCAAAGTTCTGGAACCTGGAAGTGCTCACACAGGTCAGGAATTCTGCATATGGCCCCTTCGGCAATATCGGCTTTGGGAAACAAACAGAATGTCCTGTCCAATCTTTATACTTCCAATTCCTTTCTCTCTCAGAGGCCACAACTTTCCCAGGAGGCAGCGGGACCACCCGAGCAGGACTACCAGGAGGTGAGCTTGTCAGGCTGAGGCCTGGGGCTCTCATCAGCTCTCGATCTGTGTGGCTGCAGTGAACAGTCATGAACAGTAATGCAGTGAAAGTCTTTTGAGGGAGGGTCCTGCGTTTTCTCTGTGGCCATAGTTTGTCATATCAACCTGGTCAGTTATTCTGCTTGTGAATTCATGACCTCAGGTGTCTCAGTCAGGCTGTCTTCAATGTCCTGGCTTATGGAAACAATTTTTTCTGATTGTTTGAGAGTATATTGCATATATTCCAACTTTCCAGGACTTTCAACTCTCCTTACCCAGTTTTCCTTTCCACCCACGGTTTGAGACACTTTCTATCATTTTTCTCTTTTACTTACACATGGTATTTGTTTCCTCTCTCCCCTCCTATAAAACTTCATGAAAACAACTGATTATTAAAATGCTCCAAGTTGTATCAAAGAGTCCTGCTTATAAGTATAGAATTGTGCTTTGTTTCTCCTGTAGGCACCTCTGTTACGCCAGGGGGATATGTTCCTGGAAGGGAAACAGGTCAGGGTGATTTAAGCCCTATTCTTCCCTTGCCTCATAGAGAAAGGGAAACCCAGTAGCAACACACACAGCCCAGGTTGGCCTGGAAAATCAAGTGCTTGGAGATTGCTCATTTTCCATTCTCTACAGGGATACAGTGTCCTCAGGAAAGGGCTTCCAGTACTTTAGGGCCACACACGGATGCTTCCAAGCTAACCTGGGGAGATAATGATCTATTACTCCATTTCCCTTTTTTGGCATTTTAGGTACCACTGGAGAATTGTCCGGAACGACCATTATATCTGGAAGTTCTAACACAGGTAGCTTAACAAGAAGGGAATGCTTCTTATTTCATGCCAGATGTCATGATATCTCTTTTAGGGCTGCTATTATAAAAGAATACCCCAATATCCTCTGTGGTATTCCAAATTCCCGGATGTCACTATTCTCCTACTTTTTTTTTTTTTTTCCCTCAGAGGCCACAACTTCCACAAAAGGGACTGGTACTTCTGGAACTGGCTTCAAAACTGGTAAGAATCAACAGTCCATGATTTAGGGTCATCAAGATTAGGAATCAAGCTTCTCCTAAGAGTGTTTATATTTTGTTTAGGTACATTGCAAGTAATTAAAAATGAATTTGCTATAGAGATAAATTTTTTTGGAAATCTACTAATTCTAGAATTGAGCCTCACTGCTTCAGGTCTGAGAATGGGTTGAGATGTCTCCCCCGGTATTACACCTATCATCAGAATTGGCGCTGGAATTCAGAATGTTTTCCGTGTGTGTGTGTGAGTGTGTGTGTGTGAAATAGAAAAAAAGCCCATGGAACCAGGATGCATGCATGCATATGTGTGTATCTGTATATGGATAAAACTTTGCTTTGCCAATATTTTGTCCTACATCTAGTTTGCAGCACATTTAAAACTTATTTCCCCTACTTTTTATCTCATAGCAGGCATCACTGCAGTGCCAGGGGAGCAAGTTTGTCAGCCTTAGGGAAATGCATCTAGTTTCCCTTTTATTAAATTTCCAGGAGAAGCACCTGAAGTTGCAAACAGTATTTCTCTATTTGCTTTGGTTATGAATTGTCGAATGCAAGCAAATACACTTAGTTCACCCTCTGCCATAACCTCAAAAAGAGAGATTTCAGTTATGGCAAAGAAATACATTATATCCCTTTCAGAGTCAGGTCTTCACTTGACTTACTGAGTCATAATGGTCAGTAAGTCAAATGAAGACCTGACTCTAAAAGAGATATAATGTGTTTTCAGGTACCTCTGTGGTGGCACCTGGCACAACAGTTGCCCCTGGAAGTTTCACCACAGGTGAGTCCACAGTTTCTTTACTGATTCCACAGGAATCGTTTCTTGAGTGCTTGCTACAATAATGTCTTTCCTTTGGTGCTTATATGCAGAAGCACCACCATTCCATCCCTAGGCCCCTGAATCTTTTTCATTTATGTCCCTCCTTTCTCAGTAGCCACAATTTCTCCTGGAGCAAGTAGAACCACTGGGGCTGGACCCGCTGAAGGTAACCACTGATAAACTACTAACTGCTTCCCAGTAGACAAGGTTATCTGAATGACATCTACTGTTTATACCTCCTGTGAAGACCATTTTCTGAACACAGATTACTGGATAGGCAGGATTTTACGTAATAACCAAATGTCAGATCCTCAGACTCTTTTATCTTCCTTTCCTCTGCCTCAAAGAGACTTCAGCATGGAGCTAAGGCACTGAGAATCAGTTGAGTGATTAGAAAGAAATATCTTACTCTCATTGATATCTAAAGGAAGTAATTGAGTTTTTGGAATGGTTGTCATTAAATATTCCATGAGATGTAAATGGTGTGAAGAACATATATAAATTAACTCTTGATTCTAGAACCTCTGAAAAGAGCTTGTTGACATGCTGAGAAAACATGGCTCCCTAACCCCATCGTAGGCCATTTTTTTCTCATTATGGGTAAAGATTGAGATATTGATTCCCATTGTTCTCTAATACCAAGTTCATTTTTGGTAGCCACTGGCAAAATTCTTGCACATGAAAAGTATAATATTTAAAGCAATAAATAATGATGATGATAATAGTGAGCATATCTATCATTTATGCGTTCCTTACTATATACGCTTTTTTATTAAGAATTTTACGTATCTTATTCCAATTAAGAAATAACTAAGGTCCAACTAAGAACCATGTGAGTTAAAATGTTTTATCTCCCCATTTTAACAATTAAATGTGTGTATTAAAGGTTTCCATCACTTTTACAGTCAGTAGGTCTTCTTTTCTGACTTAATAGTAGGTGACAAGACATTTTGAATTGGGCCTATCTCATGTAGTAACATCCACTTGCTCATCCCTCTTCCTTAATACTGAATTAATTTTAGTTTTCTTTTCATCTTTAAGAAACCACAACTTCCCTAGGAGGAGGTGGCACCACTGGAGCAGAAATAAAATCAGGTAGACTTTAGGGTATTTATATTTATTGTTGTATTTTGATAGTTTTTGTAGAGAAAAACATTTTTAATGATCTTTTAATTTTGAAATAATTTTAAGTTACAGAAAATTTGCATTGATAATGCAAAAATCACCTTAATGTGGAAGTGGTTTTAAATTTCCTTTAAAGCTGTAATATTTTAAGGGGAACAGAGATTCTTCTTGGATTTGGATTTGTAAATATGTGGGCCCAAATTTCCTAAAGGCTTTTTCTTTTTCAGATACTAACCTCAGGGGTCTAGGACTCTGCAGAGGAGGGTTACAATAACAGCTCTGGCTCTGAAATGGTTTTCCCTTTGAAAAGAGCATAGTCTATATAACATTTGTGTACTAGCTTCAAATCAGTGTAGAAATCATTAAGATGCCCATATTTTAGTTTGGAGATAAAAATTCAAAAATATTTTTTCTTCCTTATTTCTCTTTCTTTCCTCCTCCTTCTTCTCCTTCTCTTTTTCTTTTCATTAGGAGCCACCTCCGGAGCACCAGGAAGTAAGACAGGTAAACTTGGGAAAGCCTTTCAAATGACCTTCAACATTGGCAAAAAAAAAAAAAAGGACAAGCATATTAGCCATTGTGTTAACCTCGGCCTTGCCAAGGAACACAATACACATGAAAAATGCCTCTCCTGTCAGTTATAGGACCAGGAAGCATCTTTTCCTGCTCTGAAGTCACAGATGGACATGCTGTCAGCCGCATTCTTTCAAGGGTCATAAAAGCGTCTCTATGTTGATCTTTCTCTTTTCTTTCCTATCTAGGCACAGCTGGAGTGCCCTCTGTGACAACAGTTGCCCCTGGAACCTCTAACTCAGGTAAAGCACCAGACTGGGAGGAACCAGTACTTGGAAAGGGCTCCCCAGTGAGGTGTCTGCCTGGGTGATCCTACCATGCTTTTCTCAGATTCTTCAAACCTTTGCCCTCACTGCTATTCTTTTTCCCTCTTTTGCAGAGGCCATGACTGCTTTAAGAGAAAGTGGAAAAACAAGGGCTGAAATAACCACAGGTGAGCTCAGTTAAGGAACTAAGTATACATTGCTATGATTTTCCATGTCTTGCTAGAATATGGCAAAATCTGAATTTCCCATATTTGGCATATTAGAAAAACATTTAGCAGATGATCAATATTTAACATCAATAAATATAGTTCAGACACATCAACATTTCCTCCTTATGTCTTGTGCTGTGGGTCTAAGGACCCTTCATCAGGGCATCATGGAGCCCATTCCCTGACAGTTATAGAGGTGATGTGGGCCCAAATCTCTCTATCTGTAACAATACCCTAAATAAGGAACTCCATGGTAGAGGACTTTCTCTATAAACTTGCCAAAGGAACTATATGTTCCATGGGCAGTATATGGATTAACTCTTAAAAACAAAACAAAACAAAACAAGACAAAAACTCTAGAGAAATAAATTTTCTGGTGTGTTTAATAAAAAATGTTTTTTTCTATAGGAGTCTATAGCCGTTTCATTAATGACAACAGATTGACCAACTAATCACAATCCTCTCTTATTTCAGGTACTACTGAGGGCAAAACTCTGGCAGCTGAAAGTACCCACACAGGTCAGGAATTCTGAACATGGCACCCTGGGCAATACAGCTTATGGGGCCCCAGAATGTCCTGTGCAGTCTTCATACATCCAATTCCTTTCTTTCTCAGAGGCCACAACTTTCTCAGGAGGCAGCGGAACCACCCGAGCAGGACCATCAGGAGGTGAGCTTGTTAGGCTGAGGCCTGAGGCTCTCATCATCTCTCTCTCTGGGTGGATACAGGGAACAAATAATGTGAAGGCTTTTGAGGGAGGGGGATTTTCTCTGGGGCCATATTGTGTCCTATATGTGGTCGGTTATTCTGCTTGTGATTCCATGATCTCAGATGGCTCAGCCAGGCTGTCTTCAGTATCTTGACTTATGGAGACATTTTTTTCTGATATGAAGAGGCTTGGGAGTCTAATACACTTATCCCATCCTTCCAGGATGTCCAGCTGTCCTTTACCCAATTTACCTTTCCACCCACAGCTGGACACTTTCTATCCTTTTTCTCATTTAGCTATACATGATGTTGATTTTCTCTCTCCCCTCATGGGAAAACTTTGTGAAGTCAACGATTATTTAAATGCCCCTAGCTGTATCAAAGAGTCCTGCTTAAGGTTAAAACCATGCTGTATTTCTCCTGTAGGCACTTCTGGCACATCAGAAGGATATGTCCCTGGAAGGGAAACAGGTCAGGGTGATTTAAACCCTTGTCTACCTTTGCCTTATAGTAAAAGGGAAACCCAGCAGCAACACATCCATCTCAGTTTGGCCAAGGAAAATGAAGTGCTAGAAGTTGTTCATTTTCCATTCACTGTAGAGACAGAGTATCCTCAGGAAAGGGCTTCCAGTGCTTTAGGGCCACATTGATGCTTCCAAGCATAAATGGGAAGAAAATATTGCTGCATTTACCCCTTTTTCTTTTTAGGAGAATCTTCTGGAACAACCATTATATCTGGGAGTTCTAACACACATAGCTTAACAAGAATAAAGTGCCTCATATTTAACGTCAGATGTAATGATATCTCTTTTAGGGTTGCTGTGATAAAATAACGCCCCAGTATCTCCTCTCAGTATTCCAAATTCACAGACTTCCGTACTCTATTTCTTTCCTCAGAGCCCACAACTTCCATTGAAGAGACTGGTCCTTCCAGAACTGTATTCAAAACTGGTGAGACTAAAAAGCGCATAATTTGGGGTCATCTAGATTAGGTCTTTTAACTTTCCTTGAGGGTGTTTGTGGTTTTTATAGGCACTGCAAGTGATTCAATATAGGTTTGTTACTAGGGAGAAATCTTGTTTGAAAGGCTACTTATTGTAAAATTGAGTCTCCCTCTATTGAGGCTGAGGATGGGAAGGGTTTTCCCATTGTGTTACTATTACCACCAGCATTTGAGCTGGAAGCCAGATAGTTTTCTGTGTGTACATGTGTGAATGTGTGTGAGGTAGGAAAGAGCCCCATGGAACCAGGGTGCATGCATGCATATGTGTGTATGTATCTTACAATTGGCTTTCCCAAAATTTTCTCCAACATCTGAAGTTTCAACACATTTAAATCTTTTTTCTTTCTTCTTACGTACCTCACAGTAGGCATCACTTCGGTCCCAGGGAGGCAAGCAGGTGAGCATCGAGAAAATGCATCTAGTTTCCCTTTTATCAACTTTGTAGTTGTGCTTGAAGTTGGAAACATTTTCTATGTGCTTTGGTTATGAATTTTTGAAAGCAGGCAAATATATATTGTTCACCATCAGTCTCATGCTCAGAGAGAGATGTATGTTGTAGGAAATAAATAAATACATAAATACAGCATATCCCTTTAAGATTTGGGCCTTCCTAGAACTTACTGAATCACTATGGTCCCCTCAATCCCTTTGTGTTTCAGGCACCTCTGTGGTGGCGCCTGGCACAACAGTTGCCCCTGGAAGTTTCAGCACAGGTGAGTCCACTGGGTGATGGGGAATCCCTTCATGGGTGCTTGCCATAATGTCTTTGAGTGTTTCAATGCAGAAGCATCACCATTCCATTCCATGCCCTCTGAATCTTTTCTATTCATGTCCTTCCTCTGCCAGCAGCCACACCTTCTCCTGGAGCAAGTGGAATGACTGGGGTTAGAACCACTTCGAGTAAGCACGGACAATCCACTACCTCCTTCTCAGTAGACATTGCCTCAATCACATGCAGTATTTGTACTTCGTGTAAAGAGTCTTTTCTGAACATGGATTACCAGATAGTCAGGATATTACCTAAATGACTAAAGGCCCGACACTCAAATTCCTTTATTTTTCTTTCTTCTGTTCCAAGGAGACTTCACCATGAAGCTAAGGCACTGAGAATCAGTTGTGTGATTGGAGAGACATGTTTTTATTTCTCTCATTGATATCTAGAGGAAATAATTGAGTTATGGAAAGTTTTGTCATTAAATTTTCTGTGAGACAGAAATGGTGCACGGAAAACATATGTAGGTTAAATCTTGGTTCTAGAAACCACTGAAAAGAGCTTCTTGGCACTTTGAGAAAACACATAGTTCCCACACCTTCATGATATGACATGTTCATTCTTATTACGGGTAAAGAATTCAGATTTTGATTCCTATCACTTTCTAATTCCAACTTTCAATGTGGCAGCCATTGGCAAACTTCTTGCACGTGAAAAATCTAATATTTAAAGCAATAAATAGTGATGATAATAGTAATAAGCATATCAATCATTTATGAGTTCTGACCGTATACCTTTTGAAATTAAGTTTAAATAACTTATTCCAATTAAGAAACACTTACATTTCAATTAAGAACAATATGATTTGAAAATGTTTTACCTCACCATTTAACAATTATACTTGGATATTGAAGGTTTCCATCACGTTTACAGTCAGAAAGATTTCTCTTGTGACTTAATAGTAGGTGACAAGATATTTTGATTTAGGCTTATTGCATGTCTTGACATCCACTTAGCTCATCCCTCTTCCTTAATACTCAATTAATTTTGGTTTTCTTTCCATATTTAAGAGACTACAACTTCCCTAGGTGGAATTGGCACCACTAGAACTGAAATAAAATCAGGTAAATATGTTGTAGTATTCATTATTTATTGTTGTATTTTGATAGATTTCTTAGAGGAAACATGTTTTAACAATGAGTTTTTAAGTTACAGAAAATTTGCATTGATGATGCAAAGAATAACTTTAATGTGGAGTGCAGTTCTAAATTTCTTTTAAGGCTGTAATATTTCAGGGGAAACAGAATTTCTTCTTAGATCTGGATTTGTAAACATGTGGGCCCAAATTTCCTGAAGGCTTTCCCTTCTTAGAGACTAACTTCAGGGTTCTAGGCCTCTGGAGAGGACAGTTGCAGTAGCTTCAGCTCTGCAATTATTTCCCTTTGAGAAGAGCATAGTCTGTTTATCATCATAGTATTGACTTGTATTCAGCATAGAAACCATTAGGTTGTCATACTTCACTTCAGAGATAAAAATTCAAAATTTTCTTTTTTTCTCCTTTCTCTTTCTTTCCTTCTCATCCTTCTTCTTCTTTTTTATCTTTTCATTAGGAGCCACCACTGGAGCACCAGGAAGTAAGACAGGTAGATTTCACAAATGCCTTTTATATGACCTTCAACATTGGCAAAAATAAGTCATCAGGGCAGTCATATTATCCTTGGCCTTGCAAAGGCACACAGAAAACACAAAACATGTCTGTCCTCCTGTCAGTTATAGGTCCAGGAAGTGTCTTTTCCTGCTCCAAAGTCAAAGACAGGCATGTTGCTTATCACATTCTTCTAAGCATTACAAAAGAGTGCCCATCTTTCTCTTTTTTCCTACCTAGGCACAGCTGGAGTGCCCTCTGCTACAACAGCTGCCCCTGGGAGCTCCAACTCAGGTAAAGCACCAGGCTGGGAGGAACCACTGCTTGGAAAGGGCTCCTCAGTGGGGTGTCTGCCTGGGCAATTCTACCATACTTTTCTCAGATTCTTCTAATCTTTGCCCTCACTGCTATTCTTTTTCCATCTTTTTCAGAGACCACAACCTCTGTAGGAGAAAGTGGAATAACAAGTGCTGAAATAGTCACAGGTGAGCTCTCCTAAGGAACTAAGTGTAATTTGTAAGTTTCCCATGTGTTGCTAGAAATATAGCAGAACTCATTGATTCCTGTATCTGGCATATTAGACACAAATTCAGCAGGTGTTCAACATTTAACATCATTAAATATGGTTCATAAATTTCAACTTTCCCTCCTTATATCTGCCTTGGGCTTAAAGGCACTTGATCAGGGCATCATGGGACCCATTCCCTGATAGTTATAGAGGTGACTTGAGCCCAAATCTATCTTCCTGTGTCTAAACCTTAAAAAAGGGCCTCAGTTGTGATGTTTGTAAACTTGCTGAGGAAACTGTATGTTCCATGGGCAGTAAATGGATTAACTCCTAAAATACAAAATCCAGAAAAATAAATTTTTAGTATATTAATGCAAATAAGTATTTTCTTTTTCCTTTAATAGCTTATTCTCATATCATTAAGGAGGACAAATTGACCAACTGACCACATAATCTTTTCTTATTTCAGGTACTACTGAGGGCATCTCTGGCAAAACTCTGGAAACTGGAAGTGCCCAAACAGGTCAGGAATTCTAATCACGACCTGCTGAGCAGTCTAGTCTCTGAGAGCCACAGAATGTCATGTGTAGTCATTATACCTCCAATTCCTTTCTCTCTCAGAGGTCACAACTTTCTCAGGAGGCAACCGGACCACCCGAGCAGGCCCACCAGGTGAGCTTGTCAGGCTGAGGCCTGCTCTCATCTCTCTATTTGGGTGGCTGCAGTGAACAATAACATGAAGGTTTTTGAGGGAGGGGGATTTTCTCTGGGGCCATATTATGTCATATCTACCTGGCCCGTGATTTTGCTTGTGATTCCCTGACCCCAAAGGGCTCAGCCAGGCTATCTCCAGTATCCTGGCTTATGGAGACATTTTTTTCTGATAGGAGGCTTGAGAGTCTATTGCATGTATTCCAACCTTCCAGAACTTCCAGTCCTTGTTTTCCCAGTGTACTTTTCCACCCGCAGCTTGACACTTTCTGTCATTTTTCTCATTTACTTTTACAAGATGTTTGTTTCCTCTCTCCCCTCACCAGAAAGCTTCATGAAGACAACTGATTATAAAACGCCCCAAGTTGTATCAAAGAGTTCTACTTATAAAGATAAAATTATGCTTTGTTTCCTCTGTAGGCACCTCTGTCATACAAGGGGGATATGCTCCTAGAAGGCAAACAGATTAGGGTGATTTAAACTCTATTCTACCCTTGTGACATAGTGAAAGAGAAACCCAGTAGCAACACATTCATCTCTGGTTGGCCTGGAAAATGAAGTGCTAGGAAGTTGTTCATTTTCCATTCATTATAGAAATAGAATGTTCTCAGGAAAGGGCTTCAGTGCTTTAGGGTTGCCATGTTGATCCTTCCAAGCTTAATTTGGGAGACAATGCTCTATTATTCCATTTCCATTTTCTTTTTCCATTTCAGGTATCACGGGAGAATCTTCTAGAATGACCATTATATCTGGAAGTTCTAATGTGTTGTACTTAATGTCAAATGTCATTCTATGTATTTTAGGGCTGCTATGATAAAATCTCACCCGAGTATCCTCTCCCAGTATTCCACATTCATAGACTTTACCACTCTCTTTCTTCCCTCAGAGGCCACAACTTCCATTGAAGAGACTGGTACTTCTGGAACTGGATTCAAAATCGGTGAGAAGAAACAGCCCCTGATTTGGCATCATAAGTATTAGGTCTCTTAAGCTTTGCATGAGAGAGTCTGTGTTTTATTTAGGGATGCTGGAAATGATTCAAGATAGTTTTGCTGGTAGAGATACAATTTTTTTTGAATTATAATAATTCTAGAATGGAGACTGACAGCTTTATGTCTAAGGATGGAATGGAATTTCTCCATTCATGTTACAACTGTCACTAGCACTTGAGGTGGAATTCAGAAAGTTTTCCATGAAAGTGTGTGAAATACAAAAGAGCCTCAGGGACGCAGGACGCATGCGCTTATATGCGTGTGCATGCTTACACATTTTCTTGCTTTTTATCTTCTCCTACATCTGATGGTTTCAGCACATTTAAAACATTTCCCCCTTCCTTTCTATCTCACAGCAGGCATCACTGCAGCACCAGGAAAGCAAGCAGGTAAGCATTGGGGAAATCCATCTAGTTTCCCTCTTATCAAACTCCAAAAGTGCCTGAAGCTGAGGACACTGTCTATCTGCTCTAGTTGTGAAGCACTGACAACCAGCAAATGCATCTAGTTCACTAACTGCCATATCCTCAGGGAAAATGACTTCTCGTATAGAAAATAAATATAGTATATACCTTTTAGAGTCAGGTGTTCATTTGACTTACTCACTCATCATGGTCACCTCAATCCCTCTGTGTTTCAGACACCTCTGGGGTGGCACCTGGCACAACAGTTGCTCCTGGAAGTTTCAGCACAGGTAAGTACACAATTTGGCACAGAGCCATTTCTTGGATGCTTTCTACAATAATGTGTCTTTCCTTTTGCTGCCTCTGTGCAAAAGCGGACCATTCCCTTTCTAAATCCCAGAATGTTTTCCATACTTCTTTCACTCTCTCAGCAGCTACAACTTCTCCGGGAGCAAGCAGAGTGACTGGCACTGGACCCACTGCAGGTGAGCCCTGATGAAGCACGACCTGCTTCTCAGTAGACAACGTTGCCTGAATCACATCTAATGTTTGTACTTCCTGTGAAGAGTATTATCAGAACAAGCATTATCATATTGGCAGGATTTTACCTAATTACCAAATGTGACACTCAGCCTCCTTCATCGTCCTTTCCTCTGCTTCAGGGAGACTTCACCATGGAGCTGAGGCACAGAGAATCAGTTGGGTGATTGGAGAGAAATGTCTTTCTTTCTCTCATTGATATCTAAAGGAAGTAATTGAGATAATGAAATTTTGTCATTAAGTTTTCTGAGATAGAAATGGTGCATGGAAGACATATACAGATTCAACTCCTGGGTCTAGAAACATCTAAAAAAGAGCTTGTTGGCACATTGAGAAAACACAGTTTCCTCACCTTCATCCTAAGCCATTTTCTTTCTTATTTTGGGCAAAGAATAAAGATAATGAATCCTGTCACTTTCTAATTCCAAGTTCCAATGTGGTAGGTGCTGGCAATTTTTTTGTTTTCTTGAAGAGAGGACATCCAAGCAAAGGCAATTTGTGGCCAGCCCTGAGATTGTCCCCACTCCCTCTGGCAAAATTCTTGCACATGGTACTGGTACCAAAACAGAGATATAGACCAATGGAACAGAACAGAGCCCTCAGAAATAATATCACACATCAACAACCATCTGATCTTTGATAGACTTGATGAAAACAAGAAATGGGGAAAGAATTCCCTATTTAATAAATGGTGCTGGGAAAACTGGCTAACCATATATAGAAAGCTAAAACTGGATCCCTTCCTTATACCTTAGACAAAAAAATAATTCAAGATGGAGTAAAGACTTAAATGTTAGATCTAAAACCATAAAAATCCTAGAAGAAAACCTAGGTAATACCATTCAGGACATAGGCATGGGCAAGGACTTCATGTCTAAAACACCAAAAGCAACGGCAACAAAAGCCAAAATTGACAAATGGGATCTAATTAAACTAAAGAGCTTCTGCACAGCAAAAGAAACTACCATCAGAGTGAACAGGCAGCCTACAGAATGGGAGAAAATTTTTGCAATCTACTCATCTGACAAAAGGCTAATATCCAGAATCTACAGAAACTCAAACAAATTTACACGATAAAAATCAAACAACCCCATCCCAAAGTGGGCAAAGGATATGAACAGACACTTCTCAAAAGAAGACATTTATACACCCAACAGACACATGAAAAAATGTTCATCATCACTCGCCATCAGAGAAATGCAAATCAAAACCACAATGAGATACCATCTCACACCAGTTAGAATGGCAATCATTAAAAAGTCAGGAAACAACAGGTGCTGGAGAGGTTGTAGAGAAATAGGAACACTTTTACACTGTTGGTGGGACTGTAAACTAGTTCAACCATTGTGGAAGACAGTGTGGCAATTCCTCAAGGATCTAGAACTAGAAATACGATTTGACCCAGCCATCCCATTACTGGGGATATACCCAAAGGATTATAAATCATGCTGCTGTAAAGACACATGCACATGTACGTTTATTGTACCACTATTCACAATAGCAAAGACTTGGAACCAACCCCAGTGTCCATCAATGATAGACTGGATTAAGAAAATGTGGCACATATACACCGTGGAATACTATGCAGTCATACAAAAGGATGAGTTCATGTCCTTTGTAAGGACATAGATGAAGCTGGAAACCATCATTCTCAGCAAACTATTGCAAGGACAAAAAACCCAAACACCGCATGTTTCTCACTCATAGGTGGGAATTGAACAGTGAGAACACTTGGACACAGGGTGGGGAACATCACACACCAGGGCCTGTCATGGGGTGGGGGTGGGGGGGGAGGGATAGCATTAGGTGATATACCTAATGTAAATGACAAGTTAATGGGTGCAGCACACCAACATGGCACATGTATACATATGTAACAAACCTGCACGTTGTGCACATGTACCCTAGAACTTAAAGTATAATTTAAAAAACAGGAAATTCTAATACTTAAATCAATGAAAATGATGATAATAGTAGTGAGCTTATCTATCATTGATGAGTTCCTTTCTATAACCATTTTTATTAAGAGGTTTATATATCTTATTCCAATTAAGAACTACCTAAAGTCTAATAACCATATGAGTTAAAATTCTTTCATTCCCCATTTTAAAAAAATACCCCTGTGAATTGAAGGTTTACATCACCTTTACAGTCAGGAAACTTTCTTTTCTAACTTAGTAGGTGACAAGACATTTTGAACTGGGCTTCTCTCATGTAATGATATCAGCTTAGCTCATCCCTTTTTCTTAGCACTCAATTAATTTTAGTTTTCTTTCCATCTTTAAGAGACCACAATTTTCCTAGGAGGAAGTAGCACCACTGGAGCAGAAATAAAATCAGGTGAAGATTATGGGGGTTTCATTATTTACTGTTGTATTTTGATAAATTTGTTAGAGGAAACATTTTTTTCAATGAACTTATTTTGGAATAATTGTAAATTATAGAATGGTTGAATAGATTATGCAAATAATCTCTTTAATGTGGAATAGAGTTTTTCCTTTCCTTTTGAAGCTATTTCAAAGCAACCAGGATTTCCTTTCAGATTTGGAACAACTTGGGCCCAAATTTCCAAAAGGCTTTTTCTTCTCTAGGACTAGCCTCAGGGTTCGAGGCCTCTAGAGAGGAGAGTTACAGTAGCTCTGGCTCTGAAAAGGTTTTTCCTTTGAAAATAACTCAGTGTGTGTATCATTACAGTACTGACTTGTATTCAGCAGAGAAATCATTAAGATGTCACATTTTAGTTCAGGGGTAAAAATTCAAACTTTCCTTTCTTCTTTCTTTTCTCCCTTTTCTTCCTCTTCCTCCTCCTCCTCCTTCTTCCTCTCTCTTTTCCTTTTCATTAGGAGCCACCACCAGAACACCAGGAAGTAAGACAGGTAAACTTGGAGAACGTCTTTGATATGACTTTCAATCTTGGCAAAAATAATCAGAGCAGGCACATTAGCCACTGCATTAACCTTGGCCTTACAAAGGCACACGGTAAACATAGAAAATACCACCTCCTGTCAGTTATAGGTCCAGGAAGCATCTTTTGCTGCTCCAAGGTCCAGGTAGACATGATGCTGGCCACATTCTTCTAAGGGTTACAAATGTGTCAATCTGTTGATCTTTTTTATTTCTTTCCTTCCTAGGCACAGCTGGAGTGCCCTCTGGGACAACAGTCACCCCTGGGAGCTCCAACTCAGGTAAAGCACCAGGCTGGGAGAAACCACTGCTTGGGAAGGGCTCCTCAATGAGGTGTCTCTGCCTGGGTGATCCTACCATGAGTTCTCAGATTCTTCAAATCTTTGACCTCACCGCTATTCTTTTTCCCTTTTTCTCAGAGGCTATAACTTTCTCTAAAATCACTGAAGCAGTAACAGTCTCAGGTGAAAATGGGAAGTTTGTAAAATAGTTCTAACAATTCAAATTGATTGAAATAAATACAGAGTGATTTCCTACGGAAATCTTTGTCCAAGCCCCCAAATTTCAGAATATTAGTGTTTTACCAAAATTTTTACATTTATAGATAGCAGAATATTCTCTCTCTTTTCTCTTTTACAGGATCCATGACCACTGCACTGGGGAGCCAACTCTCCAGCAGTCAAACAGGTGAGCATGGGAAAGTATAAATATCTTCCTGATATTTACCAGTATTCAGATAATAAGGATACTTCTAATGTGAGTCCTTAGCCTTGGCTTTTTTTTTTTTTTTGAATGAAGTATCCTTGTTGAAAGGTGTATGAGGAATAATGGAATACGCCCTCTGAGTTAACAAAAAACATATGTTTTTCTTCTTAGCCCTTCTGTTAATGTAAAGGAAATGATGTAAGTTTCCTTCTCTTAGTGATTCCAGGTTCCAGTGGCATCATCTCTCACACAACTGTTGCACCTGGAAGTTCTGTTATAGGTAAGTGAATATTTTCAATGGCAGTCATCACTTGTTTAATTTCAAGGAGGAATATGTAACCCCAAACATCCTTTCTGCTTCATTTCCTCTTGCAGAGGCCAAAGCTTCCTTAGAAGTAATCAGAGTCACTGTTGTGAAATCACTGAGAACTAGGGGTCTCAAAGGTTAGCATGGCCATTAAGTAGTATCATGAGTTTGCCTCTGGATCTGAAAGATTATCGTATAGGGAGGGCAGGTCCTCCCATCCAAACCCCTGAGCTGACTTCTGAACCAGCCTTTTCCAATGCCTGGCCTTAGGACATAGATTTCTGGAGAGGGTAGCAGGAACAGTCATTCCCTGGACAATTAACCCAGTGGATATTATAGATATTACTACAGAATCAGCAGGAGTCAAGACTGGCCCAGAAGGTCTGTCTCAGGTGAACAGATGACTAAAATGAATTCAGAAATGGTTTGCTCTCCATCCTGAGATTTAAGTATTAAGTTGCTGAAGGGTTGCCTCAGTGATTGATTATAGGTCAAAACATACTCAGAATCGTTTTTCCTACTTTCAGTCATCAGGAACCACCTCTGATGCATCAGACAATCAAGTCACTGGAAGTAAAACAGGCAAATATGTTAAAGAAATTCTTTTGTCTCACATTTGAGGGTTTTATATTATATATGCTTGGAAAGCCTACTAAAAGGTAGGCTTCTTGAGAAAAAAGTCTCTGTTCAATGATCCCTAGTACTAAACAGGGCCCAATAAATATTTATTGAATGAATGAAATAATTAAAATATAGGAAAAATATATAATTCAATCCAGGAACAAAAAGGCCAGTGGAAGAACATGCTCAAAGGACTGCCACATAGACAAAGCAGGCTGTGTGAATGGTGCCTCCTGGAGCTGGCCAGTGTACAATATGAGTGATATGGCCCTGGAAATACAGGTTTAGTTTATACCTAGACTGCCTCCATGCAAAAGATTCTTTATAACACCATAACCTTCTCATTTCAGGCACTACTGGTGTGGCCTTGAGCACGGCTGTTGCACCTGGAAGTTCCAGTACAGGTAGGCTAACAAGCTGAGAAGAAAGCTCCCTTTCTGGAAATAAGATGGCAAAAATGTCTTTCACATTGCTCTTCTTCTATAAGAGCATCACAGTATATTTCCCCATCCTTCTAAGTCCTCATCCTTTACTCGTTGCTTCTCTTTTTCTTCCAGAAGCCACAACTTCCACAGGAGTCCATAGAACCACTGTAGTGGGATGGAAGACAGGTGAGAATTAATGGTGTGTATTTGTGCATGCATGTATGACTTTTGAGTGATAATAAATTACAATTATACTTTGCTTCTTAATAGGATAGTTTTTCAAGGAGGAGCTTTTGAGGAACTCTCATCTAAGATCAGCGTTTTGTTACTTAATTTTGAATTAACTTGGGCAAATTTCCTTCCATTTCCAGGGCCAAGCCTCACATATATAAGTCTCTGCAAATGAGAGTGAAAGTGATAATTGTATGAAAAGTTTTCTTTTTCCATTTTAGTTATCTCCATTTTAGGTAGATCAGAAAAAGGAATTACTGGCTCAGAGGATTCTATTTCAGGTCAACAGAAGGCCAAAATGCACACAGATTTGCCTCGAACGATATATTTTTCCTTGAGCACAATAATGACTGAAATGTACCGTAGTTATCCCTATAACTCTAGTCTACATTTATATTCCAAAGTTTTTCTATTTTTATCCTTTTAAGAGCTACCACTAGAGGGTCAGCAAACCAAGGAACTGGAAGCACAATAGGTAAAAATGGCAGGAAAGAGGGCCACTTTTCTTACTGCCATTGAATTCCAGACAAATGGAGTCCTCTTTTGAGGAATTTGTATCTTTTTTTGATTTGAGAATAAAACTATGCATGAGAAAACACAGGCCAGGCACGATGGCTCACACCTGTAGTCCCAGCACTTTGGGAGGCCGAGGTGGGTGGATCACCTGAGGTCAGTAGTTTGAGACCAGCCTGGCCAACATGGTGAAACCTCTTCTCTACTAAAAATACAAAAATTAGCCAGGTGTGGTGGCATGAGCCTGTAATCCCAGCTACTCAGGAGGCTGAGGCAGGAGGATCACTTGAACCTGGGAGGCGGAGGTTACAGTGAGAGATTGTGCCATTGCACTCCAGCCTGGGTGACAGAGAAAGACTAGGGTAGCTTCTGGCAACACATCTAAACCTGGGAGTTCAAACACGGGTGAGCCAGCCAGCTGGTAAGACTCCACAGAATGATTTACTAGCAAAGTGCCTCCCGTGGCACTGTTATCAAGAACAGTGCATCCTTCACTTTCCTCACAATGCTAATTCCTCTCACTTCATATTTTCCTACCTTTCCTCTCTAAGAAGCTATGACGTCCTTTAGAGGCACTGAGACCACAGGAAGTGGAATGAATACAGGTGAGCACACGAGCTTCCTAACCTGTCCACTTTTCACTTAAAATAATAGCCATAGTAGTTAACACTTTCTAGCATGAACTATGTTCCAGGCACTACTCCACGTTTTTCTCATTATTATTTCTTTTATCCCTCATCCCAAATTGTGAGGTAAGCACTATTGTTCTCACAGACTTTCCAGATGAGAAAAACCTATGGCTCAAAGATATTCACTAACTGAATAAAGATCACACAGCGAGCAAACAACAGATTTCAACTCAGGCACTCTGGCTTCAAAATCCATCCTCTTAACCATGATACTAAATCACCACTACACTATACCGCTACACTCTTTTGTCACATCTCAACTCTTTTAGACTACTACAATTTCTACGATACCAATATTTTACCCAAATGAAAATTCAACAGGTAATCAGTCCTGCTTTGTTCCTTTTTCTAGGGGTATCAGGTAGCCAAGTCACTAGCATTCCACTAGGTAAGTAAAGTACCTTTGTTTTCCTGACATTGAGTCCAGAAAAAGAGACGTTCTCATTGAGACTCCACCACTACCTCACATTGCACCCTTCCCCCACCAAGTTTATAGTGAGAATGGAGCATTACATTTGCAAAATACAAAATAACTTTGGAACAAGCTGTCCCTGAAAATGTTTTTTTCTTGCATAATAAAGAATTCTGTCGTTGCTTCATTCTATTATAGAATGGGCTTTTATTATAAGAAAACAATTGATATAGTGGTACCCTTCCATTTTGTTTTTAGGTACTACTGCAGTGGTCTCTGGCAACACCATCTCACCTAGCAGTGTCAACACAGGTGAGTCAATGAGGAAACAGATACTGTTGGTTTTTTTTTTTTTTTTTTTGGTTGGGTGCTAACTCTGCAGCAATGGCACATTATGTCTTTTGATGATTTTCTGTTAGCCCTCACTACTTTCTTCCTTTTTATTCTCAGAAGATATAACTTCCATGGAAGGAAGCATAATCAATGAAAGTGGAATTGGCAAATATATATATACACACACACACACACACACAAAAATAAATATATATACACACACACATATATTAATATACATGAGAAAAAATGAGAAATGAGAAAAAATGACAAATGTATATATTATTTTTTTCTTGAGATAGTCTCACTCTTGAGATAGTCTCCAGCCCAGGCTGGAGTGCAGTGGTATGACCTCAGCCTACTGCAAATTCCACCTCCAGGGTTCAAGCAATTCTCTTACCTCAGCCACTCAAGTAGCTGGGATTACAGGTGTGCACCACCACACCAAGCTATCTTTTTTTTTTTTTTGTATTTTTAGTAGATATGGGGTTTCACCATGTTGGCCAGGCTGGTCTTGAACTCCTGGCCTCAAGTGATCTGCCTTTCTTGGCCTCCCAATGTGCTGGGATAACAAGTGTGAGCCACTGCGCCTGGCCAAAGAATTGGCAACTCTTGAGTTTCTACAAATCTACATTGGGCTTTTGCCTTTTCATAGAGATATTTGTTAAACAAAGCTTGTATTTATAAAAATCATATCATTTCTCCTGGGGCCAAACCTTATACTACAATTATAGAAAAAGAGGCTCAGAGTCCAGAAAGATTCCCCTTTTAACATTTAAGCTATTATCCAGTACATACAGAGGAAATATAAATCCGTATTGTTCTATTTAAGGCAGCAGAGGTGATAGAAGTTACTCTAGAGGTTTAGATCTGTCATATTTTGGAATTTGGATGTTATAAGTTTATTGAATGCAGTTGAATACCTTTACACAAATATTGTTTTCATTTCTTGTCACTAGAAGCTACCAGCGGCACATCTGAGAGGTCAAACCCTGGAAGTGAAATAGGTAAGCATGAAAAATACCCCGAAACCTCTGACATTAAACTCTAAGGAGCCAAATAATCAAGGCTGGACTACAAACTAATGTGTTTACTGTGACTCTGAATTTAAAAATGGAGAACACACTTCATGATGACAGGATAGCACAAGCTTTCTGCTGCTTTCAAGTCACAGACAGTCATTGGCGTCCATGTTCTTCTTGGGATGGTAAATGCATCACAATTTGGGGTCTCTCTTTCCCTCTCCCTGCTTTAGGTACCACTGGTATAGTCTCTGGCACAACAGTTGCATCTGGAAGTTCCAACACAGGTAACCTAATAGGGAATGAGGGGTTTTAGTCATGGAATATGACTGAGTCCCTCCCCAGAAACATACACACTCTCTACCGTACCATGGGAATACCATGGGATTTTCTCAGTTATAGGATTCTTCTGAATTTACTTCTTTTCTCCCTTCACTTAGAAGCCACAACTTCTTTGGGCAATGGTGGAACCACTGAGGCTGGAAGTAAAATAGGTGGGCACTAGCAATCAAATAATTATTTTTTTCTTTTCATCTTAAACTAAATCAAATTGGCTATAATGAACTTAGTGGACGTTTTCCTCAATCATTGTATACAAATTACTGGTATATAAATAGTTTACTCCTTGTGAATTGCTGCTTATTTGCAATACAATGACATCCTGAGAACATGCCTAATATATCACTTAAGGCAAAAAAGTTCCTGATATAAACCTTTTAGTTCACTTGAGAAACCTATTATTTTTTTCTAAACCAAATCCTAATTTTAGATGAAAAGGAATTCATAAATTGATTCTCTCCTCTTGTGATTGCAGTTACCACTGGGATAACTACTGGCACAACCATTGTATCTGGGAGTTCCAACACAAGTGAGTCATAAAAGAGTTGAAGAAACCTGCCTATGTGAACTTCTGGGGACCTGATGGCTCCCACAGGGATATTACATAAAGTAAGACTGTTACTCGTTTTTCCAAATGTCTGCATTCTATACCACTTTCTCCTATTTCTTCTCAGAGGCTACGACTTCTACAGGCATTGGAGTTGCCACTGGAGTTGGAATGGCAACTGGTGAGTGGTTTGTTTTGGGTTCTCAACAATTCTTTGCTTGAGTTTGTGGTAGTGATGAATGAATGGGAAGATGAGCTGAAACAGGATTTTGTATTTCACTTTGAAGAGACATGTCAGGTAAATCAAGCTTGGGACCTTGCTCTTCACATGGATTTTCTCCATACACTAGTCTTTTTTTTATATTTTAAATTTTTTCAACTTTTATTTTAGATTCGGCGGGGGGGTACATGTGTAGGTTTGTTACATGTCCTGAGTGTATTGCATGATGCTTAGGTTTGGAGTATGAATGATCCCGTCATCCAGGTACTGAGCAGAGTACCCAATAGTCAATTTTTCAACGCCCCCTTCTTCTTCCCCTTTATAGTGGTCCCCAGTGTCTATTGTTGCTATCCGTATATCCATGAGTATCCAGTGTTTAGCTCCCACTTGTAAGAACATGCAGTATTTGTTTTTCTGTTCCTGCATTAATTCACATAGGATAATGGCCTCCAGCTGCATTCTAGCTCCATCTGTGTTGCTGCAAAGGACATAATTTTGTTCTTTCTTATGGTTGTATAATGTTCCATGGTGTGTATACACTACATTTTTAAAATCCAGTCCATCATTGATGGGAACCTAGGTCGATTCCATGTCTCTGCTATTGTGAATAACCCTGCGATGAATGTGCAAATGAATGTGTCTTTTTGGTAGAATGATTTGTTTTCTTTTGGATAGATACCCACTAATGGGATTGCTGGGTCAATTGGTGATTCTGTTTTAAGTTCTTTGAGAAATCTCCAGACTGCTTTCCATAGTGGTTGGATTAATTTACATCCACATCAACGATCAATTTCCTTTCCTCTGCAGCTTTACCAGCATCTGTTTTTTTTTGTTTGTTTTGTTTTGTTTTTGACTTTTTCATAATAGCCATTCTGACTGGTGTGAGATGGTATTTCATTGTGGTTTTGATTTGCACTTCTCTAATGATTAGTAATGTGAATGTTCTCATATGCTTGTCATATGTGTGTATGCCTTATGAAAAATAGCTGTTTGTGTACTTTGGCCACTTTTTAATAGGGTTGTTTTTTGCTGGTTAATTTGTTTACATTCCTTGTAGGTTCTGGATATTAGATCTTTGTCAGATGCATAGTTTGCAAATATTTTCTTCCATTCTGTAGGTTGTCTGTTAACCTGTTGATAGTTTCTTTTGCTGTGCAGAAATTCTTTAGTTGAATTAGGTTCCATTTGTCAAGTTTTGTTTTTGTTGCAATTGTATTTGGCATCTTTGTTATGAAATCTCTGCCAGGGCCTATATCCAAAATGACATTTCCTAGATTATATTCCAGGGTTTTCATAATTTTAGGTTTTGCATTAAAGCCTTTAATCTATCTTGAGTTGATTTTTTTATATGGTGTAAGGAAAGGGGTTCAGCTTCAATCTCCTGCATGGCTAGCCAGTTATGCCAGCACCATTTATTGAATAGGGAGCCATTTCCTCATTGCTTGTTTTTGTTGGCTTTGTCAAAGATCAGATGGTTGTAGGCGTATAACATAATATCTGGGCTCTGTATTCTGTTCCATTGGTCTGTGTGTCTGTTTTTGTACCAATATCATGCTGTTTTGGTTACTGTAGCATTGTAATATAGTTTGAAGTTGGGTAATGTTATACCTCTAGTTTTGCTGTTTTTGCTTGGGATTTCCTTAGTTAAGCTCCTTTTTGGTTCCATATGAATTTTACAATAGATTTTTTTTTTTCTAATTTTGTGAAGAATGTCATTGGTAGATTTAAATAGCATTGAATCTGTAAATTGCTTTGGGCAGTGTGGCCATTTTGATAATATTAATTCTTCCTATCCATGAACATAAAATGTTTTTCTATTTGTATCATCTCTGATTTCTTTCAGCAGTGTTTTGTAGTTCTTATTGTAGGGCTCTTTTGCCTCCCTGGTTAGCTGTATTCCTAGGTATTTTATTTTTTGTGGCTATTGTGAATAGGATTGTCTTTTTTGATTTGGCTCTCAGCCTTGATGTTGTTGATGTATAAAAATGCTACTAATTTTTGCACACTTATTTTGTGTCTTGAAACTTTGCTAAAGTTGTTGATCAGATCTAGGTTTTTTGGGCAGAGACTATGGGGTTTTCTAGGTATAGAATAATATCTTCTGCCAACAAAGATAGTTTGACTTATTTCCTTCCTATTCAGATGCCTTTTATTTATTTCTCTGGTCTGATTGCTCTGGCTAGGACTTCTAGTACTGTGTTGAATATGAGTGGGGAGAGTTGGCATCCTTGTCTTGTTCCAGTTCTCAAGGGGAATGCTTCCAACTTTTGCCAATTCAGTATGATGTTGGCTGCGGATTTGTCATAGATGACTCTTATTATTTGGAGGTATATTCCTTCAATACCTAGTGTTTCGTGAGTATTTAACATAAAGGGATATTCAATATTATCAAAAGCCTTTTCTGCATCTATTGAGATGATCATGTGGTTTTTGTTTTTAGCTTTATATGGTAAATCACATTTATTGGTACATACATTTGTGTATGTTGACCCAAACTTGCATCCCAGGGATAAAGCCTACTTGATCATGGTGCATTAACTTTTTGATATGCTGCTGGATTTAGTTGGCTAGTATTTTGTTGAGAATTTTTGCATCTATGTTCATCAAGATTATTGTGTTGAAATTTTCTTTTTTTGTCGTGTCTCCATTAGGTTTTGGTATCAGAATGATGCTGGCTTCATAGAGTGAGTTAGGGAGGAATTTCTCCTTCTAAATTTTTTGGAATAGTTTCATTAGGAATGGTACCAGCTCTTCTTTATTCATCTGGTAGTATGTATCTGTGAATCTGTCTGGTCCTGGGCTTTTTCTGGTTGGTAGGCTTTTGATTGCTGATTCAATTTCAGAACGCTTTATTGGTCTGTCTAGGAATTTAATTTCTTCCTGGTTCAATCTTGGGAGGTTATATGTTTCCAAGAATTCATTTCTTCCAGGTTTTCTAGTTTGTGTGCATAGATGCATTTGTGGTAGTTTCTGGGAGGTTTTTTTTTTTTTTGTAATTCTATGGAGTCTGGTAATATTTCCTTTGTCATTTCTGATTGCGTTTATTTGGATCCTCTTTATTAGTCTAGATGGTGGTCTATCAATTTTATTTATTCTTTCAAGAAACAAACTGCTAGATTCATTGATATTTTGTATGGTTTTTCACATCTTAATTTTTTTTTTTTTTCAGTTCAGCTGTGATTTTTGTTGTTTCTTGTTTTCTGCTAGTTTTGAGGTTGCTTTGGTTTTGTTTCTCTAGTACCTGTAGGTGTGATGTTACATTGTTACTTTGAGATCTTTCTAACAGTTTAATGCGGGCATTTGGCGCTATAAACTTCCCTCTTAACACTGCTTTAGTTGTGACCCAGAGATTCTGGTATGCTGTATCTTTGAAAAATATGAAATGCCTCATGAATTTTTGTGTCATCCTTAAAGCAGGGCCATGTTAATATTCTCTGTATCATTCCAATTTTAGTATATGTGCTGCTGAAGTGAGCACAAGAATTTCTTTGTTCATTTTCTGCCCTGATGATCTACCTAATGCGTCAGTAGGGTGTTGGAGTCCCCCACTATTACTGTGCAGCTGTCTTTTTGCAGGTCTAGAAGTACTTGCATTATGAATCTGGATATCCCAATGCTGGGTGCATATATGTCTAGAATAGTTAATTTGTCTTCTTGAATTGAACACTTTATCACTATGTAATGCCCTTCTTTGTCCTTTTTTGCTGTTGTTGGTTTAAAGTCTGTTTTATCTAAGAACAGCAACTTCTGATCTTTTTTGTTTTCCTTTTGCATCATAGATCCTTGTTTCTTTATTTTAACTCTGTGGGTATAATTACATGTGAGATGGAGCTCTTGAAGACAGCAGATGGATGGGTCTTGTTTTTTGTTTGTTTGTTTTTGTTTTATTCCAATTTGCCACTCCACACCAGCTTTTTAGATGTGATATTTATGAAACTAAGAATGATGTGTTATTCTGAATCCTTTATCCATCTTGCCTTCATATGGTCAGTTGGAGTTTTCAGGAGCCTAGAAAACGCCATATCTTGGTTAGCAAAGATGTTTAATTTGCCCATCTTGGACTTCTATTGCGTATTAAACCTATTCTCATGGGTTTATCCTCATGAATAAGGTTCCAATAAATTTAATTTAAAAAAATCACCCCACACTTCCAAGAAGTCCCTATTGAAACATGAGGGAGCCACACCGCAGGAAGTAAAACTGATGAGCAAAGGAAAAGCACTGCTTTCCAAAGTATTTAACCACAGCAAAGGGGCTCCAGAATGACAGTTTTGCCACAGTTGGTTTTGGGAGATGAGAAAGCCTAGGAGAAAATGTGGTTTTTGTTTTTCTTTGCATAGAGAAGCCCTTGGATGGCTTATAAGAAATGCGTATTTTTCCAAGTCTATGCTATTCTCTGGGTTAAAAAAAAAAGTCATTACTATGGTCTCTCTCTCTCTCTCTGTTTTACTATCTTTCCCTCAATTTCATTTTCATTTCAAATCCCCTGGAATATCTTCTTTCATCACACTTGCTGGAAATTTCAACAGGGATTAGTCAAAGTTACAAAAGAAAGCTGTCTATGAGTACCTCAGGCAAAAGGCCATCTTCTTTGAGAATATGTCTTCTACTAAAACATGAAATATTTTCCAGATTTCAAACTTAAGTCATCTCAACTTTTTCCTCTACTACCAGGAACTACAACTTAATTACTAAATAATACCACTACTAGAAATTAATTACAGAGGATTTCATTAATTACTAGTGAAATTTAGGCCCTGACAGGAGATGATAAAACTTTTCATTTGAAGACTTATTGAAGTCCGTTGAAGGTGGTCATATTAATGCTGTCGAATACCCTGGACTAAAGATTTAATTAGGAACATCATTGTTAGGACATAGCTTCTCAGAAGTAGATACCTAAATGGGGACAGGAATCTTTTTAGGTAAAATATTTCCACACTTGTCTTTGCTCATACTACTGTCATATCAAATAAAGCCACCACTAACCAAGATTTCCAGGCTGGATAAATAAAAGATGACTGAAATAAACTTAAGGCATCTTGGGCGTCTTTTGTTTACTTGAAAAAATGATGATGGAAAAGAATATTTTCTCTTTTCTATTCAAATGTCTGGGGGATGTAAAACAGTATGGAATTTTCAGGGAACTATAATACAATAATACAATATACTTGTGGAACGCAACCCAGATGTTGAGAGAGCATTGAAAGAGGGAATGTTGAGAAGTTTTTGGAGCTTCTAGATTACAAAGTTGGGACAGAAATATCATGAAATGAAGAAAAAAATCACTCATCAATTCTATATTCTATGAGACTATTATAATATTGGGCTCAATTATAACACCAAAAATTAAAACGTTGATTCATGGGCAATGAGAAGGGATTTTAAAATAGGTTAATTATCATGCCCAGGTTGTATTTTTTGGGAATATTAATTACTCACAGGTAGAAGATTGATATGAAAGAGAGTAAGAGTAAGGGTGGAGGTATGTTGTGTAGTTTGAAATCTCTTGGAAATGACAGATGGTTAGGGACTGAAATAAGCTAGTCATAAGGGGATACAGAGGCAGAAAGAGTGTACAATATGTTAGCCAGTTAGAATCAACAAGTGTGGCTGAGGAGATAAAGGAGAGGAATAAATTTAGCTGACTTCTAGTTCATGATTTGAGTGCTTGGGTGGATAGGTGATGGTGCCATCTACCAAGTTTGTGAATATACTAGAGGAAATAAAAATATTTGATAAGTGATACAGTAAGGTCTGATTTTGATCATTTGAATTCAAATTACTCTGAGGTTTCCAGGTAGTGATGTCCAGAAGAGTTGATGAAGGTGACTGGGGCCCAGACGAAAAGCCTGTACTGGGATAGAGATTTTTCAGTCATTTGCTTACAAATAATATTTGAAACTATGGGTACTGATGAGTTATTTAGGGTTATATTAGCCCTAAATAACCCACTGTATGTTATTTACATACAGGGAGAAGAGAAAACAGACAAAGAGTTCCTTGGGCTCTCCAGGACATAAAGGGTGGACATAGGCAAAGAGCCTGAAAAGGAGAGGAGTTCTGGTTTAGCAATTTCCAATGTGTTTGACTTAGCACTGTGTACTGAAGTACTGGGATACACCATGTTATACCAGGAGACCATATTGCCTCTAATTTTGGGATTCAGAATCTCAAACAGGATCAGCCAGAATTTGCGGGGGACATATTTTTTAATATTTCATTTTTTCAGAGAACCTAGCCTCATAGTTATGAAACTTTGAAAGTAGAAAGTAGAAGGGGGGAAACTCTCTTGAAAGAATTAAAATATTAAGATTCTCAATCTTTTTCATTTTTTAACCTTTAGGGATCACCAACATAATTTCAGGGAGAAGCCAACCTACTGAAAGTAAAACAGGTGAGCATGGGGAATTGAAAAAGGTGAGGATAGGAAAGGCCCTCGTTCATGATGCTAACTTGGAAAAGAAAGATCCCAGAGGACTGAAGCTAACCAAAATGAACACTATAAAACGGGGAAAACCATGTTTAGTTTACCTCTTGGGAAAGGAATCCTGGAGAAGGAATGCATTGTCTCACAGAAACACATGGATTTGTTCTAAACCATGATTTCTATCCTATCAGACTCTGCTCATATTACCTCCTCTTCCTTCTCCCTCTCATCCAAGGCTACACTGTGACAGGCTCTGGGACAACAGCCTTACCTGGAGGTTTCAGAACAGGTAAGTCAAGTAGTGAAAGGAATTCTCCTTTAAATGGCTCTCAGTTAGCAGTGTAATTGGATTGTTTGTAGCTCAATGGATGGATACCCCATTCTTAATGATGTTCTTATTTCACATTGCGTGCCTGTATCAAAACATCTCATGTACCCCATAAGTATATATATCTACTATGTATGCACAAAAATTAAAAACATTAATAAAACTAGTAAATTATCTCATAACAACATCATCTATTGCCATATCATTTTCATGTTGACAAACTCTCCATCTTTTCCACTTTTCTTAAGTTGCTCTTACAGAGGCCACAACTTTTAAAGGTTATGTTGGAACCACTGAAGCAGAAATTTCATCAGGTGAGTTTTTTCACATTTTAGATTCTCCACGATTTTCCCATTTGAGTTTGCTACATATAGATTTTGAATGAAAATGAATGTGGCTGGAAGGTGGTTGCTTTCCCTTTAATAAGAGATCGTGAGGCCAACCTAGACCAATTATCTGATTTTTCCAAGATATATTGTAGATGTATTAATAATTATCTAGACACATCCTTTCTTTACTCCCTTGGTCTTGTCAGGCAATACCCCAGGATCAACAGGAGTCACCAGCAGCCAAGAAGGTGAGATTACTATAATGGATGCAGGTAATTTTGCTGATTAAGAGATTATTCAATAGATGCAGGTAATTGTGCTGATTAAGGCTTTGATTTAGATATTTAATCTTTGATCACAAGTTTACACACACTTTGTTTTCTGGTTTTCTTTCTATGGAGTACTTGTCCCTTTTCTTACATTTACTGTAGAAAATTTTTACTGGAGGTAAATCATGTGCGTATAAGAAACACATTCTCAAATTTAGTAATTGAAGTCTGGATGATTCTAGATCTAGAGAAATGAGATATATGAGGCAATTGTGACTTTCCCATATTTCCCTTGAACATACAATTATGAAAGAGTCAATTGGAAAACATGCTAGGCTTAGCATTTAGTGCAAGAAAACTTGTTAAATTGTTTTCTGTTGCTTCAGAGAAACCAGGTTATGTGGAAAAGCCATACATTTCCGATGATGGGAAAGGCGTTGTGTCCTTCCCTCTTATTACAGGCACCACTGAGCTAGCCTCTAGCATTATTATTTCTGGAAGTTCAAACACAGGTATGTAAATATTTAGTAGGTAGCTACAAGAACCTAAGGCTGGAAAACTAAGATCCCTTCTGTGGAACTGACTGTAGTGTCCACACATCAATTCCTACCTCTTTCTTCTTTGCCTTTCTTAGGGTTAAATGAGTGTCTGTCAGTAGTTAAATCTGTTTAACTCCACTGGGTTCTCATTAATGACTTCTATCCATTGCTTCAGCATAGGGAAATATTGGGGGTAAAGATAAGACTCAGGAAGTTCCATTAGGGAATTTACATTTCCTAGCCATCTATGGTTGTTTTCTTGTTTTGGGGTTTCTCAGGCTCATGCCAGAGTCACCAGGTCAGGCTGTGAAGGCACACAGGGCACCACTAAAGGAGAGAGCAGACACTGAAATCCATGAATTCTCATCTGTCCAGAGGAGTTATCTGTGTGTCTGTAATTCACAAGGTGCCCTGTGGGCTAGCTGCAGCACTGGCCCAGAATGTCATCTGAGTTGCTTTCTCTTCCTCATGTTGATCTCCGAGGATAGGAATAAGGGCTGTGGCTGATATGAATTTGCCCTCATTTTCCTTTGCAGGCACCACTGTAATATCAAGTGGAATCACTGGAATCCCAGAAACTTCCATCGCAGGTAATATAAATTATTGTCTCAAATGAAGACTACATGCTCAACATTTCTGTGTCTTTAACACCAAAGTAAATACTGTTTACAAAGTCAATACAGATAGGCAGTATTTATCTCTATGAATGAATGTCACACTTCAACTGCAAAATAAAATGGCACCAGATGTAGTTAAACAGGCAAAGAAGACTTTGTTCAAGACTACTACAATAAGTGTCAAAACCATTGCAATAGGGGAGAGAGACTGAACTCAGCTCTGATAAAGCAAAAGGCAGGAGAATTGTTTAGTGCTTGGCTAAGCTAGTGGAAAAGTAATGAAGAATGTTTGGAGAGACTTCAACGTATACGATTAGGCCATCTGTGTTTGGTAATTGGCACTTAATCAGGTCAAAGTTAGGCCCCTGCCCTCCCACAGAGATTGGGAGATAGAGACATTATTTTTCTTGATAATTATATTTCAAAAGAGTGGCTGTCAGGTCCTTGAGAAAGATATTTATGAATTGTAAGATTGACAAGAGAGTAGGAGAAGATCTCACTCCATCTCAAAGGGGCAGAGGAAGAATTTAAAAGTAAGGCAAGTTTTCTAAAGTAAATAAGAAAAGGGAGATTAAGAGCCAATAGCTAGGAACAAACCTGTCTAAAATGTAGTTAAGCTAAGGGCAACATTAGGTCTCTCATTTTCTCATTTTTTCCCACTCTCTCCCTCCAAAATTAATACAGGAGAACCAAGAAACCGAGTTACATGAAGAGTTAGGCGTGAGAAAAACTCTTGTCATTTAGAGAAGGGGCACCAGAAGTGAAACATGTATAGAGTAAAGTGTGAGAAAAGCTCTCATCACTTAGAGAAAGGAAACCCACAAGAGAAACATGTATCTGGGTCAAAGAAGAATCTTCACTTCACCTCTGTGAACAAGGGATTGCTACAATAGGAAGTTCTTAGTGTTTCCACGGCAGGGGCGTGAGCTAGCATTAGTAGATGTGTTAGTGTATTCCAACTGCTTTGAGACTCTTGTTCCACGTGGAGGTGTCTTAAGTAAATGCTCTTCTGAGATCAGAAAAAGTGTATTGCTCTTCCCTTGCTCATTTTAGATCCTTCCAAGGAAGCATCTAACGAAACCACTGCTCCTGGACCTCCTACCACAGGTAAGTCAAATAGTAATAAATGCATTTGTCTCGGTGGCCCCTCAGAAGACAGGATAGCTTATCTGCAGTTCTCACAGAAGTAAAGAGTAGAATGATGGTTACCAGTGGTTGGGGTAGTTGTATATATGGGGAGGGGTATGGTGGGGAGATGTTGGTGAAAGGATACAAGATTTCATTTAGACAGGAGGAGTAAATTCAAGAGATCTATTGCACAAGATCGTGACTATAGTTAATAATATATTCTTGAAAAGTGCTAAGAGGGTGGCATAATGTAGTTCTTCAGAACATCAAGTACAAAATACATAGTTTTTTTCTGTCCATCTAAAACATGAAGAATAAAACATTTTTTTAAAAGGAAGTTAAGCTTTAGCTTCTCCAGTCCCCTGTACTCACCACTTTTGTTCCTTTTTAAGCAGTCACTGCTTCCACAGGAGTCAAAATAACTTCTGGAACTGGAGTGCAAACAGGTGAGTATTCAGTGTGGCTTTGATTATACATAAGAAGTTGAGTTAGGAGGAGAGAGGTAGGAGAGAAGTGAAAGACCGAGGCCAGGATGATGGCATTCAACTTCCTCTTAGAACACAACTTTGAAATTATACTAAGGATACCTTTTTTTTTCCCCCCTCTGGGAGTTTTTGGTTTAGGTTTTCACTGGGGCTCCCCTCCTAAAGACTTCGTCATGCAGATTGAGAATTCTGAGCAGGGTATTATGAAGGGTGCTAGTCCTAAAATGTCTTATATTTCCTTTTGCGAGGCTCCACCTTGGTTCCAGCTGGAGTGCCAACAAGACCACAAGTACCCCAGTCAGGTAAAATCAGATGACCCAAATGAACTGGAATAAATTGTCTGTTCCACACAAAGCTTTCCTTGAGTATGAATTTGTGCCATCATTTGGGCATGTACATAAACACAGACTTGATATGTGTAGGTTATTCTAATTTTTAAAATCACAATACCATCCATTTATTTCCTCTCAGAAACCACTGTCGTGGCAACCAGAGAAGTAGAAACTGAAAATAAAACAGGTCAGTATAGGAAAAGCCCTAATTTCTTTGTTACTATGTCAACTAATATTTCTTTAGTACCTTATATGTGCTAAACTCTCTAGCAGACATTAAAAGCAAAAACATCAGCAGGATGCAGCACTTGCCATTTTTTATTCTGTGTGTGTGGGAGGAAGAGATTATTTTGGGCACAGATAGTATATATTTAGTGATACCAAAAATATGCACAAAATATGTGGTTCCGGGGGTGGAGTGAGAGTAGTGTTAATTTCTGCTTATTAATTGGTAGTGTGGAGTAAAGGCATGAGAAATGGCATGATTGAGTTTAACATTGGCATGGATGGGGAGGGTATTCCTGCCAAACAGCCCTGGAAAAGATAAAGATATAAGACCTCATGGGGGAGTTCAGGAATCAACCAGATGTTGGCAATGACTGCGTAAGGTTCAGGGAGGAAATGAGAGCAAAAACGTAAGTAGAGGAAATTTTATGAAGAACCAAACTTCAACAAGGCTTTATCCTTATAGTAATGGGATACCATTAAGGATTTGATCAAGAGCCTGACATGATCAGATAGTTGAGAAATTACTCTGATACAAATGTGGTGATTAGGAGACTGTTCTCTGTGGCTCCTCTTACAAATATCTCCAACAAACGCTTGCAATCCTGGTCAGGGAATATTTTCTCTTGTATTCATGCCTAACTGATCTTTTTTCTCTCTTGTTGCTGGTTTCTGTTACTTTGCTAAGCATCCATAATTAGCATCTGGCTTAGCCTCCCTACGTAAAGAGTTGGAAATATTTGATTACCCAAATTTCCATACCTTTAATTCATTTTGTAATCTATATTTTGGGCCTAGTAGTTGTTGGGATCACTTTACCTAAACATGTAGAAATTTTAAGTTCTCTTCAAATATTCTGTTGCTCCTAGGTCAGCCTTTTTCTTGGTAGGTTGAGATATATATATACACACACACACACACATATATACACATATACACACATATGTATACATATACGTGTGTGTGTGTGTGTGTGTATATATATATCTCATGTGTATATATATATACACACACACACACATATATATCTCAACTTACCAAGAAAAACGTGTGTGTGTGTGTGTGTGTGTGAGAGAGAGAGATATATATACATATTTAAACAGAATCTTGCTCTGTTGCCCAGGCTGGAGTGCAATGGCGTGATCTCGGCTCACTGTAAGCTCTGTCTCTTGGGTTCAAGCAATTATCCTGCCTCAGCCTCCCTGGTTGCTGGGACTACAGACAAGCACCACCATACCCATCTACTTTTTGTATTTTTAGTAGAGATGCAGTTTCACCATGTTGGCCAGGCTGGTCTCAAACTCCTGGCCTCAAGTGATCTGCCCACCTCGGCCTCACAAAGTGCTGCAATTACAGGCGTGAGCCACTGCGACTGGCCAGATAGCATAAAATATTCATTTTGTTTTTAGAAGTTTCGGAATAGAGTTTGAAATTTATGAGTGAATTGTTGGATTGACCAAAATATATGATGTGTAAAGGCTAAAAAAGATACATATTGCCAGTTTAAAGCATTTGTTGGGGGAGAAGATAGAGCAAAATTGAAGTATTTCAAGAAGATAAGGAGAATAAAGGTTTTTAAATGACTAAAACTGGGTAATTAATACTCATTTTATACTGTAGCACAATTATCATTTTCCCTTTTTAAATCTTTTTGTCCTATTCATTAGAACTGCCTTCAAAAAATTTTGAAGAGTTTACTTTGATGTTTTCTCTTTTTGATACTTATATTTTTCTCTCATTAAAATATGAGGTCCAAAGGAAACACTGTACAATGGAATTTCAAATGCAGCGAGGAGCAGGACGGGGAGATAGATGGGAATATATCGATTTGTAAGACTAGCTATGTAGACAATTATTTTCAGCAATGGAATAATGAATTAGATAACTATACTTGCCACAATACTATTCCAGTAACTTCAGAGACTAACTTAAGGTTCCTGTCTTTACACAGAATGTCTAGCCTCACTTCCACCCGCTCCAGGTAAGAGTACCACGACTTCAGAATTGCTCTGCATTAATGGCTACTCTTATCAATCAAATTTCAGAGGTCCTGCTAATAAAAGTCACCAGCCATGGAAATGTTATAAAATAGGAAAACATGTATTGGATTAACTTAGCTTTTATTCCCCTAATAGTGAGTAAATAGTTCATTTCCTCCTTCACAAACCAATGAAACCAAACCAAACAAATATACCTTGTTACTCAGATCAAAACAAGGTTTACCTACTAAATGTTTCATATAATTATGATACCTTAACCAAAATATTGTCACTTGATAGTAAGCATCTTTTTAAACTAGATAATTTCAACTTGAGGGATGAGCTATAGTAGAAAAAATCTGTTTAGCCAGAGTTAAGTAATTTTAAGGAACTTTGTAGCAAATAAACAAAATTACTAAAAAATATGCAGCCATAAAAAAAGGATAAGTTCATGTCCTTTGTAGGGACATGGATGAAGCTGGAAACCATCATTCCCAGCAAACTATCGCAAGGACAAAAAACAAAACACTGCATGTTCTCACTCATAGGTGGGAATTGCACAATGAGAACGCTTGGACACAGGGTGGGGAACATCACACACTGGGGCCTGTCGTGGGGTGGCACGAGGGGGAAGGGATAACATTAGGAGATATACCTAACGTAAATGACGAGTTAATGGGTGCAGCACACCAACATGGCACATGTATACATATGTAATAAACCTGCACATTGTGCACATGTACCCTAGAACTTAAAGTATAAAAAAATAAAAATAAATAAATAAAATAAAAAAGCAGTCAGATCTTCAAAAAAAAATTACTAAAAAATAATTCTCTGACCTTAGTACATAGTGGGAAAAGGAAGGTCTCCAGAGAAATAGCAAATTTAATATCAGGCAGAAAATAAATTTCAAAGTAAAAATATAAACTATGTATTATATATAGAATGCATATTGTCTGTCACTTGTGTTGTATATTTTAAGGTATCTCCAGGAATTTCTTTACAATATTGATATTTGAGAACACAAACAGACCAGTCCAGGGCATGTAAATGAGAGAAGTGAGATAAAGTTGAGAAGGTCAGTTTGAGTCACAATATGAGAGCCCTCGAAAGCTAGACTGCTAGAATAAAGTGTTTGTTTATACACAACTATAAGGGACCATCAAAGTAGTAATGAGATGAGAATTAGGCTTTAGAAAAATCACGTTACCTGATTGGATCAGAACGAGATATGAGTCAGAGTAATCCCCTAAAAAAAACCAGTAGAATATGCTAGATCAAAAACGTAGTAAGATCTTGGAGTGGCATTGTAGCAAGTAGAATAAGGAAAGGAAGAAATGAATGTGAGATACAGGATTTGGCAGTAGATTTGATGCCAGTGATAGAAGAACTCAAATGGCTCCTTGATTTTAAGCTTGAATGATTGAAAGTATAGTTCTATCTGTAGAGAAGGAAGCCAGTCTAGAAGAGAAGCTGGTTTTGGGGGGAAGATGATACAATCTGTTGTGTGCACATCGAGTTTTGGGTTTCTATAGGTCTGCCAGGATTCTGTCTAGAGGTAGAGAGAGAACTGGCTCCAAAGCTATGAGAGAGATCTGGGCTGGAGCTGGACATTTTAGAGTCATTCTTTTGATGTTACGGTGCACATTGTGGAGATAGAGGAAAGAGTTAGAGGCAAAATGAGAGGGAGTAAGACAAACTGCCAGTGAAGACAAAAATTTCAGAGTATTAAATCTGAAGAAAGGAGAACATTTTTCAAGAAGGTAAGAATGAACAATGTCAACTATGGCAGATAACTTAAACTGAGACGGGGCCCTTGGGTCTGGTAATTATGAAGCCATGGTGACTTGTAGGATTGGAAAAGCAGAAGTCAGACTGCAAAACAGTAAGTCAGTTAGTAGCCATAAGATTGATTGACCACTGCCAGGAGAAATGAAGAATTATGCTTTGCTGAGATTTATAAAAATAGGATATGCCTGTTGGTAACAGTTTGCTTAAAGCAGGTGGACTTGATTTTATTCACCTTAAGGCACCATAAAATCTTGTATAATTCTGTGACTCTGAAATCCTAATGCCAGTTACAGTATTGGCCACCTGGTGGTTATCTATAAATAACAGGTGGTTATATTTTGCCAAATTTAATTACCATTTATCATTTATGTTAACAGTTTGTCACGGTCCACTGGGAGAAGAGAAATCTGTAAGTACACAGTTTTGCTCTACTTTAATCCAAATGTGCTCTAATTCCTGTATTTGAATAGAAGTCTAAACTTGGTTTGTATATGTAGCCTGGAGACATATGGACTGCCAATTGCCACAGATGTACCTGTACTGATGCAAAGACTATAGACTGTAAACCTGAGGAGTGCCCTTCTCCACCCACATGCAAAACCGGTGAAAAGCTTGTGAAGTTCCAATATAATGACACCTGCTGTGAAATTGGATACTGTGGTGTGTATTCATAATACATTATTTTAATTGAATATGTTCACTGGTTGTTTATTAACATATTCAAGAGATACTTTTTGAGCTACCAGTTTTGTCAAACATAATACTAGACAGGTGTAATAAATAGTACAGAATTAGTATAATAATATTTGTGTTCTTAAAACTTACCATCTTCAGAATGGGGGACACCCAGAATTAAGTTATGAATATAATCAGTAAATTAAAGGAAGACTATGATATTATGGGTAGAAACATTACAGTTGGTTGCTATGTATGATCTCATCTACAATTTCTGTTTTATAAATAGAATTATAGTATTTTAGAATAAAACAATATATTTATTTTTCAGAACCAAGAACATGTTTGTTTAACAATACTGACTATGAGGTAAGGTCTTTTCTTCATTAAAATGTTTTTGTTAATTATATGAATAAATTTAATACTCGGCTATATTAAGGGACTTTTAGCCTATTTTATATATATAATATATGTAAGTATATATATAATATATATAAAAGAAATTACATAATAAATATATATGTATGTATATATATTTTTTTAACCCTAGTAACAACCGATTGGAATCCATTCATTTTTTTCCCCACACCCACTTCCAAAGGAACATCAAATGTAACACTCACCAGGACTCTTCAAAGGAGGAAAACATAATTCTTGATCATTAACTACTCAGCAGTAGAGCTTCTGAACAAAATTTCCCATGGGCCTTGCCAGATGGAGAAGACATACTTTGTAACATTCAAATCAATGAACAGAGTCAAACTGTAATTATAACCAGAAAGATCAGATGGTCAAGCTGTCAGAGATCAAATAAGAAAACCCAAAGGGCTAGAACTCTATTATGCAGCTACAGCAACACAATATATTCAAGGCTGGATTTTGACAACTAATTTGACATTTTGGACAGTAATTTAACTTTTTAGAAAAAAGTATAACGAAGCCATAAAAATCAGATGATTCTCAAATTGATATTAACACACTTGAAATGGTGATAGTAAATATTAAAAAATCTAAAATGAAATATATGTGGTATATTAGGCAATAGATAAAACATCCTATGAGAGTTTTACTTTGATAACCCATTTATCACACTCACATTTCTACCTGGACTTCTTAAATTTTTAGTTTCCAAAGTTGATCTGACTTAAACCTGTGGTAGTTTTTTAACAAAAAATATGATGATATTTAAGAAACAAAAGGAAAGTTTTCTTCTGATCATTTATAGTAAAATTCCAATTTATCAGAAAGTTCATCTTGTCTGAGGCCGTGAAATAAATGCAGTTTCTCAAACTGTTGTTTGAATATTTAGCATAAGCTAATTATAAAGTAACAGCAGAGAGCTTTAAAAGTATAGGAATATAGGCCAAGATAGAAGCAAGACATCTTGTGAGACTTGTCATTTGTTTTAATATGATAAGCCTATTTTGTGCCATTTTTCCCCCACTTAAATTTCTCGTTTCCCCTTAAGCTTAGAACATAACAATTAAGTGCTTGATCACTATAAAAAAACCTGTCTTGAAAATTTCTTGAAAATATAATAGAGTATCTGTTGGTGAATCTTCATTTGAGGATTGAGAATCTTGACACATTTTGTGTCTCAATGAACAAATTTGGTTTATTCATGGAAGTGAAAGACTTTCAAACCATCTTTTCTTTACTATTAACCTAATGACAAAGTGCCTCTGGAAAATCACTAAACATGAATTTGAATTTTTAAACTGATATTCTTGCAAACCTCTAAAAGAAATCAAGGTGAATAATTATTTTGTTTTTGTCCTCCTCTTTTCCTCCCAGATTGGTGCTTCATTCGATGACCCCAGCAACCCCTGTGTCTCCTATTCCTGCAAAGACACTGGCTTTGCTGCAGTAGTCCAGGACTGCCCAGAGCAGACCTGGTGTGCAGAAGTAAGTCATCTTAACTAATGAACACTGAGGTTCAGTTCTCATATCAAACCCTGGCTGGGCGCAGTGGCTCACACCTGTAATCCCAGCACTTTGGGAGGCCGAGGCGTGCGGATCACCTGAGGTCAGGAGTTCGAGACAAGCCTGGCCAACATGGTGAAACCTCGTGTCTACTAAAAATATAAAAATTAGCCAGGCGTGGTGGCAGGTGCCTATAATCCCAGCTACTCCGGAGGCTGAGGCAGGAGAATGGCGTAAACCCGGGAGGCATTTTGCTATTTCTAAACTAAAAAACTCACTAACTTTTAAAAATAGCTCAAATAATTATCTATAAGGATACCAATTTTTCTATATAATCATGTCTGGGTACTTTAGATCTTTCTTTGTGTCACAGTGCTCTCCATTTCTGTGCTCCCCAAGTATGGCTGAGTTTTATATTAATGAATGCTTAAGTTTCAATTATTAAGGGAGGTTTAAGTTATCATTTTTCTTTCTGAAGATATAATTGATAATATGGTTTAATGTTTTATTTTCGAGCTCTAATACCGGATTTCAGTATTTATCATGCTTTTACTTTGTTATAATTTTAAACCTATCAATTTCTCAAAGGTGCAGCTTCTAATTGTGAGTTTCTAGTATGTAGTAGTAGTATTATTGTTAAAGCATTTTTCAGTAAGTGAGAAATAGTCTAATATTATTTAATGTTATCTTTAACAAGAATTCCGTTTAAAGCTTATTTTTCCTTTGCCCATTGTTGAAAAATTTTAGTCATATTTTTCTTACTAAGCTGGTGTCTCTCCTTTGCTGCCTTTTGCTTAGTAGATCCGGGGTAAGATTGTCCATCTGTTCCATTTCCTCTCTGTGATGTGATGCATTTTAACCAATTAAGAAGTGTTGTATTATTTGCAGAAAAATTTAGAACAACGTTTCTCGTTTTTATCTTTTTTCTTACCCCTACAGGAAGACAGAATCTATGATTCCAAAAAATGTTGCTATACATGTGAGTAAAGTTAAGTTCTGCACAGAGAAACATGTAAGCTGTTGACAAAAGTTTAATTTCTTTAAAACAAAATGGCAGATCATTAAGAGAAAGTATCTTGTATTTTTAACACAACAGGTAACCTAGCCTATCTGTGTAACCTTCCATTGGATATTTGTACATCATGTATTATGGCTATGTATTCATGTTGACTGCAACATTCTTCTCAGTAAAAAACAATGTTTACAAGGGAACAAATGTAATTTTCATGGAAAAGATTAGCTTGTTCTTTTGACATCAGCAAGTTGTGTTGTAAATGGTGTATTAGATCATAAGGATAATCAGTGATGAGAAAATGGATGTCAAAAATAATTCATCCACCCCTGTTTTTGATGGATGTCAAAATAATCCGTCTGCCCATTTCTTCCCCTCTCCCTTCCTCTTACTTCTCCCCTCAACCCCTTCACCTGTGATAGTGTGATAGTGATAACAGGAACAAGATACCAGTAATCTGAGTATTAACCAGCTACCTTGTAATGGTGCTGAGATGGTTAATCTCCTCAATCATGTTGTGAAGTAGTTGCTATTATTTATAGGTTAAGAAAATGGAGGGTTAGCAATTGTTAATGTTAAACCTCACTTCTGACTCTCTTTTCCTTTTCATTTTAGGTAAGAATAATTGCAGATCTTCCTTTGTGAATGTGACTGTTATCAACAGTGGTTGCAAGAAAAGAGTTCAGATGGCAAAATGCGCAGGGGAATGTGAAAAGACTGTCAAGTGAGTTCTTTGAATGTGTATCGTGTGTTAACTTTGTAACCTTGTGGAGAAAATGAACCTTTTCAAATATTACATGGAAAAACTTTTATGTGAGGGCAATACTATTTTGTTATAAGGACCAAATGAAAGAAGAATCTAAGATATTAAGATCTGAGAACTAAAATATTCACTTAAAATAGTGATGAGTCATTCCGAAGTAGTTTTCTAAATATGCCAAGCATGATACCTTTGTAACAAATGTACTCATCTTCATACAGTGACTACAGAAAATATTTAAGCAAAGAAGTGAATTTCTTGAATTACTTACACTTGAAATTTAGATAGTATGTTTTTCCTTTATGTACACTTTTATGTATAGATTAATATAGAGATAATAATCTCATATTAAGTTATATTTAACATTTTATTTAGTTTACTTTTTCACCATAATGCTCCAATTATGAGATTATAACTTCTTTTCAGATTTCTTATCACTGAGCAACATCAGAGCTTTACAGTGACAGGGGAAATGCAAGGTCTAGAAAAAGAATAAATTGGTTACAAGGCTTGCTAAGTCACTTAGACAATTACTGTTTGAGTAATGATGTCAGTTTATCTTTAAAATTCTAAAAATGTTTATTACTGAATTTTTCTTTTAGGTACAATTATGATACCTTACTCTTGGAACATTCATGCCTTTGCTGCCGAGAAGAAAACTATGAACTCAGAGACATTGTACTTGACTGTCCTGATGGGAGTACAATCCCTTACCAATACAGGCATATCACAACCTGCTCTTGTTTAGACATATGCCAACCATATACGACTTTCACGTACAGTTAATGCTGACATCACCTTCCCAGTTTTAACAGGCCTGGTATTTATAAGTGAGGAAAAATAATCATTAAAATAGTGGGAATAACTAAACATTTGTATCTCACTCAAAACAATGAGTTCTCATTATGAGGAATTTTGCTCTCTCGTGGACTGGATCTGAAAAATAAACACAACCTGACAAGCAATTCATGAGCAAGGGTATTTATTTTACAGCAAAACGAATCCTGCAAGTCTAGCAGAAACTGGATCATATCATGACTCTTCAATATATTTTCCTTTTATCCTTCAGCTTCTTATGTCCTTCTCCTGTTTCATTTCCTTCACTTATTGAAAATGTAGGCTTGGTTTTCTTTTCTCACTTCCTATGCCAGTTGCATCACTCCTCCCATCCTACTACAACTCCTCCTGCTAGGACACTAGTGACCTTCTTATAATTCTGCCTACAGGGTCTGACAGCGTTTCCATTCTTCCTTTCTTGAGACATTTTTCTCCTTGTTTCTATGACATCATTTCTTTTTTCTTTGTGTGACATCATTTAAAATTAATGCTCCTACATTGTGTGGACAGCTTTATTTCTGCCAGTCCTCTAAAGTTTAGTTTTCCAGTTGCATCCTGTTCTGCTTGTCATTTTACTCAGTCCTTGTCCAATTTCATCAATTTAAGCAGATGTATTTACACGTTGAGGATTTCCAGTCTGTATCACCAACCTCAACCTCTGAGTTTCAGACACATTGATACAACTTTGAATTTAACACCTCTCACTGGATGCTCTATAGGTACCACAAACTCAGCAAGGCCAAAACCAAAATAAATATCTTTCTCTATCTAACTCAGTCCTGGGCTTGTATATTGTGTACCAGTGAAGTAGGTAGCTAAAAAGAGAGATTAGACTGAGGCAGGCAGATCAAGAGGTCAAAGAAATCGAGACCATCCTGGCCAACATGGTAAAACGCCATCTCTACTAAAAAATACAAAAATTAGCTGGGCATGGTGGCATGCGCCTGTAGTCCCAGCTACTCAGGAGGCTGAGGCAGGAGAATCACTTGAACCAGGAGGTGAGAGGTTGCAGTAAGCCAAGATCGCACCACTGAATGCCAGCCTGGTGACAGAGCAAGTCTCCATCCAAAAAAATAAAAAAGGGAGAGGTTGAGGTTGACTAATATTATGGCTGTCATCTTTAATACATTCTACTGCCTTGTTATTTCACACACATCCTTCTTCCTGAACATATATATTCAAATGTGCCTTGGATAAATGATTTACATAGGTAAAATGTGTGCAGTTATTAACACTCTTACCCCCTTCCTAACATGAAGGCAAACCCAAATTATCATAACCTATTGATGAACCAGTTCTTACTTTTCTATATCACTTTGACTAGTGGTAAATTTAACTATCATCAAACACTGTATGTCTAATGGTGGAGAAGGAAATAGATGTGTTAGTATATTGGTAATTGCCACCAAAGGTGGATAACAATTCCTTATGAGTGGGCATTACAGGTCTCACTTCTACAGCCAGTCCCAGGGCCTTTGGCTTTCCTCTATGTCTATCACTGGTTGCAGGTTTTCCTTCCTCTCAATGCATACCAGAGTTCATCATCTCACAAAATTATGAGGAGCTTGAGCCCTTGAAAATCCAAATGGCTGCGGTTGCAGGAGTTTCTTTAATAGCTTTTACCTCAGGAAATAGTAGATAGAGCACAGAGTCAACATTATACCCACATTACAGTCCTTACCACGTGGTAGCAGCTCTATTTTCACCTAATAGAATTAATCATCCCAGATAATAAGCTGACAGCATTTTCTGCTTAGTAAGCCTGCTTTAGACTTATGAGAGACCCCAAATGGCTAGCTGGGAGTTTCAGAACAAGGGAGATAAAATGAATGTTGATTTCTGGTCCAGCTAATATATTACATCCTGCCAACAGCACACCAACTTCACAGGGTAGTATCCCTCAGCTGGTATCAGAGTGGAGGGCTCAGTAGGCTAATCTTTAAGGTTTACCATCTGTGAATAATAAAGTATAATACATTTATTGATGTATGTATGCAACTTTCTTTTCTTTGATTTGATGCTGTATGAACTTTTCTTCACTTGAAAATAAATTCCTTTGGTTAGAAGCAGTGCTGCACAGCATTTCACGGCATGAATAAAGTATTCAATAAGCCTATAGATAGAAGTGCTAGTCTAGGCATATTAGACATAAAAAGGAAATGCCAATCCATACTTGGGTATCTCAGAGAAAATAAATGCTGTCTTCCCACCACCAGAAAAGGATCAAAGTTGTCTCCTTTTTACCAAGTATCTGAGTGACATGATAGTATGAAAATGGAAGATCACTGTCTTCCATTTATATCACAGTACCATGATTATTGGCATGGTGGTATCCCAAGTGGCTTCAGTGGAGGGAATTTAGGCTGCTGAACCCATGTATGACCCTCATTCCTGCTACAATTGCTACCTTCTTCTTTAAGCATCCGCTTACGTTCAGGTATGGATATATTCTGAATTATTCATACAGTTCCCCCAACCCTTCTTGACATTCTCCATTTTTTCTCTCCTCAAGTCCTGCGCTATCTATACAAATTATTTGCTGTGTCTGAGAAATCAGTGTGAATCCTGACTTCAGGCCAATCTTCTGCCAAGCACAGTGGCTATAGAGAATTTTCCTTTACAGTTGTTGTTCACAGCACTCCTAAGGTAGGCTCACTTTTCACTGACACTGGGTCTGTAGGCAATCTAGCTTTGAGTCTTTTCATCCTGTGTTAAATGGTTATAAGCAATTCCTCCTCTAAGCAAAAGGCATTAATTCAGAGAAATGTGGCAGCCAGATAGTAGTGCATTGTGAGCCTTAAGAAATGATTGCTTGGATCTGACCTTCTGACTTGTGCCTTTGAGACCTGAATGGACTCTATTCTGTATATATGACTTTGGATTGATGATGGATTGCTGCTGAGAATGCCCAAATCTATGGCAACATAGAAAAGCTAATGCCCCCTCCAGGATGAGGGGTTTTGGTTCACAGTCACCTGTTATTTTAGTATTGACAGAAAGCTAGTATTTGCTGAAAATAGAAGAACTGCCTCAGGAGGTAGCGTGGTCTTGCTCCCAAAGCTCTGAAGCTGCTATTGCTATGACCATTTTACGACTTGTCATTGGCCCCTCTGCTAGGTTTTACTTTTCTGTTACAGATTCTTCTAGAACCATTGGATCAACACAGATTATGAGTTAAACATTGAGGTAGCTTTTACCAAAACCTCGATAATCTGAACTGATCTTATATTTTGTCTGAGTCCCTCTAGAGTTATCAGGTCTTAGGTCATCCAGTGAGTAGACCTAAGAAAGACATTTATATCCGTATAGGTTTCTTGATGTTTCCAAAATCCAAAATCCACTAATCCATCAATCTTGATGTTTCCAAAATCCACTAGGGTCTATTTCGTAATGTAGGTGAACAAAGTGTGAGAGCATGTCCTTCACTTCAATGATGAGGACCCACTATCTTCATATTACTAAGATTTAAGCTGATTACAGAAAAAGCCAATATAACAGTGACTTTAAAAAGAAAGGTATTTCTCTCTCATACACAAAACTGGGTAGGTGACCCAGAGGGGCATGACTGTGCCTAGTCTCTTCAGTCTTATTGCAGAATGCACTGTCCAGCTTCCATCTTGTTGACCCACAATGGTTCCCACTAGCTGCTACCATCTCATTCTTATTCCAATCAACAGGAAAGTAGAATGGGAGAGGTGAGTGTGTGCTCCTCCTCCTCTGAGGGCAAAACTCAGAAGTGGCACACGTACTTCCACTAACATTCCATTGACCAGAATTAGAGACACAACTGTCTGGAACCACAACAAATGCTTCCAGAATGAGGGTCTATAATCATTGGGGATCTTTATAAAAATACAGATTTATGAATTTCATCCTGAGAGGTCCATTTCAGTAGATCAGAAAGCAGGTAGCTAAATCAGTTTTTGCGAGTAAAATTCCAGGGGCCATATTGTTCCATTTAGTAACAGAAACATCTAGAAAAACAGCTACAGTTTGAGTCATCATCAGACTAAGTTTATTGTGAGGGATATTGTGATGCACTGCTCAGATTCCCCTTCAGAAAAACAGGGTTTATTCCACAGCTGCTGAGAGTGCTGCCAGAAGACTGCTTTCAGTTGTCAGCCTCCTTAGGGGTTTGCCTCAGCTAAAGACAGACACGTCCCCCACTGATATGTCCACCTTCTGGAGAAAAAAGGGGGCATCAAGTGAATGGTAGGGGAAAGTGGAAAGGCTGAGCACTCTCTCCCCAACTTGGTCTACGAATTCTTTACTCAGTAAGTTGCTGGGGCTTTCACTGAAGATGCACGATGCCTTGACTTCTCCCTCCTCCCAATCTTGCTTCCTTCCTTCTCTTCCACAAATTTGGATTCCAATAACACTTTATAACGAACCTGCTGCATGTAAATCTCCATCTTAGAATCTGCTCCTAGGGAGCACAACCTGTGCTGCTTATAGGAATTTAACATCATTCTCTAGAGTCCACCAATTATTTGTAGCATTCAAGTCTGAGAATTTAACGGGGAAGGTAGAGAAAGCGGCCTACCTATGTCTTTCAAGTCTTTGATGGTGGCTTCGAAATGAACTAAATTGTGTGAAGCCTCCTCTACTACCCTATCTCTCATTCCCTTTCCCCCTTTGGTTGTACAAATAAAAAATATTTACTTTCCTATATGCCAATGAGACTATTTTAATAGGCTCAAAAGACAACTGATCCTACTGTAAAATTGATGACAAGGAGTAAAGTTGATTACTGACACTCAAAATATAGAACTGTAATTTTGTCGAAACACTTTGAAAACTCAATATTTCTGACTATTCTATCTTTTTCTCTGCCTATAATCCACCCCCCATATACTAATCACTCTCTTTTCATCATCTGCCTTTCTACAGTTGGTAGCCCTATATATACTTTTAATTACAGTTATTGTTAACATTTATTTGTTTTTATTATCCCTTTTAAAGTAAGTTTTCAGAGGGCAGGAGGTTTGTATCTCTATCCCACAGCCCTGCCTCTAATACCTAGAAGAGGACGTGGCATAGAGTAGGTAATCAATAAACATTTGTTGAGATTTGAATGAAAAAATCTAACAAAGGCAGCCAGTTAAACAATTCAGTTACTTATCTAGGA